TGGTGAAAACTCTGTTCGAGTCCCGCCCGTCCCCCGTCGATCACCATCGGCGCCGCCATCGCTTGCGTCCTCGCTTCGCGTGCGATGCGAGGTCACTGTCCGACGTAAACGGTCGTTAGGAATCGAATGCCGCAATCGGTTTGATGATTTGACGCTGTTCGAAGAAGTTATCGATGAAAGTCAGAAATCTCTTCCCATGATTATTATTTGTTAAATATATAAGCTACAGGTCCAGGCGGTCTGATATGACTCATTATTTCGATTCTTAGGTTAGTTATGAGTGTGTTCGTTGCCACTTTCCACGCTATTAGTATTTTCGACCATGTTAGCCCAAGCTTACGCCAGCTCTCAAGCTACAGTTCTGCTTAATTCTATCGAGCGCACGCGCCCAAACATACATAATGGAATCACCTATGCCACTTCTTTCCTCTTAGAATGTATGATCTGTTTTTCGCAATGTTGGGATACCTTGTCTCGTGAAGTTGATCAGACCCCAGTGTCTACCTCAATACAGGGCACACTGCGAATGATCCTCACCTACGCCTCAAGCCCATGGAACGAGAAAAAAACTCACTGGCTATTATAATAACATTATCATCCTGCAGTATAACATTAATGATTTGGCTTAATTAGCGACCGGTGAGGTCTCCCGACGTGCGTTGCGGAACGGCGTTAAAAGTATAGAATATCTACTTCGTCCGCATTGAATGCAGACAGTGAGAAAAATCAACATACTATGATATCCTTAATCATGAGGATCAATTATGGTAGTAAAGTAGGATTTGAAGGAGGTCTCTTTCCTGCTGCGTGATACAAGCCCCAGGTGTGTACGACCGGAGCAGGCTTGCAGCTCCAGCACATAGTCCAGGAGGGAAGCGGATCACAACAAGGCAGGCCAATGACAGGCTGTCTGAGTTTGATCTTGAACGTAATGAGGGGAGTGCGGGTGGGATATCCGCTGTGGTCCAGCCAAGGGTCGGACTAATCTCACCAACCTCACCAGTGAGCTTGGTAAGGTTAGGTGAGGTTGGTGGCTTTATGGTTAGAATTACTGCCAAGAAATGAAGCTATCGCTAATCTCTCCGACGCCGTCTCCTTGGAACACGCTGGCGGAGTTAGCTATGGCCTTGTCTGTAGCCTCGTCCGGTTCATTTAGCCAGTTATGTTCTATATTCGTATCGGCCGTCAGAGCCCCAAGCAGAGTATCCAGCTAGCCTGTTAAGCCGGCCCTGTAACAAATTCGTAGTGTCTGGCACATGCCTATAATACCGGCGTCAAGGCTTGGCGTCCGAAGTGACCATTCTACCGGCAGATGGAAATAACCGCTCACATTCATATCCTTCTGGATATCATGGCCACAGGCCCATTCCCACGGTGAGACGGACCTACCGCGCTTGGAGAAGGTAAAGCCACGGAAAAACTGAAAAAGGGGCCATTGAACCTCCGGAGGCATAGGAGTGGCCTCAGCCAAGGTCTGGCGAGATAGCGATAATGCCGGAGTCGGCGTTGCAGGGGCAATTAGACTCCATAATACAAGGGCAGCGGCCTAAGCGCTAGAGGAATACTAAGATGACAGCAAACTTCAAAGTACCAGCCATTTTGCAGAGTTTTTTAAGCAAACAAGTCTTATAGGGAGTCCTACAGGGCTAGCAGGGACCTCTAAGACGTTCGAATTATTCTAAAATAGAGCTGATAGGGCCGCCCAGCACGGTCCAAATAGCGACTTGAGCCTTGGCAACCATAAGCTAACCAGGTTGCCTAACCAGGGCCTCCTCTGGTGAGGGTATTGGTGATAATCCACGCTAATCCTGGCTCACCAGGTTAGCTTGGTGAGGTGAGTCCGTCCCTTGGGTCCAGCCAGCATTTATGCGTCTCGTATTTCCCGAAAGTAGAGCGAGAATAGTCAAGCCCCTTCAAGAGAAGCTTTTCAGCGAAGTCTTGGCATATCTGCGAGAAAGAAAGCGAATAGTCGGGCACTATACTTACGCTATCTGCCACTGCCTTGAATCCCAGAATCTTGTACGCACGGTCCTTTTCGTCTGTGATGCTGGCATCTCGCGCGATGAGAAGCATGCGAAGTAGGTCGATTGGCACTGAGTGCGTAGTGCGCTTCTGGCTGTGTGGAGGCCCATCAACTCAACAAGCAGCTTCCACATCATTTCCGATAAAAGCTCCCTCTCCACGGGGATCCTGTCCCGGCAGAACTCAAATGGCCAGCTCTTCATCATCCTGGGGTAAATACTTTCTATGACTTCCCGCCCGAAGCTCGCTTCATCACTTTCAATTGGCACAGCTGTATCGTAGACATCTCTCCATGACAAGCAGTTGCTACCGCAGACCGCGGGAGCATCTTCACGTCGTGTTATGTCGCCAATACGGACGGTATAGGAAGTGGAACAAGGCATTGTACATTTCCTTCGTCAGAACTTTGGTATGTCTCTCAGATAATAAAAGGGCGAGCATCGATCTTGTTACTTTTGCGATAGGCTTCCTCAAGTGAAGAGTAGTCCGATTTTATGCCACAAGCCAACACAATGTTGTGATGGTCAGCTGAGAGTCGTCCGCCCCTGGACCGAGCCGTATGAAGACCTGCCACATTGATGCGTATTTCGTCGCCACATAAGGAGTGGTATTTGTAAGCCATAATCACGTAAGGCTTGATATTTTCGGTAGAAATTGTCTGTTCACAACTGCAAAGAGTTGTTAGCTTGCGGGGTGCGTTATAGCTGTTTATCAACCGAAAAAGGCAAAGGGCAGTTCAATATTTTGTGACATGCTTGCCATGTCGCCCAGTGACGGGTTAGTACACAACGTTGATTATAAAGGAAGAAAAATGTTTTGTGAAGGTGAGGCGCTTACTTTAGAAGTGCTTATAAGCTCTCAAAAGCTCTCCATAACTCTCGCTACTACCAGGATGTGTACAAACCAGGAGCAGGTATTAATGCTTAGCGTGAACTGATTACAGAACTGGCTTTCAGTATTTTGAAAGCATCCATTCATAAATACCCAGCTTGACTATACATTTATACTGGTATAGGTGCGAAGAAGAATCAGGTTGACCACATTTTCACTTACATACTGATGATCTAAAGTAACCCGAGATCCAATACAACTCGGCACAGGTGTCTTTAACATTTTCTTTTGAAGATCATATAGCTTTTAGTATGAACATATTTAGGTTTGTCAAAGAGTGCTGTATCAAGGACTAGAAAACAGGTGTAAAACTGGATCTACTTCAGTATATGGCAGATTTCTGTATACGAACACATGTGATCCGTGTTAGTATCTTCGGCTTTCTCTGCGTTAGTGCTACCCCTTATATTGTCATTAGTAAATTCTACTCTATTGGTACCAAGACAGGATAAACCACCTCAACGACTACTTATAACATGAGGATCAAGAACGTATTTGGAAATTCTTATAGATGACACATCATGCAGCATCGCAAGGTGAGTTCTGCTGTCGGCCATCGAATGAAACACACATCTCTCTCATCGTCGACTAAGAACTTTACCCTCCCTTCACAAAATGTACTTAAATATGGTATGACGTCATCTCCAATTGCCCACAGCCTCTCATTTGTAACTTCAAGAGTCTCCATATTGTCAAAGTTGCCCTAAACCTATAAAATGATTACTTAATAGTGTCACCGCGTTGCACCTGTTACAGAAAGTTAGACCTAGCTATAATTTACTTGGAAGGACCGGAGCTTTGCGCCGTGTGTATACTGAAGTGATGCAAATGATTCTCGCCCCGGTGCGATGGCGGAATACCGTTGTCATGGCCGAAATCGAACTTGTCTCACCACAGTGTGCGACGAGTCGCATACTGATGCTGGCTGAAGTCTAAACGACTGAGTACGTGAACAGCTGAAGACTCGTGTGATCCCAAGTCCAGATCTTGGGTAGGTTATTGACGACGTAAAACGAGTCAGCATACGCTTATTTCAGCAACGCCGCCCCATGCGTTTAATGTTTGAGGCGGATGTCACTTCTGTCTCGGCCGAGTCATTCATGTTGATCGGGACTGTGTCAATAGCGACAATGGAATATTTGGGGAGTTATTTAGCTCAGTGAGATGCCACGAAACCCTGTAGCTTACTGGTTGATCAGATTGCCCACAACAGTAAGACATACTAGATAAGTTTAGCAGCAAGTGACTCCGAGCATCCTGAAAAAATGTTTGAAGATCGGAACTGAACGGCAATTCCATATCCGAATTAGGAAGCTGCGGAGAGCAACCTCTCGCTAAATTTAGCGTCATGTATGGCCAGCTCCAACTGGGCTACCCATGTTAGACCGTTGGAGAACCACAAACACGGTCATTCGGCTTTGGAAACATCCTGGATATACAAGTATCCTCAAATATCAGGTGAGTTGTTCAATTTGCTCTGCATTAACTCTGTGACCGTGAGGTTTCATGCCCGCCCACAGATCATCTCTGAAAAAATGAAATTCCTTGTGGTCAATGCTAACAAACGCCCGGCGACACCGTAACGTCAAATTTGGACAACGTTGAACAAGTTAGTCAGTCACCTCAAACTGCTCCCCGCGCGTGCCATCCATCCCATTGGCGTTACTGCACTGGCGTTCGTCATGGCACCTTATCACGATGGAGAAACTTCTTGTGTATGACATTTCTCATTGACCAGCTCCAACATAACACCCACGCTAGTTGGCTACGTGTGTGTCAGATGCCCCTCATAAATGGATGATGTTTGCCACTGTTTGGTTTCAAGGTGGATTCGGATGGCATTCGACAACTGGCACACCGCGGGTAGCCTGTACACCTGTACGACTCAATCATTTCGCCTTAAAATAAGCATGTAAAGGAAAAGTGCTTGGCTATTGTTGTTTGCAGCGATTGTACCGCATACGCAGTGTCGCATTTTCCGTTTCTTGCTTCGATCACCTCGGGTCGTAAGACCGCTGTTGCGACCTTGGGATCGGCTATTCCAACATATCAGCTTCTCATTTCTGGCGTCTACAAGAGTTGGAGCAATGGAGCCCCGCTCTGCGCCCGTCAAGAGGAAGAAGGCTGAACAGTATCAGCGTGATGCCCTGCGGCCATTCGTACTTGTACGACGGGTGGGACAATGGGGACGGCAAAATGCAGCAAACGACGATGATATCAAGGCTTCTAATAAAAGCCCTGAGCGTCTGCACGGACGTGTAAATGGGCGTGTTTATATCGCTGATGCCGATGGAGATGGGGATTCAGACACAAGCCAGTATTCGGACGCCCACTCCAACTTCGAGCTTCCGATAGACACCCAGAACCTCCCCGATCCAGTTCTAGTGGTTGACGCAATGTCGGAGGCAGAATGTTCGATAGCTGGACCGTCACAAGCTGTGTCCAACCCCTTCTCATATCCGCAATCCGGGGACGGTGGTTCATCCTACAGCCTGGACGACGGGGGGACTCGAGACCGGCTTAGGGATGTTCAGAGCTCTTTGGAAACATTTCCAATTCAATTTGGCACAAAAGTCAGCCCTCAAGTACCCCCCAACCCTTCCAACTTTGACCGGTTAAGGCGTCTGTGGGAAGGGGACGCTTCTGTCAGACCTGCCTTGTCGCTGCCTAACGACCATGAAAGCAAGCCACAGGAGAGCAAGGACGGAGATGAACTGACGCTTGAAAAAGGGAAGGCTGTCGAACGCCGACCTGACTGGACAAGTGCGGTCAATCCTTGGGCGGGACTAAACAAAATCATGCACGAGGAGGGCGAACGAGAAACCCTTATGGCAGAGAACAATCGGCTGAAAGCGGAGCTACAAGAGCTTCGAGATACACTCTCCAAAAATAGCAGACGACGTTCGACCGAAACGATAGTCGAGACACAAATCAACACTCAAGATGAAGCACGAGTCCCCACACAAGCCGACACAGAAGCTGGTGAAGCTGGTTTCTACGAGCCAACTCGACTTCCGGTATCCTCGCCACGTCGAATTAGAAGGCCGAAGTCCAAGAGGCGGCAAGACATGACACTCTTCGAGACTACGACATTGCGAGATCTGGTCCTCAAGAGAATATTCGCACCGAATGTCATGATTCGCAGACCTAACCGGCCGGAAAATGATCAGAAGGGTGCGGCAGTCACCCTTGACACTCCCCTAACAAGGGCGCAGATCCAGGAATTCAGTCGAATAATGAACGATGTGATAATTGAGGGGCGAAACTTGAAACAGCCTATTGCTCTTTGCGCAGTGTGTCATTTGCCAAAGTTCAAGGAGGCTAGGGGACTGAACCAACAATCCTATATTTCCGAAGTCTTGGCTCAGTGTCCGACGTTGCCGGTTACCTTCGAAGACTTCCACCCCGCCTTGGGATTATCACGCTGCTGCCGGAAATATGTGTGCAAAACTTGCCTGAGTGCAGGCATTATCGCAGGTATAGCAACCCATTGGTGGCATGACTTGGCGAACCGTGAGTCGGCCTGGATCAAATGCCCTGTGCCTTGTTGCAGGCACAGTCTTCCCCTTCAGGACGGCGCCGATGTCATGGGCGTCCTCGAGGCATTGTGTGTGGACGATGTGCCCAAATACATTAAACAGTTTAACCACGCCAACCAACTTCGCTGCGCGCTCCAGGCAATTGACATGATGCCAACGAGGGAAGAGATGCGCCAAAGCATGGCCCTGCACAACAGGCTTGTAAAGTACGAGAAGATGTGGCCACTGCTGGACGACATTCCGCCAGGTGGCGATACCTCTGTCGATACCACAGTCAAGGTTGAACTGATGCCACTCGACACAGCGAACAGGCAAGGGACATCGAAGATACCGATATTCACCCATCTGTTCCGCTCACGAGAGCCACGGGACTGCATCGTCTGTGCCGACACTCATCAGGAATTCAACTACGGTGGTCCGCTACGCTGGGCCAAAGCGACGAAGGGTTTCGAGGGCGAATGGACCTGGCGCATACTCTCATTCCCGGTTGCTGAGCTCCTGCCCGACTGCCAGCATGATTTCGACATATGTCGAACGTGTCTGAACAGACACATAATCACGCAGCTAGAACTTCAGGGCTACGGCGCCGTGGACAACATCAACTGCCCGACCCCTGAATGCCACCACACATATACACACTCGGAAATCCGCATCCTCGCCATGCCCGAGACCTTCGCTATGTACGACCGCTATGCGGTCCTCAACTCTCTTTCGAATCAGCCCAATTTCCGCTGGTGCCTAGGTGAAGGCTGCACCTCGGGTGGCTTATACGACGATCCATCCCAGCCGGATGAATCGGTTAAACCACTTTTCAAAGAGCCAAATCGTATCATGTGTAGCGAATGCAAATTCAACATGTGTTTCGCTTGTCAGATACCGTGGCATACCGGCCTCGACTGTGCGCAGCACGCGTCGCTTCAGGCCCACGGTGATCCTAACTACTCCAGGACGCAGGAATGGATTGAGAGCAACACCAAGCCATGTCCCGGGCAAGGATGCGGCGTTCTCGTGGTCAAAGGCGAAGGCTGTTTTCATATGACGTGTTCTCAGTGTCGGTTCGAGTTTTGCTGGGAGTGCCTAGCGGACTGGACTGCCATCTTCAATGCGGCCACCGGGGAGATCCGATCTGACGCTCATCGAGAAGGGTGCTATTTCAGGGGAGCGGGTGCGGTGTTGCCAACTCAGGTCATGGGTAGCACACTAGCAAGGGGTTTGAGGAGGTTGGAGCAACAGGCTGCTCCTGCTCCTGCTCCTGCTGTCCCAGCTGCCGTGTAAGCGTTGGGTGGGTTCTGAGTTAATCGACGAGTCACCACACCTTTGTTATGAGCATCGCGTTTGTCACAGTTGATGGAGTTTGCTTGTCAGGTAAGCCTTGATCGCCAAGGCCTGTCTCGTAGGTCTATGAAATAAGTTGACCAAAGGAAACCAACACTTTGGTATCAAACATTAGAAATACATGATGAAATTTGTAAGGCATCTTCAGCGCTATGTTTCGCTGAAAGTGTGCGTTTCAGAACTAAGGGGCATTATGAGAACCAACTTAGCTGGGGTGCTTGAGTAGTAGGGAGTGAATCAATCAGGGAATCAGAAGACGGTACATCGTATGAATTGAACACTGTTTTGGCAACCTTTGACGGCTTGATAATTGATTCCAAGGACAGATGCGAACGAGGTCGTTCCCAAGGATCCCATGTTCGCTGGGAATCCCCTACAGGAGGCGTCGCCTATTCTTATTTCAGCCTAGCGTCATGCAATCAATTAAAGCTGCGACTTCCCGACCGTGTTTTGACGCGTTTCTCCTTAGAGATTTTGAACGCGATTTCAAGCACCCCTCTAAAATCGCAGAGATAACCAATTCCCATTCAAGCCTTGGACTTCACAGAGATAATATCGTCGGGATTGTCATCACGAAACCCACCATTCCTCACTCACAATGGCGACACCTAGCGATTCCGGCCTGTTGATGTCGGATGTATCTAGAGCGGCAGTGACCCCAAAGCAGAGACAAGTCCACAGCAGCTCTTCCGCACGACCTCGAGCGCCTCCCTCCGAAAGTCTGGCAGCCCCAAGCGACGATGAAGGCGAGGGTTTCGCAGACGACCAAATCCCGAATCGCGCAAGGCGTGCCGGCGCAGCAGACATTCCCCGGGTCGAGGACAGGATCGGTATCACCGTGCAAGAGCATTTCGAGCACTTCATTGAAGAGTCAGACAACCCAGGAGATGCGATGAAGCTTTGCCGCGATCCAAACTGACGAGCAACGCAGATTCATCGAAGATCCTGCATCTTCCGCAGCACCCACTTCCAGCGCCGTAACGACGGACAAATACTACGTTGCTCAGATCCATGGGATGCGTATTTACCAGCTGTCGACTTTCTACGTGAACTACGATCATGTCGCCGCTTATCAGAACGGTGCCTTGGCCAATGCCATCAACAACCAATACTACCGTTTCCTCCCTTTCCTCACCAATGCTCTACACAACATGATCGCAAAGTACGAGCCACAATACTTCCGCGAGCACCGTCAAGCCACCACGTCCAGCAACCAGACCACGTCAGGCGCAAGCAATGCTGGTTCGGGTTCGGCAAGCCAGTCTGACTCTCAGGGTGGCAAGACGGCCAACCAGCAGACGGACAAGCTTTTCGCCATTGCTTTTTACAACCTACCCCTGGTCTCGCGGGTGCGCAGTCTACGGGCCAAAAATATCGGCCAGCTGCTATCCATCTCGGGTACAGTCACCCGAACCTCTGAAGTGCGGCCCGAACTTTCCATGGCGACATTTGTCTGCGAGGCATGCAGAGCGGTGGTGCCAAACGTAGAACAAACCTTCAGATACACGGAACCCACACAATGTCCCAACTTGCAATGCAACAACCGACTAGCATGGCAACTCGACATTCGCCAAAGCACATTCGTGGACTGGCAGAAAGTACGCATTCAGGAAAACAGCTCTGAGATCCCGACAGGCAGCATGCCACGGACTATGGATGTGATTCTTCGTGGTGAGATCGTTGATCGTGCCAAGGCAGGCGAGAAGTGCATCTTCACTGGAGCATTAATTGTCGTGCCCGATGTTTCTCAGCTCGGCCTCCCAGGTGTGCGTCCCACGGCTATCCGAGATGACCGAGGCCCTCGCGGTAACGATGCCGGGGGTAGCGGTGTATCTGGTCTCAAATCCCTGGGTGTGCGCGACCTGACCTACCGGCTTGCCTTCCTAGCCTGCATGACGACACCCGATGCTTCCACGCCGGGCCAATCAGCTACCCACCAAGTTCACGACATCATCAGTTCGCTTACGCAAGCCAATGCTGATAGTGCCGATACTGTTGAGCAGGCGCAAACTGCAGTCTTAAACTCCATGACACCTTCCGAGATTGACGAGTTGCGTGAGATGGTCCATAGTGGTCACATCTACAGCCGACTTGTACAGTCCCTGGCACCGATGGTGTATGGTCATGAAATCGTTAAGAAGGGCCTCCTTCTCCAACTGATGTCGGGTGTGCACAAGACAACAGCAGAGGGCATGGAACTGCGTGGAGACATCAATATCTGCGTCGTGGGTGACCCATCGACCTCCAAGTCGCAATTCTTGAAGTATGTATGCTCTTTCGCGCCACGTGCCGTCTATACCAGCGGCAAAGCCTCTTCAGCTGCTGGTCTCACAGCAGCTGTGATCAAGGACGAGGAAACAGGCGAGTTCACCATCGAAGCCGGTGCACTCATGCTGGCAGACAACGGTATCTGTGCTATCGACGAGTTTGACAAGATGGACATCGCAGATCAGGTTGCCATTCACGAAGCTATGGAACAGCAGACCATTTCCATTGCCAAAGCAGGCATCCAAGCTACTCTAAACGCCCGGACAAGTATCCTGGCCGCAGCAAACCCCGTCGGCGGTCGATATAACCGCAAGACTACGCTGCGAGCAAACATCAACATGTCCGCACCAATTATGTCGCGTTTTGATCTCTTCTTCGTCGTCTTAGACGAATGCAATGAAGCCGTCGACCGCCATCTTGCCGAACACATCGTCGGCATCCACCAATTGCGTGACAGCGCTGTTGAGCCTGAATTCAGCACTGAATGTTTGCAGCGATATATCCGATTTGCGCGAACATTTCGACCTGAATTCACCCCCGAGGCCAAAGAACGCCTTGTCGTGCGGTACAAGGAGCTGCGATCCGATGACGCGCAGGGTGGTGTCGGACGCAATAGTTACCGTATCACAGTGCGACAGCTCGAAAGTTTGATCAGACTGAGCGAGGCCATCGCCAAGGCCAACTGTGTGGAAGAGATTTCAGAGGATTTTGTTGATGAGGCATTCAGTCTACTTAGACAAAGTATTATCAGTGTAGAACACGATGACGTCGAGATGGACGACGAGGAAGACACATCTGAAGACTCTGCTGATCTCATCGCTGCTGCAGACGCGGCCTCTGGCCAGCCTCAAGAGGAGGATGAGGAAGAGGACTCACCCATGGCCGAGAACGCAGACGGCGAAGCACCTCAGCCAGAGAAGAAGAAGACAGCCATCACGTACGACAAGTACATCCAGATGGTGAACTTGATTGTCTCACGAGTCAACGATGACGAATCCGCTGGCGCGGGCGAAGGTGTTGAGGCTGAGGAGCTGACTCAGTGGTACCTCGAGCAGAAGGAGGAAGAGCTCGAGGATGAAGTGGCGTATAATGAGGAGATGAATGTCACGAAGATGGTATTGAAGAAGATGGTCAAGGTATGTTTTCTAACACTTTTTTTCACAGCGGTGATCAATTGCTAATGAAAAATCATAGGACAACATCCTGATGACTGTCCGTGGCGATGGTCTCGCTGCTGATGACGACGGCAACGCTGCGCAAGGTTCAGCTGCGCAGAAGGTCGTCTATGTGCTGCATCCGAACTGTGCAATTGAAGAAGTTTAGTTTGCGTAGATAATGTGTGGATACCATTGTAGTCCGAGGGTCCGGTCTAGAGTATTGGAATGGAGATATGAGAAGATGTATTTGAGGCATCCCTCCGATATGAATAGGGGCGCCTGGAGTTTTGCCCACTTGCGATGGATGGATGATAAGGGTGATGTGGTTATTTAGAATATGAACGACTGTAGGTATGAATCAGTACCACTTTGAAGACTGCACATGCGCAGAAATTGCCCTGCCTTTGAAAGCTCTTTCGCTGGTTGTGCATGAACCCAATGCATCATCTTCTGTGGTCAGTCCGCATTCCGTCCGGGAAAGGCGCCTTCACAAACAGGATAGCTGTACTCGCATCTACCCCCGGTCTAGGAAACTCTCCCTGCATTTCAAATAGCACGCATAACCGTGATGCGAGTTCCCCATATCAGTCTCATTCTATCGGTGGAAATATATGGCATTGTCCTTCCTATTGTTAGTCAAGTGGAGCTCAAGACGTGGGAATCATAGTAGAGGAAGGGGTTGTAAGTGAGCAGCAAGCCTGACTCTCCCTTCTTCGATAGTCCCGGTACAGGAAAAACTTACAGATGACAAGAATGCATGTCCCATCTACAGCTTCTGACTTCCGTATAAACAACCTGGACGCTCTTTTCAGTATCCAGCATCTACAACCTTCAAATATCGTTCAAGCGCTTTCGTTAACTTGATCAGCGCGCATATTTACTCGTTTATCGACAGAGACACCGACTATTTCGATCCTGCCATATCCCGTCGTACGCAATGGCTCCCCACCGACGTCGCGTCAATCTGCACATACTTAGCAAGTCGAGTACCGCGAAACGCACAAGACCTACCAAATCCTCAACTCATGGTTTGGGTACGGCCTACTTCTCCTGGAACATATGTACATGATGTGGAGGACAAAGGGGCTTGCCAAATGGGAATTTGACAAGATGGAGCGCAACGCAAAGGCAGGTGAACTCCACTAGGTTTCCACTTTCTGTCCACCCCCAAAGAGCTCAAAAGCAAACGCATCGCCTCCTCTTACGTCATTAGCACCTCTTTGAACCCGACCAGGAGCGCCTGGAATCAAACGAGGCTCGGGTTGCCCCCAGACAATGGGGCAAAAACGACGTCGGTCGAAGTGAGATGTTATCCTTCGGAAAAGAGAGCCTGTCCTTTCGAAAGTTCATGAATGTCACGAGCGTCATGGATGTCCTGTCTGGGTTGGATTGGGAGATAATCAAGATGCGGGCCAATTCGCAGCCGACTGAGGCCAGGCTTGAGAAATCCGGGCCCCCTGATGAGTATACTGTTTAATCACATAATGCGTTAAGGATAGAGTATTTAGGGCTTTTGGCCAATTGCCATGGATGTGATACTGATAGAGATTCTCTAAGACGTAACCTAGCAGCATACTAACGCATGGAGAAACGAACAATATAGAGCTCACCATGAAGCACCTGGTAGTCTCTCGGGCTTGTAAGCCGTAAAATATCAGCTTTATAGCACTCACACGCAGCACCAGCTCTGTGGAATAAGAGGCATCAGCGCCCAATTGCTTGGACCTAGGACTAGTTACAACTTGTAATAACCATGAGATCCAAGTAGCCTTCCACGTCCCATCTGCCTCCCAACCATGATTCATGCTGGAAGGCTGGAGGGGACGCGCTCGAAGTGACCTTCCTTGATGTTGATCTCCCTTCGACGTTGTATTTGGGCGAGCCCATCTGCGTGTGTGGCATACTTCAAAATAGGAGTCACCGATGGTTTTATGGATCTATTAAAAGTCCTCTTGAGCATCGATGATCTTAAGAAAGTCACTATAACTCTCGTGGAAGAGTACTGCTGCATGAACTGTACTGCAATGCTTACCCAGGTAAGAACAAGAGGTTCAGCTAATCTTGGTACATTGAATCTGAGGCTTGAACAGTTGCCCCATCTAAGTGCAATTCTTAAAGCCGATTATCTCCTTTTGGTAGGGGAGGGTTCGATGCCATCAACATAGGAATAAGAAAGCGAGATAGCTCTTAACTTGACCTTAAAATCAGCTGAGTATTTTACAGGGTCCATAATCCCATTGGAAGATCCATGCCATGTAGGTCTGGTCGTGTCCGGTCATACCATAGAAAAGATATTGGAAAGCACGTTCGTCATTCCATCATCTCTTGGTGGAACAGGTGGGCATCACTGCTTATACCAAGTTACCACGCTGAAAATACACTGTAATAAACCTGAATAATCTGTTATTCTATTGTCATTCTGGGTTGAATAATCAAGGCGTGATTTGCCCGTGAATCCCAGGCGAACATTCGAGGTTCAGCCTGATGACCCATTTTTATCGGTGTTGATTTATGCAGATCTTCTAACGCAAGGCTGGGTTCCTGCCTTCTCGAATAAATCAACTCCACTTTTCTACGCTTGACCCGATTTGGACACCAAGACCTGTACCTTCCAGCTCGGACAGCAGTCATCAAAGCGACATTCAATCTTTTGCCAGCCGCAGCAAAGGAGAGAAGACATCCCCATCTCCCCGTCTTCATAGTGATTACATCCGGCATATCCTCACCAACACTCTCCTCAGGCCGTTGCGTCTTCAATCAACACACCTCTGACGAATTTCGACCCGTGGATGATGGCTCCTGAGGCCACAGCTGACAAGCCGGTCGATGCCTCTGTAACTGAACCCGTGCTGGTGAGTCTTTGAACCCCAGTCCATTTGCTGGCCTCGCATCTTTCGCATCGTCGCAAGATCATTTCGCTGACTCATTTTGCCCTCAATGCAGACTCAGGCTACCGAACCCGACTCCCAGAATGTCGACGAAATCCAGAACAAGCAAATCGCCGAGATTGTTGACGAGCTCGTAAATTCGGCAGAAACCAGCGTGAGTGGGGGCTCAGATACCGAAGCATCCAAGGTGAAGTCTAGCGATAAGAAAGGCCATGGACGCACTTCGTCTACCATCAAGAAGCCGCAGAGCTTCAAATCGGTCTCCGTCAACCGGAGCTTCCTGGCGTCCAAGGGCGCCGTGAATCCCACGTCGCGACCCGAGTCTACCGGATCGGCTACGTCGACTACCACCCCCACACCCGTGGCATCCTCCGGCTCCAAATTGAAGCTGGTCGCAAAGTCGAATACCAGCTTGGGCGGCTCTACTAAGACACTGGCGTCTAATGGAAAGACCACTTCGGCTCCCGACCCGAATACTGTTTGGAACAAGAACCGACGTAAGCAATCCCGGTGCTCCTGATTGCGTCTGCACTTTCTCGGTGTTTGCGCCGACTCTAACTACCCTTTCTTTAGCCGTGCCTCAACCGGAGCCGAAGAAACTGTCTGACGAGGAACTTATGAGCAAGTATGGCATCCACATGGCTGATCGACTACGTCCCGAGGACGATCGCGGCCAATCGAACTGGGCCGACATTGACGATGACGAGGAATGGGCACCGGATACCATAACCTGGACCGATGGAACCAAGATCACGTTGCCGCAGGTTGAGGAGAATCCCCCCACGCCTTCAGCAGCGCCTGCGGTCCTCGCGAAGGATAGCCAGACCGAAAAGCCAAAGTCACCGGCACCGAGCGCCTCTCCCAATGCGAGAGCATCGCCATCTGTCAAGCCTGGTGTTCTGACATCTGGAAAGGGCCTCGTACTCAAAGGCGCACCCGAGAAGCCGACTCTTGTTGCTAAGATCCCCGCGCTTTCTACTCCGGTGAAATCGCCTTGGGCCAGTGTAGGTCCTATCGAGAGGGCACCCATTCCTGTGGATGTACCGAATCAACACCAGCAGCAGGCCGGGCACCGCGGTTATCCTCCTCGTGATGCGCCAATGGTCAAGAGCATGACACCGCCTCCGGCTAAAGAGATTGCGGCGGACGACTTCAGCCGTTCTTCGTGGAGAGAGGGCCAGGCAGGCGGCAACCGAGAGCTGTTTAACTCCCAGTCTGGCAGATATGAACCTGTCAATGACCGCAGAGGGTCGCGACATGATCCGCGAGGCCACCCAGCTTTGCTCCAACGTCCTCACCCACATGATCAAGGAGGTGCGGCTGAGCCTTCAGCAGCCTTTCAGACAAGCCGCACGAGTGGGCAGGATCCTTTAACGTACGGTCGACGTCGTGGTTCTTCTAATGTGAGTGGTGGTAGTGGCAGTCTTGCTGGACGTCTAGGGAAACCTCAAGAAATTGCTGCTCCTGAACTACACCAGACAGGAGGTGCAGGTAGTCCAGTGTCTGGATCATTCTCGCCGGCTGTCACACATCCCACCCCTCGTACACATGCTGCTCAGCCGTGGCAGCCGCGACGGTCTCCTGGCCAAGTTCACTCCGTACCGGCTTACAGCGCGCCCGAGATGACGCCTGTATCTCAACCCTCCGTTGAAGAAGAACTCGAACTGCAGAAAAAGTTGATGCGCGAACGTCGAGAGTTGGCCATAAAGCGCAGAATGGAGGAGGAAGCCCGCGAGGAAGCCGCACGAAAGGAGCGCATTCGCCTCAAGCTTGAGGCCATGGGCCCACCGCCAGAGCGGAAGAGCAATAAGAAGGACGAGGCCAACGCCCCTACTCAAATACAACAGCGTGACACCATTCCGGCAGCCCTGATGTCCAAGGCTGAACTTGCCGAGAGACAGGTAACGCTTGCAGAGGCTAAGCAATCTGTTGTGAAGTCTGATTCTGATAGCAAGCTGGAATCACAGGTCAATGGTGCAGCTATCAATTCAGCAGACAAGCACCAAGCCGACCCGTCTCTCCCAGCATCAGCACCAGGGTCGCAGACTACAGCCACATGGCCCGAAAAGCACCAGCCTTCTGAACGTTTAGCCTCATGGAGCAGTAGCATACAGACAACTTCTAGAAACGTTTGGGCCGCACCCGGAAACGATCGTTCACTCGGCAATGGGACCTTCAACGCTGACCTCGGCAACCTGGCCGACTCGCAACCTGCTGAACCCTCCACCATGGTTTCCCGCCCAGCGCCAATTGCGCCTCCGCGTGCAACGTCACAGAATCAGCAGCGCCCAGATACTGGCCCTGGTCGCATAGCTCCCATAGCTCCACCTAGCCGCAGTCAAGTCCCAGGTGCTCAACGACCGGCATCGCGAAACCCTTGGGTGAATGCAGATATTGCTGCTGACGATCGCGTCATCAGACTCGAGAGCCAGAAGCGTATGGAAGAGCAAATGAAAGGCCTGGCTGGCCAGGGTGCGACTTTGGACGACGCTCAGGCTTCAGTGAGAGACACTTGGCGGTCGGTTAATATTAACGACGACGGCAAGCGCACAAAGGTTGCAACTACAACGTCTGTCCACGGCGAACCGAAAGGCGCACCCAATGCTTCGTGGAATACATCTACGGCCTCCAACGCGCCTCACAGAGTTGATCGACATGAAGCTATGGCACCCCCTATCTCTCAAGACTACCGCCAGCAACCTGGTCCCAACGGCATGCGCCATGACTATGGGAGACGACCGCCCATGCCCCCTGCAGGAGATGCTACGTCGGGACATATGCCCCAGTCTCGGGCTGGCTCTCGTTTCTTCCCTCAACCTGGCCCAAGGGATATTCGCTCGGACGAGACATCAGTTCAGTCAAGATCCAAATCGCCTACGCCACCTCCACCTACAATGGACGACCACCCAGCATACGACGGTGATGCCGCCCGTCCCCATGTATCACTCCCTCCCACGCGACCCGTCGTGAAACTGCCACCTGCTGCGGTGAGACTGCCGTCTGCTTCTGCAGCTGCAGCGCCTGCACCAATTGCACCCCCTCGGCGACCAGCCTCGTTTGCCGCCGCCGTCGCAGCAGGTCCTCCCAGATCAGCTTCTCAATCTACAACAGGCCGTCCGCCTAGCCATGGTTCACTTCACCAGAGACCGCATGAAATCACGACGCAGGAAAGTTGGCAAGAGAAGATTAACAGTCTTATGGGCCGAACCCGAGTATCTCCTGCTAAGCCCATGTCCGTCGATTCAGCCAGCAAGTCTGCATTCGACTACGCTCATTCCTACGTGTCAGCGACTGTTTCGTTGCCTAGTCTGTCCTCGGCGAGTTCAACCAGTAGCGACTATAGCTCGTTCACTAGCAGAGAAATGGCCGAGGAGTGCTTTGGCGAACAAGAGATGGGTTCTCTGCCGCAGGTCCGTCTGCCAAACGATGCACCGGACGCCTTGTGGCATGCCGTCGAACCTAACTGGGGCCCACTCGTCTCACGACTACGGGTTGATGCCACAGCATCTGAGACGCATCGATTTCCCTATGAGTCGGTGAACAATAAGTCTGTGATCCGCATCTCCGTACCGGGCATGGGTGATTCGAAAACAGTACCGGCACCTTTCCCTCCTCGAGTGAAGAGCAACTCTTCCCGACGGCAACCGTCTCGAGGCGCGCGACATGTTTCTAGAGGTGGCCAGCGTGGTGGAAGAGAGTCTTCCAACTTTTCTGGAGATCATAGCCTCGCTCCCTCTTCCGAACGCCCTGAGCGTTCCGACAGGCTCTCGTCTACCAGGGGGCGTGGCAGCTTCCGCGGCCGTTCCGAAAACTGGAGTAGACACAACTCTACTGCTCAGACAGCCCAGACATAAGCGACATGCATCTGTCAAACTATGCGATTCAATGTGCAGCTTTGTGCCCAACCCAGGTCGACACCTCCTTGTTTGCCACAGATGCCAAATCTCCGACCCCACCTCTGTATACACAATCTGACTTGTAACATGACGTTGCATGTTCACCCACTTACCACACCTTTTTACTGTGATGGTGGGTATTGGCCCATGCATAGGGCCCTTTCCCACGATGACAGCATTTGTACAATTAGCAACAGCGACGAGATTCGATGACTGGCAGTGTCTCAGTGGCTGGTATGACTTTTGATCGTATTGCCAGCTCCGTCTTTTACGATCTGAAGGAACGAGTTGATCTTTGACTTGAGAAAAGAGATCGAGAATTCAAAGGGCAATACGATATGAATATCGGGGAGGCAGGGACAAAAACAGCGACTGTCGCAGTTGGTGATGAATGGCCCTGATACCTACTTGAGCTTGGCCATGATCAATAAAGAACAATATTCATAATGCGATAGGCTCTGTAATGTAACGTCTCGTGAGATGTGACTGACTTGAGCATTGGCTAAAGAAGTAAGCTATCCGATGTTTCAGATACGTAGGTCCTCAGATGAAATAACAACTGAGACAATGCAGATTTGAGAGTTATTCGCTTTTACCAACATCGGCGGCACCTTCAGCAACAGAAAGACAAGTGAGATACGGTAATGGTGAACAAGTCACTTGGCGGGCATAGGAGCCGGAAGGCAAAGGAATTCCCAGAACGAGGACCTCTCATTAATCGCCTCCCGCAGCGGTTCACTTCGTTGCGTCAACTAACTACCAAGGTTATGCAGAGGCAAGAGCCTTCTTCATTTGCCAAGGATGAGTGAAAAATCAAGACATGTGTCGTTAGAAAACTGCCGATCGGCATAAGTATCAATCAGTACATGAAGCCCAGGGTAAGAGGAAAGAACCGCACGACAACTGACCAGCAAAGTCTTGAAGGTCGTGGTTTGCACCGGAGTTGTAGCGCAGTCTGCTGTACTACCTGATCTTGTTCGCAGTAGAGACCCTGGTGCAAGACAAAAGTTTGAATACGAAGTCAAAGCTCCAACGTTGCCGGCGAGATAACATGTAGTAATACAAACCTTCTGCCTTGTGCCTCGTGTCAAATGTGTTTGGCTTCAGGATATCAGCGTGGACCCACCTACATCATGAAGTCGAAGGCTGTCATTATCAACAGTGACCGAGATGAGCAGCAATAGGTCCTTGGTCAAGTCACTGTCTGCGACGAAAGACTTCCATGGCCGGGTAGGATTCGAGTTTGGGGCGGACAACGCACGCCCTGTCCTCCATTGATCGCGCCGATTATCTTGATACAACCGACATTGCCTGCAGCTTCGCGAAGGTGTTGGCCCGGGTTTCATGCGTCAACCTTTTCAATTTAGGCCTCTCTATATGTATTTCATCGCAGAATCCAAAGACGGCACTGGCCACCACTGATGTAACTTCGAATTGGGACCTCGCAGGCCACTTGAAGAATCCATACTTACTTTGATTCAATCATAGGTACCCTCTTCTCCTCATTTTGATTGTCGTTAACTGGTGCTTCTCACAGACAGAATACATAATAGTACTGTAATACTACAAGTTGTCAGGGCTGGTCAGGGCTAGCCAGGGGTATCCTCTGATAAAAGGCTGACCCGCATGTGCGTGCTGCCATTTCTATTGCTCTGCTGTTAGCACTTCAACTCGAACATCTTGATATCATGAGCATGTGGCTCAGCGACTTCAGAGTGCTGGAATTACCGTGATTGAATGGGATGGACAGGATTCAAGACTTTGGGCATCGTGGATATAGACTTCGAAGTACGGCGTCGCGGATATTGACAACATTGATATAAGCCGCGAACAAAAGTATCTTCGCTTGTCTCTGATGATTGGCTGCTCGACTAATTGTAACACTGGAATAATTCCTTATCCCAAGCAAGGTCCAAAGCTTGCCCCTTCTCTAAGTCATGTACACATCCTAATTACCTTGCGCTTCCCACATAAATGATCAATCTAGTGGGCGTTGTTCTTGTGGTGGCCTACACATTATCAGTATATCGTTGTCCAGAACTATAGGACGGATTGATTGACTCACGCAAGTGGAAGTAGTAGGTCATGGGATACCCAATGACGAGAATGAGGCCGATGGCGTGGATGATGGCTATAATGGGCATGGGTTAGTTATAAAAACCCATGAGAACTTGGGTATGGATCAGCCGCAGAATAACGTACGCTTGGCGGAGGCGTTCTCGCCAGCAAAATGCTTGGCCTGGTATCGGCCGAGGAGACCCTTGGCCTCGACCTTGGGAGCCGGGCCGCGGGGGAGTTTCTCGTAGAAGCTGACGACACGCTTCATGCGTAGGGCATCGGGGGCAGCGCCAATGGCCTGTTTGAAGTCCGTCAGCATTCTATCATTCTATCATTCCTTTCTCCAGCATCATGGTTGTTCAGTCATCTTAGTCCTGGTCTTCCATCTCCAAGCATCATCGGCGCGAGCAAGCGGGCGGTTCTTGTGGAGAGGGGAGAGTGTACGTACATTTGGAGAAGCGACCTATATATCCAAGAGTCAGTGAATATCTTCAATAACAGGTCTTAGAAGGTCCAAGACGCACCTTAGGAGGGATGAGGGTCGACAGCGCCCGTCGAGTAACGAAGCTCATTTTGGTAGATGTCCGGTGGTCGGGCTATGAACGAAAGAAGGGAGAGTCGTAGCCGCAGTGATCAATTGGCCGTGTTTCCGGACAGTTGAGGGTCTGAGGGGTTGTTCGTTGTAATGGGGGACGGGCGGGTTCGGTAATTTCGAAGCTTGACATTTGAGGGTCGCAGTCATCAATCCCCAAATCACGAAAAGACCTCGCCGGTTTCCCGAACCTGCTTAGCGCGGACTCCGATTGCCAGCAGCCAATCAAGTAATGTACTCAGCCACAAAGAGGATACTCGCCACAGTCGAAGCTTGAACCTCCAATTGACGCTGCTGGAATTCAACTTTACGCAGCACTGAGTGGTTTTAACGCTTGGAGCGAGGTCATACACGAAGAATCGACGTCAATTGCAGCACGCATTCGACGCCGAACAACTACTTACCATGGCGTCCCTACGAACCCAGACCACAGCTAAGCTGCTCCGCTCCGCAACATCAATATCGAGGCCCGCGTACGCAGCGGTACAGCGACGATTTAAAACCGACGATGCCAAAGCCCTGACCGAGACGACGCCAGCGGGTGCGGGTATTACTCCTGCCGCAAGGCCTGCCAACTCGCCCGATTATGGTGTGCACATCGACAAGGCGACATCGTATGTCTTACCTTGGAGGACCTGTATGAACTCAGGATGATACTGACGAAGGACTGCAGGACCTTCACACCTGTCCCAAAGCGAGTAATGGACGGCAGCGAGGAAGGCGAGGTCCTACCCGCCGCGGTGCTCTCCGGTGCGCCTATGGAGCTGCAAGCTCGCACCGTCCGGTATATAGCCTCAATTCCCAACCCGAATCCCACGCAAATATGTGCTGACATGCGTTAGCATCTTCCAACCGAGCAAACCAGCAACTCAGTCCGGAAACTGGGGTGCGCACCACTGGCGTATGGATTGGGACGTGCTTCCTAAGGGTCACCGATGGGAGAACCCGCTGATGGGCTGGCAATCCTCGGGTGATATCATGCAAGGCACACATCTCAACTTCAAGAGCAAGGAGGACGCCATTGCCTTCGCCGAGAAGCAGGGCTACGAGTACTTCGTTCAGCAACCCAACAAACGATCGTTTACGCCCAAGGCCTACGCCAACAACTTCTTGTACACCCCGGGGAAGCTAAAGCACGTCCGCACAAAGTAAACTAGAGAGTCGAAATAGTCAGGTGCAGTGGCTCAAGTCAATCAAGTCTTTAAAGCGGCACGAGCCATTAGGGGTTGGTCAATTGTATATATGTTAAAAACATGACACCAATGGTCTTCTTTGCGAGCACACCTCTAGTTAATTGTGTTTTTGGCCCGTGCCAGAGCTGTCCAGAAGCAAGTGCTGGTACAATGCCGTGCTGTTTCCGAAGCTAACGCCATGACCTATCCTATATGGGGCTTTGTCATTGCTGCGAGCGCCGTCGTCATGCCCCATGCCCCATCGTTTCAATACGCCCACGTCCTGGCGAAAGAATATAACGCCAATAATTGCCTCGTACTGGTGCCGTAGCCCTGAGTCCCCTAAACGCCTCGCAGAAAAAGCAGCTGAAATCAAATCATGCCGGACGCAAAGCAGGCATTTCTTCGTCGTCCTCGTCGTCGCGATCCTCGTCAATGGGTTCATCCGTGGTTGTTTCTAGATTAGAGTTGATGCCATGACCAACAGTCTCCCATCTCCTTCGTAGCTTTGTTAATTCTAAGTGCAGATATTGCAACTTAAGCTCCGAACAAATCCATGGGAAGACCCTATGTCACTATCATGGGTTCGTGCCCATTCTCTTGGAGCCCGTCCTTGTCAGACTCGTCGCCATTGAGACCCAGCTCAATTCTGGCAGGCAAGTCCTTCTTGGTCTCCTTGCGAACGGCTTCTTCGCCCCACGCCCGCATCTGGACGAGATGCCGGATCGCAGCATCCCTACGTTGTTGCTGACGTTGCAGGATGGCTTTATTCACCTTATCTGCGACGTCTCTCCGCAGATCAGGCTTCAAAAGTTCCGCAACTGGGGGGTCAACCGTATCGCGAAAAACGAGGAGGGTCATGGTCTTCTCGAGGTCTTCAAGGAATTGACTATTGGTGGGAGCACGCGGGCCGAGCTGTTCCGTAGCGAAGTCCAAAGCAGGAGTGATATCCCCTCCCGGACTCGACGTACACTGCCGGATCAGCTCCACAAGTTGAAGCCGAAGCAGAGCAAAGTGCAGAGGGGCATCCGTATCCAGGATCTTGACTTGTAGTCAGCACAGTGAAGGCAACATCGGGGCAGTAATGAAGTAAGGGTGCAAATAATGCTCATGCAAAAGTGGTTGTGTCTCATCACTAATCCGAAGACTATAAGAGTGGTGCATGTAAAACTTGGTTTCTAATCATAGCAGGTGGATTGAGGTGGGAAGCAGCCAAAGTCTTGTTACATACCTCAGGGTCCATGTCATTCAGGGCATTTATCGCAACTTGGATGTCTCCCTTGTGTATTGAGTTCTGGATCTGCTGTCTAGCGACGATAGAGGCGTCATCTTGTTGAGGCTGGAGGTTGGCCTCGGCAGAGAAGCGGGCAGCCGCATTGGGATAGCCAGCCATAGTGAGGTAGTCGAGGATCAAGGCGTTGATGTCGCTGCGACACATGTCAGTTTGTTGAACGAGGCAATGATATATAGACAACGTAGAGGGACGTGAATCAGAAAGTAATTAAAATCGTTTCTCCGCATGCGTTTTGCTCAGAGAGATTCCCATTGATTATTTGTTGCATCATGTAGTATAGGTCCGTCTCATGGACCGATGGAAAAGTTTTCCGACAAGAAATTGGAAGTGGGTGCTTACCTCTTGGGAGACTTGACCTCATCAACTTGCCGCATGAAGGCGTGCTTCATGGGCGTGGCGGTGGACGTCGACGAAGTCTGGACAGGAACATCGTCAGCCTCGGTGGGATATGCAAGCCAGACAAGTTTGCTCGACATACCATTTTAGGGTGCAGCAAAGCTTCCGACAGATCCCTCGCTCGTCGCAGCTGTGCCTCGAACTCGCGCACAGTTGACGAGGACATGCATTTGTTAGTCTCCTAGCAACGAAGATAGGTAGAAGGAAGGAAGGTAGAGAATACTAAGCTGGACGGGACGGGACGAGAGGTGATGAAGTCCGTCGTCCCCCGAGGCTGAAAAAAACAAGATGAGAAGGGAAGGATTGATGAGAGGTTGCGGCGGGCGTGAACAATGAAAGGCGAGGAAACTTGCTTGTGGCGGCTAGCTGCTGGTAGTGGGGCTCTGGGTGGCCATAGCTTTCGAAGTTTCTATGGGCCGACAGGGTCGACGGACATCTACAATTGCTAACTCCCTGTCAGTGCTACTCTTTTTGTCCAATTGAGAGCACGCGTCTTGAAGTCTAGTGAGCTTCTCATCTTCTTCGATCGGTGATGAATATATATATCGATATTTTCTTCCGGTGAACAATTTGTCAAGTCTCCAAGTATCACCTTGATCTTCATTTCGGTTTCCCTGCTCCGATCTCCAGTCCCAATTCTGGAGAAAAGCGTCTCGTGGATCTGGAACAACGAGCAGTCACGCGACTTCCTCCATCGTGACATTCCTGTACTTATAACTGGTAACTACTTTGCCTTTTATTGGCTACGCCAGTTTGTTCGATCGAGCTCCCAAGATGAACATCGGTATTGGAACGCCGCCAGTGGTAGCAGATCACCGACAGCAGAGAGATTCGGTCGCCAAAAGAGCCCATTATAGCCCACCATGGGCAGATTTGAGCATCATTGGCGTTGCTGGCAGTTCGGGTTCTGGGAAATCGACCCTTTCCCATGCCATTGTGAGCAACTTGAACCTCCCTTGGGTCGTCATTTTGTCCATGGTAAGCAGTCCGCTGTCACCTACCACTACGGTTTCGCTTACACAGTGAAGGACTCGTTCTATAAACCTCTTGACGCGGCGTCTTCCAAGTTGGCATTCAAAAACGAGTATGATTTTGACTCACCTGAGGTAGGTTTGGCTCTTTCAAGTCGGTCGACCCAACCTAGCTGCTAACGGGTATGGTGCTAGGCAATCGACTTCGATGAGTTGTTGCATTGCTTGAGCGAGCTTAAGGCCGGGTAGGTTCCATTCACTCTCTGATGAGTTTCTTCCACATTTGTGGCAGATCTGTGGGAGATATCATACTCATAGATCGTAGAAAACGCGCCCAAATCCCAGTTTATTCCTTCGAAAAGCATCAGCGTTTAGAGAAGACTACGACGGTATACTCCCCTCACGTTCTCATCCTTGAAGGCATATTTGCTCTTCATGATGAGAGGATACAGGGTTTGTTGGACATGAAGGCATGTAGTAGATGCACGCCTGACCGTTTGCGTGAACCAAGTATTGACCTGCATCCAGATATACTGTGAAGCCGACGCCGACACATGTCTCTCAAGAAGAAGTAAGGAGCCAGACTTGCCCTGGCTTAACTGGCCTTATTGACTTGGCCAACTTCAGTTTTACGAGATGTCCGAGATCGAGGTCGAGATGTTGAGGGCTGCATCAAGCAGTGGTTCGGTTTCGTCAAGCCAAACTTTGAGAAAGTTCGTTCGGCCCTGCATATTTTGAGTTGGTCATGTTGCTAACCACTAGAATCAGTATGTCCAACCGCAGAGAGGTGTTGCGGGTAAGTTCTCTGCAACATGAAAACCGCCGTTGAAGCCAATGAGGCCGCTATTGGCGTCATTGTACAGCACAATGTTTGGTCTCTAATGCGACTGGTAGACATAATCGTACCACGAGGCGTGGAAAATAGGGTGGCCATGAGTATGTCCGTCGTTACCTAACCCCATAGGCTTATTGCTAATGAACCTAGGTATGGTAACACAGTACATCGAGAGAAAACTTCTCGAGAAGTCTACGCACCATCGAGCAGCACTGAAGAGCCTCGAGAGTGGCTTCGAAAGTGAACCCTTGTCCGAAAGAGTCATTGTTCTCCAACAGACCACACAACTCCGAGGCATGGGCACTATCATTCAAGACATTGACACGACCAGTGAAGACTTTATTTTCTACTTTGACCGGTTGTCGTGCTTGATCATCGAACAGTCAGTGCAACCATTCCCATCAGTGTTTCTCATCAACACTTAAAGCTCACGCTCTATTCCCACATGGCCTCATGCTAACCCATCCTAGAGCTCTCAACAACGTCCATTTCAAGGAACAGGTCATTCAGACACCGCAAGGCTACAGATATCAAGGCTTGACCGCTAAGGGCGAAGTCAGCGCCGTCATCGTCCTTCGTGGTGGTGCAACGTTTGAGACGGGTTTGCATCGTGTCATTCCCGATTGCAGGACAGGTCGTCTACTAATTCAGTCCAATGTTCGGACCGGTGAGCCAGAGCTGCATTATCTGAAGCTTCCGAAAGATATCAGCAAACATGAGAGCGTCCTTCTCCTCGATGCGCAGATGCCGAGCGGAGGTTCGGCACTCATGGCCGTGCAGGTTCTGGTTGACCACGGTGTACCACAGGATAAGATCGTCTTTGCGACATATTCCGCAGGACGTGTAGGTGTACACAGGTTGACTAAAGTCTTCCCCGAAATCACCGTCGTCGTAGGCAATATGGTAGCCGACTTCGAGGAGAGATGGGTGGAGAAGAGGTATTTCAGGTGCTAAGTTCATGTTGGCCCCACATATATGACTCGGTAGTGTAGGGCAAAAACGATAAACCATCACCACAACTACTCGTTCCAAACCACAATTGCCCACACGGGTCCTCTCGATAAGAATTTTGCCCCGTCCGGAACGGAGGTCTCATACTAAGTTGTTAGCTCCACAATATGAGATAACATAGCCGAGAACAAGACGTATCTTCCCATCAACAAATTCCTGGGGGATGTGGTCTGTATGTAATATGGACACAAATTCGTTATCAACCATTATTCTAACCTGTCTATAGAGTGGTATGACGTTTCCTTAGCATGCTTCAAGCATGGAAAAGGTTCTGGGTTCGATTCCCAGCCTCTCCACGATAGTATACCGTACTAAGTAAACATTTTTTTGCCTCTTCCCCTTTGATTCGCATGGGAGGTTTTTTTTGGCTTGCAAAATTGAAATTTGGAGCAAGCACATTTCCGGTTCTTTCGATTCTCCCCCTTCCACCCCCACCAAAGCTATCGCCATTCCAATTTAACCACCTGTGCTTCATGTCTTCCAACCTTCCAGATATTCCCAACAGTCTCACTTCCTCCAGCCACAGCTGAGGCAGAACTGGAAAAAAGAAAGAACATGCGGGTACATTGTATCGTGACCGATACCTGATTTGAACAGATAACCTTTCGATCTGGAGTCGAACGCGCTACCGTTGCGCCAACCGGCCGCTTTTGCTTGATGAAAATCGTGTTGTTATTACGTCCTCTGTATTGTGCGCAACTGCGATACCGCATCTCCGCACATCCAGTTCAGACAGGCGCAAGTGGGTCTTTTGCGTGATGTCCGTTCTTCGTGTAGTTTATGCAAAGTTTTGGCTCGGAGTTGGCTCGAATCTTATTCACTGCGAGTGCTGTGGTGCAGGCGTATGGCACGCTTCTGTTGGCATGTGGATCCTACTACAGACCTCGTCGAGATTCTCAAGTGGTGAGACATGTTGGGTGCACCGAGAAACCTCGCGACAGCTGTATATCCAACGAGCTACGCTTGAGAAAAAGAGACGATGCTTCTGTCACTAACACTACTCCGAAGTACTCAAGGGGTGCAAGATAATCGCAGAATTGCAGCATATGTGCCTCTCTCCTTGGACAGCGTTCTTCTTTTCCAGTGCGATCCATACGGAAGAAGTTGCACAAGAAGACTGTTTTATTCATTCATTCATACTCTAGTCTTTAGGATTGTTATTGTTGCCTCCGTGTCGGAGATCAGCCCTCTCTATCTACGCAGCCCGAGACTAGAGGATCCAATGCTACAGTCTACACGATCAGTATAGTAGTCAACATGCCGTGCGACAGATGTGGTCCCGTTCATCGCCCACAAGAATATAGTATTTTACGTACCTTGCATTGCACCGAGTCATCGATCCTCCAACTCATCCGTGACCTTGTCGTTGTAGCGCTGCAACCTCTTCGCCAGTCTCCCAAATCGACATGACATATTAGTCCAGTATCTTGGCGGTTCAAAATTGAGAGGCTGGCTACGGAATCCCAAGAGCGCCGCATGCCACTCGATAATATTTGCCCTTGTCCGATTAAACAACAGCCAGAAGATATCTCCATGCCCAGTCATCTGCGTCGCCCTGAGCCAGAAACCAATCATCGGCATAATGATCCCAGAACAGGTTCATAAAGGATGAATCATTTCATGGATAACGACGTTGAGCTATTGAGTTTTGAAGAGGCCCTTGCCTCTAAATAGTACGGTCATCGCCGTATTGAGCCGATAGACGGTTGATTCCAACTCAGATGCCTCTTGTATGTGGGGCTCCAGCCGTACTGCCAGGTGTATGAATCACGGGAGACGAACTCTAGGTGCATGAGAGGCACGTCGCCCTATTGATTAAAGTGCCTAAGAAGACGATATTTTCTAACAGCTCTATGAACTGTTAGATTTCGGGCTGGGTGAGGGTTTTTTGTATATACTTTAGTTAGAGAGCCACAAAGTTGGCGATGTAGTGGCTAGCATTGTTGGACTACTGGAAACACTCGACCAATTCGGCAAATGGAGAGGCTTCTATTTGGCGTCGTGTAGCGCGAGTGAAGTCTCCTGGCAGCTCAATGCATTGTGTTGAGGGGCATTTGCTGTATGCATCAAAAGACATGAGAGCGAGTTCGAGTTGTGATGATATAGTCTATGTATGGTGTTCAGAAATGAGAAGCTAGATAAAATTTGAGACTGGTTTAGGTGGATTGAAGCGAATGGTGATGTCAACTCAGACGAAGATAAATGAGACGAACCTTTCTCCGATTAACTACTTGAAGGAAACGATACACATATAAGGGAGAAGTAACAGCTATGGCCTACTCTTCGCTCTAACTTTGGAAACCAGGTCGGATTCTGGCATGTGCTAGTATGTATTTACCAACCAGCAGCATCATTTTACAACAGCTCCGCCTTGAACGTTTGTTGGATTTTAACTCAGGGAGAATTTCAATTCACCTCCGAGAGGTTAGTGTGTCATCTACCACAAGAACGATGATCACTGTTAGCCACACCCGGGACATAAATGGATTGTCAGCAAAGACACATTTTTGTATTATTATATGAGAAATTCGCAGGATTGACGTGATGCTAGTTCTGTCTATTGTACTGCCTTGCTACGGTGCAATATTATCGACTCCCTTATTCGTAAAGTACCATCTTCGCGCTTCTTTTAAGTTACTCGCGCATCGAGACAAAATTGGGAGCTCATTTGACCTCAAATCACCATATTTGTGCTTGCTTTTGCACATATCATCTATGGATCCCTCTTGTTGTTTTTCCCGTCAATTTGGAACTGCTAATAGGCATCCTACCCTTGGACCAGATAACCTTGTACTTAGGTGTGCTTCAAACATGTTCAGAATTACTTTCGAGCCGGCTCGGTGGTACAGTGACCGCACCATCACGGTTGGGGTCAGTTTCAACTTTCTTCTCCGTCAATGCTTCACGAGCGTTCACCGGCTCGGCATAAAAGGCTATGTCACCTTGCCCAAGTCTCTGACAGAACGGACTCCTGCCCCTGATGAAGTCTCTGTAGCGGATAAAGGCAAAAGGGATAACAGCCATGATGAGCGTCAAGAAACCAAGCAACGAGGTTGCCCAATGGACCCCTAGATTGCCATACATGGACGATGTGGCCAGTGGCAAGGTCACCGCAAAGATTGACCGCGTTGTGCTCGCTGCGGCTTGGGCCGATGCCGAGAATTGTTTATAGACATCGGTGAGGTAGTTGAGCATGGATAAGAAGATCAACAGATAACCGAAGCCGAACCAAAAACCGCCGACCATGGCGAGGATCGGGTTCAGGGACTTGTAGGATGTCCAGGCTATCCAGAACAAGCCGATGGTGATTCTGCAGACGAGCGGTTAATTGCAATCCGGGTCGAACGCAATGGAATTAATGCTCACAATGGGGCTCCAGCACACGCCAGAGGTAGGCGGCGATACTCTTCGATCTTGGCCCATGGTTCGCCGTTGGCCTCAGCTTTGGCGTGATAGGGGCTATACCAAAGAAAGCCACCGTAGGATGCAGTGGCTCCAAGGATAACTAATTTTAATAAGTCAGTCCAGTCATGAACACAGCTTTTACAGGGGGATAACTTACCAGCGATATATGCAAGACTTGACTCGCCGGTCGACATGCCGTATAAGTCTATTGTCACACTTAGTTATGTGGTCACTAAAAACGGGTTGATAGACTTACCTTGAAATATGATAGGATAAGCTTGGAAGAACAAGTACATCGTCCCGTAAATCAAGGCACAATACAACGAAGTCGATAAAACGATGGGCTCCTCGATGAGCATGGCAAATGGTCGACCGTAAATGTCCCGCAGTCTAGTCCGCGCAGGCCTTGGCGGCGAGTCTGCACCGTCATCATCATCGTCAACAGTCTTGGCTTTCTTCTGTCGCCTCTGTACGAGAACTGGCACGTAAGTCTCCGGCAGCATAATGACCATAGGCGCTCCCACCCCAGCGATGATGAAACCAGCCCAGAACGGCCAACGCCACGAAATCGGAGAGAGCCACCCGGACAACATTGGACCAGCTTGTGGACCTAGGGTCGTGATGTATAAAAACAGACCCATCGCCTGTCCCCGAATTGTTGTGTCGGCGTAAATGTCCGAATACACCCCGCTAATGATAGACATCGGAGCTGAAGCGTTGATTCCGGCGAGTAGCCGGAAAATGAGCAGGGCGGCGTATGATGGTGCTAGAGCGCAGGCCATGGTGAAGAAGGTGTAGGCGAGATATGTGCCCACAAGAACAGGACGACGACCTAAGTTCTCGCTCATGGGGCCGAAAATAAGGGGCCCTGCTGTGAAGCCGACCATGTAGACGGAGTTGAGAAGGACGAGCATATTGTGGCTCGTGATGTTGAAGTGCTCTCCTATGTATTTGGTTCCTCCGGATGGGAGGGAGGAACCTAACCCGCTGTTGACGGTGCAGATGATGCCTGCGAATACAATGAACAATTTTCGATACTGTCACATCATTATTATGTGCTATTCTCAAATCGCCCAGGAAACATGATCTAGTACGAACTTACCTTCGAGAAGTTGGTTGGGTTCCTCTGATCATCAGGGGCCATCCACTGAACCTGACTGGGAGGCGCCATCGTGGTGCCAAGGAGTATTTGACGTTTGCAGAGTCTTATTGAGCTCTCGCAGGTTTTCTGACATTAGAAAAAACTTCAATGGATAAAGAAGTGGCTTACACCGACTATCGGACGGTATCGGCACCAGATCCACAACTCGGTCCCACCGGAGCCCTGAAAGCGGACCACTTCCGTACCCGTGCCACACCCCACTTATTTCGGATTCGCTTGAGCTCACCAACTTGCAACGGATAAAACTCCACCAGATTGAAGATGATAGTTCTTCGTAGCACGCCGTTGTTTTGATATACGTTCGGCGTACTTTGTACGGCTAAGATCGCGCTTAGTCTGTATAAGCTCGGTCGCATTAACGAGGGACCCTTTAACAAAGCGACTAAGTCGATAGGCTAGATCTGGACTAATACCAAGCTCTGGATCAGTAAGACAGTTCGTAATCTTGCTAGCTACTTTATTAATTTGTCGAAAAGTAGTAGGTGTGCCTTCATATGACGAAGATGAAGGGGCTGGTGGTGGTGATGGCGTCTTTGGTATACGTTCTTCAATCTCTTGTAGTATTGGATGAGGGTAAAATGGATATATACCGGTTTTCTTGAAGGCTGACTGGATAGTACTCGCTTTGAAGGTCTTTTTGCGTACATTTTCGATAATTGAGAGGAACTCTAGCTTGGTTATATTGGTACATCCATCCCAAATGAAGGTCTTGCGCGTACCACTGAGCCGAGTGGATAGTCCCCGTGAGTATGAGGAAAGCTGGTATTACGTCGCCAGCAGCAGAGATAGCTTCAATAGCTGTCGCTGTCTCTCTATTTCCTGGTAGGCCGAAGTAATGGGCCCTCTTGCGCTTAGTGATGATAAGTTGATCCTTACCAACACCAATCCGGAAGCCAGTCTCGTCCGTATTCCAGAGATCAGAGGGATCGATTCCTTCTTCCCGGAGGGCTCTCTCAAGCCGTGTAAAATACTCTCGTATAGTGTCGAGGTTTTCAGCAGTCTGGCGGTTTGAATGGAGCTTCCGCTGGGAAGCGTGGAAGTAGCTATGGCGCTTGAGGAAACGTGTAGTCCAGTTTGATCCGACTGTTGGTAGTGGCTGATTTGGTAGAACCTTGACTCTCTCACGTAATGTCGTATTTGCAGCATCGGTAATGAATTATACGCGAACCACAAGATTGATCCTATCAAGGCGGTCGATGCAATTACAGAGGGCCTTTTCTTCGGCTTCAGATAGTAGTTTGTTGAGTCCTCCGTGGTTCTTAGTCTTCCCAGCTTGCTTGACGCGGTATCGGAGGGTCTCGCGTTTTACGCCGCTTTCTCGCGCAATCTTGGCAATTTTGGCTTGAGAATGCTCTTGCATATAGAGGACAGCTTCCTGTAGCTGTGAGTCCATTGCGATTGGAAAAAGCTAATGAATTGACGAAGATAGGATAGGTTGAAGTTGAAAGTGTCGAAAAACTGGCCAAGTTGGTGGTGAGCACCAACTTAGGTTGGTGAGCTCAAGCGAATCCGAAATAAGTGGGGTGTGGCACGGGTAGCTACCATAGGCAGCCGGCTTGGCTGGAGTTGTACTAAAGCATGCACCGAAGATAAGAGAATAGATTTCGGGGGAAACAGGCACGGATACTGTGCCTTTACCTAACTGTTATTTAAAACTCTATGGGACTGGTCTCATCAAGCTAAACCCAAAGGCCATGAACCTTATATAGTCATAAGGGTGGAGATCATACACGTAACTCTTGAGCTGATAGAGGCATGGAATACCACAACAGATCCTCGACCGTATTAGCTTGAAATAATACACTACGTTGTCTCAGAAACCTTGTCATTAGTGAGTGCAGTTGGAACCCGCTGTTATTTTATCATTTCGACGCGACTTCTTTATCCAGAGAGCTAATTAAGACCTGTTTAAAGTCAGGGTCTAGATATAAATAGAATACTCATAGGCAGCTAGTTTTTCAAACACGAGACGGGGGCTACGGGGCCTAGGAAAAGCTCATGTTTAGCATTTTAGCATTAATAGTACTACACCTTCCTTCGATTGGGTGACACTTTTCTAAATGGGCGTGTTTGATTGCCAATAGGAAAATCATGTAGGTTGCTGACGGCGAAGTTCCATTGGCCTTCGTGTTAATGCAGTACCGAAATCATGGGGGTCAAATGGGGAGCTATCGACAACCCAAAAAGCCCAACCACACAATAGCTAACGCAGGGTTTTACAGCTCTACGAAATGCAATCCTTTCGAACTTTGTGTCAGACCTTATAACAACCAAAAATACCTCATTCTAGAGCGAGTGGGTCCCTCTTCTTTTGACGGTCAATTTGGTCCAACACTTTGGGTCATACAGTATTATAGCGGAATTTTTATCTGAGTACAACGTGTACAGGCATTTGCTCAGACGTACTAGAAATCTTTGGACCCAAAATGTATAAGAACAACAGGAATTCATATTTGGGTAGCCTATAGTCTCGTCTTGGACATGGTACTCGACAAGGTAGACTTGACTGAAGGCATATTTCGGGAAACACTTGGAACACTTGGAACGCTTAAAGAGATCGTGCCGATACGAGTGCTCAGCATCATAGGATCAACCGCGTAGCTCGCTAAAGCGCAAGCTTAAGCGTTTAGGGAGTGCTCTACGCATTGGATAAGGTGAGTGAAAGGAGAAGTATCTGAAGTAGAATAGAGCTAGTGTTTTCGGGAACAATTCAGACGACCACAGGAGAAGAGGAAGGTAAAGGAGCACCATTATTAACAAGGTCTTGCATGTACCAATCCAAGAGATAAAGAGCAGACCACTCCTGTATATTGGAAGTAGATGAGAGGCGCTGGGCGCAGGGCTTGGAATACAACGTAGCACCGTCATATTTGGTTGTATTGCTTGCTTCTGTGTCTTGGCCATGGGTATTCCGGTGGGTTTCCTCGGCTTGTTTCCAAGGAGCCTCGATTCTTTATTTTCGCCATCAGAAAATTGATCTCGATAGGAGGAAATCAAAGTCTCATACAACTCCCATAGGTGTCGAAAAATGACAGCTGGCATATCCAAGTGCTTTCCAATTAAATAATGTCACCCGATTTTGATATCCAGCGCAACACGTGGACGCCCGAGGTTCCCTTGTTATTGACTAGGAGGACGTGATGCCGCAAATCGATTTGCATTCGCCGCAGGTTATCGCTGAGGCGAGTACCCGAGTACACGGCCCATGTAGGATGTTAGGAGGCTTGCGAGGTGGGTTCTTCGGGTGGCGTTGGGCGGATTCTGGGCCGAAGCTGGGGGAGAAATATTGCATGCCGAAGAGAAGCTGAATTTGTCAATGGTTCAAGGAGATGGTTCGGGGGGCCTTGGACGGTTGAGAATGGCTCAGATGATCGTTGGTGCAAAATCCTGATTCATAACGGGGACAGTCGTATTGACATCGTTCAAAGTCTGATTCCGGGCTCTGTAAGCTATGCACGAGGAGAACGAGTGAGTACACCGAGTGGACTACGTACTTGACTGCTGGGAAGATAGTTTGGAATTTCCGGTTGACCAGATGTTGTGTCTTTTATTCTAGCAGGTAGTAAATTATTGGGTAGCCTTCTTGCGGTCTGTAGATGTATCTCCTTCTCTGAATCAGCTGACTTGCGAGTTGCAAATACTCCAATCATGCTTTTCGTGCGGTCTCCTCCACGAGCCTGCATCACATGCACCCCATAGGCCGTACCCGCCAGCACTTAAGCTTACATAGTACACACTGGAGACCCCCAGTCCAACATGCGTAAGCCGGGCCGATTGAAACGATGACTGCAATAGTGACCAAGGGTTGCGGAGATGACTTAAAATGGCGAGAGAGCTCCCAAAACGAAAGCGACGAACGGAGTGTAGGGCCCTAGCGCTGACCAAGGGCGAATTCGTGGTCGTTCGAGTCGGATGTTCATCGCGATAAACAGACGTACAGAGACGGACTGGACCACGAACAAGGGGGACTGTCCAAGGACTCACACGAACACGGACCTGCTTATGGTCAAAGAAAAGATAAACAATATGGAAAATTGTCAAGGTTATGTTTATAGGGCCAAATCGCCGCAATCCGCCTCAAAGCCTCAACAAGTTGTTAGGTTTGTTGAATGGCCTGTTGGACGGTATATATGATCACGCCATGATGATTTGGCTCTCAACTCCAGGTTACATTTGCAGTCTATTTAACCATAGGCAGTGCCCTTCGCGGAACGAATCAAACAGTCACACATTCCTTCATTTCCAACAAAACTCGAACTCACATGGGGGCAGCATCATGATTTGTAATAGTACCAAGCAAACCAATCATGCCGGTTTGCCCACCGGGAACAGCTTTAGAATGTATTGGTGCATATGATCCATGGCAATGTGGGATGCTTCCCAGCGACTGATTCTGCAACTCCGTTGACGATCATCTTGGCCGTTCTGAGCAGGGACCCACAATACTATCGGCGACAGCAGGCTTGACGCCGAAGTCACGTCCGGTCCGGTCCGGGCACGGCGAATACCTTGCGAGGTTTACCAGGTACTCCTGAACTCGAAGATCTTCGATTTTATGCCAACCTAGGAATCTTGGTAGTTGGTGAGCTAAGGTGTCCAGATGGTTCTTCCATCTCGCGAATACAAGCTGTTGCGCGAATCCTGGCTGCATCAGCCCATTTAGCTGCGAACACGACAAGAAGAGTGCTATGTTAGTGATGACGGGACGACTGAATTCTCAGGTTGGAGAAGTTTTGCCCGTCGGGACGAAGAACCAGCCAAGAGCCACCATGGGAGACAAGACATGGGAAGATCTACATCCAAGATATTGGCATTGTCCCGATAACTCCGACCATGTTACCTGTCACTTGTCACCTTCTAAAACAGCATAACCTAAGTATGGTCCAATCCTGCAGGCGGTCCAGATTCTGTTCCCGACCTGTTTCTGGGCCGCGAAATGCTTGGCACCAGCCCACACGACCAAAAATCACGCCACCGCCTGCTGCTGGATCTTCGCTTATGAGCATTTCCCCTCGGGAGGCATCGCACACCGCCCGACAACTTCACAGGGCCTCACGGCGTTGTCCGCTCGTCGACATGCGCCCCAACGGGACTCAACGGTACCAGTTGATGACTAACGTACAATTTGCTCTTGGAAAGATTGCCAAGTTGCAAAACGAAATAGCATATATAAGAGACGCTACAATGGCCTCTTGTAGTCCTGTCTGGCTTGCACATAACCATAGACTACATACTTAGCTACTAGACGACTTCGATTTACTCGTAATCTCTATTACTTCACCTACACATGTCCGCACGAGCAGATAGACATAGTATATCTGACGAAGAGTCAAAACGACCTTTGTCCACCGATGTCGAAAAACTCCTGGCTAGCTTGCCAGATCCCGACGTGGGCAAGTCACAGGAGGAGAAGACAGCAATTGTAAGGCATCACCGGACCCCAGAACCCCAGAGTCTGGCCCATTTATTGAGTATGCATGCATGCTAACAGCGCCCCACAGGACAGGAAACTGGTTAGAAAACTAGATATCCAACTTGTACCATGGCTGTCTTTACTGTAAGTTGCCATCCAAGCACTGAGACTTGCAATGAAGAAAACATGATTTTGACCCTAACAATAGGTACCTACTGTCCTTTCTGGACAGAACCAACATTGGAAATGCCAGACTGGCTGGCATGGAGGAGGGTCTCGGCATGCACGGGACTGATTACAACATGACGCTGACCGTCTTCTTCATCGCCTACGCCGTGTGCGAGCCTCTCACCAACGCCCTCCTCAAGCGTCTCACCCCGCGCATCTTCTTCACAGCCATTATTCTCACCTGGGGCACCATAATGACCCTGACGGGGCTGTGCACCAACTACGCTGGTCTTCTCGTTGCTCGATTCTTCCTGGGTGCTGCTGAGGCAGGCCTATTTCCCGGCGTCAACTTCTACCTCTCGTGCTGGTACACCGGCCACGAAATCGGTCTCCGAAGCGCCATGTTCTTCTCAGCAGCTGCACTCGCAGGCTCTTTCGGGGGCTTATTGGCTGCTGCCATCGCACTCATGGACGGCGTCGCGGGGTTGGCCGGATGGGCATGGATTTTCATCTTGGAAGGTCTCGCGACCGTGTTGGCTGGTGCCTTTTGCTGGTGGATGGTCTACGACTGGCCCGACACGGCCGGGTTCCTGACTCCCGACGAGCGAATCCGCGTGCAACGCCGTATCATCCTCAGCAAGCAGAACAACACCGCTGAGGGCTTCGACAAGCGCCACATCTACGAGGCCATCAAGGATTGGAAGACGTATGGGTACATGGTCATCTACATGGGTTGTCTCACACCACTCTACGCCTTCTCGCTGTTCCTGCCCACCATCGTCGCCGGGATGGGCTACAACGGCACAATGGCACAACTCCTGACCGTCCCGCCCTACGCCTGCGGCGCCGTCGTCACTGTCATCGCCGGCTTCTTCAGTGACTACACCATGATGCGCGGCTGGACTAACATCAGCACCACGGCCATCGGCGCCCTGGGCTTCGTTATGCTGCTCGCGACCGAAAACCCCAAAGTGCAATATGCGGGCACTTTCCTAGGCGCCGTGGGCATCTACCCAAGCGTGTCCAATACTTTATCGTGGGCGACCAACAACACCGAAGGCGCGCTCAAGCGCGCCTTCGCCCACGGCATGATTGCCGGTTGGGGCAACCTCAACGGCGTCGTCTCGTCCAACATCTACATTACGAGTCAGAAGCCCCGGTATTGGACAGGCCACGCCGTCGTCCTGTCGTACCAGGTTTTGTTCCTGCTCGGTGGATCGCTGTTCATGCATTTTGGTCTCAAGAGGGAGAATAATAAGAGAAGGACAGGCAAGCGTGATAATATGCTTGAGGGGCTTACGGAGGAGGAGAAGCTTATTAAGGGGGATAATCGGCCGGATTTCCTTTATACGCTGTGAAGTGTGAGGGAGTTTGGGGTCCGAGAAACCTTTAGGCGGGATCCTCTGTTTGTATTTGGTGGTGTTGATACCCCTTTTGATTAATTGTTCTTTGGCGATAAACTTGGATGAATGAGAACGGGTTTTAGATGGGACGGGTTATGACAGTAGGACGCTTATCGAGACGCGCTATATGCACCCCGATAATATTCTAGAACTTGGATCAGATGGAAGAGGTGGAAAAGAAGCATGGGGCCAACAAATCAGATGGCAGAAGACGATGTTGTAAATATAGCTGCTGCATCCACTATCTACTTGCTCGTTTTCACCTGGGTCGATGCTATTTAAGCCACTTGATTAACGTAGTCCACGGTCCAATTGCACACACGGTCCAATTGCATACTTTGGCAGACCTTATACGACAATGTATAAGTTAATTCAACCACAATGCCTATCATCAATTGAAACTACTCAGAATCGTTATCTTCAGACGTCTCTACATCATTTCCACAAGTGCGCGCATTATGTCCGGGCTCGCCGCAGATTCTACAGCGCCGTACACGCGCAATTCGCCGCCTCGTACGACCACCAATTTGACGAAATTCGTCATGTAACTGCCCATCAACCTCTCGTTGAGACTGTAGGTCCTGTCCAGCTTGTATACGAAGTTACCCTCCACTCTGTAGCTGTTTTTTCTTCGCACGGCGACGTCGACTTAAGGTCTCATTTGCCTTTCGAAGTGATTCGACCTCGCCTTCTAAAAGGGCAGGTCGATGCATAACCTTCGTTGTACCTCGCGCAATCTGATCTATTCCAGCAAAAATTGACGTTGGTGAGCTATTTTGATGTCGTACAATCCTATTTTTCACATAATCGGTTTGTGATTGGGCTTCGGTTGGGTTGTTCCGAGTCTTTGATTCCCAAGGGACGGAGAGACCAGCCGAGCTACCCGGAGGTGTTGGCGTATGTAATTTCACATCGAGCTGTGATATGACATAATCTGCATCGTACGGAACTATTCCTACCCCTCGGAAACCTCCTTGGATATTTGAAACCGTGAAAGTTGCGTTGTACGCGTTTAAAAACGCCGGTAAAAAGTCTTCTTTCGAGATATGACTTATATGTGCTCGCATGAGATCTTCGATTTCTTTTCCGTACGCTCTTTTTAACCCGCTAAAACAGCCAACATCAAGAGGCTGGAGCTTATGCGACGAATAAGGAGGCATACAAAGCGTGACGATATTGTTAGCTTTGCAATATACCTCGAAATTGGTCGAGTGATGGCTTTCGTGACCGTCGAAGATCAATAGGCGATGAGTACCTTTCGTACGAGACTTAGTGTGATGATCGAAGTGTTTTATCTAATATTCGCCTCTCTCTTTCGTATTCCAGCTATTTTTAGTAACTGCGATAACCCAATCAGGCGGTAATGGGCTGTTTTCGTACCATGACGAGAGGTGGGGTTTGCCGGCGAAAATGATATACGGAGGGAGGGCATAACCGGACGACCCAACGCCTTGAATAACTGTAACCCATTCCCAATTTCCTTGCTGGGCTTCTCTAGGCCTTCCGCGCCGATCAGAAGTCGTTACGAACATTTCGGACGAGATTTGGCCCATCACAAAACCGGTCTCGTCGAAGTTGTAGATATCCTCCTCCTGGATCGCGTATTTCGCAATTGTATTCCGTACCAGGTCAAACCACGCGCGATACGCGTCAGGGTCTTCGCAGAGGGCTCTCTGATAGTCGATCCTTGGATTTAAACGCGTCTGGAGGTCTGGTTGTCGTCTTACGAAGCTCGAGGCACAGTTGACGCCGACGCGTCCCGCGTCGCGACTTCGAAGTAATCGGTTGACCATATCTTCAACACCACTCAATCGGGGAGGAAATGCTCGCGGATCTAGGTCGGTTATATGTCGTACGATTGCCTCTTCTTCAGAAGGAGTCAACTTTTGCGTTGGCGATCGCGTAATCGCTCAAGCGGTTTTACCGTCGCGTCGATACGCAAGGGTTCTAAAAGGTACGTTATAGATCTGACCAGCGCGACGTACACTTAATTTTGGATCAGATTGAAGCGCATGTAATGCTAGAATCATATCACTTCCATTCCAAGAACCAACCATAGCTATGTGGTGAAAAACCGCAGGTCAAAGTGGTAGCGTACGAAAATCTGCCGAAGTGTGCAATTGGACCGTGGACTACGTTATATCAAAGGAGAAAAAGAAATTTCTTTTCCCTCTCTATATCAGAACTCAGCGACATCCAGCCCAAATCGGACATGCTTACACCGTTGACAAGATCTTAACGAGATTTATATTATATTTAACTTTCAGCGACGCGCATATATCTGCTTTAGTACAATACCGTCCTCTTCGAAAGAGCTATTCTCTAGTATGTCCGGTGCCTCGCCTTCGGTTGAATTCCATAGATTTAGAAATTAGTAATACCGCCGCCAGGACTTGAAACGACTTTAACTCCTCTAGTATAGAGGATAGATATATCTCCTCGGACTTTACCCCCTTAGAGTTATGCCTTACCTATTGTCACGACCTGGGTTGCATCGCATTGGTAGAGACCTCGATTAGGTGCTATTGTCGAATATCACGTGTGTCCAATCGAGTAGTCAGAAGTGCATAAGATTGTATTATGAATGAGGTGTATTGTTCTCTGTGTTCTATTCTCGCGAACTCCCGTTGCTCTGCCCTTTATAGATTCTTTCGGAAATGTCGGAGGTGCATTGTTCAGGTGTCTGACCCCGAACTTCGGAGTTACTTTCGGGAAGAGGGGTTCATTTCGCCGTCTGAACTTCAAGTGACACTAGTCTTCTCTAGTGCCATATTATTTCTGAACCTAGGAACCAGGTGTCCTATCTGACAGCTATCGACGAAGATTCTACTCTAAGGAGCGAAGGAAAGAAGATGACAACTTAGGTTTGAGGGAGCGCGACTAAGTCATCCACGCTTGGCGGGGCTCCTACAAGGGTTATGATTGGCTTCCCATCTGACACTGCCATGGCAGGTGTTCCAGCTGTAAGTCACCTGGTTGTAGTGAGTCTGCGAGGGTTGACCTTCACATCTTTTAGAGCTCTAATCTATCTTATCTATAGCTATAGGGTAACCCCCCGTGGGGTCACGTATCAATCTCTAACTTTCTTCCTATCTTCAAGATACCTCCCTTACATAGATAACCAGAGCCCGTATATCGGAGCGGCAGAGCACTAGTTTCTCCGGTTCCTCAGTATACCAAGACTTCCATATTAGTTCCCGACTCGCAGGTCCCTATACAGATGCTCCACCGGCACCCAACCGGTACCTTGCACTCGGCACTCTGACAGTTAGCTATAGTTGTACGAGGGACATTATAGAGTCACGTAGCGCGTCAGATGCTTAATTCGGGTTGCAATTAAAGCGCCTAACACGCTTTGATTATGTCACTTGCTTTCTAATTTGCACCGATCTAATTTACGGCGTAACTGAAAAGAGCGGAAGTCGCGTTCGATTGTTAGCTATGCAGGTGAAGGGGCACTCGACCCACGTATGCATTTATACACATATTGACTTACAGCAGTGGCCCCACTTCTCAAAATTTCACTTTTTCCGTTCATCCAATGTCGTTGTCTCTGTACGCTCATAACCAAAGTAAAGCTGCACATCCCGATTCCCAGCAGAATTCAAAATGACTAAGTAATATAAGCATGAGTGCACGGTAGCAGCAACAATGGCGCAGGAACTCTCATCAAACTGGAAGAAATTGCAGGCAAAGATCAAGGCGGAATCCACCACTGCGGCTTCCAAACCAGCAACCAAGAGGAAGCCTGATGAGGCATCCGAGTCACAGTCGAAGCGGCAAACAAAGCGGCCAAAGCTGCAGAGGCAAACACCAAGACAAGACACAGCATTTTCTAAGGCGGACAGCCGAGGCTCAAAATCAAGGCCAAAGCCGATGGGCATAGCTCAGTCGTCAGCCGTCTCCAGAGGCTCATCATCGACAATAGCGCCGTCGCTGGCCCTTTGGGCGGACGACAATGACATCTCCGCCGAGTCTCTAGCGGAGGCGTACGGACTTGGCGTCAGGAATAACGTCCTTCTCAATGGAGAAAAGCCACGCATCAACGAAGGTCTTGCGCCAAATCTAAACTTGGGCAAGTACGTCGCTATCGACTGTGAGATGGTTGGTATTGGACCCGACGGGTACGACTCGGCTTTGGCCCGTGTCAGCTTGGTGGACTTCCATGGGCGGCAAGTCTACGACTCGTATGTGCGCCCAAAGGAGCGCGTCACCGATTGGCGGACCAAGATCACCGGCATCACGCCCAAGCACATGGCCTCAGCCCGTGATTTCGACACGGTACAGAAGGAAGTAGCGGATCTGTTGAAGGGTCGCATCGTGGTAGGTCACGACATACGGCACGATCTGGCAGCGCTGATACTCACCCACCCCGTTACCTACATCCGCGACACAGCCCGTTTCTCAGGATTCAAGCAGTACGGGAATGGACCGAAACCGGCCTTGAGGACCCTGGCGAAAGAGTTATTGGATTTGGAGATTCAGATGGGTCATCATTCCAGTATTGAAGACGCGAAGGTAGCCATGCTGTTGTTTCGGAAGAAGAAGTCGGAATTCGATATGGAACATGCGAACAAGTATGAGAAGCCTCCGGGAACATCGACTAAGGCAAAGAGGAAGCCTCAGCATAGCAAGAAACATAAGCATTGAGACTAGCCCAATATCATGCAAGAATGGTCAATGCGTCGACGAACATAATGATGCAATTGAGTCCGGCTTGGCATCAATTGTGTCGGACCGCACCAGCCTTCAACTTTCAACGACTTTTCCCCCCCCTCTTTTACTATACGACAGCGAGTTGACTGATGATGGATGGACCCTGAGCATCAAACCCTTGGCAACAGCTAACTGTTAGAATTTCAGGAGCGAAACCTCCGGTGTATCAACGACCTACTAGGTGTGCAGCCCAAAATCACACTTTTCTGTACTTAAAGCCCTTATGGCCACCTTTACTCGCATCAAGTATGTTACATTGAAGATATGATTGATTCTATGCTTCTTACAGCATGCAACAAGTTCGACAAATTGATTCTGGCCATTTTAAACTGCGACAACTCATGCGTCTATGCTACGTGGAATGGGCCCTTGGATGATACCATCGGACGGTCGAGTATTGTGTGCTCGTGCTGGGTCGAAGCCGATCAAGCTGGGAAAACATAAAGCCACGTATACATCTGGCTTGTCGACAACAGTGCCGGAACCAGCCCAACACCATATGAGACGACTGCCTCTTTTTAATTAGTGTTGACCTTAGTGGTAAACCTAAGTAATTGAAGGTGTGGAATTCAAGATTCCACCGCCCCAGGAACATGCTATACAACAACTCTACCAAGCGTCTCTCTGTAACATCCGGAGTGCTATCTCGAACAGGCGGTGGGAAGCGTGGGGAACCGGTTTTGATGCGCCGAATCGATTATTCGTTCGATGTGTGAGGTGATCGACGAGCTGAGTGTCGCATTGTCACAATCACACTTGCCCTTGCGGATGGATGACCGGCAATGCGAACCTAAAAGTAAGGGTCACGTTTTAGGTCTTACAATTGGAGGCATGCGCCAAGGTTTTTGAGTATCGCTTGAGGCGTCCGTCGACATACTTGGCATCCCGAGACTTCATCCTCTAGTAGATTAGAGACGCCACTGAAACGCAAGAAACTTCTGTCCTAGTCTCAAGCTAAGCTTCTGGTGCTATGTAGCCTTCGGTCAGGGACGGCGGACGATATCATGGTGTAGTGGAGACTGGAAAATTCTACTCTATTCTACATGATCTAGCAGTGAAGTCCACTGTTGCGGCAAAATTATCGCTACAGTTTATATCGTCAAAATATTGGTTTTTGATATCCGTCGTTCCGCGAAATGGATGATCGAAGCTCACAAGTACTGACAATCGCGATTATATCCATCGTCGTAACGTGGGTCACTGTGGGATTCCGCGTATATTGTCGCGCTTGGGTGCTTCGGTCGTTCAGAAAAGATGACACTATTGCTCTCGTTCTCCAAGTAATGCCCCTGAACTCGTAGCCAACCTATACCTCCTTACTCATTTTACTAACTTGGACTACAGTGCATCTTTAGTATGTACTTGACAACCCAGATCCTTGGGTGGAAGTACGGGACAGGAAAGCATAGATCTGCCTTATCACCAGCGGACTATAGGCAAGCTATGTTGGTCAGTGACACGGTGTTCGTCAGATCTTCCGCGGTCTGCTGACACTCTTTAAAGTGGTGGTTTATATGCGAGCTGCTATACATCATTTCTACATGTTTGCTGAAGATCTCGCTTGGATTATTCCTGATGCGGTTGGCCACCGAGGAAAGTCACATGTGGTTCCTGCGTGTCCTCACCTTCGGCACGGCCCTATTCGGCACCGCGTACTTCTTTATGGTCGTTTTCCAATGTCAACCACCGAAAACGTTCTGGGAAGTTTCCCCTCGCGCCCCTGGAAAGTGTTGGAACGATAAAATTGTTCTTTCGTTGACTTTTATGGCATCGGCAGTCAATTGCCTCACAGATTGGACATTTGTAACCCTACCCATGTGTATGGTTTACTCAATGAATATGCCCACGCGCCAGAAGGTGTTGGTCGCCTGTATCTTGGGTTTTGCAGCAATGTATGTCCATACCCACAGATCCCAGTATGCCTGTAAACAATAGCTCACCGCATTATAGTGGCAGCACAGCAACCATAGTCCGCATGTTCTATGTGTACAAGGTCCTTGAGGGGAACGATTTTCTCTGTAAGGGATTGATCGTGTCTCACGACCCAACGCGTCTCACTGACTGTTTACAGATGAGACAACCGATTTGGCAATATGGAGCACTGTCGAACCGGGCATTGGGATTGCAGCTCTCTCCATTGCAGCCTCAAAGCCACTGTGGAGATATTTTCTATTCTGGCTTGGTCTCTCCGCTAGGGGACCAAATAATCGAGCGTGGGTCGCTCGCAATCAAGTGAACGCACAGCGCGCAAGTCACCTCAGGAATGTAGCAGAGGACGGAGAGCGGGTGAGGAGACTTCGAGTAGAGTACGCCACGAATGCGTCCCTGGCGTCAAGGCCATCTTCCACGACGCATATAGTTACATCTGGTGCGCATACAGAAATCACGCCTTGGACTCAGACCTCATCCCAGGATAAAGCTGAACCCTTCGACTCTGACCTCGTAAGACAGCATGGTCACGATAGCAGTCGCACGAGAGATTCAGTGCTAGAGCGTCTACCAGTTCTGCAGAACGGGTTCTTGGTCAGTTTCTTTAAATCAATTACCATGAATTCTAGCTAACCGGTTGTCAGGGATCCGATATACCGGAACGCGGTCGCTCCCCAAGTCTGCCTCCCTTACCCCAGTTCCCTTCTCTCTTTGCCGCGTGCAGCGCGAACCAGCAACTGTCTAAATCCTCATCTGAAGAGTGACGACACATGTCGTCCACAAGCGATGCAATATGGCATATTGTCTCTGACTAGGTCTCGAGACGAATATGGAAAATTACTACCCAGAACGTCCCCCCCCGGGAACTGAGAACAGCTTAAGCTCACACCAAGAGTGTATGAAAAGCAGTTTCGTCCCTGTATCCTAACGGGGGCTCACTCTATGCAAGACACACCTCTGGTTCTAACGTGTGCATATACTGGTATGGGATGAGCATACACACAGATGGCAAGAATTCCGTGCCAGGGTGCAGCTCAAATAGGGGTAGCCTAAAGGACCCGTTGAAGGATCTCGAAAGACGACGTTGACACAGCTTCTAATGTGTTTTCCAGCTCAAGTGAATCCTCTATCAGTCACTGTGTCTGGTCTGTCATCCGTAGCTCCTTTGCAAAGAGCTGGCCACATTGGGTCTTATCGCCAACCTGAAACTGGTCAGTCCAAGTGTGTGACAAAAGGAAAAAGATTTGATAAGTATGATAGTGACTGCATAGTCAAGGCTCCTATGAGAGGATGTCCACTTGGTTAATTCATCGATCCTCAGTCACAAAGGATGAGATGGATTTGAGACAATTCAGGGGCAGAGCTTTGCTTCCAGCAAATCATTCAATATGAATGTTGCGACTCAGTTTCAAGTAACCATCGGCCCAATTCAATGTCAACCCACTATAACCTCTAGATGGTTGATGGTCAAATTGTGGTCAAATTAGTAAGCAAAATGGCTGGTGAATGGGGTACCAACGGAGCATGCCCGTGGATTTAAGGGTATTTTGGTGGATATTATTAGTACATAACGAGGCTATCATTAATCCCTAGCGACTATAGTGTGGAATTGATGGCCTAGGGTCACGTGGGATACGGGCAAGATACTTAAGTGCCTTTGTGCGGCTTGGACCCCCCCCCCCCCCCCCCCCACCACCTGTACTTCCCTTCTTCACCTTCGTATGTAGCCGGAATGCCAGTACCAGTGCGATCCCACATATAGTGTATTAATTAGTAGAGGGCAGCGTTAGTCTACGACACCAAAGGGGTCGTTGTAAGGAAAGAGCCGTTGTGGCGGGCCGGTCTCAGCTGACAAGCTGAGTCGGGAGGGATTCGCCCCGATCCGGTAGAACCCCGGAACCGCCCAGCTTAAGAGAAGAACTCGAGACGCTCGCACCTAGTTTGGATTCTTCAAGAATCAGTCTTGCAATATACGCACCCATACACTGGCCTACTTCTAGCTACCCTTTGCACTACCTGACTATTATATTGTGAGACGTGTGGTATCCTCGTTACAGATATGCGCGACTCGGTGTTAAACCACATTATCTAAATTTTCTGAAATTTATCTATTAATATTTTAAATAAATGGAACACGTTCTATATATTACTATATGAGCTAATAGAGTTATTATAATAGTTCGCGCGAGTGGAGCAGGAGCGAACCGAACGGTCTGCGTCAGCAATGCGTAGCTTCCTCACTAAGGGACGTACGAACGAAGATATACCATCGACAGCTTAATGGTAGTCTCTATTCTCTACTGGAATATCGCAGATTCAAAGGCGAACGCAACGCTAGCGCTGGATAAGGGGGGTGACTATGATATAATAGCGGTTCAAGAGCCATGGATCAACCGGCGGACGAAGGCGATTTATTGCCCGAAGTCGTCCAGGTACGAAGTAGTGTACAGCAGCGGCAGAGCTGCGCTATACGTCCATAAACGATACGACGTGGCTACGTTGCGACCCCGTACCGGGATGGACTGGAGCAGTATTACGTTCGGGGCAGGCCCGGACGCCCTTACAATCTGGTCTATCTATTCACCAAACCAAACCGGGAGCCGCTGGGTCAGCCCGCTCCAAGACCTCCCTAATGGGGCGCCGGAGGGGACACAGGTCCTCGTAGGGGACTTCAATACACATCACCCGCTGTGGGACGTCCACGGACGGTCGTCACGGGGCAGCGACAACGTAGTGGAGTTTGCGCGACGCTGGCGATTAGAGCTCGTTACGCCGTTCGGGGAAATCACACGGCAAAGGCACAAACAACGAGACTCAACTATCGACCTAGCCTGGGTGACGAAAGGGGCTAGGATTGATTACGATGGGGACCCGGGCCTAGAGGGCTCAGACCACAGAGCGCAAGTGATTAGGGTAATATCCAACGGGGAAGCAGTCAAGGAGGGCCGCCGCAGTGTCGAAGGGTGGAACTGGGCGATGGCGGATAAGTGGCTCATCGTAGCCGAATCAAGCCAGAGATTTATGAATTATTTGCCGGTTGAGACGATAACGGAGTTGGACCAGGCTGTTGACTGGGTTATCCGGAACCTCCAAGAGATCGCCGACGTGGCGGTCCCGAGACGCACCGTTGGCCGAGGCGCTGGGGTCCCGTGGTGGTGCCCGCAGGTTAGCAAGGCTTGCGCTGAGACGAAGAGACGACGGCGGGACTACCTCCAGGCAAGGTCGCAGACCAACTGGGACGAATATACAAGAGCCGGCCAAAAACAACGGCTCGAAATCAGCGAAGCGCAGACGCGTAGCTGGCACGAGAAGCTCGAGGGGACGGCGAAGGATCACAAAAGCCTGTGGGCACTGCAGAGGTGGGCTAGGCTACGGAGCTGGGCCCCCCCTGAGGCCCACGGCTTGCCAGATCTCCGGAGGGACGCCGGCGACACGCTTACAGCACGTACACATGATGAGAAGGCAAAATTACTAGCTGAGAGGTTCTTCCCAGACCCGTATATAGATCTATCGGACCTCGATCGCGGCCTATTACAGACGAGACCAGAGCTGAACGTCCCTAGGGAGGTGACCACAATGGATATCGAGTCTATCATCAAAGGAACGGCTGCTCGGAAGGCTCCCGGCGACGACCTGATCCCCACTGGCCTGCTAAAGGCCTGCGGTGAACCCCTATGGGAGATCCTAGCGGATCTGGCAACAGCTAGCTTTAGGCTGGGGTACTACCCGGAGCGCTTCCGCTCAGCGAGGGTGGTTATTATCCCTAAGCCTAATAAAACGACAGCTCAGAAGCAGACCCCTGGCGGCTGGCGCCCCATTGCCCTGCTTAGCACGGTAGGGAAGGTAATAGAGACGGCGATGAGCCAGCGTATCACCAAAGTAGCTGAGGCGGCCGGCCTACTACCAAACGGCCAAATGGGTAACCGCGCTGGGAGGTCCACCGAACTGGCAATACGTATAGTTGAGGACGTGGTCTATACGGCGTGGAGACGCGGGGGCATCGCCTCGCTGCTACAGCTAGACATCAAGGGGGCATTCGATACGGTCAATTACAGACGGCTGATTTCCATATTAGCCCGGAAAGGCTACCCGGAGTGGGTTCAGGAGTGGGTACGCAGCTTCGTGGAGGATAGAACGGTACGCCTCCGGTTCGATGGCAAGGAGTCAGAGCCAATCCCCCTACGAGCTGGCGTCCCCCAGGGGTCACCGCTATCCCCGATACTGTTTATATTATACATTTCAACGCTGTACGAGGAGCTAGCGGAGCAGCATCCACTACTTTTAGTAGTCGGGTTCGCGGACGACACGAACCTGCTAAGCGTCGGCACCGATCCAGACACGACCTGCCGCCGGTTGGAGAGCGCATGGGCTACGTGTCAGCGGTGGGCAGTGAGGCACGGGATGGAGTTCGCTCCTGACAAGAGTGAGCTAATGCACTTTACTAGGGCCCGAGAGCCCTTGCCGCAAAGTATTCGCCTTGGGGACGCCACAGTGTCGCCGGTAGTCTCAGCCAGGTTCCTAGGAGTCTGGTTCGACCGCAAACTGACGTGGCACGCCCATGTTGAGCGTGTTAAAACAAAAATGGCAACTCAAAAGCTAGCCCTGACAAAGCTAGTCAATATGTCGTGGGGCTGCGATCTTATACGGGCGAGGCTGTTATATACGGTGGTTATCCGTAGCGCGATTGCCTTCGGGGCGACTGCGTGGCATACTATAAGTGAGGAACCGGCAGGGCCAGCTAAGAGCCTGATGGGGATACAGAACGAGTGCCTCCGGGTAGTCTGTGGTGCCCACAAAGCGACGCCGGTTCGCCACCTGGAAGCAGAAGCAGCAATCCCGCCACTAGACCTCTATCTTAGTGCCCGGGCTGCTAAGTTTGAAGAACGGCTACGGCTTAGCGGGAAGAGAAATCTGCTTCGCAGCGCGAGCGCTAAAGCGTCACATATACTCCGGCAGGATAGGCCGGCGAAGAGGAAGCAGGCGTCGCAGCTACTCCGACCGGCAGGGTACACTATGGAGAAGGAGGCCCGGGGCTCCGAGTGGATGAGTGAGGAAAAGGAGGTCCCGGCTGCCCTCCTCGACCACTGGAGGAAGAGATGGCTCACCGGAGCAGAGCATCACGATCGCCAGCGACGCGCTATCGCTGAGGAACCGGAGGGCCCTTCGATGCAGATACCGAAAGGGGGCAAGTATTTCGGCCTGAACCGACTGGAGGCGTCTACGCTGTGCCAGATCAGGACGGAAAAAATAGGACTAGCAGCCTTCTTATTCAAGACAGGGGCTTTTGGCGTGTACTCGCCGCTATGCCGCTGTGGCGATGCCCCTGAGACGGCAGAGCACGTAATCCTCTTTTGCGGGCTGTTGGAAGGACCGAGGGAACGATTACGGGCCGCCATCGCACCACGGCCACTATACTCTCGCAGAGACCTCGCAACGGCAACAGGAGAACCAGTAGTTAGTGGGACTATTGTAAGATGGCTGCTAGGGACGGGTCGGACAGCTTCAAGGCCCAGATAGCATCGATCTTCTCAGGGGGGACTTTGTTGGTAGGTTGAGAACCAACGTAGTATGGTAGTGAACGCAACGCAGTCGCCAATAGGGCGAACCGACGACGCAGCGTATGTATTTAGTCCAGCCATTAGGGCACGGTTTGACATACGGGAGTACTAGTAGAGGTACCGGGGGCTTCGAGCCTACGGCGTATTTAATAATAAAAAAATATATATTTAACACTGCTTTGAATGATGATCAATTAGGGCGCTGTCAAAATTGGCGCTACACGAACCTACTCTACCCAGGACGAGCCTGGATCTTGCAAGTCACTGAAGTACCTTGGCACTGACTACCGAACATAATATCCTGTAATATCTGAACCGCTGTAAATTTTCGCATGTTTCTTATCGTCCTATATCAGATCTTTGATTGAGGGCGTCTTCATCAAATCACAGCTCTGTCATCAGATTAGCCGACACATGTACAATTTCTATGCCATGCAACTATTCAGGCATGGGCCAATACGCATATTAAATGAAACAAGTTCTCAAATAAAAAGCTACAGAAGACCCCTTTTATGTCCTGACGAAACTACGTCTGCAGTAAATGTGCCCAAATCGTTGTCCTCGTTGAGCCTGTGATGCCGACAACAGTCTAAGACGATGGGGCAGACCACTTTCCTCCAAGCAGCGGCGATGGCCACCTTGTCACTAAGAGTTGTTGCTTCGGCCATCTTAAATACAACCGCAGTACCTTTGGCTAACCGCTGTTCGTCATATCCGAGATACGATATCTTGACGAACGTGGCAGGGCCCTGGCTTGTCATCGCCGACTCATCTGGACATACAGTCGACGGAACCAAAGCCAGTGTGGCAATGTTTAGAGACACTATCGATCTTCATCCATACGGCTTCGTAAGTAAATACCACACACGAGGAGGTAACACATACCAACAGCTGATATGATGTACATATAGATCACCATCCCCGGCGGCAACAGCACGTTTCCCAGCACTAACATCACGCTGCCTGGAGACATATCCATGCGCTGCGCACACAACATCCTACAAGCGCAAGTGAATTTGGAGCCTGATCGTGGCGTCAAATGGCAAGACCTGTTAATTGCTGGGAACCCGAATTGGCAAGAATCCATTGGCTTCGCGTTCCCCGGCGCCTCATATCCTGGCATAGCCATCGAACCATATGAGCACTATGTCGACGATGTGAAACAGCCGGGGGTGTTTCTTGGGGGGCAGAATTCTACGACTTGGCAATTCAAGTACAATTGGGCGGGCGTCATGGGTGACTACTATCTCTTGAGACTGTTGGGTCCGAACCATGATCATTATCCACCGGCCGAGGAGGACTTCACGGGGTTTTTGAAGATTGTTACTTGAGCTGATAGAATGTGTACATTCAGACAAGTTAATAAGGAGACTGACGATATTTCTATAATATCATTATGTCTTCCATTCCAGCACCCTTGCTCTTCAAAGTTTCCCCATCCATTTTCCTATCCAAATAGCACTCACCTGTAACCACTCAGCCGTCCCCAATATCTTCAGAACCATGGGCACGTCGAACCCAGAGATCACAACGATACTATCCCCAGATATTGCTGCAGCAGGGCTAATCCAGTCCTTCCCCATTTACTACTAATCAGACGCCGCCACGCCGTGACGTTCACGGTCCACGACAAGACCTCATGCTGCTCCTCGGTCGGGTAATACACTCTGCCAGCTTTTGAAATCCGAAAGAGAGACTTCTGCCCACAGATGAGCTGCTCGAGGGTGTATCCGTAAAGTACGAGTTCGCTTGTTCCAAGCTATAATATCCTGGAAGCCGAAGCTATTCGTGTACCCGACCGCAACATCTTGCTGCCAAACCACAGGGAAGAGGATTCCGATTAGTTTGAATTGATTTTTTTCGTTATAGTGAAGTTATTGACGTTATTCGTATGGTGCTAAGACAAAGTGGCCAACTTGCTTGTGGAGTACGTTATACGGGTTAAGGGCTTTGTCTATCAGGTAATTACTTAGAAAGGATGTCACAGCGCTGGCGATTACATAGCCACAGAGTGCTGTATATAGCAGTTAGTGGGACCAAATGTCAGTGATCCACTGGCATTCTAGATCCTTTGGTCTATTGTCCTAGGGGCTTGGTCCTCTCTTGTGACAAAGGAGTGCAGGTGTTAAGGGTTGTAATTTATAGATCGAAGGCCTATTAGATCACTGTCTTCATCAGCCGTAGGCTTGCTTAGGACAGTGTAATAAATGGGAACTGAAAAGAAATCTGTATCATCAGTCATTAAGAAGGCTTCCAAATTTTGTAAAACACTAGAAGACGTCCAATGAGGTGCCACCCCGACCTTATCTCGTCCTATACGCCTCAAGCCTTCGACTGCTCCGTTCTCCCGTCGGGTGCTTTTTTGACTCTGTTCACAGGTTCCATCTCCAACTGCTTGTCGACATTATGCTGCACCTTGTCCTGGACATCCTTGCCCTCAAACATGAAGCTCAACTCCTCCAAGGTTCGGTTATAAGTCTCTGGAAATAGCAGGTAAACCGTGGCAATCTCAACCAGGATCCATATACAGTACACAATATAGTACTTCCAGCCAATGTTGTCAAGTGCGATCGGATTGACGTACGTGTTGAAGAATACGGCAAATCGGACCGTCAGTTGCTCAACGGCGATGCCCTGTGATCGTTGGGAGTAGGGGAATATTTCGACCATGTATGTGTATGCCAGCGCATTCCAGCCAAGGTTGTAGAAGCTTTACGCTGTAAGTCATGTCCCACGATTATCATGAGTAGGGAAAACTTACGGCGAGTACACGAAGATGAATATCAGAACAGGAATCGCAGCCCTTGCGGAGTTCTCAATGGCAAACCGCGCCGAAGCAATCGTCCAGACGGTATACACAGAGGCGGTACCAATTGTGCAAGTCAGGAACATGCGACGACGGCGGAATCTAGGAGCGATCAAGGCAAGAGGCACAGCATTGATGAAGCCCCAGCAGGTATTTCCCAAGATTATCTTCTGAATAGTTAGGTTGTCCTTGATGCCAACAAGGTTGAGAACCTTCTTCATGTAGAAGGAGATGATCCCATTTCCACTCCACTGACTGAAGAAGCCCACAATAGCTGCCAGCAGGAAACGACGTCGCATGGGCGGGTCACGGAAGACGTCGGCCCAAAGGAAGGCCTTGGCCACTTCCTGTTCCTGGGCGATGGTGCTCTGGATCTGGGCGTATTCAAGCCGAACGAATTCGTCGCCGTGCTCGCCTTCGCTGTGATACTTTTGTAGGACGGCGAAAGCCTCTTCGCCACGGTCTTTGGAGATGAGCCAGCGGGGGCTTTCCGGACAGAAGGGCAGGAAGACGATCTGGCAGAGACTCGGGACGAATTGTAACATGGAGGGCAGTCGCCATGCCCATGTGCTACTCATCTGAAACGTGCCGTACGTTACACCAGCCGCGACGATAGCGCCGACGAACCATGAGGCGTTGAAGATCGATGTCATAATCGGCCGCTCTTTAGCATATGCCAGCTCGCCAATCAGAGAGGATGCGTTGACGATGGCAAAGGGAATGCCGAAACCGAGGACCCAGCGCGAGGCGAGAAACATATCGACGTTGATAGCGCCTGCTTGTAAACCAGCACCGAGGCACATGATCAAAGAAGCCATCAAGATGGTCCAGCGGCGACCGAGTAACTGCGAAACAGATGGGACAAAGGGGATGGCCATAAGGGCCCCCAGCGAGTACATGGCATTCAGGAGACCAAGTCGTCCTTCTGTGGGATTGTCAAAGTCTATTTGTGAGATCAGCTTCTTTGAGCCAGCCACTGAAAGTAATAGTCGTGTTCTTCTTACAATCAACCCAGGATTGAACCGCTTGAAGCGAGTTCATCATTGATGAATCGAAGCCAGAAGTCCACTCAACACCAAGACTGCACGGCACCAGAATCAGGTACAAAGTCCTTAGATTCTTCTTGGTGTACCATTTCCGATCATCCCCTTGTGCGATCCTCGTTAAGCGAGCGTCGCCGAGCTCCTCGCGGCCTCCGATGATAGCCATGTTGCTGTAGTTGAGGCGCAAACTGCGTCTTCGAACTTGAAACCCGGAGTTTGTGTCAAAAGCCACACAAAAGTCGTCGACGCTGTGGACTCTCCTCCAATCCACACAGTTGTAACTCGAGCGAAAAGACTGATTTTATAACGACGGGAGGTCGTACACAACTGTATTTAACCCCCATTGAAGGATTACACTCCCAGTGCAACTCTCCAGCCTGCCAAGAGCTGCCGGCTATATTGCCGATCGTCATCCCCTCCATATCACTGAATTTGACTGGTTTGAGGTGAGGAGCTCCGAACGGGGATTTGAATATCCGTGTTGGAGTTAGTCAACAGCTTCCTACCGCTGTCTCATCCCGCCAGACCCTCAACAGGGCATTCGTAACTCGCGATCTGGAACCGGGCTATGATTGTACTTGAACAACTAATTGGTCTGGGCCAGTAAGATGCGGGGATGCCAAGAGTCTGGGGAAGCCGGAAAGACGGAGAGACGGGGACACTCAGAAAGACATGACCGGGATTCCGTTGATGAATGATAGTTGGTGTTGACCTCGCAATACAACACCAACGCTCCTGTTGAATCGAACATGATAGCTTGGGTTCAAGTAGTCACAGGGCAGCGAACGGACTAGCCTCTTGTTGTAGCTGTGAACCATGGTAATATGTAAAACATACGAGGGAGGTAATGAGAAAGCGTGTTCCGTTTTCCTAAATGCGGGAGCAATTCAATGTTGGTGTGATGGTTTTAGGGCCCTTCAGGGTTACGTTGGGGTTGAAACTAAAACGTCCAGGACAAATGCATGTTGGCGATCCCAAGCCTGCTCGCACTGTAATGGGGTTGCGGCTACGCCAATGCTGGCTTCAATTAGCAACAAGGGCCTTCAAGTTCTCGATCGACAGTTTATTGTCACGGATTTGAAGTTGTCATTATACTGAGGTTTCCCTTAAATCCACCTGGAAGTTACAAATGCAGCTCGAAACCCCTAACTTAAACCATGTCATTTTAGTTTGTCCTCTGTTTGCTCAGGTCTGGGGCTCCAGCATCACACCCACCTAACCCATCGAGCTTAGAACACTAAAGTCGTCAAAAGAGCCAAACAGCTGGCCGTCACCATCAATTCAACGTCTTTTGCTCCTGCAACAAACCCATCATTACTCTTCCAAGCACCCGTCCGTCGGCAATCTGGCTGGCTGGTGGCATTGCCCGGGACCGAGCACATGTCGAGTTCTAAAGCTGACCCCAATGACAGGAACGAAAAGTTTCTTCTCTTTTCAGCTTCCCCCGTAGCTATACTGCCACGACGATGCACCACACCACTTCCAAAGGGCTAAAGGCGAAACTCGCCAATTACTGGCCTGTTCCGCCATCTTTTCCTACCTACTAGCGGCCAAGGACTGACAGAGAATGGCAAGCTCAATTGAGCGGCCTAACGATGTCATCTCACTCCAGCCAGCTGATGGGCTGCTGCACCATCTCCTTCTAACACCCACGACATGATTGTTCTATGGACCAGGATATAGAACCGAAGCTCAACCTGCAGCTCTACGAGCGCCATCAAGGGCCGCCAGCGCACAAAGCGGCGGCTTAACTGTGCCCGACATTCGAGTCCAGCCAAGCCAAGCTTGAAGGCTTCAAGGCTTCAAGGCCTGTGATTAGACGCTACGCCGAATGTATGTCCTGCCACCTCCAAAGTTATGAACAGCTCGCGCTTGAATTCGCTTCTGTGCATGTTGCAAACGGCGAGTCCGGCGGCTCCTCAACGAATTCATTTCCTCTTGTGCACAGCGCCGTGTCTCTCACAATCTACCCCAGTTTTCCGCGGGCCCTGAAATGAATCACCTCGGGGAGCTAGCGGCTCAGGACGGACTCCTTGGACCTCCAGGATTCTTCTGTTTGCTTTGAATTGAGCTCGCTCGCAACACCAAGCACTAAACTTCACGCACGGCTGTCACGCTAGGCGATGGCTTCATCCGACTCGCCGTAGGCCAGTAGCTGGCCAGATCTCGATCTTGACATGCAAGCCATAAGTTGGCGCTCTCTTCGTCTTTCCCTTCCGCTTTCCACTCTCCAATTCTTCTCTTTTGTAAGTTCATTTCTCTCCAGGCGGCCCATTCGCCAGGGAGACCTGACTCTTGATCTGCCTTGCATGACCGGCGGAGCAAATTACATCGCGAACCGACCCCTACCACGTCGGTGGTGCCGCGTCATTCGATTTTCTCAGCACCACCAAGAAGCTTGATTTTCGCTACTTGGCTACATTTACAGAGCATGGCCGCCACCGAGCGCACCGCTGAACCTGCAAAAACCGGCCACCCCGACAACGATGGGCGACCCCGAACTTCCCCACCGCAGCATGGACGAAATGGTCGAGGCTTTCGAACAGTTTTCCATCGTATGCGGATAAGAGTCAAACCTCAACGCCCTGCACCAAAATCGAGGCCCCGGAATCATCTGTCTCACCAACGAAAAAGTCTGGTTCCGATGCACGCTTTCCGATCCCGGTCAAATCGGCCCAAACAGGAAGTTTCCGAAGACTCCCGGCCTCGATCGCCTCGATCGCCTCATTCCCCGCAAACCGAAGGCTCCGTGGAGACGGCTGCTGCAAACTCGGCGCAACCGGGTTTCATCAGTCGCTTACTGCGGCGGGCGCAAAGCAAGAAAAATTTGAGGCCTAAATCGTCTTCTCACAGCGCCAGAGAATCTACCACAATTCCGGATAATAACAAGCGAGTTGAGGCAGAGATCAACTGCCAGGAAGAGCAGACGGAGGTCCTAACCAGGAAAACGAGCTCCAGGCACAAGACAACAGCTTCACGTTCACGCTTCTATTCGGACCCGCCTCCGACGACGGAAGCACCCGGGATCAAGCGGCCTCTGCAGGTTTACATCCCAAAACATGCTGCTGCCGATTTTTCGCGTATGCCCATCTCCCCGCGCGACATCACGGCACGCTACAGCTCCTTGGATGAAGAGCGGCGATTGACACTTTCGCCGCCTCCGCCCCAGTTGCCGCGTTCAAGCACAAGCACAAGCACAAGCACAAGCATAGGTCAGACTAGGGACGAGTCGGAACTGTTGCGTGATGCACGGCGTCCCACTGTTGCGACGATTGACACAATGGTCCCGAACGACGAAGGACTTGACCGAGTGAGCACGGGCGAGGCTCTGGACAAGACATTTCTGCAACCCCCACCATCGTCCTTGAGATTGGAAGCCAAGCGTCATTCACATCAGAAGCGCCACTCCTTCAAAATTGCCGCCGATCCACGCAAAGTCCCAGAAAAAGACCACGAATCGTCCGATTATCAACTTTTTATGCAGAAAGCAATGGACGACGAGCGCCACGAGCGCGAGGAACTTTGGCGTACAATATCGCAACGGTCAAGGCGAACGCCAATGGTTATCGATCATCCTGATGTGAACATGAACGTGTGTTCGCTGCAGCGCTCGGGCACATTCGGCGACAAGGAAAGGGAAAAGCGGACATCCAAGAGGCTTAGTAATTCGTGGAAAAGGGCCAGTCATGTCAGTCGCCGCCAATCCGTCGATGAACACCGTCGATCATTTATCTACGGTGGAGACACAGCGACAGTGACTGGGGTATCCGAAGGAACAAATCGTGATCTACAGCGGAAATCGAGCGTAACCAAACGGATACAGGAATACGTCAAACCGGAGAGGCCTGACAAGGTACCAGGGACATACGAAGAGACCGAGTACAAGTCGTTGAGTCGCAAGGGGTCTCGGAGAGCATAGGCAAGTGCCGGAGCCAATGCTACTTATCTATAACTTAACGGCTGGCACTGGTGACGATAAGTCCACCACTGTTATTACGGGGTGGTGTTTATAATTGTAATCTAATCAACAAGTAAGAGGCATGAACTGTGTACGCAATTCCAACATAAATCCTCTGCGTACTAACATCCAGGGCACTGTTTGCAGATTCTACCAAGTGTGGGGGAAGCGTCAATGCGGACGGCGAAGGTCAATGATTTCATTACTCGGGGATGCCTGGTCGGTTTTTGGCTCATTACGCACTGCACGATCAACGACCGGGAGTTGCCTGCCAGCACCCAGATCCTTGGCCAGATCCCTGCATGTTTGACTTGGGTTGCGTAAAACCGGAATGGCGGCTCATTGCTGGTCGGTTGAAGTCTTGGCGAGGTTGACGCAGCTAGTATCGATCGTAGCGTAAGTTTTCAAGCACCTCAGTGCCCGGAACTCAGCGGCCACTCGGTTCTTCAACAACAGTCCGATGCCTCGTCCCTCTGTCAAGTATTTGTGCAAACATATCCTGTACCATTACGACTGTTCCTTATGTAGAGGCAAACAGAACAGGGGTTTAGCATGGGGCCAGGAAACTTCTACATGCTCTCTCTGTTTCGCGATAACAATAAGCCGAGCCCAGGTACCACTGGGCTCTAATCTAATGTGTCTTTCTCCCGCACTCCCCACATGAACTTGCGGTCGGTGACCTCAGTGTTTAAATTGCAATCAACGCATGATTTCACTCGTCTTGTTGGTCACTGATGCACGTCTTCTTCGAACGTACGAAGCAGACGTGGAACTGGTCGTGTAAGAGCATGTTCATGTGATTTTCCTTAAGGAGTGCTGCTTTAGGATTCTGCAATAATTTGCTATGTGAACAATTCGGAGACTGCGAGCATACACCAGAGCTCATCGTTAACGACTGAATAACCCTGGAGAATAAGATACCACAGTTGGTTTGATCTCCACTGAAACAAGATACATAATGGTTTTCTTCAGAGGCAAGTTTGCTCAAGGCTTGGGTTAAATGTGGAACACCGTCAGCGTAGATAATGCGATGCCAGGGTATGTACAGGCTTCCCCGCAACCCCACGACGGCGATAGTCGACGATCATCATGGCGTGTCTGAACTTCTTTCCTATTCAGGGCCCAATTTGACCGAGCAATGTATGTTCTCTCAACTCCCACAATGGTGCAATGTAACTCGGAGGAATACTAAGCGAGATTCCTAGCAGACGGGCAGGTTCGTTCCTTGCAGAACACATCCAAATGTAGGCGCATAAGTAGGCCTGGTGGGCCACCGGTGAGAATGACTGGGGACTTCCTCGTTGAATCTCAGCCCGTTGCCTGTTCGCAAAGGGAACCTTGTTCACGATGCATCGCGAATCGATGTCAAGAACCTTGCTCTTGCTCTCTTCTTCTTGGAGTTTAGCTTCCGGGTCTTTGATTGCGAATGAATCTTCCGAGGTCCTGTTTCTCGCCAATGACAGGTTGGTAACTGCCGTCAACAAGACTATAGGTGCGGTCGACCTTCTCACCCTCGACGGGCAAGACCTCCTTGGGTCTACCGGTTACATTCCCGTTACCCCTGGGGGTTCCTCCGGCAATGGCCAGTATGGTATTGGGCCGTATCTCGACTGCTACTGTATACCTTCGGGTTCTTACACGCCGGGATTCCTCAATTCAACTTACAAGCTGTTCAAGGGCGTTGACTCAACCAATGTCTCTTATGGTGGCATAGTCATGAGCGAGGTTTATCCTCCTACTGGCCAGATACTCGAGCAGTACTGGTTCTTACGAGATGGCGAGACCGGACTCCATACCTTCAGCCGTATAGCTTATTATAATAAGACCACCCCCTTTTTACGGAACCTACAGGAGTTCAGAACCCTCTTTCGCCCCAACACCGACCTCTGGACGGACATCATCACGGATGATAGCTTGTACGCTCCTTTGCCGGTGCCAAACCCTGCGTCAGGTAATATCACGAACGCAACCACGGTGCAAGATGCTACGTGGTATATTGGCAACCGGACGACCAACGACCCCTATGCTGAGCAGTTTTCTGACTATTACACCAAGTACACCTTTGCGGCTGTGTGGCGGGACCAGACGGTCCACGGTATGTTCGCAGATGGATCGGCTAGCGAGGACCACTCGACTTTTGGCGCATGGCTCGTCATGAACACCAAGGACACTTACTTTGGTGGGCCAATTCATTCCGACCTCGTGGTGGATGGGATTGTTTACAATTACCTTGTCTCGAACCACCACGGCGACGGCACTCCCAACGTCACCGACGGGTTCGACCGAACTTTCGGGCCTCAATATTATCACTTCAACAAGGGTGCCGTAGGAGGATCCTGGAGGGAGTTGAGAGATGAGGCGGTTGAATATGCATCCCCAGACTGGAACGCCGACTTCTATGATACTATTGCCCAATACGTGCCCAACTACGTCCCCACGTCAGGCCGTGGCTCGTGGAAAGCCAGAGTCGAGCTGCCAGAGGGGGCTAACAATGCTATTGCGGTCCTGGCCCAAAACAGTGTTGACTTCCAGGACAATGTTATCGACCCTTCGGCCTATCAGTACTGGGCAGATATCGGGTCGCATGATGGCACAGTGCAGATCGATCGGGTCAAAGCTGGTATCTATCGCTTGACGATATATGCTGATGGCATCTTCGGCGACTTTATCCAGGATAATATTGTCGTCACGGCAGGACAAATGACAGACAGTGAAAGCCTGGTCTGGACCCCTGAATCAGCTGGAAAGGAACTATGGCGTATCGGTACCCCTGATAAAGCTGCAGGAGAATGGAAACACGGGGTTTCTAAAGATACAACTTCAGCCCTCCAGCCACCCGAGTACCGCATCTATTTTGGTGCTTACGACTATATCACCGATTTTCCGGATGGAGTCAACTTCCACGTTGGCACTAGCGATACTGGCGACTTCAACTACATCCATTGGTCAGTCTTTGGCGGCTTTGCCAACCTTTGGCGACCTGACCAAGTGGAAGGCCACGGAGAGATCAACAACTGGACCGTCACATTTGATGTCGCAGCTAAGGATATCGAGAAAACGACTGAGGCTACATTTACGGTTCAGTTAGCTGGAGCCAAGACGGCGGCGGGGAACACGGATGTTTTCAATGCTACGCAACTATATAACGACTTGCCGTTTGTGGTTGTTGTGAATGGAAAGGAGTTGGAACCTTGGGTCATTCCGTAAGTTGTCGAAGAAGCAGACTGGCGTTGAAATATGCTAACATGTTTCACCAAAGATACTACCACTCTTCGTCTTGTGCTGTTCGTAGTGGCATAACGTGCTACCAGGTTGCTAAGAAGTTTACGTTCCCTACCAACTATTTGAAGAGTGGATCGAATACAACAAACGAGATCATCTTGAGTCTCCCGTATAACGCAACGGACTACGAGTCGGCTGTTTTGCCGAGGAGTGTGTATGTACAGTATGATGCACTACGGCTGGAGGTCCGATAGATACTGGTGGCATAAGAGTACAATGGACGCAGTTGAATACTTACTCGGCAGCTGGTACATAATTACAATTCCATCATCCTGGATGTCTTTATACTTCAAGAATGTTGAGATGTGATAACCAAACACCAATACAATGTCCAGATATGCGCACTGAGTGGTGAATAGTTGGGTCGCATATACCCCAATATGACCACGATTGTCTAAGTGCGGCCTCATTCAACTTTTAGCTAACATAGGGTTCCGACAATAGGTACCAGTAATATCTAGTGTACCACTCAGAATAATCATGCGATGGGTAAATACTTGTTGGGGCCCCAATGAACGTGATTGACCGATGGTTTCAGGGGAAGTATGCTTGGTCTGTGACCTGTTGTTGCCCTGTTATCTCGAGGATTGATTTGACGTGCACATGACAATGCTGCGTCTACATGTTGCATGATTCTAACAATCAGTTAGTTATCTGTGTGCACAATGGAGACACCGAAACAGACATAATAACTTCACTGACCCCACCAAGAATGTTATGGAATCTCCCTCTACGGTGCCGGGGATGTTGGTGCAACTAGCCGCTGGCCTGCATATAAACCAGGATCGTCATTGGGCACCCTCGTTGCCTTGTGGCCTCCTCAGCATAATTCAGGGTCGAACCCCTCCATTGTTGGAAATGGGCCCTATGACAAAGGTGCAGTGAATTCTTGGCCCCATTCCAAAGACTTTCATGAACACACGGTTTCTCATCCATAGAAGCTTTACTTGTTTTTCAGCCGTGTCTCCTTCGGCTATTTTGATACTATCAGCTTAGACACAAAAGCATACCTTCAAACGCTGCAAAAAGAGCCCCTTGCTAGAACGGATATTTGAGACTCATCCAGCCCTAAGAATAAAAGCATCCTTATCAACCACATGATATGATACCCATGGCCGAAACCACTGCCAACCTCATCCCCTGTCGTACCCAGGCCATCCAGAGAAACTTTGTACTACTATGCCAGTACCTCAACCTAGGCAGCGACTTTGACACAGGCTCACAAGGCCTAGTCCAGCACATGCTGCAAAGCTCCTATATCCGCCCCTTCTTCGACGAATATACGCGCGACTACCTGATGGAAGCCGAGGAGATAGAAGACATCAACCTGCAGAGCCTGCAGACATGGTGTAAGAAGAAGAAGGTCTTCACCGCCAAGCAGTACACCAGCTGCCGCAACGTGCCCGACAAGTTGGGCTGGACTGCGCTCGACCACGCCGCCAGATTTGTGGTGCAAGTTCTGCGGTACAGTTGGAGTCATGAGGGGGCTTGGAGTCATGGGGATTGGGACCCGGATTCGGATGGGGAGAGCGATTTGGAGTTTTGGCAGGTTTGTATGGTTTTACGGCATTTGCAGGCGGAGTGGGAGGCGGAGAACTTGCCTGATTGGGATGAGGATGGGCTGCTGGACATATTTCGAGAGTTGAATCTGGGCAGGGATGGGCTGCAGGACATGTTTGGGGAGTTGAATCTGGGCAAACTGTGAGACCTGGAGCTGGACTCGAAGGGGAGCAGAGCGCACAGAGCGTCGAAGTTCACTCGAGTCATTGGATCATGGACGCTACGTTTAGCGTTGCTGTCACTTGATTCTGGCACATTCACCAACCAAGCACTTTCGGGTGGATAGACGAACTCACGTGTAATGATTAACTTCTTTGCTGTTTATCTGAAGCTATTCTTATTCACTCTTACATAGCTTTAGAAGAAGAAAAAATAACATTTTCTTTTGGCCTTCGTATAAATCTGATAGAAACAACCGCCATGCTGGTCCCTAGTTGAGCTGCGGCCTCGCAGAACGCTTTTCTGTGCTGCCGTTTTTATAAAAAAATTCATCACTCCCTGCGAGTTTTCTTTTCAGTCAGGGGTGGTTGAATCCCGCAGCTAAATGATCCCATATACAATGCTTCCAGTAGAACTCTCCCCGGAACCGTCTACTTTCTAAAGATACCATGAGTTCTCACTCAGGACAACAGATGAGACGACGGTAGTCAATTTTTTTGTAGTAAATCGTCTTCGACAGCCAGTAGTATAGCCACTCATCTGCAAATTTACACTTGATTCGCCTGGGGGCTCGACGATGGGCCGCAACATTTTCCGGAATCATCGCGGCACATACCGAAAGCAGAAAGGGATGTACAAATCAGTTGCTGTGTAGACCAATGTACCGAAATAATCTCCAAAAGCCACTAATCACAAAAATAAAAACCAGCAGCGTGGATTATGGCCTGCCTATGGAGTCAAAAGTCGGCTTCAGCACTAGCAACAGGGCTACTCTCAAGTTTCTACAGTTCTGTTTGCACGTTAAGAGCCCGAGTAACAATGGGATCGGGGAATCTGGAGTTGCGCTGCTCGCACGAGACCAGGATAATCCATTAATAGAAACCACCAATTATGGTGCGACTGAGACTATGTCTATTGTTCCATTGTTCATCTGTTTATACACGTCACTATGCCAACCAGTATTGGGGTTTCGGGTATGGAATCTTGCCGTCAGAACACAAGGTCTAAGAACCAACATAGCTGACTTCAGAACCTAACAAACTAAATTTCTACCGAGCGAGAACCTCCCTCGAAAGAATCTCATATCACGCATCCGACATCCCAGCCCACTCCCCTAACCTCGCAATACACAACTCAATCTCCTCGTTTCCTACCCCAGCCCCCCCACAACCCCACCTAACCGCCTCCTACTTCCTCAAACTCCCAATCAGTCCCTCAGCCCCTTCGGGAATATATGCTGCGCCGCCTCATTGCGGGTAGCCATGATCCCTCCTCCGGCTTGAGCAGGAAGGCGGCATCCGAGGTGGCATTGCGTGGGGTATGGCTGGATAATTTTAAGGAGCTGTAGCCTTGTGTGTAATTTGTTTGGTCAGCCATGGTCTTTGCTGTCTGAAGATGATGGTCTTTGGTCGTTATTTTGGGAAATTTGGTGGTGTCAAAAGGGGCTTCGTCGATACATTAGTCAAAGGAATTGGTCAGGTCAATCCTCGGAGACAGAACTGTTATGACCAACACCTGTCATTCCATTGACTGTGGGTGCTCGAGCACTCCGTATTGATGCACTCGGCTAGATGTAGTTTGAAGATGACTTCAGACAGTCAGTGATAAGTCAAGTACGCCTGTGAACGAAAGTGGTATCATCAGTTTTAATGCGGTGTAGCTTCCAGGTTTTGGTCGGCTCCTGTCGCACAAGTGTAGCCTTCAACTTCAGCCTCCCTTGCAGACAGTTCTGTACGTCCGCACGGTAGCATAGCATACATTCGGCTCAATATTTGCACATGCGCCTTTCATTCAAATGAGGACAATTGTTTTGTGGGCCTTTTGTTGCAAATAATTTGCTGCAATTTAACTTCAGATGCGCTTCCGACCTCCATCTCGCTATTTATAGAAGTAGGCCGAGCGCCCCAGAATTCCCCTTTTTCATGCCAATTCGGCCTCATCCATATTTCGCACAAATGCGCTGTACCACTTTACATTATTGATATGACCAACAACGCTGACTCTCTCATCAACCGTATGAATGTTACCTAGACCGACCGCATCATCCTTGTCCCAGCCAGGCACGTATCGGAAAATATGGGTGGTCAGGTCCCAGTAGTACCTCGTGTCGGTGTTTCCTGTCATGATGCCGGGCGCCATAATCATTGCGTCACCATACAGACCGCGTGTGGTGCCAGAGAGAATGGAGTACGGAGTGATGGTGTCGACATTAGTCGGTGTCACTGGGGCAGAGTCGAGGTCATGCTCGGTGCGGAGCGTGATGGATCGCGGAATCTCTTCCTCGTCAGTGAAGGCGTGCAGCGTCAGGTTGTACTTATCCGCAATGGAAGAAGCGAGCTTTGTTAGCTTGGCCTTCACGGTAGATGGGTGGTCGCCGACGTTGACGCGGTGGTTAATGATGGCCGTGGTGCGTTCGGGAAGCGCATTGACCTTGACACCACCGCCGATGATGTCGACAGCCACAGAGGTGGTGAAGAGGTACTTGAAAGCATCCGAGGACTTGGCCACCTCGGTCGCTAGCTTGTCGATCTTGTTAGACTGCAATAATTTCTTCCATGTGGGAGGGAATTCCGGGGCGTGTACGGCTCCACATTCGAGCAGCCCGAGAAAGGGGTTCTCGTCATAGAAATACGGTTCGTAACGATTGGCTTCTACAGTGGTGATAAACTCGGACATGACTCCGATTCCGTTGTGCGGCGGTGGGATAGACGAGTGTCCACCCGGCATCCGAACGATGACCTCAACGTCAATGTAACCCTTCTCTCCAACACCTGGTGTGGCGAACACGGAGCCAAAGGCATCTACAACACCGGCACCCTCATCCACGATAGCCGCCACACCGTTTTTGCCATATCTCTCGAGGAGAAAGGGCGCCAGATGGCCAGCACCTTCGCGGCCGGAGCTTTCCTCATCGAAACCAAACGACATAATCAAAGTCCTCTTTGGCTCGAAGCCCGCGTCAAGGAGCAGCTCGACACTCTCCATGATGCCGATAAGATTATTCTTACAGTCCGAGGCACCTCGGCCCCAGACATAGCGGCCATCGTAGTGCCCGCTGAATGGTGGATACGTCCACTGTTCCACCGTGGACTCAGCAACAGGAACAACATCCTGATGAGCCATCAAGACCGTCGGTTTGAGGCTCTCGTCGGATCCCTGCCACGTGTACAGCAGACCGTGCGTGTTGACATGTTCCAAGCCCAACTTGCTGTGAATGAGAGGGAATGTTTTCTCCAGGTATGCTGCAAAGTCGTACATGGTATCCCATCTCTTATCTTCACCGACAGGACCCAGGTCATCGTAAGACTGGCTAGGGACCTGAATAGCCCCTGCCATGCGGCCAATTGTCTCATTGCGGAATTTGACCGAGTCAAGAAAGCCGTCCATCTTTGAGAGAGCCTCAGTCTTATGGGTAGGGAAGAGTGGCTCGACCTGTGCGCATTGCGCCAGTGCATGCTTCCCGGAAGATGCGTTATTGCCACCAGTGAGGTTATATGGCCTGTAGAGCCATATGAGAGCCAGCGTGCTGAGGGACAAAGCGCCCCATCTTAGACCGCGGCCTCTGGAGCTTCGTTGGGGTTGAGGTAGCGTTCCTGGCTGCACGAGGGGCAGCTTGCCGTAGGTCGACATGCTTCTTAGATCAATTGGGTAAAGACGTCAACGAAAATATCGCCTTTTGCCAGTTAAAGCGCAAAGAAGGGAACAAGTTCAGGGAAGAGTTGTCAATGATAAATGACTGGTAATGAGGTGATCGGCCCCCTCTACTCTCTCGTACCTGATAAGGCGGGTCCGCTTCCCCATGTCGGCTCCTGAGCAGCCGACCTCGGCTAAACCGCACACTCGGGTTAAGCTACAACGGGAAGGTCGAACCTTCACAGCCATTCCAAGTTGGACCTCTTAGCAGCATGAAGAGATGCTATGATCAATATACTCCAGAAGGCAAAGATAATGTATCGATGTATTTCAATGTAGGTTGAAATCTTGTCTTTAGTTGCCTGATGAGCTAGGTCATACATGGCATCAATGCCATAGACAAGGTCCTATACAAGCACAAGTGTAACATTCAAAAGCGTGGACCCGACCAATTGGTAGATGATTCAGGAAATTGCGCCCATCAAACATTATCTTGTGACCTTTGTTGCAAGTTAACTGATGCGAGTGCATATGGGGTGTGAATTGTTGTATTGGGAAAGGATGCCAGGTCAGCTATTCTGGCCTGGCAGAGCTCTTATCTATCTTATCTATAGCTATAGGGTAACCCCCCATGGGGTCACGTATCAGGGCTACTTGATCGTCCAGATACCGTGATTGTAACATTAGATGCGGTGTAAGTAGAGGCCAGGCACAATCGTCAATTCCTAGCGCCAGTAGCAGTTAGATACAAAGAAGGAAACTTGCCCCTCCAAGTCTCCATAGTGCCTTGAGCACTATTTGAATGTCCTAGAAGGTTTTGTTGAAACGCCATCGGATCGTCATGATCTTACCCGCTTCTCCAGGCGGGCCCGATCGCGACCGTCTAGCCAATCCTAATTCTAGCTTGTGACAGTGATCCTCTAGCTGCCTCTACGTATAGCTTAATATATATTGACGACGGGCAGTGAAACCACCCGCAGGTTTAAGGTGTAAGATGATGGCAACGGACAGCAAGATCCTCAACAAGACCTTACTATCCGGGAGTGGAAAGAAATAACAAGATCAAGAGCTCTTCTAGCTCTGATCAGAACAACAAGTACCTCAACAGGTACGAACAACTAGAGCCTCAGCAGGCTAGGGAAGAAAAGGAACCTCAACAGGCCCTTGAACAGTCACCTCAACAGGCACAATCAGATCTATAGGGGAACAGAAAGTACCTCAACAGGTACGTCAGACATTGAATGCCTGTCCAAGTAAAGAGAAATTGGTTCATATTACTGTGGAAAAGGCCGCTTGAATTCCTATCCTTTTTCTCAAGAGAGTGACTATGTACATGTCAGGGTACGGCTAGGCCGAAGGCAATAGTACAGAGTGATGGGGAGTAACGGGCGTCCCTCCTACGTAGCACCGGGTGGTCACTGGCGGTCTCAGGTAGGGGTGCCCACGATGATGCATTGATCTCTACTCCTTCCCTATCCTACTTCGAGATGGTCCTTATATAGATAGCTAGGCCGCCGCTTGGACTCGGCATAACAGCAGGGTCGGCGATGCCGAGGATCTTGACTCTCGTCATCCCAAAGCTTCACATAGATTGTAATCATGACTCGGGAGTCTTTTGTCCGAAACACCCCTCCGGCGGCCCACCGGTGTCCTGCGTTCAGTGTCCTGACAGTACATAAGGTCTTAAATACCCGTTAAGAACACGCTTACATAATTCGTCTGAATATCGAAAAAGAAAAACGAAAAAAAAAATAACGCCCAAAAAAACCCTAACCCCATGTCAATATATTTTCGCGTTATCCTATATAAAGGGATCCCCTAGCTCATAGAATAGAAGTAGCCCTTACTCTAGGACATCGTAATAAGACTATAAGGCTACTCCGTAGCGCGGAGAGTCCGGATCGCCGTCGTAGAAGACTAACTTCGATACCCCCCCTTCATTATCCCTTAACTAGATTATTCCCCATACTATAATCGAAATACGTGGCCGCCTATAGCTCTATGGGTTCACGAGATCCTCTCTATACCTCTCGTTCGCATAGCGGAAGACCTATTAGCCTAGAGAGTCCGACGAATGCTAGATCGTACACTCGTCCGAGAAGAGTATCCGTATAAGCTGCTAGATCTAGGCCGATATACGGTACTAGCGGCAGAATTTAAGGCGCTCCTTCGTATCTTCGGCTATTAAGACAATTCGCTTTACCGTACGCTATTTCTTTAGGTAGTACCGGTGTAGAACTAACTTAATAGCGTCTAGGTGTACCGATACACCTACCTTACGTTTAAGCTCCGTATACGTTTGATGCGTGCACCTAGGGGGGGAGGATGCTATAATGCAGCAGTGCGCAACGTTATAGTATCTAATTGAAGGGATTCACCTAACCAGTGGGTCCCCCTACCTTTTCGTATCAACGTTATTCTAGGATCCCGGCGGTATAAAACGACTAGATATCTCTTATCTCTAGCACTTAAATTTCTAGGGGTACCTATCCGCTTCATCGTAGCTATAGTTTTCGTTATTTTAGGCGCATCCGGCGATATTAGTGATAGTTTGGGGCCTTAACGTGCCGAACGCGTCTACTACCTCCTTCCGACTTATACCACTTGCCCTGGCGGCTACAATAGCGGCTCTAGCTTCTAGGCTAAATTCGCAATTCGCGCCGCGATTACCGCTTATTTCCATAGCAAAAGCTCGAAAATCCATTACAAATTATATTGTAATAGCTAGTTGAAATTAATAGGCTGATATTGTTGTTATTTCGATTGCTAAATTAGGGTGTGGGGTGTCCGGAGACTTTTTCGTGATTAGTGTAGAGAAAAATACTTCTCGTGATGCTTCTTTGTTTTCTCCTCGCCATCTTAACCTCAGAGATGGCGGTTAGCTGTGCCATAGTCACCAAGATGGAGCCTGCCAGCAGTACCATTCCCCACTGAACCTTGGGCCTTGCGCCCAGTCTCCTGGTGTTGCAAACCCCCAAGTCTCCCACACCCCACGGTGAGGCTGGCTGTATATTCTACCAGTTTGACAGTGACCAGTCTCTGGGTAGCGAATTTGGAAATAGATGCTAGATCCTCAATCTCGGTAGGTAAGTAGACAGACACCGGATTCGATCCGCACCCAGCACCAAGCACAAGCAGTCAGACAAAGCTTACCATAGCCATTCATAGCTGCTTCAGGAATCTAGATAGCAAGCTTGTCGCCTTTGTCGCCGATGCTGAGGGCAAGTATATCAGGTCGTGCCACCGAGATTCGTGCAAGCTCAACAACAAGGACGCTAGTCTCGCCTGTGAGTACGCCAAGTATGACCGCACAACTCTTATGCAGTCCAAGGTTAAGCTGAGTAGGTTCCCTTCCTTCCAGTGACACCAAAGTCTCAATCAACATGGCTGACTGAGCATGCAAACAAACGACGCGGTCGTGCTCGACAGCTCTTGGCTAGAATGCCATGGCGCCAAGAGTAAAAGAGTCCTGCTTCTAATGCCTGATCTTGTCAATCCAGTCAATGTTGTCGTTGATTTAATGTCACAGCGCTGGCGATTACAGAGCCACATAGTGCTGTATATAGCAGTTAGTGGGACCAAACGTCAGCAACACTGACATTTCTAGATCTTTTGGTCTATTGGCCTAGGGGCTTGGTCCTCCTCTTGTGACATTTAAGGTCTGCTGCGGTTGGATGATACTTGGAACTAGTCACCGGGTATATTTAAGATGGTAATGGACTGAAGCGACGACCGTGAGAAAGGCGGTAATAAACATGTGAGACAGCGGCACTAGCTTAGGCACCTAACTGCAGTCTTTATGATGAGATTCTCATAATGGGCGCAGCTTTTGTCTTGTGACTGTCTACCCCTTAGAAGTCTTAGAAGTGCCTCAGGCACGTCTTGTTGAGGAAGTGATTCTGCTCATTTCCATGATCTCTGGACAAAAGCCAGCAAGTTGACACAGTGACAATGAACAAACTAGACCATTTTTTGGTAGAGCTATCACCAATCTACCGCGTTATCGAAAACCGACTACCTCCTAGCCCCATGACCTATCCAATTCGATATAAACAAGTATACAGGCAGATTCAATCTGCGCCTTGCCCGTCCAGTTACCCCCGAGTGATCCCGCTCCATACCCGACCCGACCTTATCCCAATACCGTTCCACACCATGTCGTCAAATCATCAGCAAGTGAATTATACCACTCACTACATAAACCCAGCTGCCCACGTCCCTGCGTTCGGATCTTAACCAAAGATTGTCCGCAGATTCGATGCCTCCATGACATCAATCCAGTGGGTGTAGTTTGTTCCAGGCTGCTCCGAGTCATAACCAGCCCAGATCGCCTTGACCAGGTCCTTGGCAACCAGAACTGGCGCAGGTGGCAAATTGTGCTCCAACGCACTCAGACGCTCCATGATGAAGCGCCGCGCATGGCTGACCTCGATCGACATTCTCGTCAGCGAGATGGGAGGGTCTTCCTTGGGTTCTAGATCCATGAACGCACTCATTTCCATCTCCAGAGTGGAAGGCATGCCATTGGTCTCATTGAACGTATCTTGGATAGGAGAATGGTCTCTCGGTTGATTTGGTTGCTTCTCTTGCAGCTGCTGTTGCTGTATCAGCGTCTCCACGTCGAACCTCAGCCCGGTGCTGGCGGACAAGTACAGCAGGGGCTGAATGCATCGAGTCCCGGAGCTGGGCGGGATCTTCTTCAGCGTGTTGACCAGCCGAAGACTGAGAGGTACGATCCACCGGTCCCACGGCACGACGGAGGACTCTGTTGTGTCTTCCGGTAGTCGCCGTGCCACCAAGTCGGGGAATGTCTGGTAGAGCTGCAACAATGACGCCAGACGATATCCCTCGGCAACATCGACAAAGTGAGATCTGGGAGTCATCCTATCTCCAGTGTCCGAGATTTCATGAACACTATAGTGTTCGAGTCCGAGTAGTTCCTCCTCGATCTCCTGTGCCTCTTTGATGTCTCTGAGAGCAGTCTGCAGACTTCTCATAGTGGAAATGGAGTCCTTCTTGAGATGGCGCCTAAACCTACGACAGAGCTTGATGGCCTGCGCAAACAAGCGCTGTGCCGTGGCCGAGACACCGGTCCAAGGGTGTGGTATTATCGGCCCCGAGACCTGGCTATCCTGGGGCTCCTTCAGCCTCGGGGTGCCTAAATCATCTGGTTCGTCGGATACGACGGCTACGAGCATGTTCCAGTAGATAAGACTGTTGTTAAAGAAAGACAAGGTCTGGCGGTCTTGGGCCGAAAGTCGGTCGGATTCTTGATTGATTCGTTTGAGCAGTGTCTTTGCCTCCCTTAAGAACTGCCCGCCAATCTCCTTGGTGTTAATCCAGCAGGCCGCCGTGCCAACGCAACAGAGAGCAAGAAGTAGATCGGTAGGAAATGCCCCCAGGGTTGGGCCCTGCCCCGCCGCTTTGAGATCCCGCTGTATCGCCCTTATCGCACCCTTCAGATAGGATATGGCCACCTGCCTCATTTGGGGCATCTGCGAGCTTAGACATGTCGCGGACATACTCTGCAGGCAGTTCATGACGGCCTCTGACCTTGTCCATGTATCCGATGCAAGTTTCCGATTCAAGTTGACCTCAGAGTCGTAGCTGGACCACATGGAGCATACATGCTTGAACCACTCCTCAACAAGAAGTGAGGAGCGATCAGTGATGGTGCGTGGGATCTGCGGGAACATGGGCTGGTCGGATGGACTGAAGGAAAAGCCTGCACTCCAGAAGGAAAAGGGTGATTTGGGACTCAACGAAGACTCCAGTGGCAGCGACTGGTCTATGAAAGGGGCATCATGCCCCACGTCATCCGCTGGCGGTGAAGGTCCACATGCCACTGGCTGTTCCTCCCATATATCCTGAAGCAGGTCCTCGATGCCGTACTCAAATTCGGGCATCATGATGTTGTCAAGCATCGGGGTCAACATGCCACCACCGTCTGGCAAGCCATTGAGGTCTGCACAGCCTCCTTGCCCCTGTTCGTTAGCCCCGGCTGGGTCGACCTCGATGGGTTGCCCTTGATTGATGTTAGACGTGTCCCCTGCCAGCGCTTCATGTGGAGTAATGGTGTTAGAAGTGGCAGTGACGAGATCCTTGAGATTGGACGGACCCCTGGCTTTGGCGATCAAGGCCTTCTCATGCTTCGTCGACCACCTGAACGCTTGGTTATATCCGGGGCATTTGCGTCCATTTCTGATGCACTGATTGCAGAATGGCTTGTTTTCGTCACACTTCAGCTATTCGTATGCATTAGCACCCACAGTACGGCCCTCTCCTGAATATTCCTGTCACTTACCCGTTTAGCCTTGCATGTCGGGCAACCGTTGCGGGACCTAGTCTTGGGCTTGGCATTGACCTTGAAGCTAGCCTGCACCTGGCCGCGCTGCTGCTGCTGATTATTGCCATTCTCGGCCGGTGACTGTGGCATGTCGTTGAATGTTTCGATGCTATAAGCGGTAACCGGTATATAGTGGGCTCTGACACGGGACGAGGTGAGTAGTCCAACTTCGGAAGAAATAACCGCGCTTGGGGCAGAAGGGCCAGAGGCGATAGACTTTGATCCCCCCGCACGCTCCTTCGAGATGGAACACTCGGGAGATGGTGAGGGAGTCGCGGAACTGTGCTGTGCTGTGCTGGAGGGATAACTTTGCTGCTTCGCTCAATGTTTTAAGATTGATAACCCGATGGATAGGTAACCCTACCACGGCGATACCGGCTGTGATGCCCAACTGTCTCGCCGTGAGGCGTTGCCCAACTTCAGAATTCCGATCGTCATATGCCAATCAGCATCACCGTGTTCTTATCGTACGTAATCAGCAATCGTCGCTGGCTGGGGCTGCCGACGCTATCTCTGCCAAGCCGATGATTATCCAATCATCCACCTTGTCGTTCACTTCCAAGTGTGGGGGAGGGAGCCACGCCAACTTTATTCCCCAATGGGGCAATTAGACGCCGTGATAGCGTGCTGGCAGAAGATGTGTGGAAGATAACAAGGGGGGTGAGATCACTGCACATAACATTTGGTCTAGTTCGGTACGGATGGAAGAGTATTCTTGGACCGGTTTAGCTGTTCGACGTATTTGATTATAAGTCGCACTGTCAACTGTGTCGCGCAGTTGAGTTCTAGTATTTTTTTGGCATCCGGAGTTGACTTGTCACGGATCCGATCCAGATCACACAGGCCGAGATGGGTTACTTATCATCACTGTTGTCCAGTCGGGATTATGTGCTTCCCGCCACTTTGCTTTTACTCGCCCTCCTTTCGACCGTCCTCGCCCTTGGCGTTCAACAAGCCAGGTCACAGCGGCGGAGGAGTATAAGTGCTCCGACCGATGTTCCGAGATTCGAGAAGCGGAAAGCCGATAATCAGGGTCGAGTTGCTGGTCAATGGACCCCGAGCAGTTTCAAGTTTCCCAAGCCACCGCCATACCCGGAATGGTATCTTGGGTCTACAAAGCCACTTCCCTACCGGGCATTCCGCTATGGTCCCAAATACAACGTCACCATGGGTCTGCGCTCCGTCCGGCACGAAGACTGGATTCAACTTGACAGCCACTTCCCCAAATTTCACAACGACAAGGCCCGTCGCATCGCAGAACGAGCTGAAAAGTGCTGCCACACTGCACCTGAGGCTTATCCAGCAGCAATGGAATTGTTGCAGGAACTGACTGACTATCTGCCGGCTCGGTACCCAACCCTTTTCAGACGGACTCCCGTTGGTATCGACAATTTGTGGTCGGGAGAGTCGTTCAACATCATAGAGCACCCCCTGAAGGAAGACCCCATTGCCATTTGTGCTCGTTTGACCCAGGACGATCTCGCACTGATGATGGAAAAGCCAGACGGGCAGTACTATCTGCTCTCTGGCGCAATACTTCTCGCTGGCTTCTGGAGGTTGGAAGACAAGTTGGGCATGCCCCTGTCGGAGATTCACACTTCTGGCGACGTTCCCCAATTCAAAGAGAAGCTAGAGTCCGGCATGAAAAAGTTTTTCACACGTCTGAACTGCGAGGATCTCTACACCCGCAACAACTATTTTATCCAAGTTGACGATTCGCTACCGTGGAGCTGGAGTATAGGAGACGAGGATAGCAATGAAGTCAGTTGGTCGACGGCCGAGAAAAACAAGGCAATTGAGCATCACTTCTTCCGGTCTGAGCGACAAAGTCTGAGGCGTCTGCCCAGGACCGGCGCCGTTGTCTTCACCATTCGCACTTACTTCCATCCCATCACGGAGATTGCTCAGGAAGACTATGTACCGGGCAGACTCGCTAGTGCTATTCGAAGTTGGGGGCCAGATGTGAGCCGCTACAAGGGAAAGGAGAGATACGAAGATGTCTTGCTAGAGTATTTGGACAAAGAGCATCAGAAACAAGTCGAGCGGGGATTGGATATGGAAAAGGAAGATGACGTGAGGCAATACCCATGGTAATAACTTGACAAGAAAGCATACGCATCTTTAGATGTCTGGTGGGTTCGCCTGGAAACACCAATACAGGAGTCCATACGGAGTTGTTCTCTCAGCCGCACTTACACACTTATTTCCATAATCATGTAAAATAATGCATCCGTCTTTTCTCATTGGATGGCTCTTGAGAACGCCGGAGTATCCAATGCAGTGTATTTCATTCCAGTAACATAATTTCCAGGCACACATTAGTTCTCGTTACCTATATAGAGTACATATATATAGCCAGATAGACAGGGGCACGGCATATTTATAGACCAAGTCTAGGTGCAAGTTGTAGTAGACTGGACACACAAACACGACTTGTGTAAGTATGATTGGGAGCTCTTTACAACTAATTCTCACTCAACTTCAGTTACTACGACACGCGCAAATAGATTAACGGTCGAGTCATAGAACCATGAATTCATAATGTAACACTTCCTGTCTATCTCGATATTCCTTTTCACGGGCTCAGCTACCCATATGACCTAGTCCATTTCCTATTTCTCAACTCCCACACTTAGAAAGCGCTCTCCTTCCTCTGTCCGCAGTAAAACGCCAAGCCATAATTCGTCGTGGTGAAAGTGATGGTAGCACCCTTGGGGAAGAAGAAAACATCGCCCGGGGTCGCCTTGACCTCCTGTCCCGTCTCATCCGAGATGGTGTAGTCCCCCTCGAGAATAATCTTCATTTCGTCGTAGGTGTAGGTGTACTTTAGGGGCTCGCCCTTCTCTAGCCGGTACAGGCCGGCGGACATAGGCTTGTCCGGATTGACTTTGTCTGATGAGAAGAGATCCCCAAGGTAGGCATTGTCGCCGGCGAGTAGGGGAATCTTGAATGTTGACTGTGCCTTGGCATGGTAGTTGAATGCTACTGGTGAAGCCATTTTAGATTTTTGAGGTGATTTGATGAGGGATTGGAAGAAGTTAACCAGTGCAGTGAGCATAATTTGGTGGAGGTGGCAGGTGGTGACTTCTGAGTTTGTAATGGGCACGGATGATTGAACTTCAGATGATAATAGAGAATGAGAGTAGAAGTATCGTGCGAGGTGACATCTTTACATAGTTGAGAGCCCAGCGTCGGCCAACCTTCTTGTTTACTAGGATAGGTTCCGCCTAGAACCTTCGCTGACGTCATCGCAATCGTTCTTGCCGGTATAGGCCATCTCGTCGGACCCGATTGGTAGACGAAGTTGAGTGGTTGACTATAATATACTGACAGCTCCTCATTTGGATAATACAACCCCTACAGTCCCGAGTATAAAGTAATGTTTGGCCGTTATGGTTGGTCGGGATATTTTTTCCCGATAGGGTATGGTTGACCCCAGAAGCTTATCTTAACCCCCCAGCTTGTTAGTCGGACCACCCCAATACAACCCCTCTCAAGGCCTCTTATCATCTCCTATCAGTCTATCACGCATCATCCATGCATATCTCTCCGTCAGCTACATCTGCAGCGGGCCAAACCGAAAATAGGTGGCACAGTAACCCACGTAACCCAATGATTGACATGGAGTGCGAGCCGTATCATCCTAACATGCTGTGTCGCATTGTGTGCCCAGTGGCTGGGGGCTGGAATTTCGAAATTTGAGCTCCAAGGAGCCTTGTAATCTGCCAATAGGAATTGAAGATAAGAGCAACCATAAACCGGCAAGTGGGCGGGCGTCGTCACCGGGGATTCCCATGGTTCATTCCTCAGCATCACATCTGACCTGATCTTCCTCTTCCCGTATCTGATGAGCTGTGCGTTTCTCCAGTTTCTACCATTTTGATTCCAAAACTCAATCAGAATGGGGTCACTCGAGAAGAAGACTTCGGCGCCACGGACTGTGGCTCCTAGCGACATCCAGCATGGGACGATCGAGGATCCTTCGTCGTCGCACGAAGGACATGACCTGAGTGCGCTTGGGTACAAACCCGAGCTATGCCGCAACCGCTCCATGTTTACACTGCTTTTCCAGTCTCTGGCTATAGCTGCTGTGCGTGATGTCTTGACTTCAGGATGGGATAGTCGGCAAGCTGACCGTTACAGATTCCCTACGGTTTCGGCGCACCTCTTATTAGCGCTATATATGGTGGAGGTAAGTGAAGGTAACGCGTTCTTGTAAAAGCTGCTTAAACTAACGCGTTCGTATTAGGCCAACTGGCTATGTTCCTTGGATGGGTTATGGTCTTGATCGTCGACGAATGCGTGGCCATAAGCCTAGGAGAGCTCGCTTCAAGGTACCCCACGTCTGCCGGCCCGTATTACTGGTCCTTCCAAGTCGCAAGTCCTCGCATTCGCACTGGTATGAATCTTTGATAAATCGCAAGGTATTAAACCCACTGACGTATGCACAGTGCTATCATTCGTCACTGGCTGGACTTGGCTCGTCGGAAACTGGACCATCACACTGTCGGTCAACTTCGGTTTCGCATCTTTGGTGGCAGCAACAGTGGCTCTATACTACCCCGACTTCGAGTGGCAGTCGTGGCATCTGTTGCTGATATTCTACGCCATTTGCCTCATTACTTTCGTCATTGTCGCTTTTGGAAACAAGTTTTTGCCCTCTGTGGACACCTTCTGCGCTGTGTTTACTGCCCTCACCATCTTCATCACCCTGATATGTCTCTCAGCAAAAGCCGAGTCCGGGAGAAACTCGCCGAGCGAAACACTGGTATGTTACAGTCCTGCTATATGCATTGTAAGGGGCATGAGGAATAACTCGTGATTTCAGGGGCATTATGATACTACCCTGTCTGGCTGGGGCAGCTTTTCTTTCTTGATTGGAACTCTGCCATCTGCGTATACGTACGCAATGAACCCATCAAACATGATCTGATCTTGTACGGCTGACACTTCAAAGTTTCTCTGCCATCGGAATGATCTCTTCTATGGCCGAAGAGTGTGGTGACCCGACCATTAAGCTGCCCAAGGCTCTGGCTCTCTGCGTGCCCGTTGGAGGTATCGCGGGACTGTTCTTCATTATCCCCATCTGCGCGACCATGCCAGCTCTTGCAGACATCCTCGAAGCCCCAGTCGGACAAGCTCTGCCCTATATCTATCTTCGAGTGATGGGATCTCCTGCCGGGGCATGTGCCTTGACGGTTCTCATCCTAGTGATCACTCTATTCTGCAGCATATCCATCACAGTGGCCGCATCTCGCTGCACCTGGGCCTTTTCCCGCGACCACGCTGTACCGGCTTCGCATCTCTGGTCCCGCATCGACAAGCGCCACGGTACCCCTATTTGGGCCCTCGTTCTCACTACCGGAGTGCAGATGCTCCTAGGACTTATTAACCTCGGCTCTTCGTCAGCCTTCAATGCTTTCGTTGCTGTCGGTGTAATTGCCCTTGCCGTATCTTATGGCATCCCCATCACCTTGTCCATGATTTACGGTCGCCAAGGGGTCAATGGAGCTCGGTGGACGATGGGACCCACTATCGGCTGGATTGTTAACGTGATTGCGGTGGCCTGGATCGCCTTTGAGGTCGTTCTCTTTTCGATGCCTACTGCCATTCCCGTCACGGCGGTGAGCATGAACTACGCCATCGTTGTGTTCGTTGGTTTCATGGCTCTGAGTGCCATTTGGTATGGTGTGCATGCTCGTAAAGGTGAGCTTCCATATCCCCTATTCTCTGATCATGCTGCATCCAATCAATTACTAACACACTAATTCCTTGTTAGTATACAAGGGACCGCCTGCATCGGATGGACTAAGGGTTTCATAATACAAACAGAATAGTAATCTGGCATAGGTGGAATGACCATGGAAGTTACCCCTAGGTTAGATCCTTTAGTTGATACTTAGGATCAAATCGACCGCTGTTGCTTACGTTGCTGGGGTCATGAAGTGCCCATACATGTTAACAAACGATATCCTTGACGTCACATATATCTCCGTCTCTTTCTAGATAGATGTAGAATGGCCCGTGAACCCTCAGTCAGACAAAATACCCAATGTTCTACTGCCGCGGATCGAAGACTATCAGATTGCGCACGGCTCGCTCTTTGAAAGTCCCAAAGTTGGCTATGGATATCAACACTCCCACATCAGTAACGTAGCACAACCAGCCGATATCAGTCTTGTTCCGATACAATTCCCCACGAAGTCCAGATGCTGCGGCAAAACTTCATGCACATGTAACCCTTCAGTCCAATGGGACTCTACCCTTTCGCTAGCCCAAGTTGAAGAAATATCACACCAAGTCAGCAACTTCCGTGTAATTGATTGAAGTCGTTTACGAAGCTGTTCACATCATAATTTAGAAATAGGGGAAAAGAAATATTAGAAGTAGGCGATCCCGCAATTTTTGGAGGTGCAATGCTGGTGTTCCGTTGTGAAGCAACATTATATGTGTGATATTCTGTTTTAACACTTCCTGGAAGATGTCCCCTATATTAACATATCAAAGCCGTCACTATGCCCTCTCGCAGCCTATATACCTGTATAGAGGCATGCATGGTCGATGCTATCTTTGATGTTATAGATAATGGCATATCACAAATATATTGGTCCAGAAAATCGGAGCACCGCAGAGGACCCTAGCAGATCGTCTTACCGGTATATACAGACCACAATATGCGTAGATATAGCCAGATCCACGCCTATCAGTATTTGCGGAGTGTATACTTTTTGAGTGGACTCTGGCGCAAGAATACATAAGTTGCGCCCCGTCACATGGCCAAGTGAAAGCCGCTATTCGACACTACGGTAGCAGTAGGGATATCAACGGCCGTTAGGGGGGAATTGGCTGGATAGATCTATTTCGCGGCACCCTGAGATTAATCCAAGATTAGAAGACGCTAATAAATTGTCAGATTCAACGGCTTCGCGCCAAAGGACGTTAATTAGTACTTAATATCAGGAAGAAGTACGGACAGATTAAGCCAGAGAATACCGTGGATGCCGATAAGGGTGGCATGATGGTTTTTAATTGTATCAAAGAGACCATCAAATAAGTCTTCATCGTTCCTATCAGGAAATCCTAGTGCAGCCCTTGATACGTCATCATCGAAAAACATCGGCGGTTCAAGATCAAATGACCGGCTTCGGCATTGTGGTCAAGTGCTAAAGTATCGGCTGCTTCCAGAGGATCCTGTAAAATATTTACCTGCGGCATCTGGCTTTCTCTAGGTTCGGAGGATGCCGTATCAATACATGTAGACAATGTAGTACGAGTAGCATTATTCTCGTTGACTTCCAGCGTTGAGTTGCCAGTGTGTTTTTCACTCGTAGCCCGGGAGTAGCTCTCTGCAATCCTATCAAAGAGCAGATTCATGATTTCCCTCACTAGAGTTGACTAAAGCACACCCAGATCCCTTGTTCTCACGGTATTTTATATGGGATCTCTGCCCCATGTGACTGAAGCTGTTCGAGGATGATTGTTGGTCCCTGCTCATCGCAGAATTTGTGGAAATTTATAATCTCATGGATTGGGGTTTCAGTATACGGGGATGAAGGTCTCTCGACGTCAGGAAAGAGTATGTCCAGACAATGAAGCATTGCTGCTCTGTACTCAAAGTTCTGTCGACTCGAGTTGAAACCCTTTCTGGTCCTCAATGAAGCCCTCGGGATCTGTAAAGTCATGCACGAGTATGCTCCCATTGCGCACGCTGGGTCTCGAATTATTGTCCGCACACGGGGCAATACTGTGGTTGTCTATGCTTACGGGATAGATGCTGCTTAACGTCCTTGGTTCGATTCAAGCGGAAAAGAAGGCACTCTTATCGCTGGAACTTGTTGTTCTTGTAGTAGGGACACGTCAACGAAGAAGTTGTCCCATACGTGATACCGTGTTTGGTGGATATCTTTGCTTCTTGCTGTGGAGACTGTGCTCTCTGCTATCATTGCCACTGTTATCCTCATCCGTACGTCTCCTAAGCTGCTTTCCCGTGTCGGATTAATTTGGAAGGCCGCTAGAGTTGCAGGGACTTGTCGCCAAGCATTCGGAGTCTTCTTTTTGATAGGCTTTCCATCTGGCGTAAATTTCAGGACCTATTCGAACTGTTTCGGGTAGTTACAGAAGAAATGGAGGCCCCGAATCAAGCTTCTCCTCATCAGAAAATTCTGAGTTCAGCTCGAGCTCCGAGTCGCTGTGCTTAACTTCCTTCTGGTCTGGGCATGTTTGGTCGCTCGTCGCGGGTTGAATGGGTTTCTTTGTATTGAAGGCTTCCTGGATATTGGTTTGTTTAATACAATTGGAAAGGATATTGCGCCTAGCGCGGAAACTTCTTTGACTTGGGATTTAGAGGGAAGAATCGAAATCTGTCAGTGAGTCGCTCGTTGGACGTGACGAATGTCGCGCGGGTTCTGTCTATTATATGGTAGACCGCAATCCGAACGTGGAGCCTTCCTGGTCAGCTGGGTCAAGAGCATCTAGAGTTCCCCGGTCATAGCCAAGATAGACGATAAGGATCCATGATGAATCAAAAAATGCGTCTTAGAACTACAAACAGCTCTTCGGGAGGAGTTCAGTACTGCAAAGAGTGATCGGAAGGTATTTATATACTGTTGCCACTTGCTCCTTTCTGTTAGGCTCTTTACTTGGCGCATCAGGAGGCAGTGTCTCCGTTGGTTGGGGTCGTCGTGCTCTGGTTGTGGTCTAATTTTAGATGAGGATTTCCTTTTACCAGAGCTACTTTCATGGCCAATATGCGCTGTTATTTTCTGTCTGTCACTTGACTTCAGTTTCGACGAAGTTGAGCTGGCTGGATTGCGTTGCTTAGTTGTGTCTCGTGGCTGTGGTGGTGATTTGAAACGGGAAGCTTCGGATTTAGCGAGTTCATGGTCGACAAGGGAAATTTTGGGCTCAGCGAGTCCATGGTTGACAGGAGAAGAAGGCAATGTCAGCTTAATATGGTGGGAGAACTCTTCTTCTGATCCAGCATAGGCATTTCTAAAGATTGGCGCACTTCTGGGCTCTCCGTAAGCAGCTGTCAAACTCCCAGCCGTATGATCCTCACAAGGATGGTCAGGTGTATTTCTGGTTGCTTGGGTGCTTCTAGAGTTGAAAGGAAAAGCTGACGAAGATTTCTCCGCCAATGGCGTAACAGCAACATGGGCAGAAGAAGGCGACCGTCCTTCAATCGAGGAGTGCGTTGAGAATTGGTGCTAGGATGGCAGGAGTAAGGCATCTAGAAAAACGATGGCTGCCTCATCACCTGCACATGCAAGATGATTTGACCAATGATTGTCGTCACATAGCTACACTGCCTGCACGTTGTGCATACCTGTATTGAGTATGTATAGCATCTATGTGTCAGAACACTGATATGCCCTTAATTTCGAAATCAAAGGGTTCTCGATTGAAGATAACTTTAGTATAACCAAATTGCGTAAAAGTCTTATGAGATAACCCCGTACTGACCATGTGAAATGTGTAAATGAGATTTGGAAGCAACTCCATGCATAAAAGTGTACTGAAGCAATATGCTGGATCAATCCTCCTTATTAATCAAGGCCACAGTGGTTCTAAAGATGGGTACAGTCAATGCCATCATTTCAATATAGTTCGTTGCTAACCATTCTAAAGCTGATGTAGAACTGCGACGCAGAAGTCCGGCGGCCCAAGCACTCTATCTGAGCGCCAGCAACTTTACGAATCTCGGATGGGCAGTTACTGCTCCGATGACATCAATGCCACTGGGTCTCCGGCAACGGAAGATTTAGCTCAGAGCGTCCATAACCATGAAAGGGACTGAGCATTACCATTGAAAATACCATGCTCGAATTGGGAGCTACTTTGTCTCGAAGGAAAATGAACAAATCCCAAGAAAGGTTGGCTACGGTGGAGTTGTTCGTACGCAGCGCGTTTCCTCGGAATAGCACATATGGTTTAATGTAAAGTTCAGGTGTAGGTGCACAGAAGAACAGAGGTCTTGGAATATCAACTCATCTGTATGAATTAGAGTTTGCCGGTATTTGAATCAGCATGGGTGGAATTTATTGTCTGACACCTCAAACCTCAAAACCTGTGTTAAAAAGCTCAACCGTGGTGCCTTTATGGTTGGGAATTAGTATACCATAATAAACAATATCATGAACATCCAAATTTCAAGCCCTATGAATGGGTTGCAAATTGGTAGAGATATGGTAGATTCTGGGGTCCTGTCTTCCTCCGCCTTCAAATTACCCAAAAAATAGGCTATCAGGGACCTCTAGCACGGGCAAATTAGCTATTTCAGCCTTACCAACCAAAGTCCGGAGAATGATGAGGGTACTAGAAATAATCCACGTCAACCCTAGCTCACCACGTTGGAATGGTGAGGTTGTTCTGACCCTTGTATGCATATAGGTCGGTCATAGAAGCAGTGTCTTAGAGACATAAATGGTCAGCAAGCTGATATATACTAAGTAAGCAGGGGTGAATTATTGAGAGTTATTACGAACTGCAAGTACTATCTGATATGTAAAACGAAGATAACAGACTATATATACTCTCGATATCGAACTACAATTATCTCTGTAGTAGCCTTATATAGCTCTTGTGCTAAAATGAAGTCCTTACAGCCGAAGCATCTTGGAAATGAAGCCCAGTACTATAATATAGAACCAACTTCATAGTAACACAAATTCGCCCTTAAAATCTATTGAAAAATGCTCTGTATGAATCTGACTGATCTTTGAGAAACAAAAAACCCTTGGTTGAAGTGCGTGCTATTAATTAGCTAGTACCGTTGTCCCTACTCGTTGTCAACGCCGCGGCACACTATGTAATAATAATGAGACCCCAAGAAATTGAAGTATGAGAAACAGAGGTCTTCACAAGCACTTTACTTTTAAAAACCATGGAAGACTTCTCATACGTGCCCCGCGTGCCTGTTATAACCCATCTCGATGGTGTCTGTTGAATATCAAATATTGTGGTTGTGGCTGTTTCAGCCACAACCACGTCCTCTAGCTAAATATCACTAACCAATGAACTTTTCGGAAGAGAAAAGAAGAAAGACCCTTCCATGCTGCGCTATCGAGCCTGCTGCGCTATCGGCCTTCCACACGAGTCAACATCGGGGGGCTATAGTCCGAGACGATCGTTCCAAGCTATTCCCGTTCCAATTCCAATCTAACAATTGAAGAGTACTAGGACCGCTCAACAAAGCAATTGGAATCGCTCCTTTACGAAATCGGGTTTACGGCTCGCCGCATATTGATCCATTCCGCGCCTCCGACTTCCGCTGATGAGTTTAAGCATTGCACATCTCCGGAGAAGCCATACTGCTCTAAGCCCGCAGCTTCCTGCAGCACTTACACGAAGAAATTTGCCCTGGTAAGTGAGCCTTATCGTAATTGCCGTTCAGCCAATAATCAACCAACCTTCAAGCTTCTAACATTAGTATTTGAGGAGTTATAGGTCCCACAAAGTCACACCTCAGCTCTCACGATATTCTCTCTCCTCCCCCACCCCCACTAAACTTCTGTTCCGAACCGGAATCGTACATCGAACCCGTCTCTTCTCAACGACAGCCTCAAGAATGGAACCTCCCCCCCCACCACCCGTAACGACCGCCGGCGACCTCGTCGAAGCCGCCAAGCGAGCCGCAGGCCGCAAGGCCGTCGAAGAACACCTCCTGCCGTCCTACACACACATTGGAATCGGGTCAGGTTCCACCATCAAATATGTCGTCGAGGCAATTGCGGAGCTACCCCACGACGTCTTATCCAAGATGAAGTTCGTGCCTACCGGGATCCAGTCTCGCGACCTGATCCGAACCGCTAAGTTGCCTCTGCTTGCCATCGAGGACCTCATATTGGAGAAGGAGTACAACCAGGTGCAGCAGTACTTGGACGTGTCCTTCGACGGTGCGGATGAGGTAGACCCGGAGATGAACTGCATTAAGGGTGGTGGCGCTTGTCACTACCAGGAAAAGTTGGTTGCACTGTCGAGCAAGAAGTTCATCTGCGTTGCTGGTACGTCCGGACCCTAGCCTTGTATTCTGACATATAGACAAGCCACTGACTGGCATCGGAACCAGATTACCGCAAGAGAGTTGACCGTCTGCTCACAAACTGGGTGGGCGTGCCAATCGAGGTCCAGCCGCTAGCCACGGAGAGAGTGCGCCGTGAACTCATCAGCATTGGAAGTCGCAAGCCCTTCATAAGGTCGGGACTGCCCGGTAAGGCCGGCCACGTTGTCACCGACAACGGTAACCATGTCATTGATGCGCCATTCCCGCCATTATTGCTCAACAGCGAGGCCCACAAGGCCGACGCAAATAAAGGAATATGGTCAGTCGATATGCTAAACGCAAGACTGAAGAGTATAGAAGGTGTGCTTGCCGTAGGTCTCTTCTCAGGGTTGAACGGGCCTAAGGCGTTGGAGGAGAACAAAGGCAAGGGTGGCGAGAAGCCAGTTATGGTTTACTTTGGTATGGCCGATGGAACGGTTCAGACGATGCAATAGAGCAAATATCCCGTAAAAGTCGTCCCGTCTGGTCAAGCAATAGGTAACTGGATCCTAGGACATCTCGATAGGACCCTTACGTACTTGATGAGACTCCGTATCTTTGTGACTTTTTAAGCATGGGCAGATACTCCAACCACAAGCTTGCCATGATAGCGTATACCCGTGTCCGCTGAATTAGGAGCTGGTAGAAACATTACATATAAACTTAAGTCATACCGGTAAAGTAGTGTGTGGTGCAGACGGCTTCGCAATTGGCCTGTGATTCTCTGCGGCTTCCGCTTTTACTGCCGCCGCTAAGGGACGTCGTACTATACAATGCCAAACTTAACGAGGATCAATCCGCTATGCTAAAATATTCTGCCATCACGTCCGCCGGCATCGTCGTATCGTCGTTCTCTTCGGTTCGGGAATGCTCTTGCACTCTTGTGTACTTGACAATGTCTAGCAAGCACATCCATCTTGCTGCGCGTTCTGGGTGTTGGTCTTGACGTCGATCACTATTCTGTGTTAGCCACGTGCTCCCACTTCTTGACCAAACTTGGTATGTACGCGTACTCTGTGACGACGCTTGGGCGGCAGCATCGGTTCCCTCCATACCGGGCAGTGCCTGTGCTATCCTCCTAAAGAGCGTCTTGACGTTGTGTCCCAGCTTCGCGCTCGTCTCAACAAACATGAGGTTATTCTTCTTGGCCTCGTCCTCGCCTTGCTGTGTCGTCACCTCACGCTTGTCGTTCAAATCCGTTTTGTTGCCGACCAAGACGATGATGACGTCGTTACCTCGCTCAGCTCTCACATCATCTATCCACTTCTTGGTGTTTTGAAACGATTTCGCATCTGAACACGTGTGTTAGCCTGGTTGACCATACCGGCTCGTTCGGGAAGAAAGACGTCATCGTACTAGATATATCGTAGACCACCACGGCCACGCTCGAGTCTCGAATGTACGAGGGGATTAGACTTCGGAATCGTTCTTGCCCTGCCGTGTCCCAGAGTTGTAATCGTACGGTCCTGTCTTCAAGGTACATGGTCTGTAGTCGGAAAGTCTGTCAGCCAAGCCGAGCTTCTTCTTGCTGCTGGCCCGTCGGGGTTTCAATGCTTGCCTTGGAGAGGAAGTCGATGCCAATGGTGGCTTGGTACATGTTATCGAAGGAGTCGTACATGAAGCGCGTTATCAGTGACGTCTTGCCCACTGCGTGCCACGCATGTCCGAATTAGCCCCCGCGTTCATTTCCTGCGAGAGGGACCATCGTAAGTGCATACCGCTTTGTTCGCCAAGAAACACCAGTCTTTAGAGGGGTTAGCATTGTGTAGACTCCGGAATGCAGAGGTATATCGGGGCGCGGTTACTTGAATTTCTTCAATGGGTTGTTGTACGACCCGGACCCAGACTGAGCCATCTTTGCGTTATCGTTTTGGTGCTTCGGTGTCGGATCGGTATGTCTTTTGCTGTAGCCCGTTGAGCGTTGAATCCAGATGCCTAGGGTAGAGTGCCGGAAGCGCTTTGGACAGTTGTTCAAGTACCTTGAGCAATGGAGGGCAGGGTAAGCTTTAATTCAGATCGTGTTATGAAGTACCGTAGCATAGAAAGGGGCCAGTGGACTCCTTTGGCCGCAAGTGGATCAATCAGACAAGACGAGTGTTCAAAGACCAAAAAGTGAGCTAGAATGTTTGGAGGTCATGTACAGCAAGCGGCTGGCTTCAATGGCAAGTAACTTAAGTTGTTCTGAAAGCAGATGAAGAAGAGCCGCAGTACGAAGTAGTCAATGGTGCAGAGGAAGAAATGCTGCAATTGTGCAGTTGCAATGATCTCTCAATGCTTCAAATATTTTTCTTCGTTAATCACCAGCAATGCTTCAATATTGCTTAGTTGGGGCGGCCGGGCCTGCCTTATGGTGGACGACAGGTGGGCGTATCTGTGGCGTTTTGGCCTTCGCAAACAAGTCACTTCCAATGCAGGGTGCAGATGCCAGCTGCATTTGCTGCCACCAGGTGGGAATGGGCAACTGTGGCTGCCAAAGTGGACCAGACGCCAAGACAGATAAGTTATCGTCGCATTTGAGCGAGGTACAAAGTTGGAAATTTTCAGAAAGCAAGCGTCCCCGCCAGAACCGAGTCGGTGGATTCAAGACAGTAAACCTCTCTTGTGTCACGATCAATCTAGAGTGCACTTCTCCAAAGAAATTCTCCAAAGAAATACTCAACTATCTGGATACGAAGATGCCTGTCCTGGAGCCGTTGAGAGGCTCAGCCGATGCGCCCGCCACTTACAAACAGCCTTCGAGAAAAGGCAAGAAGGCATGGAGGAAGAACGTCGATGTCACCGAGGTGCAACAAGGTCTGGTGGAGTTGAATGAGGAAATTATCAAGGGGTTCGTAATATCGCGTCGTTGTTCAATGTATCTATCACCGGCTGACTTATTTATCTCACAGTGGTGTCATTGCTGAGCGACCATCTGAGCAGCTTTTCACCTTCGACACATTCGGCGATGCGTCCATCCCGAAAAAGTTCCCAAAGCATACATCTAAGCCTCTGAAGTCCGAAGAGATCATCGCCGCTCGTTCTCTCGTCCCCGCCGTTGACTCCCGAAAGCGTCCCGGCATCAAGACCAGTGATGGCATTATTCCTGCAAAACGGCAACGGACCGGATATGTTACCCAGAAAGAGCTTGCTCACCTGCGCAGGGTAGCAGATGGTCAACAGGAAATGACTGTTGAGATTTCGGACACTGTGTTCGACCCATGGACGGCAGCAGCCGATACACCGAAGGACCCAGAAGCCGTATACGACTTCAGAAATGACCAGACGAAGGCTCCGAAATCTTTTGCCAAAAAGCCCATTTCACTAGCAGCAAACGGCAAGCCTATACCGGCCGTAGCCAGGCCGTCAGGAGGATACAGCTACAATCCGGCATTCGATGACTACGAAGCCCGTCTGACGGCAGAGTCTAAAAAAGCCATTGAGGCTGAGCAGAGGCGCCTGGCAGAGGAGGAAGCAGAACGCATGAAGGCGGAGGCGGCAGCCAGATCAGCCGCCGAGGCTGAAGCAGCCGAAGCACGAGCCCAACTTTCAGAATGGGAGGAGGACTCGGAGTGGGAAGGCTTTCAGAGTGACGGCGAGGAGTTGAAGGTGTCTGCCAAACAACCGCAGCGGAAGACGCCTGCTCAAAGAAACAGGATCAAGAGACGCAAGGAAGAGGAGCGCCGTTTGAAGCACGAGAGCAAAACCAAGTTAAAGAAGGCCCAAGCCGAGCAGATCAAGCAAATTGCGAAAGCCCTCGCCGAGAGAGAGGAGGCTTTGGCATTGGCACGAGCCGAAGAGAGTGACAGCACTGCTGAAGGGAACGACGAGGAGCTTCGACGAAAGCAATTGGGCAGACGCAAGCTGCCCGAGAAGGATCTTGAGCTTGTTCTGCCGGACGAGCTGGAGGACTCGTTGCGACGTCTGAAGCCGGAAGGGAATCTGCTTAAGGACAGGTATCGAAATCTGTTGGTGAACGGCAAGGTCGAGATCACAAGAAGGATACCCTTCAGGAAGCAAGCCAAGATGAAGTCGACCGAGAAATGGTCCTACAAGGACTTTCGTATATAGAAATTGTGGTATATTTGCATATTTCTACTTCCTTGCCTATTGTTCCGCAAAAGGCCTACGTATTCATGGTGAATCCAGGGGTGCACATGGCTTTGACCATGTCAAGGTTTTTGTCCTCGGCGAGTTCGGAGTTGATGTGCACAAGGCAGCTTGATCTGGAGAGCGATGCCGGTGACACTGGAGGATTGAAATTTTCAGGAGGCAAGAAGTGGACTTGAGCTCAATAACTGCAGCCAATGGCAACTCTTAAGCCATATGGGGGAATGTCTTGTGGCGTCAATCAAATCATTGCTATCACTCTCAAACTTTAGTAAGCGAGCACAAATACTTGTGTACTCAATGATTGAAATGAAAATAGGAATTGTATCGTTCATTTTACAAAAGTGTTGCAATTGGCATCTGATATGATCGCCGATAATTGACAGAGCTGCCCTGAGATCCTCAGGTCCTTCCCTGCTCCCTGCCGTCAAGTGGGCCACATTAGGAGCCAAGTCATGCTCAGGGCCGATTAGCTGGGTTATTATGACGCACTACAGACAGCAGATCGACCAGGAACAGCAACGAGCGCCGGGAGACTGGAGCTTGACTATTTTGTAAGTTGATCTTGAACTGCCCATGCAACGTCACGACCAATTCTTCAACTTTTCGACCTTTGCAAGGCAGATTCCCTGCGACTTCGACATGCAACTCTTATCCGTGTAGTAGCTCGCCGACGCATACCAACTTCTGAAGAAGGTCAACATGCCTCTAAAACCGGCAGTCCCGGCCAGCGCCATCCGGGTGTGCCTACAACAAAAACCGACGCCTAGTTATCGCTTGACAGCTTCAATTTTCCAAGCACCACACAATGCCAGCCAGACGCGCCAGTTCCGACTCTTCACACGCCCCCCATCTTCAAGCCAAATCACTACCACTAAACCCACCAGCTCGCTCTTCCCCACGAAGAAGTCAGCGAGAGCTCTCTCAGGAGCCCCCTTGCCTCAACGACGATCCCCTGTCCTCAACTTCGCTTACCGCACTGCCGCTGTGCTCGGTACTGGTGTCGGATTCGTGGGAATACTGGTGTTGGCTTTCTTTGCCTATGACGCAACAACCTACAAGGAATCGGTCAACTTTGGAGAGTGCCAGGTATCTGAATACGCATTGTCGCCACGACGAGGAGGACCAAAGAATTTACCCATTGCCGAAGTTCTTATCGACGATGAAGACACCGAGGAAAAGCGCCACCAAAAGTCGAAGCCGAAACTGGTGATTCTCGGTAGTGGTTGGGGCAGTGTCGCAATGCTCAAACAGCTAAACCCTGACGACTACCATGTTACCGTTATCAGTGACAAGAACTACTTCCTGTTTACTCCTATGTTACCCTCCGCGACTGTAGGCACGCTTGAAATGCGAAGCTTAGTTGAACCGATACGCCGAATCCTCTCCAAAGTGAACGGTCACTTCTTGCGGGCGCAAGCCGAGGACGTCGAGTTCTCACACAAGCTGGTTGAAGTTTCGCAAGCTGACGCCAATGGCAACCAGGTCCGATTCTACGTCCCGTACGACAAGCTGGTCATCGCTGTGGGTTCGGTGACAAACCCTCACGGTGTCAAAGGCCTGGAAAACTGCCACTTCCTGAAAGATATTAATGACGCCCGGAAAATTCGAAATCAGGTCATGAAAAATCTAGAACTCGCCTGCTTGCCTACTACCTCTGACACGGAGAGGAAAAGACTGCTATCCTTTGTTGTCTCCGGCGGTGGGCCTACCGGCGTCGAGTTTGCTGCCGAGTTGTTCGATTTGCTCAACGAAGACCTGACCAAACGATTTCCCAAACTGCTCCGTAATGAGATCTCTGTCCACTTGATTCAAAGTCGAGGTCACATCCTGAATACGTATGACGAAACCCTCTCTAAATACGCTGAAGACAGGTTTGCTCGCGACCAGATTGAGGTCTTGACGAATTCCCGTGTCAAAGAAGTAAAGCCCGACAAAATCATCTTCACCCAACGCGGTGAAAACGGCGAGTCGCTCACAAAGGAATTACCATCCGGCTTCTGTCTCTGGTCAACAGGCGTCTCGCAAGCTGAAGTCTGCCAGCGTATTGCCGCCAAGCTAGGTCCCATACAAAGCAACCAGCACGCATTGGAGACAGACACACACCTACGTTTGAACGGCACGCCGCTTGGCGATGTTTACGCCATTGGTGACTGCAGCACGGTGCAAAACAACGTTGCGGATCACATCATCACCTTTGTACGTGGTCTAGCATTCAAGCATGGCAAGGATCCCGAAACCCTCGAACTTCACTTCAGCGACTGGCGCGACGTTGCCGCCGACGTGAAACGGCGCTTCCCGCAAGCCGTCGCCCATCTCAAACGCCTCGACAAACTGTTCTCCCAGTTCGACAAGGATCAATCTGGAACTCTCGACTTTGGCGAGCTGCGTGAGCTACTGAAGCAGATTGACAGCAAGCTGACCTCCCTTCCCGCGACGGCCCAACGTGCCAACCAGCAGGGCGTGTATCTGGCGAAGAAGCTGAACAAGTTGGCGCATGCGGCACCGGGACTCAGGGCAAACGATATTCGCGATGGCGATCTCGACGAAGCGTGTTACAAGGCCTTTGAGTACACTCATTTGGGCAGTTTGGCCTATGTTGGCAATTCCGCCGTGTTTGATCTGGGTAATGGACGGAGCCTCACGGGCGGGTTGTGGGCCGTGTACGCGTGGAGGAGTGTGTACTTTGCGCAGAGTGTTGGTGTAAGGACAAGGGTACTTATGGCTATGGACTGGTTGAAGCGTGGATTATTCGGACGAGGTATGAAAGTAAAAATCCATGATGCCGAACGCAGGAGTTATGCTAACAATATGTAGATCTCATGAGTTTTTAGAAACCATCCATCATCATCTGTCAGAGAGGATATAGTCGATGGTGGTGGTTCAAAGCTGTCGTCAACCGGCTCATACCGCGTGGCTACAATCTTGAGACGAGATAATCCGTCTTCCTAATACCACAAACCGTGAGGGTTATTGATAAATTGAAGCCAAGGAGTCGGCTTGTCAGGACCGGGCTACACAAGCTATACATAGAGATTGCTTCAGGCTTATGCACGCAGTTCAGTGCGAGGCAAGGTAATTCGCAGCAAACCCCGATGCACCACCATAACCTCGGCTTGTTCCAGCTGACAGGGCGCTAAGTTCCGTCGACTGCCCGCATGCTAAGGGCTTGGTGCGCCCACTTGGCTCCGATATGCGAAGAAAGGGCTTCTCTGCGTATTCTCTACAGATGGCAAAATCGGCAGCAATAGTACGTAGAACTTTTTGTACGATTTAAGAATAGAATTACGTATCAAATGACGGTATTTTCACCTCGAGGAAAACAATAGTGTGGATGAGATGACTTATTAAGAAATCTCTCAAAGATGTTCAAGACCATGGGGGAAAGTCGGCTCTGCTGATATTACTCATTCAGCCCAGCCCAGGCGTTTCTGAGCCCACTATCTTTTCTCTCTAGGAAGGACATCATCTACTCATTCCCCAAATATCCCTCCAGCTCTTCTCATCTTTGCCCAGGGGACCTCTCGATTTCCCAAACCTTGCTGCTTCACCCGAGTTGGCCTCGGGAAGACAAATCCACTCTCGGATACACCCGGGTATCTCCTCCCTCACGTGGCTAATGCATATTAAGGCTTGATCATCCGTCAACCCTCGAACTTTGACGTTGCCAGCTTTGGAAGCCTCGCGATCGACGATGGTCTCGGATCCGTCTTCATTGGTAGCATACATTTTGCTGTCCCCGTGCTCAAGGAACAAGAGGCAACGGTTCCGCACGACATCATCCATTCCACCAAACGCCTCGTCTAGAACAACAATGTCAGGGTTTTTAATTATGGCGCGTAGGAACAAGAGCACGCGCTGAGCGGAAAAAGATAGCTCGCCAAACATGTAGTGATCAGCCCATTGCAAATATGTCTCAGTAGCGGTCAGGGTCGGGCTGCTGGACGATGGAAGGTAGGCAGGATTAAGCTCTGCCTGGAACCAGCCAAGGACAGCGTCTACTTTTCCTTTTCTTTCGCTATCCATCTTTGCTTTGGTCCGAAAAGTGTCTGCCCACGAATTCTCAATGACCTGCCGCACCGTCAAATTGCGTGGCATCAACTGATGAATCTCAGGGCTTGAATGTCCGATACGGGCTTGGATATCCCAGATCGTAAGCGGCAGTGTCGCTGACTCTGGTTCGGGGATTCTGGTCTTGCCAAAGAGCTTGATGGGAAGTGAGTAAGTTTGGGGGTGATCGGAACAGATGAGAGACAAGATTGTGGTCTTTCCAGAGCCGTTGGGTCCGAATATGCCCCAGCGCTCACCTCTCCGAACAGTCCAGAGGAGACCGTGCTTCTCTTCGCCTTGTATCTGTTGTTTCCAGCTGCCAAGAGCAACTTTGCCTCGGTACTGTACTACACAGCCGTCCATCTCAACAACAGGCTCCCCCAGAGGTTTGCTCAGCTGGTCATCCGCAGCGAGAGGAATTTCGTCTTCTGCCTGGCCTTCTTCGCCCCCAAGTGGATCTCCTTGGATACCCTTGGCGGTTAGGATTTTGCCCATATGTTCGATGTTGTGCACCGCCATCTCCTTATCCTCCTTGCGCGTCCCATTCCACACTCCCCTGACGTATTTCCTCAGGCCCTCCAATACGACTTCTTTTTCACCCATAGCGCCGACCTGGCAATCGCCCCTGAGATAGACTAGATGTGTGATCCAGTCTGGTATGGGATCTTGTGGTCTAGCACTCATCACCAGCCTCGGGCTAGCCTTCCTGGCCATGCTATGCAGAAGTGGACTGAGCCCAGCGACGGTAGGTGGATCGAGGCCCATGAAGGGCTCGTCGAGAAGTAGCACTTCGGGAACCCTTAGAAGAGCCCTTGCGATCCTTGCCCTTCGTCCTTGCCCATTGCTCAGGAATGAAACGGGTAAATCCAACAAATGGGCAAGTCTGAGATCCCTCACAACTCGGTCTACAAGGACCGGGTTGGGCTTATCCTCATCCGACTTCAGGGCATTCAACTCGGTGTTACCCAACAAGAAATCTTGCAGGGAGAAATCCGTGTCCACGCGCTTCGACTCGTAACGTGCAGACAAATGCGCCGGCTTGATGGCACTGGCGGAGAACCCATTATTGTCGAAACCAACATATTGGATGGCCTTGCCGGGCACCCGCAACTTGCGAGGCACCGCGTCGGTGGAGAGGTAGGGAAAGCTCCTCGCTTCGGGACCAAAACAGAGATGCTCGCCGCGCAGAAGCTGCAAGAAGGTGGTCTTCCCACTCAGAGAAGGGCCTAATACATACCAGTGATTAGGCGGGTCTGTTGCGGAAGGAAGTGTGAACTTGAGGTTGTTGAACAAAGGCGGGTTTGCTTGCCCAGCAGTGCTGGCTGATGACGGGTGATGACGGTAAAACGTGCCATCGATGATACGGATGACCGGGGGAAGGGCTGCAGAAGGTCGCATGATGGCAATTGGAACACCTCAAGCGCAAGACATGCTTGCTGAAATATACATCGACTTGAGTTCACCAAAGAGTCGAGATGGGTGCCATGTCAAGAGATCTGCTGCAGACCTACAGAAGTTGCCGGAAATATCGGATTTACTGCAGGACCTGTCTGGGATCGCTTGTAGTACGAAGTACTCCGTATCACTACGGCGATATGCACTTATGCAGTAATACTGATTAGTTAAGAGAGTTGGCGCAGAGACCAGGTACCTGCAAGGCTCCCGGGAAACGCGACTGCTCGGGGCCTACCTACGCTACAAGCTCCATGGGCCTCGCCATCTCCAGATCAACATCTACATCGATACCCGCAACCAACACTCGCTGCACTCCATTCTTGAGCCATCAAGTCCTGATCCCGCAACAGTGATTCAATACTACCACATCGAGAAGTTGAGCCTCATCACAACCGCCAAAATGGTAGGGTCCATGTCCTCATCAAGCACAACTCTTCCTCACTAACCGCTGGTGCAACCAACTAGTCTATGCGCATCGTCCCAGCTGCCGGCAACACAACCTCCTTCACCCACCTCAAGAAAGCCGGCGCGCCTTCAGCCCCAGGTCTGCACGACACACTCCGCCATGGCGTAGGACCCACCTCCATATCTTCAGACCAACCTACGAGCCGGCACCCGCTCGAGTCCCGCCTCAAGGCCTGGGAGGCCACCCAAGAGGCCGTCCGCATGGAGTCGCTGCGCAAGACCTTTGGCATGTCGGAGCCCATCCGCAGGGGCATGGAGCTCAAGATCACAGCCGCCGGCGAGTGGCGCCCATTGGCCCTGGGCGGTGGGCTCCCCAGCGTACACGAGGATGTCCTGAGAGGACGTGAGGCCGTCATCGAGTGGGAGGACGTCTTTACCGGCGAGGAGCAGAGGAGTGCCGTTGGTATGCATGATGAGATGGAGCGGAAGCTGAAGATTTGAGCTTGAGGAGACTGGGGTGGACTTGACTTGGGCATGGCATGATGAGGCATGGCGGCATTTCAACATGAATGAGGCGAGCTCCATCAGCGTTCGCGGCACGGTTGGCATCTGTATGATATGACGAGACATGGGAATAGACGGCCGACTGAAGGTGTCATTTTCTCGCAGCAACAAACGTCAAAACGTGAAATGCGGATATGAGCAAGTTGGCAGTTGAAAGTCTGCAATTCTATCCATACCCAGCTATACACAGATCCACCATAACCTGTTTTTCCTTCGAAGGATTGACCGTGAGAGAGAGTAGGAATATCAGACATAAATACGCCCCATGACGCAGCCGATGATTTGGTCCCCCCGTGTCCAGCTATTAAGGGACCATGGAATCCAGATGCTGGCCTGTCATGTCCATCCAGCTTCCCCCCGCCCCGACCGCCAGTATCACAACCTCTGCTAGAAATTCGGATGCTTGCTTGTATACTGTCCCAAGCAATGACTCAACAAGAAAATGCGCCTTCGCATTCACTTGTAGCACCCATGCATCTTCGTGTCGTTCAAGAACAAAAGAACCGAAAACGAAGTCCATCACGCCGCCCATGCCCAAACTGAATTCATAAAAGAAAAAGAAAACAAAATAGTAAGCCTCGTCTCTCCCGCTGTATTTCTCTTTCTTCTCACCATCGCTTCTATTATCTATTCGATCATAAGATGATGCAACATCCGCCCCTACCAGAGTGGTGGCTAGAATCCTTAACCCTCTTAGTAGCCTCTTCTTCGTCGACAATCTCTTGCGGTTTGACCGTCATGTGCACTACATTCTTGGAGGTTTTGCTAAAGTTGTAATCTGCAAGTATATGTTAGCCAGTATTTCCAGTAAACCGCCAAAAATGAACCCCCAACACTAGAAAACGGGGAGGTACGTACTAGTCAGTGTCTGTCGATCCTCCAGCATCTTTCCAAAATATATCAATCGTATGCTGACAGGTTCCCTCGGCGGTGTATCCCATTCCTTCCGCCAATCTCGCAATATCAGCTCCTTCAGTGTATAGACCGTGATGCTGAACGGATCCGCCTTGCCATCGTCCGTCTTGCCAGTGATGTTGACATTGCGTTTGGCCAGGTACTTTTCGTCGATGCGGAAGGGATGTCGGGAACTAGACGACGTCTGCAGCAACAAGATATTCACAACCGGGTCCCCGTCGACGGCCGCTTCTAGGTCCGGGTCCGCCAGGTCGATCGTCAACGAGTCCTGCGCGGGCATCGTGGCAGAGATGGCCGGTGCTTTGCCCAGCGCCTTGGACGACGGCCCTTCAGTGCTGCCGGTGACAGCGTCGGACTGTGGCTCGAATGTAGGCAAGTGAGAGTGGAGGGGGGTGTTGGCGTCTGTGTCGAGGCGCGGTATTTGGTAAGGGTCAGCCCCAATTGCCTCTGAACCTGCTTTGTTGGTCTCGATTGCTGTGGTGGCAGTGGCAGCGCCTTCAGCGGACGTCGATGTAGCTATCACTTTACTATCTGGCGACAGTTCGTCCAGCTCAACCGCATCGGAAAGTGTCTGTAATTGTTGTTGTGGTGACGATGCTGCTGCTGCTGCTGCTGAAACCTGGGGCTCTTCGGCGTCCCGTAAACCCACGTCTCCACCCGTCGACCGACTCATCTCTGCCATCACGATTTCTGATATGGAGCAAATTCAAATCGGGGCTAGGTGTTGGCTGGCTGGCAATTGATGGGCCCAGAATGAACAAACTGGCAGACGGCGAGAATTGTTTGTATGGGGTCGTTCGGGGATCGGGAACAGTTGGGGGCGAAGGGAGGCTGTTCCGTGATTGCTACTTCGTAGAGCGGCAGGCAATGTTACATAGAAAATTCCCGACATATACAAGTACAGTATTTGTCTATGTTGCCTCCGACTTTTGACAATTGCCAATGATTGCACGATTGAAGGTTAAAGACAGCAGGAGGCAGTCCTTGCGCGCATGCACGCAGGAAACCAATGCGACACGAGCAACGGCGGATCACCAGATTGTGAGGGACCCCAAATCCACCCGACCGTTCTGTTACTTCTTTTTCGGGTGAGGTGTTTACTCGGTGCAACTGGGCTGTTGGGCCCGTGGTAAAATGTCCTTGAACAGGTTATAAATGGATGATGATGCTGATGGTTGGAAGGTCTATTATTAACGAGCGGAAATTGGAACTGGGAATTGGGTCAACCAGCAATGAAGAAGTCAGGTGGATGGGATCAGTACATGCAAGAGTGCAAGGACGGCCTACACTGGCAGGCTGCTGTAGCAGCAGTTGCAACCAAAAAAGCCCAAGCTCAGTTGAAGAACCCCCAGTAGCAAGCCCCCAGCCCCAGCTTCTTTTTGGGTTCCTGCTGGGCTGGAGATTTTTAAAGTTATGGGTCCCGTTTCGCTTTCATAGGTGACAGAGTCTGCAGACCAAGACTTTTTGGACTGGGGAACAAACGAAGATTTCATTTGATATTGGGGAGAGAAGGGAGTCGGCACAAGCAGTGACCAAGGGCTGGCTCTTTTACATCAACAACATTGAACATTGAATATTGAACAACACATCAATTCGACCCTTTATTGATTTCTTCAATCCTTTGTCAATGATACCTTTTCCGTGGAGCTAACTCAGCTAGAGACGCAGGGGATGTAGGCTTTCATAGACTCAACTCAGCACACACTGATCAGTGATCAATCAGGCGATAGTCAATGGCTCTCGTCCAGTCACAATCATCATGGCATCATCATTTAATAATATACAGGATGGAAAGCCGGACAAAATTCCTTGGTAGCGGAGCATAGGTTGCCTCCTCTACACCGCGGGAGCGGGAACGGATGACAAAAAATCAAGTCGAGGATCGGTCCTGTGTCACCCGGCTGTGGACAGAATTTGCCTAGTGCCACCCCAAGCAAGATATGCATTTCGGACATGTCGGCCTATGAGAGTGATTGGGGTGATTTCAAATTCCTTTCGATCCTCGCCCCGACTTGGTGCTAAATGTAGTTCCCGCTAACTCCCCCAAACTCGCTCTAGCTTCCAAATTGAGAGGCTACAACATAAAATCTAGATGCGGGGTATGTACTGTGTACGCTCCACGGATCATCCCACATAGCGTTGGGTCTAGACAGACTCATCAAGTAGGTAGTTCACTTTGGCCGCCGAGGAGTCGAACGAGCCTCAAGTCCATTCAAAGTAGCAGAGTCGTCGGATTCGTTATTACTAGCCAACCATCGCATGGTATTTTAAGCTGTCTCGAGGCTACAACTGCCACATGCCATTCAAAAAGTTCACATCACAAGGGCACTCCCCATCTTTGATCAAAGAGTTCAGCCTCTCAACTACCAAAAATGCTGATCCAGAGTTCTGGATCCAGACAGACTCTGAATTCCATATTTCCACATGCCGCCCCACGTGTTCGTGTTCGGATATCGAGCTAGTAGTTAGGTTCAAGTCTGCTCTTTCTAGCTTTGCTTCCACAACCTCGGACCCGGAAACAACGGTGCGAGAAGAGGACGAGCCAAGAAGTCCCATATGGCTCAAAAGCTGCCCGTGAAATGACATACCCCCAAACAGAGAGAACCCCATTTGACGTACCGAGGTCTGGCATGGTCTGTTGGCCGATCCGAGTTTTCTACAACCTGTGGCAGGCGGTTGTAAAAATGACCTAGCTACGCTTGACATTGTCAACGAGTGCGGATGGAAGTGGGAATTGGAACTTGCAGGCGATCGTATTAGCATATTTGCAATATGGTATCAACTACGAATCAACCGCTGATGCAGAAAGCCCAAATCATGTCCGCCGTATCTGTACCACTATGCTTTCAGTGCGATATGCATGTAACAATCTCTAAATTGGCTGCGGTCGCCACCAGAGTGCGCGTATGCAATCTGACATATTTCACTCACAGCATTACGGACCAGGTTGTTAAGACTACAATATCAACACGGCAGTCCACGAGCACCTAACCCACGTGTCCTGTGGTCTGTGAGCGATAACCAGTAACAAATACTCCCAGGCCCCCAGGTGGTAGACCCAATCCACCGGCAAATTTTGGTCACCTTTCACAGTCATGAAGTTCTCATCTAGAATTCTGGGCTCGAGTACCCGTGTAATACGCGGCAGTAACAAAGAGCCCCGGAAGCTGATATACACGCGGATAGAATTCGGCAGCAGTTTTACCTCCTCGCGCAGTGACGCCATTCACTAACTGTATATTTTCTCATTTATTCTGGCCATGGGCAGTCCAGGGTACACAACAGGAATAAAATCATTGTCATCGCGCAAGAACGTATTGAAGCGGGTTACAGTATTGTCTGACGAGTTTTCTCCCATCGAACCAACGCGCACTTCTGCCTACTCGTAATATATCAGTCAATGCTTATTCGAGAAGAAACTACATATTGGATTCGAGTACCAAAACGAAGTAGACACGATACTTGATAGAGTGAAATATGTCGAGTTTCGACTGCTCCATTATGCCCTGATCATTGAGCCGACAAATCCGCGTGTCAGGGTGCTCGTCATAATCTGCGCGCTCCTCCGTCGTTATCACCAGGAAACTCGCTTTGGTGCCACGTTCACTTCGAGGCCCACTTATCTACTTTCCAGGCCCCCTCTTCTACCGGCGCTTCAGGCTTTCTTTAACCCTGGCGACTGATGGTTGGTTACTCAATATGAATCCCTGTGTGGAGTTGTATCTAAACCCCCTGATGTCTTGCTCCCGGATAATTGGATGGGGCCATGTGCATACTAGTTATAACAGAAGCACACGCATGTGCCAGACCAGAGGTTATGGTCAAGTATATCTCGCTGACATACTCATAGCTTTCTGAATAAGTGTATATTGATCCAGCTTTCGGTAAGGAGCCACAAAATCGCTAGCAACGCGTGGCTCGGGGCAATGTGGCCAGGAAAAACCCTGCTCTGCAATGAATGCTCCCAAGCCTAGCTATACTATGTTTCTTTAATGTTTTTACAAGGTGTAGGAGAAATACTATCAGCTTTTAGAGTCACCGGCTGGCCCTCTCTATACGACAAATAAACAACTCTGTCGTCCCTGGCGCATGTGTCCGGATGTCAATGAGAAGCCCAATTACAGCGGCAGCAATTCATGTCTATCAGCCTAGGCAGGAAGTTCCGTGGGTTTCGCTATTGGCGGGTCCCTCATATACTTCCTACATCGGATACCTGCTGTCGTCTAAGTCTAAACACAAAGAAACCGTATATGCCTGGCATCGATGGGGCCTTCGGATACGTCCTATGTAGGAGTCCTCTGCTGTCGTCTAAGCACGAAGAGATAAAAAGAAACAAAAGACTGAAATACCCAGCATCGACGAAGCCTTCGGATATATCCGACATTGAAATTCTCCGATTGGTTGATGGACAAAACATCAATGTGGAAACTGCATAGTACTTAAATCTCAACTCCCACTACCAGCTTGCAGTGCGCAGTGGATAGTGGGACGGATAGGAGAACCTCTGTACCTCTTTTTCATATGACGGTGACGGTGACAATGCACTCTTTTACATCAAGTATCAATAATGCGACTTCAGGAGTTGAAAGCAAGAAGTATCGCAGCCAGCGGAAAGATAACGGAGACCACGGTCAAGCCAGCTTTCATACACAACCTCCGAAGGCAAAAACTCGGCATCCAGCTTAGATGAGGCGCACGATGAGAAGGACAACCACTGTCATGATAGAAGCCGGCTATGCGATCTGGAAACCAGGCGGTCTCATCGTCACCGCACCAGTACGGTTGTGGGTGCGAGCAGCGCCAACATGACGATAACTGGGTTTTCACGCACCATCGCGCGGCAATAAAGCATAGTCTCGCGGATACGCAGTTCAGTCACCCGCTGGTCGAGAAAAGACGACGGAAGTGTGCATCGTCGACTTGGACGGACCGGCCTTTGAACTAGCCGACGCACAATAAAGTCAGCACGACGCTCCTCTACGGCTTCGTCACCATGACGGCAACCCGGGCTTCTTCGTCGTATCCGGCAGGCACAAAGCAGGTTGCGCAGCAATTTGGTATGAGCGAGCAAGTGGCATTCTGGGCACCTCACTCTACCTAGCAGGCTTTGGACTAGGTCCGCTGCTTTGCGCGCCACTATCCGAAGTATATGACCGCAGAGCGGCTGTTCTAATGCCTATGATCATGGCGATATGTTTTTACTTCGCTCGGCCACGGCAAATGACCTCCAGACGTTGATGTTGACTCGGTTTTGGGGCGCCTTCTTCGCCTCGGCACCCGTCACCAACACTAGCGGCGTCTTAGGCGATCTCTTCTCGCATGCCCATCGAGGCATAGCCATGGAAGGATATGCAATGGCACTGGTTGGTGGACAGATGGTTGGGCCCATCTTATAGGCCTCCGTTGTCATACAGCCGTCTCTGGGCTGGCGTTGGACTGAGTACCTCGCGGGCAAACTGCAGGCCTTCGCCTTATTTTCCGCTGTCGTCTTAATCGACGAGTCGTATCCGCCTACCTATCCTATTCATTTTCAGGCCCGTCTTCTTTGTCAAGACACGGGAAACTCGGCACTGCACACAAAGTTTGAAGAGTGGAATGTCAGCATCGTCGAGATTGTCAGGAAGTTCCTGTTCCGGCCATCTGGAGCTGCTGTGCACTCCCATCTATTTTCTCATTGCAATCTACAACAGTTTCTGTTATGGCATCTTTTACATGCAGCCTGGGTGCCATAATGGAAACCGTCATCAACATCCTCAACCAGCTCAACTACAACAAGGCATGCCACACCGCTCAGTATTACGCAATTCCCGAGAAACGGCTCCACCCCCTGATGCTCGGATCTATCCTATTCGAAGGAGGCCAGTTCATCACGGCCTGGACGGCAGAACCCAGCGTCGAACTACCTTGTCGATACCTTCCAGATGTACGCCGCCTCGGCCGTGGGCATAAACATATTCTTGAGGAGCGCTTTCGCCCTGCCATTTCCCCTCGTTGTCTCGCCCCTTTACCGCAACCTCGGTGTGGGGCCGGGATCGAGAATTTTCGCAGGATTTGCCTGTCTGTTGATACCTGTGCCTTCTGTATTTTATGTATATCGGGAGCTGATCAGAGCCGGGAGCAAGTGGGACAAAGCAAGCGTGTATCGAACATGAGTGAATGCCCTGCTCTACTTGGTGTGGAGGCAGGGATAACAGAGGGTCCAGACTTAAAGGCCAGAAGTGTGAAGAGATGCATGGACGGTCTGAGTTCCCGGCAGGTCTCTGTATCACAGACATGCATGTGTTTTAGTAGCAATGACATTGGGGTTACGGAGGATTTAGAAGATACTTATGATTGCAGAAAGGACTATGTAATGCTGGAGAAATGCAAAGGACATAGATGAGTGAATAGACTAGTTGGTCGAGACCGATCAATTCTCGTGCGCTACACAGAACCGACGAAGCCGATGCGTATCTTCTAACCGACCGCAGGATCGCAGGTGCAGCTGGATTCACCTCCCAATGTACTATGCATTCCATTTTGGGTGTACCAATGGCAATAGGTCAGATGTGTCCTGTATCCTATCCATATTAAAGCTTGGAAATATGGACTAGGCAACCATGTTCCATGGCTATAAGTGTTCCTGTGCCACATAGCCGTAGTATATTTATTCTTACCTGTTGAAGATTATAATCGATTGCTATTTACTGTGAATGCAGGCTGTGTAAGTTACAAATTAAAATATACTACTCAATGTTTACACTGAAACTAATATCTGGAGAACCTTGACCCAGTGCCCCTACCCTCTCCTCTCCCCTACCGCCACAGCTGGCTGTACACTGGCGTCGACCTGCAACGAATAGAGGAGATTCTCGGCCATGAGTAATACTTGTCCATTACTTGCAAATCCGAAATTAGCCACCCCGCCCTCGACAAGCACCTTTCCCAGTAATCGGCCTGAAGCACCATAGACATCGACTCCGTCACCCGTTCCTACCCACACGTTGCCGTTAGTATCGCAGTGGATGCCATCGCCAATTCCTGCCGAAGGAACGGCAAATATGCGACGATTTACGAATGACGCGATGGTGTCATTCGGCGAGTTGTACCGAACGTCAAAGGCGTAGATGGACTTGCCGGCGGGCAGAATATCGGATGACACAGCGGCCCCTGCTTCCGTGATGTATACAGTATTTTCGTCGGGAGAGAAGGTGACTCCGTTAGGTAACTCAATATCATCTGCGACGACACGGATGTCGGTGCTGCCCGGGACGAAGCCATAGACTAAGCTGGGCATCGTGGGAATGGGACGGACATTCTGGATGAAGCCTATCTGCGGATCTGTGAAGTAGACGGCGCCTTTCCGTGTGACAAAAATATCGTTGGGTGAGTTCAACGGGGAACCCATGTAGTTGTTCAGAATCAAGGTTGCTGCTGTGGTATTGCTTGGTGGAGGATTGGTTGGCAGATACACCAAGGCTGCACCGGCCGGGCTCGATAGGTTGCCCTGGGCTGCCCAGAGAATGCCATCTTGGAACTGGAATCCGCCATTGGCCAGTGTTAGCGGCGCTGTGTTGTTGTTGATGATCTCCGAGGCCCATCCTGTGGTATTGGAAAATGTTGTCCGGGACACCACCACCGTCTTGTTGTTGGAAGCCGGCGACAGAGAGGCAGTATCAAACTGATTGGACGAGCTGTAGAAGGTCAGCGGTTCCAGCGAAGTGACTATGCCAGCTTCGTGGAACGCTGGGAACGTCGCATTGTATACGACTGTCAGGCTTGGGCTGGCGCCGAGAATTGTCAAGAAAGGTTCCGAGTAGACCTGAAATGGACTTGTTGCCACTTGCGTAGAAGCGATGATGGTGACATTGTTGATAGCGACATCAACTGGCGAAATAGGCTTTGGCTCTTTAGTTATTGCGCACTGCGCGACTTCAACAGATCGAACCTACCAAAATTCCATTCAGCCCCTGAGCGGTGACCAGCAGCGGCACCAGGACCAAGCCGGTGATTACGTAAGAGGCCATTCGCAAACTGTCGTCTGCACGTTGGGCAATGAGGAGCGACTTGATGCAGACGATAGAGGCCTCTATGCCCTACCTTTTAAATACAATTGACCGAAGCTGTGGACCCTGCACGACACAGACATCGCAATCTCGAGCGCATTGATTGAGTATATCTCACAATCATAGACACCACCTGAATCAAACTTACAGAAACACCGCCAAGGTGTTCATCTTGCTTGGCAACCCATAAAGACGATCTTGGCGATCTATGTTGGCGAATTCATAACGCAAAAGGCCCCACTACACGACTTGAGCCGACACCTCGGCATACTTTGTACAAGCTCCAAGCATAGTTCTTAGCTGCCTATAGGTAGTCGAGCGACTGTGAACCAACAACATACAATCGCGACTATACAGTTCCTTCGCGGGCTACAGGTCACTTGGAAATACATAGGTTTTGCCTCTATTTGTATTGTATTAACATTAGAACGAGTCAACCCGGATACAAATGGTATTTAAATGACTCGGGCGACGGTGGAGAAATTTTTAGATTAAACCCCCGAGTGGTGGCCGACAGGCCCCTACGAGCTACGATCAGGCTGGTGACCGAAAAATATTCTTATTTTGTAGCATGTAATGATTTTTCCTACTTGGTGACTCAAGCGCTTCTAACAGAGGTGGGAGAAATACTTTAGAACAGAGGCATCCCTGTGGCTTGATTTTTCTATAATAAATTAACGAATAGATAAGCTGTTAACCTGGCCCCCCACCTCTAGATTTACATAAAGGCCAAAAAAAAAAGATTTTTTTTTCTTTCTCTATGATGGTTACTTCTGGTTTGAGGCGGGGTTTTGTAGCCCTGTACTTGGCCGTACCTTCCTACCTCCTCTGTTAAGAGGTAGCCCGCTAGAAACGCTTGAGCCACCAAGTGATAGCAACATCCCGCAGGTAAGACCCGCATTTCAACTACATGCCTCGATCTGAAAACGAAGGGTAGTTGTGGATTCCGATATTTGATGTGCGCCTCTCAGCCGTTAGCGTACTGGTAAGGCCAGTATAATTGACTTCAAAAGTTAATTCTTATCCTGTTGGTAAGCCAGGTTGCGTGAGCTGACGACATCTCAGAGGGGGAACGGTACAAGTGGGATTTGTCTATTAGCGAAGATGAAGTTTATATACCCTACTGTTCTGCTTGTCGCGATGGAAGACACCTGGAACGGGCCACCATGCGCTGGATCTGGCTCTACTGGAGACTAGAGGTCGTATCCAACTCGTATATTGTACATCGAGGCCTTAAATGGCAATCACAACGTTCGTTCACGGCGCGACTGGCAGTAAGTGGGAACTTACTCTCTACGGGCCAGTACAGAGTACGGGAGTCCTTCCAACTAAACATCATAGCCTTGTATCTCTTCGGGGCTGATACGTATGCTTTGACCTCCTTCCCCGCAACGACGGCAGAGGGTGTTTGTTGACCATCACGGTCGCGGGTGGACTACAGCTCATGGTTGGGGTTTTTTCGATAATATGGAGAATAGGTTTGGTTGCCCAGTTGTGGTGGCATGATGAGCAGGACTTTATCATGTATGTCTTGTCGGATAAAATTTGCAGACTCTAGCAGAAGCACTCCGCTGTGACGAAGCGTTAGTTACGGACAACCCATTCCGAAGACGGTCAAATAGGAATAGTAGTTTGTATTTAGGTGTAAGATACCTTTTCCGAAGGTCGTCGCATCCAAGGAAGCGTGTAGATAGGCCTAGTATACAAGTCCCATAAATCACTTCGCACGGGGTTACTAACTTCTGGCAACCTACAGAGCATCAAAGATTTACAAGCTTTATTTTGATTACCATGGTATGGTAACATGTATCTTCGAGTCCGACGGGAGTAAGATGGTGAGGAACGGCCTGAAGGTATAGAAAACGAACAACACAACGGTATACTAGATCACAATCTATGGCTTGAGATTGGAAACGATTCTTGATTGCTCATATTGTCTGTTAAACGAAGTTCGACCCTTAATTGTCTGCGAATATGTACAGGAGAACCGACAGAACAATATACGAGGAAAGCGAAGGTATGACGGGGTTCTGTGTCCAGCCGAACAACCGCGTGGCTATGAATGATAGGTAAAACTTGCTGAAGTTACTGAGTATATTCCCGGCAGAATCCACAGCCCGAGCCAATAGTATTACGTCCAGCTGCAAGCAACATTCTGTGCCTCCTCACAACATCGCCAGCGCCACGGCGAAGGCTCCACCGGTCAGCAGGAACGAGGCAGCGACATGAACGGCAGCGCTGGCATTTGGTGTAGTACTGCCCTGGGGTCTGCTACCAGCATTTGTGGTGGAATTGCTAGCCGCCACACTACCCGCAGCCGCAGCCGTACCCCCAGCGGCGGCACCGTTGGTGCAATTACCAGGAGCAAAGGCGCCCGCGACTTGGTTCAAGGTATCAGTGAAGCCGGCGGTGACCTGACCGGCCACTTCCTGAACCTGTTGGGGCACCTTCGACACGGTGGCATCAATTAGGTTCTTGCCCTGAGCACCCAGGTCCTGGCTCTGGGTGAAAAGAACCTCGCAGAGCCCGGCCTGTTGGAATTGCGGCTTCTTGTCCACGATGTGAGTGACAAGTTTGGTGCCTACGTCTTGAATTGGACCCAGTGATGACTGAAGCGTGAGGGCTTCTTGTAGGGTAATAGGCGTGGTCGCTTTGATTTGTTCGGTGGCGGTCTTGAGTGTTGTGATGAGCGTCGCAGCGTCGCCTCCCAGTGCTGTGAAATCTTGACCGTTGAATGCCTGGACGGTTCCGTCGAGTTTCATGAGCGAGTCTCCGACCGTTTTGATGACGTTCGATATGGTAGCCACATCTCGTCGGACATAGTCGAGCAATGACTGAGACTTGGCAGAGACCGCGAAGGCCGTAATGGAAAGTGTCGTTGAGAGTTTCATGGTTGCTATTTGACGAGTTTTAGTCAGCGGAAAGCGGTGACGATTCAAGTGACTTAGAAGATTTGAATGAACAAGATGACTTTGAATTAATAGTGTGGGTTCACTACATTTAAGCTACACTGAAAACTTTCAAAGGGGTGGCAAACACCATTTATCTACTGTGTCAGTCTCACGACATGTCTACTCGAGTTGGATGAGGTGAAACTTGCCGTGTGTAGTTGAGTTCGGGTATGAAGTTCGACCACGCATCGAGTACCCTATGCGGTGCTAGATCGAACGAGCTATGACGTTTTATCGTACACAGCACCAATAAACGTCTGTGAAGAAGGTCAGTAAGCTGAGTATTCCCAAGAGCTGGCAGCAGGTACGAACGTTCCAAGCGGTTAAAATTCTGGACATTCAAAGTATCACCTGAACTACGAGCCACCAATCGCTGCTTGTGACGATGCTGACTAGCTTCAGCTGTTTCATAGGGGAATTGATCGGATGAGCTCGAGCGAGATGACGGCCAATTCACTCAACCCACCCTTAGTTATTAACATTCACATTGTGCAATGCTTAAGATCAAATCACTCTACCTAGATCCGCTGCGAATGTAGAAATGATTACATTGACGAGACAGACTACCTTGTTCTCTAGTTTTCTGATGCCTAAGCCACGAACGAGCAAAACAGTATATAAAACAAATCACCCAATGTGTTAGTCATGCCCACAGGAAGGACCTTGCAACTAAGCCAGACAGCCTGTTGCTAACATTATGCAACCGAAGCAGATCTACACCTTCCCAGGGATTATAATTGTTAGTGCAGTGACTTACCAGGGTCCTGGCCAGTGCACTTAACCCTTTTCGGCAGAAGTCACTTTTCTAGTAATTTCTATGGAAAGGAATCTCTAATACAAATTGGCACCTTAGTACTATAGTATGACAGCACTACAGCAACTTAGATAATGACTTTGGATCTTATTCGTGTTCGTGCCCCGCAAGGTATATCTATTAGCAGTTAAACCTTCAACTCTAACAAAGTCTTGTATACCGAACTCGCGCACGATGAACGGATCGAAATTTAAGCTCTTCGCAAATATGCTTGTAATGGGCTAGTCCCACCTTAGCGGAATAAGCTCAAGAAAGCTCTAATCAGGACTGTTACGAACCGTTGGCCCTGAACCAACATTACAGGCCCGTCGGCAGGCCAGGTGGATACAGACGCTAGGATCACGGGACCCCGCATCGGAGGAAGGAAAGGACCGACAGATCACGTGACATACAGGGGTGGATATGTTGGATATGTTGGTTGTCCAAGATATCCAAATGATCCAGAGCACTGCGCCCGGCACGTCTCACGTGATGAGACGTTAAAATTTCAATCAATCAATCAAACCAAATGATCCAGAAGAAATAACAGGGGTGGATATGTTGGATATGTTGAACAACCAACATATCCAAGTGGGGATCAGTGGAGGAGAGATGGGCATATAAGGGACAGGACTCCCAGGCATGTAATAGATAGACAGTCTCTACTTCAGTGATCAGTCTAAGCATCAATCTAACCCATTGGTGAGGCAAACTGCCTTGACGACTCTAATCCCAGTTACCCTACTTGAATACTTCAGTTACCCCAAAGCACTATACTCCATACGTCAGACCCCGATATTATTGCTTGAGGACTCCGCAGCAGGACTTACTACTAGCACAAACCCTTACAGATGTGACGACTGACACATGGACGATAAGCAGGGACATCCTGACATGGCCTGCCCTGATCTGGACGAGCGCGTTCCCCTTATAATAGGAGAACGGCCAGACATACTTGTAACCCTTTCCTTCTCTTTCTTCCCTAGTTTAGTATTCAACAATAGAGATGCACTGATATGCAACCTTGATTCGTACCTATGTGCCTCTGCCTCGTTACAACAGACTCTTTAGTGGTTTACGCAGCTAGACTATTAGAGGTTTCGTTACAAGGACCCCCTAAAAGACAGTAATAGCTCTAATAGGACGACGAATACCGCTATTTCCCTTAGTATGATCTCCAATTCTTTTTACCGCCTATTCTCTTATTTTAACTAACATATACCCTTATATGATTGATTGATTGAAATTTAACGTCTCATCACGTGAGACGTGCCGGGCGCAGTGCCGGCATGGTCAATGCTAGTCGAATCTATGTTACAGGGGACTGTCTTCATCTAACATTCCTGTTCAGTGCGATGGGCAGATCTCAGTGAAGAAATTGGTCTCCTCCGCCCATTGGCAAAACAAACGAGCTCCCTTGGCCGTGCCTAGGAGGGAATCTATACTATTCTTGGCCATATGCGCTTTTAGATGACCGGGCGTGGCCTTGCGGCCGCGCTTGCAAAAGTAGAAGTGGACTGGTGTCTTTGTCTTTCCACACCCGCAGTTGAGCAGTGCGTCGCGATGCTGGAGTCTCTCGTGGTAGGTCACGAAATCCCCGTGGTGCGACCTCGCTGCGAGTAATCTGCCTAGGTGTTGCCGGGGCAGGCCAAGTTCGGGGGGTCGCGGGTGGATAGCGATCCCTAGATCTCGATACTGTTGAGGGCAGGTAGTGGCCCATCGATCGTTGAAACTCTTCCAAGTGTAGGATCTCGCGATTCTCTTTATATGTGCGAATGAGGCCGGGTGTTGTGTCTTGGGTGGTTGCTCACAGGCCGCTTTGGCCTGGACATCTGCTTCTTCGTTTCCGGGGATGCCTACGTGTCCTGGGCACCACCAGATATACACTTGTCCCGGGGATGTCCAGGGTTTTCGCTCTCTCTGTGACCAGGTTTTGGACAGCTCTTGGAAGGCGGTGAATTTTGCTTGACTGCTTCCGGGACTTGGACAGATGAGCCTACCCGCAACCGCGAGATTATCGAGGCAGATGTGGACGTTATCTGCCATGCTGTTGGACGGAAGCTTTACAGCCTCCTGAAGCCCCCGTAGTGCTGCGTGGGCTTCCGCATCGTATACCTCTATCTGAGAGCCCAGTAGTTCGGACCCGCAGAGTAGTCTTTTACCGGCCTGATAACCAGCCCAGCCTGCTCCAGCTAAAGTCCTGTCGCTATGGGTAGCCAGCGAGCCGTCTGTATAGATTATTATATCGCGCTTTGAAAACTCGTTTATGCTTTGTAGAAACGAGCGGGCAGCCTCCTCCTTTGACTGTCCTGGGATATAACCGATCTTGGCGAGGGTGATGGACCATTCGCCAGCCTGCTCCCAGGGCGGTATTTGCAGAGGATCTATATATTCTGCAGTATCTGGGGTTAGGCTCGCCATACGCCTTAACCTCGAATCGGGGCCTGTAGGATGTCTGAGCCTCCTGCGTAAGGGATGGCGGCTATCCAGTTTGTGTAATCTAACAGAAGCCGCATAGAGTTTTGCGTCGAGTGCGATTTCTGCTGGCGGTAGTGCCGCTTCCCGTTGCAGGATCGGTATTGGCGTGGTCCTGTATACAGGGAGCATGGCTCTCATTGCGGTATTCTGCGTTCGATCCATTTGGTCAGCTAGGGATTGGACCCGGTTTGAGATAATGCGTCCATTCTTGTTCTGTCTGGCAGACGGCCACCATGCTTCCGAGGCGTAGAATTGCACGGGGAGCACGCACGCGATTACAGCTTGACGGAGTAGTCGTGTTGGGGCCCCTCTGATTGTGTTTCCTAACGACCGGAGTCCGTTAGCAACCTGTAGAGCTTTAGCTGAGACGAATTTGACATGGGCCTTAAAGCTAAGCTTTCTATCGAAGTAGACGCCTAACCACCTGAGTGCAGCACCGATTTTGATGGGTTGAACAGTGTGGATCGTTCCATTCTGTTGCGTAGTGGTAATGGGTGGGTTTGCATCTCTCCCTCTTCTTGTGAAGTGTATTAGCTCCGTCTTGTCGGGGTCGAACGTGATACCCTCAGACATGCTCCAGTCGAGTGCTGCTTTCCACTCTTCGGCCAGTGTAGTGCAATTTTCTTCTAGGGAACTAGAGCTTGACAGTATAGCTATGTCGTCCACGTAGCCGAATCGCGAGCGCTTGCGTCCAGGTCTGCAGGTGCCCAGCTTAAATAGGGGCTCGATATATAGAAGGAGGAGGATCGGCGAGACGGGCGATCCTTGCGGAAGTCCACATTCGAGGTCAAAGGTGTCTCCGGTTTCCCCGTCTAGCCGTATTCTCCCCTTTCGGTGCGTGGCAAAGCTATAAACCCAGCGTACCAGGTTTTCCGGCCAGCCTTGTCGGTGGAGGCGCTGTGCCAGTCTGCCTGGTAGGACGGAGTCGAATGCACCTCTGATGTCCATCGTCAGCATAGAGGTAAATTTTCCTTGTTGCCAAGCGGTTTCTATATCATGGATTACAGCTGAAATCAGATCGCTACACGATCGTTGTGGGAGCGCTCCGAATTGTTGGCTATGCAGGACTCGGTGCTTTACTGCGACCCAGGAGAGGCGTTTTGCAATAAGTCTTTCAAGGCCTTTCCCAAGTACGGATAGGAGGGCAATAGGTCGATATGAGCGTACTGCCGTTTTATCCTTTTTGCCTGGCTTGGCCAGAATAACGAGCGTTGCCTCTTTGAAACATGTAGGATGCCATCCAACTTCGACGCAGGCTCGGAAGAGCGCAACGACTACTTCTTTGATAACTGGCCAAGCAGTTGTTAGGGCTGCAGTTGTAATGCCATCGGATCCGGGACTGGTGTTGCCGGCCTGGAGGATAGCCCTTTGGACTTCCTTTGCGGTGACACGGGGGAAAGGGAGCTTCGGATCGGGTCCCGGTGCTCGCAGCTCGCTGGGTATATCGCCGGCCTTGTCCGTGTTTCGGAGGAGTACGCGGGCGAATAATTCTCGCTTTTCGTCTGGCTTGGAGATGAATCGGTCCGAGTTTTCGGGGTCGCGTAATGGCGGGGTATAAAAGTTTCCCGTACTTTTATGCCAGCCCGCCATTTCAAAAATTTCTTTACTGGTCGAGGCTGCAGCGATTCTATCTTTCCAATATTTGTCCTTCGCCTTGTGAAGTTTCCGGACGAAGTCCTGCCGTAGCGCTTCAATTTCCTCCAGGTGTTCTGAGCGGGTTATCCCTAGAGCTTGAAGCCTTCTTGTGTCCCTCTTTTTGTTAGTAAATTCTTGATGTTTTCGCTTGCATTCTTCGTTCCAGTATGCACGTCCTTGTCGGAGTCCTTTGGATCGTTTTGTGGAGGCTGTAAGGCTTTCGATGAGGGCGTTTGTCAGTTGTTGCGCTACGCGGTCCAGTGACTCGGCGTCGTCTGCCGTTCTCACTGTCCCTCTTATTGGTTGTATGTTCCGTTGTAGGGTGCTGAGAAAAAGCTCTTCGTCCATCGTATCCAGCCGAAATTTGCCTAAGGTCGGCTTGGACTTGTCCAGCGCTGGGAGTGGAACCCAGGTAAGCAAGGTTTCGTGGTCCGAGGTTGTGTTAAGGGAGGTTTCGATGCTTGTAGAGACTCCTGGCAACGAGGCTGAAGCCCAGGAAAGGTCTAGGACGTTACCTGCCCTATGTGTCGGTTCACCGATTGGCGATGTAAGTACGAGATCGAAAGATTCTGCCCAGTCGACCAAGTCCTGGGCCTTTGGGGAGGTGTACGTCGTCGTTGGTTGCCAGTTCGGATGATGTAGGTTGAAGTCCCCTGCTAGTATATATCGGTTTGGCGGAGCAAGGTGGTACTGGCCTAGGATATCTTGAATGGCCTTGCCGCCTTGGGAAGCTGCTTGGGGCGCGTTGTATATGTTAATGATTGTTAGTAGGTAGTGGCGGTCACATAGGACCTGAAGGAATAGTAGGTCTGTAGATGGGGCAGATAGTGGTCGGCATTGCTCCCCTCTAAGTCCAGTCCCTTTGCGTATGTAGGTTATCACCCTCGGTCTGCTTTCAATCCAGTCATCTATTGGTGCAAAGGTCTCGTAGGCTGGGTGAGTTCGGGTGAGTCTTCTTTCCTGTGATCGGACGAAAGGCTCCTGTATCAGTATAATGTCGATATGGCCTTCGTAGGCTAGGTTAAGTGCCGTCTCGTGTGCACTCGCCTTCCTGCCTACGTTGGCTTGCATGATCTGTAACTTTTTGGGTATTTGCTGCGTGGTTCTATTAGGCATTTGCTATGATGCAGTCGTTGTTTTCGCTGTTGGCTTGGAGATGCGAGAGGCTGGATGCCGCTTTCCAGGCTCTTTCTCCTTCCGCTCGAATAGCGCGGAGCTGCGCTTGATCCCTTCTCTGGAGCGTACCATGGATCACTTTGGGTCTGGCGGGGCAGACAGGGTCGTGAGCCGCGTGCGGGCCGTTGCAAGTTGGGCATTTGAGGGGGCAGTCACATCCGTTGAGGCCTTCCGTGCCTCCGCAAGGGGCCCGGTGCTCGTCGGTTGTGAGTTGCGGAGCTGCACTTCATGCACCTTCTCTTCCGGGTGCATGTGCGTGCATTGTGGAAGCCACCGCAGCGGTGGCATTCAATTGATTTCTTCTCCTTGGGGAGACGTAGATTGATATATACGTTGGCTCCTAGAAGCCTAGTGCGGAGCGGTATCTGCTTTGCCGCGTCTACCTTGAACCAGGCCGTTACCGTGCCTAGTCTTTCCATCTCGTCCTTTTTGGAAAATTAGGCCTTTTCCGGGCGCCGTTTCGTGGCAAGTCGGATTTCCTCCTCTAGCTCCCCGTTTGTGATTTCCAATTCCGCGTCGGTAATCAGGCAGTGACGAGTGTACGGGACATTGGGGATATATGCTCGAACCCAGGTATCTCTCTGCTCGACGCTATGCGCTTGCAGTAGGGTGGCTATCTGTTCTCTGTTATTTAGCAGGATCTTAGCGCCTTCTACTGAGGATGGGCAGAGGGCTAGTCCTGTTCGGACGTGGTCGACTCCCTTTAGTGCAGTGCGGGCATTTCCTGGCAGCTTTTCACGGAGAAAAGCGCATATATCGTAGGCTCTCTCCCTGCGGAAATGATTATCTTCATGCATCCGGGCGAAAATCCGTAGGTCTTTCGTGGGCAGTTTCTTTGGTGGCGTCGCGGTGACATTTAGGCTGTGGGCCGGCGTGCTACTCAGTTGCTTTGCAACCGCTGCGTATGTGCGGGCTGGTGTTGATTGTACTGTCGGGTCGACCTCTATTGGGGTTCCGAGAGGCTTTCTAGCAGTTGTGTCTTGGGTTGTTCGAGTGGCATGTCGAGATTGTGCGAGTTGTGAGGTGCGGCAGTCTGGTTGCCCACGATCCTCGCGCATCCTTTTCACCTCCTGTTCGAGGGATTCTATTTTGGCCTTGTATGCCTCGAGAGTCTTTTGTCTGTCGGCGTCCTTTTGTTGTAGCTCTTTTGCAAGCCGAGCGAACTTCTTGGTGGCTTCGTGGATCACGTCCTTTGCGATATCTCGAGCCACGTCTTCCAAATTTTCGCGGGCTTTAGCGGTGAGTCTCCGGGGTCGCCTCGATAGCCGCGAGGCCACTGAGTCCTCGAGCTCATTGTTATTGAGGTTGAAGTTTATGATTCCTTCCATGCAGTACGTTTTTCTGAAAGTCCTCTTCTAGCAAGTGTCGTGATATACCCTTATATATTCCTTTGTTTGCCCGGGTTCACGTCTGTCTTCAGCGCCATAGGTCACGTGACCTATCGGTGTTCAGTGGTCCTAGCTCCTGATCTCCACTGGGCCTGCCAACGGGCCTTGTGTGTTAGTTAGAACCATCGGTTCGTAACTACCTTAACGACTCTGTTCCTACTTACCTATATAAGTACTTATTTACCTAGTATAATAATTTATACGTATATAGTCTAGGTTCGAACTATAATAGGGCTTCGTATATTAAGAATCCTATAGCTTGAGGTAATTTCTAGGCTTACAGACTATCGTAGTCTCGTAGTCGCGGAGTTAGGCTTTAATCTAGGTTTGGAATCCTTAGATCTGATGTTTCTGTCATTGTTCTAGCATACGTACCCGTGATCGACGGAGGAAGGGTTGGTTGATGCAGCGAGTGCCATCAGCCATCGCCAACGCGATCCAGTCGTTCAACCCGCCATGTTTCTGGGAATGACTTTATACGTATCGGGCTCTTCTGTTGAATATGCTGCATCTTCCACGAGCCGAAATGTCATTCATCACCAGAACGAAGACCCACCACTGGAAGTTTGGGTCCTTGCAGCACCGTTGTAAATGTCAGGGTACGGCTAGGCCGAAGGCAATAGTACAGAGTGATGGGGAGTAATGGGCATCCCTCCTACGTAGCACCGGGTGGTCACTGGAGGTCTCAGGTAGGGGTGCCCACGATGATGCATTGATCTCTACTCTCTCTATCTTCTTCCCGGGCCTCCGCCCCTTACATAGATAGCTAGAACCCGGCGTCGGAGCCGCGGAGCACTAGTTTCTCCGATTGTTCCGCAAACCAAGACTTCCATATCATGTCATGACTCGCACGTCCCTACACCAGAGCCCCACCGGCGTCCCACCAGTGCCTATGGCATTCTGTTCTCTGACAGTAAACCTCAAAGATGACGGCACTTGGACGAGGCCGGAGCCGCCGATAAATGGCGTGAGAGCAGTGAGAAGCAGCTGGCCGAGAATTCTATCGAGCTGGACGATGAAGTGATTATAAAGTTGTGGAACTGAATGGCGTGAGCTCAGTTCAGGAGTATTTGTCGTATACTTCGAGATGCGGAATTACATTCACCCTATAATCCCATATTGCTTTTGACGGCTGCGGGATTCGATAAGTTTCCGTAGTTGATATCCGTCTTGTTCGACGCAAGAAATTGCGATGGCTTTGATCAACTTACAGTCGTAGTGCATGTGTCCAAATAGCTTCGATTTTCATTAGATATGCTGGATGGACAGAAATAGGATTGGATATACGGAGTATATTTAAGTAACTGCGGTCAAGATAATACACTCTGTGCGGCTGGACTAACGGAGGGAAATATTGCTACGTCCAACGACGCCTGTCGCATTGCTCAAGCATAGGTAAGCTAACGAAATGTTGGAATAGCTGCGAATCGTTTGGTGCTTCAATACCGTCTCAATGATATCTCCGATTCGACGTAGAAAAATTCTGATCTGCAGACCTAGGCACAGACAAAGGATGTTGCCGTTGTTGTCGCCACTATCGTTGTGCTAGTGTCTTTTAACATTTGCAACTTAGTAAGCAGTCTCTTAAGACGAGGAGGCAATTTATAGGGGTATAAGTCATATATTGGGAGTTCCCTGCCCTTTAACTTATTCAGAGAGGAAACATAAATAATTGCGAATACTGACATGCAGGAGGTGGTCCGAATCCTTGCACTTGGGTTGAAATCATCAGCGTACACCCAGCACAATCCAGGCGCGTTATTCTTGTGACGGTGTACTGGTAAACTGTCGAAGTAGGCCCCGCTTTCTGCGGCGGGATAATAGTATGCGTCGTTATGCATGCTCGGGCTTGGTTTGCTATCGTGGCTCTCTTCCTGTCTGTAGACATTGGGCTCTTGCGAGAAATGGCGTCGGCAGGAGGTGGCGTCATACTTGGAATCAAATGTGTCGAAACATGCCCATAGTGAAATGGTAGATTCCCTCCAGTGTTTGCAGACGAAGGCGTAAGTGTTTGTCGCTGTAGCACATGATCTGTTACACTAACGGGAAGCTCTCGTGGGTTTGGTGGTATTGACAATCCGTCACCGATACTATCGGGAGCTGGGCCACAAACAGTGCGCCCAAGCATTGCGGCGAGAATGAACGGCCAACGTCTCATAGGCACTGCTTTTTACAACAAGTATGATGCGTTGGCCCTTGCGATCGTGATGGACAGCGATGTAGTGCTGTCGTTTGAACAAGGCTAGCTTCTTTAGTTACAAGGTCTCGGGAGTTTTAAGGTAAGTAGTGCGCTGGAGCTTTTTCAAGTTGTTGCGAGGAGTGTGCTGTTCCGCGCCAGGCTGCATTAGCACATGCCAATATTCTAGTCCATTGGACTCCAAATCTAATAAGTATACCCAAGTCCCAGGTTCTAGGTATGTCCTTGGGTAGACAGGGGTTACCAGTTATTAAACTGGATGCCCAAGTTGACTTGCTCCATGTGACCAACCATGTAGGCTTTCCTTGCGGCTTTAACTCCATGCAGAAGTGCCAATATGAAATAAGGATATCGGCCCCCACGTCTCACGCCAAGTCTAAGTCGGCTGACTTGCTTCATTAATATCAGCTCATGATGTCCAATTGGACGTGTCAACCCCTATGGGAGCTAATTTGGAAAAATGGGCCAATCTATCGGTCTTCGAATATGATCATGGTTGGGATTTCCTAGTATTTAATTTGATTGGTTTGGATAAATTTGAGCATCCACGCTTCCGGCTGAAGGTATAAATTTAGAAAACCAAGGAGATTCTCTACTACTGCACCATTCCGATCAACAACCCCTTTTCAATCTGCGGATATCACGGGAAACTAACCTGCCAAGGAAACACAATTTTCTTTTGTAACAGTGCTATCTGATCCTAGTTTGTATACTGCAGTCGCCTGGATTGGGTTCTAAAAGCTGGTAGGCTGGCTGTAGTTTCCCCGACGAACAACTAGGCGGCTTAAGTATGAAAAGAATATTGAGATGGACGGCACTTTCTAGTCCCACCGTAGACTGTAGGCAACAACCACGAAACGTAGCTTCTATGTTTGGCTCCGAATCACCATAGTGTTAGATCTGGAGGGGTCTTGGTGAATCCCCAGTCGGAGCCAAAGAAGGGCTCTCCATTGCCAGAATTCCAGCCATCTTCGAAATCTGCGTCGTAAGTTTCCCATTCGGCCCCCACTCCGGCCATGGCGTCAGGAACGGGTTGAGCATCGATATTGCCACCCATTGCGCATTGAATTTCCAGAAGATTTTCTTCAAGTATGGACAGGCATAGCAGCTCGGCTTCTTCAACAGTTTTGAAGACAATCGGCACGATGTCCTCGTGTGGCAAACGCTTCACTAGACCCTCAATCTGTACAATAACGACCGAATGGAATACATAACCTTTGATATTTGTTTCACCGGACTCGATCCGTCGTAGTGCCCATAGCTTCGCGTCTTCGACCAGGGCGAGACAATCAGGCCGCAAAGTGATTGGTCCGATATGGTCTTCCTCGTACAGTTGAGTTGTAAGCTCCAGCACAATGATGAGGCAGGCTTGGAAGAGGACGCTGCGGTAAAAGCCAGCGGCGCATATTGTGAGTCGAGCCAAGTGGTCCTCGCCGGTCTTCTCCGACGTGGCGGGTTTTCTCAATGCAGAGCCGCCAGGGTGTGCTAAGGACCAGAGCTTCAACGACGTATCGACAGCAGCCTTCCGAGAGAAAGCACACGCGCTCTCGCTCTCGCGTATTGCTGGGCCAACATGTACGATATGGAGACACAGAAAATAGCGACGGACGAGGAAATCCACGAAGCGCAATTCGAACGACGACGGTGCGGGCCCAGCTGTGGGGTACGACGACAGCATTCGGCAAAGATGCTTGTACGTAGCCTTTAAGTCGGCGTCGAGCCGCAGAGTGTCCGAGTAAGATGCACTGGGCCCCAGATCGTTCAAGAATTTGGCGACTGTGAGGCGGACTGGAAATGAGGTACGGAGCGCGACTGCAACGGACGACTGGGAGAAGACGCCCCAAGGTTTCGGAACTGGGTCCGAGTCGGGGATCTCTTCGAGTTGATGGTCGTCAAAATTGCCAGGGGGTTGACAGTCGAAATCGGTCAAGGAGATCATGGGCGGGCCTCCGGAATCGATGCTCGTCTGCAGAGTAATTTCCAATATGGTATTCCATAATCTCCGTCGCATCTCAGCCATGAAATGCGTCATACGGGGCAGGCGCGAAGGGTCTCTATGCAGACCCATATAAATGGCCGATCGCAGCAAGGCGCCGGCGGTTATCCACACGAGATCAGCGCCTACGCCTGTAGTCTGACGAGCCAAGCATAGGAGCATCATGGCTTGTAGAGAGCCTATATTCAGCCGTGGTTTGGAATCCGAGGCCCAGGCTTGCGCCTCGTGGACCCATCGGATAGCGGAAGCCTTCAAAGAAAAGCGGTCGTCGTACGTGGCACTACCAATGGCCATGACCAACTTCAACTGGATTAGAAAGGTATCGTTGACATGCTCCGGGGAGCAGAAAAATGTTTCGTAATCTCTTGTGAAAGATGGGATATGCAGAATACGGAAAACGGACTCAGTGGTGTGGAGATAGCCATGGAAAAGCTTGTCGGCTACCTCCCTGGAAGGTATGCTGGAGCCAGGGCCAGTGGAAAGGAGGGGACCAAACCGAACACTTCGTTGTAGCTTGATATTCCGCGCTACGGATTTGCACTTGTCTAACAAAATGTAGGCATTCGAGGTCTTTTCAGTTGCTTGCTTGGCAAATATTTCAAGGAGGCCCTTGAGCTGGGTTCGGTAAGTAAAGGTAGCGGAAGCGTAAGTGGCTAGTAAGAGAGACTCACCAGGATGGCACCATTCATCCAATGGCTTTGGCCAAACATCCTCGTCTTGGAAAAAGTACTGTGGTCCACTGTAAAAATCTCGCCGGTCCAGTAGCTAGTTAGTGTCTCCCTGTCCGTCACGTTGGATGGTTGGCCTGGCTTGTTAGGATGTTGAGGTGTGGTGGTGAGCGGAGCCCGATTGATTGCCTCAGAGAGTTGCTGCTCGAGTTCCTTGATTCGGGTCCGCATAGAATCCAGAGTCGAGGTGGAGATCTGGGTCTGACTCGAGGGAGACGACGGAGTACAGGACGAAAGTGCACGCCCTTCGGACGGGGGCGAGAGCCGCTCATGGTGGGCTAGTGAAGGTGGAGGAGGGATGCTCTGCTGGCTCCGTTGGCCCTGCTGCGTGGAAGAGCCAGCTGGAGCCTGAGATTGCGGATCGGGCCGTGTATCGTAGACGCACGTCTTGTTTCTAGAGCGAAGACAGTTGCTACACGGGGTTTCCCGATTACATTTGATCTTACGCCTACGGCATACCGTGCAACTCCTTTCCAAAGTTTTAGTATCTCGTCATGTCGGGATCTCTGTGCCAAGTTATCCGCGCTTCACGTACACGGCTGGTCGTCTTCTCCGTCGTTCAGGCGCTGCATCAGCCAGCGGCCGAGATGGCGGCTCCGTCATGCTCAAAGTACGTACTTTCAAGTAGCGCCGAATCCGAAAAAATAACCAAAATGGAAGACACCAGACAGCCAAATGTTAAGTTCGGCCTGGGCATCTGAATTACGGGTGAAAAGAGAGAAAACGTGTGTTGACTTCGGCAGTACTTGAGGCAATGAGAGATGAAGTGATGAGGGGCCATTCGCCGTGCCAACCCTGTCAGCCTACGCAAGTGGTCTATTCCGCCCGCCAATTCCCGATTCTGACTGATTGTCATTGGACAGTTGGCGAGAATCCCCGACATGAGCGTGCATTCGCTACGTCCGAGACCGAGGCCGAGTTGGTCACCGCGTCCAACTTATTGTCGCCGCATGTCTTGGGACATGAGTTTTCCGAGTATATATATCCAAAGTTGACTGGAAGAGGTACATTAATATCATTAACTCTGCTACACCAGAGGTTCATCCCGCATCTGCCCAAGGGAGCGGTTGTCATTAGCCACAGTACATGCACTCCTATACTACTTTGAGATTAAGATCTCTTACATAAAGATGGCTCCCGCTGACCCACCCTCACCCTCCAACACTGCATTCAGAAAAAAAATAAGAATCGGTCATTACCAACCAAGATGCAGAATATGTCTCACATATAAAGAAAAGATGCTGTCAAAATACCCCAAGGGCGGAACACGAGCTTGGCTGGTTACTGCTGGGTTAGCGGGCGTGCTCTTCTCCACCGTCGGTTGTTGTTTTGCGGTTTTCAGATGAATTTTGTAAGCGTGTCCTCGAAGGTATTTAAGAACTTGTGCAGGTAGTTACTCTCTCTTGAAGAAAAAAAGTAAGCGGCCAAGCCAGTAGTAATTGATTTCATTCCTTTCGCCTGTTGAGGCACCAGTTGTTCTGATGACCTGTTGAGGCCATTGTTTCATTGTTCACCTACTGAGGTATTCTTGTTATTCCGATCGGAGCAAGAAGGCTCTTGATTTTGTTATTCTATCCACCTCCTGGATAATAAGGTCTTGTTGAGGATCTTGTTGTGCGTTGCCATCATCACACCTTGAACCTGCGGGCATCTATTGCCCGCCGTCAATATCGGTAAGGTTTTTTTTTTAAAAAAAAGGAACAAAGAGCGTTCCAAATTGGTAAGGAAGCTAGTAAGTTACTCTCTATAATCGAACTATTTGACTTCTAGGGATAGCTACGTAGCAGTCCCTGTAGCCTTCTAGACCGTCGAGTCTCTTCCTATTAGGTCAGGGGCCGAGGTCTTTTAGTAATATTCGATCCTTAACTTGACTAGGATATCGGAGCATTTTAGATTTGATCCGTAAGTGGGTCATGTTCTATTTTAGGTATGGGCTACGTATTAATCCTAGCTGCGGTGTTGCCGATCGGAAGTCATTGAAGAAGGGACGCCGGACAGGTCGGGGGATAGCCCTTTCGAGGAGGGCGATATTGCACTGCAACGGGTAAAGGCATTTAGCTGCACATTGGATATGTTATATAGCTCGTTAAGAGCTTCCAAACCTAACCATCCGATCTCGGCTTGATTCCGATGACTTCCAGTAATGCTATTACCATTCGCCCTCAGGGGCGAGATTTAGGTTTGGAAACCACGCCACTCAGATAAGGCTGAATATACGGGCAGGACCTATGAAATATGATCCTCAACATTCACCGACAACATATAGCACGAAATGTAGGATTCATAAACAGTTAGACGATAGAGTGTAACCACCGTGTCAACAATATGAAGAGCAGTCAATCTCTGAAGTCGAAGAGTATCCAAGCTTCTTAGCTGAATCGCGAAATCCAGAAGTGGTATACAGCATTCTACAATTTGAACCATAATTCCGTAGTGCATAGTTCACATTATAATGCAGTTTTCTTCTATAAACCTCGGCAACTAGACATCCTAGCACTATATAGGTAGACCAAATTACTTAATAAGACGACCGACTAAATTACTTCGCATAACGGGATGGCAATAACTAAGGTACATTGATATGTATGAAGAGATGAAGGGTTCGTGAAATCAACGATTACTCCGTGTGGGAAACAAACCTAGAGATACTCATTCTAATGGACAAAATATGTAGGTCACCGCTTATATTATAAAAGGGTTAATATAGATCTGTGGGATTGGTGGCCTACGGTCACGTGGGATACGGCAAGATACTTAAATGCCTTTGTGTGGCTTGGACCCCCTCACCTGTACTTCCCTTCTTCACCTTCGTATGTAGCCGGAATGCCAGTACCAGTGCGATCCCACAAGATCTAGCTAAATCGGCTAATTGAGACAGGGAAGTACACAAGTAGGTAGGAAGCAGGTTTGGACCAGACGTCCTTTGATGGAAATGAATAGCAATGAGCTGATCACTTTTATCTGACTTGTGCCAATGCAGTCTGTAATCCCCAACCCCTAAGCCTGGTGCTTTTGAGCGTGGAAGTGAGGCGATTATACAATTGGGCGGAAATGCACATGGTAAGCAAAAATAACATGGTTCATCAAGACATATTGTATCTTGGTTTGGAGTTACTAGAATAGTGAATACCTTTAAGGAAGGGAGAGAGTTTGTCACAAACAATGCGAGGAAAAATACAACAAAGTGTTGAACTGAAGTTTCCCATGACGGTCACAAACAATGCGAGGGAAAATACAACAAAGTGTTGAACTGAAGTTTCCCATGACGAAACATGGCTGTGGTGCTTGACCAGCCTACATTTGACTACACAGGCCAGTTGCGAAGCAGGGATCAGCGCAAATAACTTTAGGCAATTGAGATCCACATGGTATGCCCACGAACGGTCTCAATTTGTTGACACGCTCGGTAGCCCAACGCGTCGTTTTTATAACCTTGATTTACTGGCACTTCACGGGGAAATCTGTGCCCTCAATCCATTTTAGGCTGCCACCATTGTGTCAGCGACGACTGTAAACATAGTGAGGGAGAACAATGTAAAACTTACGAAGGCTTGAGCTTCTCGTCACTGTTCAAGTGTAAATTGCCATAATCAGAATTACTGAACTTGCAATTACTGCCTCGCTGACACCTCGGATCCTTCAGGCAGTGGTGGCTGAGGTAGCAACTGTAATCATCGCACTCAGGGCCTCTGGGGCACACAGATGTGCGTGCTTTGTACCGATGTATGCTAACTTCTGCCGCTGTTAAGGAAACATCGTGAATCCTCTCACAGTTTCGTCGGTTGCACCGGCCGATGAGATAGTGGTCATTGCAGAAGGCATTAGGGCTGACTTTGAGGAGCTTTTCCTGATAAGTGGCCTGAGCCGGGGTGTTTGATGGGTGGGAAATCGGGGGATCAATTCGGCAGCCATCACAGTTGTACACAATAGTCTTTGGTGGTTGCTTCTTTTCGGGCTTGACCGTAATGTTTTGGTGTTCCTTAGGCCCACCAGCCGTTGCATAACTGATCGAGACGCCCCCCTTGCCAGAAGTTACAATGCTGGAGGTGCGAGATATATGAGGCACCGCCTCAGTCACCGACGTAATCAGGGTTGGTGATGGCGTATTGGTGCTCGCAGGCGGTGTGGGCACGAACCTCTGGGGCTGCGGAGACTGCTGTTGCGGCTCAGGCAGAAGTGAGCTAATGGTAGCTGGCGAATTCATTATGGGCCCATGGGAAGGCAGTGATGGCAATCGAGTGGTGACGGGTGAAACCATGGACATACGCTTTGTCTCGTAGGCCAAGGGGCTCGACCTAAAGACTTGGTTGAAATGAGTGATGGGGAAACCAAGCCTTTGAAAGTCGGGATCTGCTGGCGTAGTTTCTACAAGTACGATCTTGTCGCGATGCTCGTGATTGATGTATTTTCGCAAGTCATGCGAATAGCCATTGTCGTGACAGCAGGCGATGAAGATTTTCTTGCACTCAGCAATGTTAAAGTAATGGCTGAGCATGTCTGGGACGGTCATAAGTCAAGCCCAGATGGAGATAATATCAATAAAAACTCACCTCTGATTTTGGAATCGGTATTCTCCGTGCCCCGACCGACGTTAATAAAGTCAAAGTCACCGTGGTTGCTGGTGAACTGCTCAGCGAAACGAATCATGTCATCATCGTGATCGATGACACTGGACATGCGCAATGCTTTAGCCAGCCCGCTGAGGTTGGCATACGCACGAGCGACTATAGGGATTCTGTGAAGCTCCTGATCATTTTCGCCAATATAGTCTCGCACAGCTTGCATCAGTGCCCGGCCAGCCCTGGGAGCGCCGTCGCTCGCGTCAAGAATAAAGTGATCAGCAAATTTGGCTCCATCACCGTCCACAAGCACTGCGATAAATGAATCATTGTTCTAGAACAGGGTTAGCAAGGCCCAGCTTAGTTGAAGCACCAAACTCTTACAATATTCTGCTCAAGCTCCCGGGCACTCTTGAGCTTCAACTGATATGATCTCCTCGACTCCATCTCCGACTCGAGATTCATACTCAGGTTGATAATTTCAACATTGAGCCGTTCGATCTCGCGCCTCTGGTCCTCGTTTTGCTCGATCAATGCCGCATAAGTGTTGCGCTCGTCGAGCAAAGCCTGAACAGCCGGTCAGTACTCCAGTAGCCAAGAAGGTTGTGCTTGCAATTCAAGCTCATGATGGCACCAGAGGGTGGAAAGACATAACCAAGATGGCCGTGAAGGCTGGCTGAGCCAGCGCCAGAACCATCACGTGATAGACAAACGAGCGACGATGGCGGCATGAGGATTTCTTGGGTAGACTCACGTGGATCAGCCGGTTCTTCTCGCCGTCTGCTTTGATGAAGTCGTCCATCCAATCCCTTGCATTAACGAGGATGTGGTTGGTGGCGGCTTCGAGGTGGTTGGCATGGTCTGCCATCCCATCCATGTTGTGAGTTGATATAAAGTAGGGATGCTGCTGGCAAAATGTCTACCCAGTCATCCACCAGAGCTTGTGGGATTTGGCATTGGTTGCAGCGAGTTCTTGTACCAGGGAGTTGTGATGTAAGATGAAAAGATGGGTGAAGGCGTTAGGAGTGCTAGAGTGATGCTGCCCCCAGCATGCACATGAGATATTGAATTGAATGAAGGTGAGGCCAGGGAAGATTCGGAAAGAATCCAAGTGGGGAACCCTCAGCGATGTCCTTTTTGGGCAAGGCGGCAAACGGACCACGCTTTGAGTGTTTCTGGGGTAAGCTCAACAAGCTCAACAAGACCCGCCGGGCAGCAAAGATTCTGGCCAATGAAGATGTCGCACCAAGTCTGCCTGGTGTATGAGCCCATTAAGAGAGTGAGCTGAGCATTTTCAGTCGGGCAAGGTGGGGTCGAAAGGTCGAAACCGTTTCCCGCATGCTTTCCCGACTCGGACCTTTGAGATGCTGCAATCAGCCTGAGCCTTCTACAGAGCAAGATAAAAACATGAATTATCAAGATATGCCCTTACCTTCCTGTAGGATTAGGCGACCACTTCGAGCCAAATTTGCAAATATATGTCATTCGTTGTTTCTGATATTGCCAGGAGGGACTCTGTTTTGGCAAGCCGCAACCTCGCCTCGAGCCGCAGAGCCGACCTCACTTCTCCTTACTGAGGTGGGTTCCAGCATCATGAGGCCAAGCAGAAAGAGGCTACATGTTGTTCTGTTTAACCGAGCCTGCCTGCAAATTGCGCCTAGTTTCGTAGTTGGTGCTGCAGAGGCCTCACATGGTCTTGATGTCTGCCGGTTCACACTGTCGCGACGGCATCACTGGTAGACCGTGGGTTTCAGTCATGTCATCAGAGATGACACAGCTGCAATCATGTCCGTGGAAGAAACCGTCGCCGTATTATGCCCTTGACGCATGCTCCAGCTTTATCACAGGCAATCTCAAGTGAACATCGGATCCGCTCCCAATGCATTCGCCATTATGGCGCGATAAGGTGATCCCCGCATTTCGCTCCATCATCGGGACACAGAAGGTCGGATCGTCAATATAGCATCGTTTCTTCAAACTCTCACCCTTTTTTATGCGTCCCGTCTCAGGTCTACGTTAGTTGCAATGCTACTGGTCAAACACGTCCTCTACGCAACCGGTGCACTTGCATCGCAAAGTGTTCTGTCGTCCAAGGCAGGCCCCAAGACTGGCAATGTCGCCTATAAGCTTCCTACCGAACGCACATTTCTCCTCAACGTACCCTCGGCCTACGCACATGAGGATGCTCACCCACTGGTGCTCTCGTTCCATGGCGGTTAGTTCAGCAGTTCTCCCGTCTAGCGCTGCAGTGCTCATCCAGGTCTTGTCTCAGCCAGCGGCTTCAGCGAGAAACAGCAGCGCATAACTGAACTCTCGGAGTCGTCGCTTCGTATCGCAGGAATGCCATTTCTCACAGCCTATGGCCAAGGTGTCAACAACACCGACTGGAATATGACGCACATCTGGAAAGGAGCCCCACACGAAAACACCACTGTCGATGATGTATTCTAATGTCCGCTTTCTCTCGCTCTCCACTTGATACACTAACCTTTCTAGATTGCCTACGTTTACGACATGGTATCAGTCATATCCACCACATACAACATTGAGTCTAGTCGCATATACGCTTGCGGCAAGTCCAACGGTGGGGGCTTCACGGCACTTCTCGCCTGCCGACCCGATACATCGGCCTTGATCGCCGCTTTCGCTCCTGTGTCGCCGGCACTATATCAGGGAACGTACGCATTCCACAACTGCACGCCCTCGCGTCCTGTACCTATTTTACATGCCCATGGGGTGGAGGACACTATTACGCCCTTCCGTGGCCGCAGCCCTGAGGAAGGCTCCTTTGGCCCCGAACCAGATGTGAGACTGTGGAGGAGGATGTGGGCCGAGAGAAATGGCTGCAAGGGACGCTACGACGGCGAGTGGGCCGAGCCGTTTGTGCGTGAGCTTTATGACGGTACCTGGGGAGAAATTTGGGATTGTCCCGGGGCTGAAGTCAGGGGCTTGACAATAGAGGGACTCGGCCATTCGTGGCCCACCACTTCGGGATTAGACCTAGCGGGCGCACCCAACCAGACGGCTAACTTCAACTTCACGAGTCCGCACTTGGTCCAATTCTTCTCGAGTCATCAGTTACCATGAACTTAGGGCTGATACGGGTTCGGTGGTAGAACTTCTGGTCAATACTGACGGGGACAGCGTTTTCGCCAGCTGAGGCTCTGGGCGGCTCGGAGGCTGTAGCGCATCTTCCGCTGCGTCTTTGGAGCAAATAAATCGGCAAAGTGTGAATGCTGGTTCTTGTCGAGTTTGAACTACGCTAGGCTCCGGAGATCCGATGGACCTTGTAGCTGTTCCCCACAACTTGGGACATCATTCATGGATGTTACATGGGATTGCTAGTCTGGATTTCCAGTTCTGGGCAATGTTAGTTGATGCAGACATAGCCCGGGACTCATCATCCCTAGTTGGTGGCTTATGTGTTCCCTCTATAGTCGCCCATTTCAACACTAGTGCCACCTTTACTTCCACCATTTGTGTACTTCAAGGTGATAGATGCCAGCGGCCGCTGCTATGAATGAGAGGCTCATGAAGGGGGTGAAAACCAACGCTCTACTAACTGACTCGAGGTTGCGATTCATACGTGCTTGACGAGTCCTAATGCCCTACCGCCTTCCACTGCTCTCGATTGTGTTAACTAACGAAAGAACAGGTTATATCTCAGTGTACGCCACGAGAAACCACAAACCTGAATGGATTTAATACCCTGTTTGAAGTCCATCGTGGGCTCTTTCAGCCGAGGTTACTTGACGCACGCGTCGCTGGTCCCTATAAGCACCTTGTATTATCCATCTACTAATCTTTCCTCTAACTTGTAAAATTATTGATTTACCTACATTCAATAACAGCTCCCCTTATCCCGAGTTTCTAGATCCACCTGCGCTCATCACTTACGCGTCCTGGATATTATCAAAGACCAAGAGTCTATCTTCCTGTAATTCAAAACCCCGCAGCCGTGTCATCACATCAACGTGGCTTGGACCCCTGGGTTCTAGAGTGTCCTGTCCGTACAGATCGGGCAACCTATTGATGAATCGACAATATTGTGAACCGCATTCTTGTAGTTTTCTTTCGGGATGATCTCTTCAGCGGCAGCCGTGGATTGCCTTGCCTACTAGAAGCTGCATACTTGCGTAGTCCATAGGTCCTGTGTCGCTTGGTCTGACTTACCTTGCCCAGAGAGCCTAGTTTAAGCGCCTTCTGCGATTCGAAAGTCAAATTCTAGGATTAGGGACGAAGAGAAAAGACTGGAGAGCGATCTGGATTTTAGACCGATACTACCTTCTACGTGAGCTTATTAATGATATCATGCTGTCATCAGCCACTTGCACACATATTGAGCGTTAATGGAAATGGAGATCGACGCTAACTTGGCCAAAGTTTTCAATACTATAGTTTTTACGAAGGCCCAAAGTACATTTCTAACGCAAGTTTGCGATGATATTTACAGATTGAAGTGCAATGCCCACTGGAGGTCTTGCCCTATTCTTATCTTAATTATTCTAGCAGGGATTTTCGAACACGACATGACCACTTCATATTCGAGGTAGGGGCATTCAGCATCGCTCCCAGGACCTCTGATTCTACAAACCCCTTTCGTCTCCTCGGTTATGCCCAAGCTCAAATCCAAAAAGCCATGTTATGACACAAAGTCCAAAATGACAAACCAACGGCAAGCCAAGATATAAACGCCCCCCTGGGATCCTCACGCTCCCCGACGTCAGCAGAGACAACATTAAAGGGTGATACGTGACCCCATGGGGGGTTACCCTATAGCTATAGATAAGATAGATAAGAGCTATAAAAGAGCTCTGCCAGGCCAGAATAGCTGACCTGGCCATCCTTTCCCAATACAACAATTCACACCCCATATGCACTCGCATCAAAGGGGCAAGAAAATCGTGGCACCACACTTTCACTTTGGAGAAGGCGACCACCGGGGCTGTCATTTACACAATGCCGATGTTTCTCGTAAGCCAGGGGAGGAGGGGGGAGCCGGGGACAGATTCATTCCCATGGATTTAGAAGACGACGGAGAACCGAATTGGACCGAAAACCGTCCACATCCATCTACGTCCGTCTCATCATTGGAGAACCTTCCTCCGCCACTTTTATATGAAAACGGGTAGTTTCAACTACAGAGGAGCCGGTTTCCTTTTGCGTTAATCCTCTCGATGTCTTAGCTGTTTTATAGCTAAGACCCAGACTTGGGCAGGCGCAGCATAGAACGTACCTGGTAGGCACACAAATACGTGTGTGCCTACTAGAATTGCCGAGTTTTCATCTTTCTTACGCACTCACGTGCTCTAATCGGAGATCCCATACTTATTCAGGATTTTACCTTTAACTATATCAATTATCCTTACTCTCCCATGCTATTGGAGTCGAATTTCCTCCTGCTCTTAGTGCCTCGTCAGCACTTAAGCAAGCTCTTTAAAATAAGTGCTCTACGTCGCGTAGCCCAGGGACTTTCTGTTGTCCACTAACTTACCCCCGACTCGAGCTCAGTCATAACTACGGCCTCATACCAAGGTTCTGCCTCCCTGCTCCACAGCTGTCCTTCGGGCATGTTATCCAAGTTCCACTCCTACCCTCAAATCGCTGCATTTTACGGTCCTGTATTGTCAGGGAAAAATGCTCCAATGGGGCTGCTACTTTATGAGGCGAACGTGTCTATTTGTCTGACTATCAATGGTCAACACATATCTGTGTGTACGCCATGTGGGCCTTTATAACTGGGACCCGATTTATTGTCTACATACGACCACCAATCTAGTGTCTCTCGTCCATCCACCAACATATACCAATGTGTCAGAGGTGGTTCGTGCATGACCACCACTACTACTTAGTTTCAGCCCACCAGCACTAGCCTAGCTTACCTGAATACATCATACTTCTATTTCCCTCTTTGTGCCCCAACATAATGCCAGCATTGAACATACCTAATTTGTTAATTGATTGATTGGTGATTCATCCCTCATTGGGATGGGTGTCAATGGAGGACACCATGGCTAAGTTCGTGAGGTCAAACTAGGTAACCTACAACTCCGTGAGCATAGGATGGTGTAAGCTGATATGCTAAGCAGGAACACCTTGGGAAACCGCGCATCCATTTGCGATGGAATAGGAGGCTATGGGAAACAGCCAAGTGTAACCACACTGGTTATTCCTCGTCATGTCACTCACATCAAAGGTGGGCTGGTTCGAGCCCTTCAGAGGCTGCCCGCATCCTGAATTACAATTTGGCTGGGAAAATAACTAGAAGCTGCATTCCAAAAAAGATGTTCAACCACCTTATTTTCTCGAAGTGTAATACTCAGGTAGTTTGAGTAAGTCTGCCAAAGAGACAGGAATATTTGATAAAATTCACTTTCACTTCTTCTCTCCGCTTCGTACACCGCCTTCTTTTGCTTCTCCATCTCTTATCACTTTCTTCATAGTCGATAAGAGCGACTTTCCTGAACGTCAAGTCTTTTCTTGATAAGGATTTCATCTCAACTACTGCCTGGGATTGGATTGACCCGCACATATAGACAATCAAGATCATCCGAATTATAGCCCCAACAGATCTTGATTGTATTCTGTTGGGCACTATCATACCGTTGAACAATAGGGTAGGACCCATTCTTCCATGCCAGAGACAATTGAATTCATTACAATGGGATAACTTCGCCAGCACTCTATCTATGTGAATTTTCGGCTTGGCCCCTCTTGATTTTCTATGTCTACTTAATCCCAAACCGTGTCCTCGGATTTCTAGTAAACTCTGCAATTGACAACACAACCAACCCAGGTAACACCTAGACTAAAGCATCTTCTTTCTTGACACCAATTGGCAGCGACAAGCTAATTCTCATTGTCGATAGCTCTGATACCAACTGAGAGCAACAAGTTGGCTCACACCGTCAACAACTCTGAACTCAGCTTGTGATCCACACCTAACCCACATCAATGGCGTTGGCAGTGACAAGCTAAGTCACATCATCATCAACTTTGGCAACAGCTTGCAGCGCCCTCCTAATTCGTACCGATACCACTAGCAAAGGTCTCAATTCACGACTAATTCACACCACAACCCGAAATCTGTCCGGCATCGGGTGGCAACTTCACAGCTAATCCACATCATCAACAGCTCTGGCAGCAAACAACACATTCACCCCATTGACTCCTCTTGCCGCAATTCCCTTGACGCCGTGCAGGCCACGCAAAAACAGCCAAGAAGAGTCCTAGTATTATCCTATTTATCAACGACGAATGCCTTCACCGTATTAACCCCCCAATTGCCAGCACAACCACACTGAGATCATCCAGGTCACTGTCCGTATATGTGACAACGGCAATCACCTCAGCTTTATTCGTCGTTGTTGCCATCAGAGTCCCATTTGGATCTGAGATCACTTATGATTTTGAGAATCATATTGTTCCTACCTCTGACAACAACAAATATCTTTACCTATTGATTCCCCTTCCATCACGACAGCATCCATATCTTCGAGATCGCTGATAACTGAACATTCAGATACATGAGCACATACATCTTTACGAGGCAACTAGATCCGGCAACCCGGAGCAGATTCCACTGCCATAAGACTGGCAACAACAATTATTTCACAAGGCCCCAAGAAAACTGGCAACCACGGATTTATTCCATTGGCAACAAAACTGGCAACGACGGCTTATCCACACTGCTGATAAATGCGATAAGTACACAAAGACTCGGCCCTGACCACTTGCTGGCGCTATTAGTTGCTGTTCCTGGGAAACATTGCGACTGCAGCTTGAGTTCACCATCGTTGCCATCATCTGGTCATTGGGAAGACCAGTACCAGTGTTGTGTTATACCACACGTCGCCCTGGAATTTGCCACCTGATATTTGGTCAACGCTGTCTCGACTTCTCCACCACTTCCAGTGCTCTCATCAGGACTTGCATTATTCACTTGGCACCGGGGCAGAGTTCTTACACCTAGGTAAGCTTCTTGTTCTCTTTGAGTACTGGAAAGGCTTCGTTTATTGCGTCAATACCCCAATCCTTTCCACGATCTCCCACACTTGTTGCTGATGCAGCTACGATTGGATCGGTTACTTCACTCTAATTTGTCCTAGAGTTCTGGAGACTGTCACTCAGAGTTCCAGCACTTTACCCAGTTGTCAGTATTCAAACCCCGTGCATACTAGCAGGTCTTGTCCAAGATTTTAGTTGAGATGCCACCATGGACGTTGACTCTGAACACTTCTTCCGTGGTAGAGTCTGTTGTTGCCGGTGCAAGCCCCGCAGTCTCCCGCGTTAGAAGCATGGAATGGGTTGTTTATTTGTAAAAAGATTTATGAAAAATATGTTGAGATGTGATGGAAGGCAATAGACGTTGACTGATGAATATTTTAGCTAAAAAAATTCGCTACATCATAAGAGGACGAGGACGCAAAGATGGAAGCCAACGGTGGACAAGTCACTGAACAGCAGCAGCTCAGTGCTGTTAAAATGCGTGAATACATGAACCAGAACTCCGACACTGCCCAGACAAAGCAGCTAGTCTTCATCCTCCGTAAGACACTATTCTCTCACAAAATGCCGGTAGGCTAATGCAAATAGGGGCCATGTTTCGGCGAAAGAACGGCATTGTACCCGGTGGCCTCAATATAAGGACCATCTGCAAAGACGGTAAAGAATCCTTTGGCCACGACTTTGTACTCGAAGCACCCTTTATTTCGACCGTTCTGGAATGGTTTATTGCGGCCACGACGTCGGGCAATCTGCTACAGGAGCTGTCTCTCCTTGAAGAACATCGATTGAGATTCTTCCCTGCAGACCTACTTAAATGGGAGCAGTTCAGCGCCGGCGCCGATCAAAAAGTTGTCAACAAGCAACCTGCTGTTGCACATGCTATAACCCGACAAGACGACGTGGTTGTCGGCTCCGTCGGCCAACAAGTGGGCGACCTAGCCATGACCAACAAGACTGACCGTGCGCACCCTCCACAACCGGACGCCATCATCAATGGAGTATCGCTATCCAATATGCTGTGTTCTAACACGAGATCATACCGAAACTTCCTTGCCGACCGCACACAAGCAAAGCGGGTCCATCAGCTGTTCAAAGGCCTCCTGAGTGCTCCAGTCATTCTTAATCGCGTCGACGATTTCCCCGACGACAATGTACAAGAGTTACAGGATTTAGTACGACGCCTTTGTGAAGCTGTGTACAACACAAAAGATACCTTTGAGGGTATGTGTGCCACGGTCAGAACCTTGAAGAAGCAGCAGGAAGAGCAGAACCAAACTAAGGGCAAGGGCAAGGGGCGCAGGCCCAGAGATGACGGAAATACGGGACCTATCATTGATCTGCCTGATATCGTGGTCGAGACGGCCATGTGGGAGTTGCTGGTGAGTTGTGCGGACATAACGTTAGGGGTAAAGTTGCTGACACATTAACAGTATGCCACACGCGATGCCCAGAAGGGGGTCAATTCCATCGAGAATTGGCCTGGAAAATCAGGTCTGAAACCGCAGAGGGTTGAAGCGGTGTCCAGGACATTCTCCACCTTCATGAGTCGGTTCGATGCCCTAATTGAGGTTTTGATGGTAAGTAATAATACTGGTCGACTTTGACTGCTTCTTGCCACAGTTACTGATTTGTCCAAGTATCACAAGGGAATGTGCAAGTCACTGTTTGACGGGACCAATTGGATTCATCGCATTGCTTGGGATCCCTGGGGCGAGCTTGACGTAAGCTTTCTTTCACCGGTTAGCCCCTGAACTGCGTTTGAACTTTGCTGATGGCTTTGCAGCTGAAGATCGGCAACAAGCTGATCAACCAGACGCGCGACCTCCAAGTGAAGGCTGGAAATGCCCTGCTGGACCATGGGCAACTCAAGGTACAGAAGAACCAGGACGGAGATTATGTTGACGAGCAAGGCAACATCGTCATTCCTGACCCCTATAAGCAGATGAGTACACGCCTCAAAACGGCACTCATAGAGAGGCCCACTCGATCAACTAGCAGCGAGCGGGCCAAATTTGCAAGAAGGGCCGGAATTGATCTCCGCCGCCAGCAGCGCCTGAAGGCCATTGAGGAGGGGACACCTGCCCCTGAGAGCACTGATGAACATGTCAACGAAGGAGAATCCAATCAAGACGATAAGGAGGATGACGATGCTGAATACCACCTTCCAGGAACTAGTAGAAAGAGGCCTAGGAGGGAGAATGCAATGCCGAAATCGCGTGCTGCACGTCTTCGTGGGGCAACCATGGCTAAGAAGCCGAGTAACAGTAAAACAAGTATTCCTCAAAACGAAGCCTACCTGAATACACCTAACGGACGGCTTGTGACAGATGCCAAGGCTGCGAACCCAGCCGGGCAAACCCCTCAAGCCGACAAGCTTCAGCTGCTTCCCGGTATGGCCCCTCCCGGCTTCCGAACAAACCAGCCTCCTAATCCTCAAACGGACTTTGGCCCGAATGCCTTGAGTGCTATGAACAACCCAACCAGCACACATAAATTACAGTTTCCCTCTCTAGGCTGCATCATGGCCAAATCTCACGCTCAAGGTCTCAATCTCAACCAAGACACGACCCAGAACGTGCCCTTGTTCGGAACATCTGGTTTCGCTTCCACCAATGCTCCGACTCAAGATCGGAGCCAGTACGTGCTCTTGTTCGCGGATTCGGAGGTTGCTTCGACCAATACTGCGAATCAGACTCAAAAGCAGTCTGTGAACCTTGTCCGAGATGCCTCTGTGGGTACTATTTCTGACGCGACCGCTCAGAAAGAGTTCTCCATCATGTCTCCCGACGATTGGTTCAACTCCGGGCTTGCTAATATGGTCATACCTGTTGACCCAGCGCTGAACTTGACATCATCTGTTGATCCGGCCTTGGATCTGAAATCGCCAGTTGATCCGGCCTTAAACTTGACATCACCCGCTAACCTGTCTGTTAATACCTCCACGACAACAACACTCGCTTCGAAGTTCGTTACGGCACCGAGTTCCCCCCCTGCCCAGACAGAACGGCCTGAGTCTGGGACAAACCATGCCAACGACTCTGCGAACTCAGGTCAACAAGGTAACAGTGCCGAAAAAAACACGCATGCTCTCAACTGGGACCTGCCTTCTTACGATAACATGGTCTTGGACTTTCAAGGTAACGATATGATGGATTTCAGTTCCTCTGACGAATTCCAGGCCAACGCGGACGCCATGGAGAAACTCAACCGCTGGATCCAGGAGACTGCAGACTTTCAGTAGGGACTTCTAGTAAAGAGTCGACTTACTAAACGCGCTGCTGACTCAATCTGTCGTTCAGCACAGTCAGCAGCACCAAACTCTTCATCATTCATCGACAAATGGGGCAGACATGACCTCATTTACATCTCCTTCTCGTTCTTTGTATGAATTGCCTTGCATTTTGCGAAACAGCGTGGGAGTCATTTTGATTCCCAGATATATCCCAAAAGAACCAAAAGATCTGCCTCGGTTGAAGGTAACAGCGTCATCTCCTATATCAACATTTGTCAACAATAGGTCAACCAAGGTGGTTGCTACCTACAGCGAGACGACAGTGCATTGATACGGGCAAGGCGGAGAATTTCAGCGTGAGGAAGGAGCATATCGGCGGAGCCGGGTACTATAGAGGATTAATTGCGTGGACTTCGGCAGCAAGCGAGGAGTTCGGCGTTTCGGGCTACCTATATTATGTCGCCAAGGAGGGGTTGATTCAGTTAGACCCTGCAAAATGGGGGTGCATGCAAAAAGGTGGTCAATGCGGTTAGTCGGTTCTGGAGTGTGGGGCTTCCATTCTTGGGCGGTACTGGGCTCCGCTTCCAATGTTTCGAAGCCATACCGCCCAAAGCACTTAAGTAGGGGGTTTCTAGTACCAATAACACATGATCTCATTAATCTTACAAAGTTTGGGACCGTGGGTTCCGCGCGGCCTTCTTTACAGAAGAGTTGAGCTGAGCTGAGGATAAGCTTCTTTGTTCGCAATTACCGTCTCACTACTCAGAGGCTTGCTTCATTTCACCATCATGGAAATGTCCAAGATGGCTCTCATCTCTGCGCAGACCAAGTCGCGTGAAGTCGCTCCGCACGTGCTGAGCCGGCAGAGCTTCGATATCTTCTCGATTCTTGAACCGACCATCGCGTTTGCTCTTCAGTTTCAGCAGTTGCTCAGCAACGGTTCGCTGTCCGTCTTTGTCCGGACCTGCGCCATCGCATCAGACCTACTGCGCGTCAGCAGAATCGTTGCTGCACAATCCCTGTGCGAGACCAAGTGCGTCCTTGCCAACATCGTGGCATTGTCGAAGAACGCAGGGTTGGCGGCTTGGAACACCAAGGCGGTGAGACGATGGAGAAAGAAGATGGAACACGAGTTCTTCACATTTGCGCTGGGCTGTGGCAACGTCCTCTGCCTGATGTTGTTTTGGCCTGGGTAAGCAAACCTACCGCTTTGCTTCAGGCGCCGTTACGTTGAGCATGAGTACTGACGTCAATTCATGTAGATGGTGGCTTTTGGGTATTGCGATTTTCGCCGCTTGGAGTTTACTGGTAACAGCATCCGTGACCGGTGCAAGGCTCTGAACCGGACCAGGGAGAATTCATGAGTACTCGCTCCACTCCCCAAGAATGGGTAAACATTGTTCTGGACAGGGTGAGGCAATGATCAGGAGTCGTTGGTGTGTTAGGGAGATATTCATTGGCAGTCTTCAGACGAATCAGTAAGTCGTTAGATGGACTTTCAAATAATTTACTCGGAGAATACTAACAAGCTTAGGTGATGAGACAATCCAATCCAGTCACTACGTTGACACAGGGAACGGTCGGAATATAACGAATGCTTTGCATCTTGAGCAACTTCTTCAGGAGTAGAAAAAGGTGTTTCCGCCGAGATCGCGACGGACCTCGATCTGGTAGTTTTTTTCCGGGTCGAACTCTTGCCACACGCTAGCAGGATATATATGTTTATTGCGCTCATACCATCGCCTGTCAACAACCTTGGTGAAAGCAGCCTCGTCGGATGCTCCCTCAAGGGTGCTGACGTCAACCAAAGACTTGGCAGCCCTGCTTGCTGCCGTAGATAGAGGATCGACTGTAATGGCTTCTGTGTTTTGTTGCGAAGCGGGCTGGATGCTGTAGTCGAAGAGAAGTCTGCCGCCGGGGCCCTTGGACTTATTCATGATGAAGAAGAGAAACTCGTAATGCTACCAAAATATCAGCTTGTATCCACCACGAAGCAACACTTTTTTTATTTGGTCCGGGATAATTAGGAGGGTTAGGCAGAAGAAATCTTACATGAGGAATAATGACATTGCCTCTGACCAGCATCAAGTCGTCCACACCAACTCGAGCCCACTCCCTCCTTGCGTTTGCCTTCTCGCCCACTCCCAGCTCTGCACCTACCTTCCTACTTTTGTCGAGGAACACCCAGATGTAGTCGCCTTTCTTGACGCGCACCGTACCTCCCGGTATGTTGGTACCATCGTAGAAAACAAACGGGACGGCGATGTCGGTGGCCTTGACGGCCTCTTGCTTCGCCAAGAACTCTTTTCTCAGCACCTCCCTCTCTTCTGCCTCGCGCCGTAATGCTGACTTCGTCATGGCGCGTGGAATGACCGAGACAGACGAGTTTGCCTTGAACTTTATCTTCTTCTCCCCTGTTGTAGTTGTCTTCCCCGCTACGCCTCCATCACTCTTGTCCTCGGTTTCTTCGACATTGTTTTCGTCGTCGCCAAATGACAGCTTCGCAGCGCCGGCCTTGCGTCTCTTGACCTTCTTTCGCGCAGGGTTCGATGTCTCGCTAGCATTTGGGTCGGGTGTTCCGGTCTGCGAGCGATCTGGTGTTGCGACAGCACTCCCATTGGTTCCTGTTGCTGCAGCTTCGCGCAATTCTCGTTCTTGCTGCTCAATGACCTCGGCACGCCGCTTGCGAAAATCAGAGAGTGCGACCAGGCCGACGGTATTAGTGGTAAGCCGCTCCTGCGTCGTTTGGTTTGTTGAAGCGAAGCGAGAATCGGGGTTGGACATGGTGGTGGTGATGGTCGTGGATAGCGGGCTGGTCGAGATGTGCCACAGCGCTGGCAATTCAGTTGTTAGTTGTGAATAAATACAGTGTAGGCTCCATTCAAAGTAAATATTAAGGTTAGATAGAGCTTTAGTGGGGCTGCTCATGGATGGATGGTATGGGCATTCCAGTGTGATTCTCTCGGTATCGCCAGGCCGCCAAGGACTGGAACTGGTTGACTGCAAGTATTAATGAAATATGCAAGTGACTTCATGTCCGAAACTTGAATATACGCATTATTTATATTTGGATTGGCTGGGCTCAGAAAGCTGGCAATATCGATTGGACTACTGCTCAAAATTATGTTCGTTTTGTGTGTCTCTCGACAGCAATCCGATGACTGGGAAAGGCACCATAACCGTCTTGGCCATATTGAAAGGAATGTGAAGTTGCAATTTTCATTTCGTGTCAAGTTACCTCTCGTATTGACAATGGCCCTCTAAACTGGCGGGTAGATGCGAATTTCAGTCTAATTGATGAAGACCTCATCTAGTTATAGTTCCCTTCGTTCCAAGTCTGGTTTGCATATTTGGCATTGGAGAAGACGCGTCTTGGTAACCTCGTTCGGAGCATGGCGGTCGTGCTTCGGGCCGCAGTGGGGCGCACCCATTTTAGCATCATAAGTACGAAGTACCTGTCACTGCTTTTTCGACCTGTAAACCTGGGAGTTGCAATATTTGGCCAAGGCGACTGCAACCAGGTCTTAGAAGCCACGAAATATCAATATTGTGGGGACAACTCTTTTTGATCTTCCAACCTGAACACTGCGACTGCTTGAGCATTCAAGATTGAATCAAGGCCTTGCAAAAGTTGGAGCAAAGCATCCACCACGCCCAATGCCCACAGTTCGACTTCAATGATAGAGGTTATAGAGAGAGGAACACTTGGACACTGAGGTCTGGCTCGAGAGTACTGGCTGCAGGTCCCAAAGTGCAGGGCACCATGTGTTCGGCAGCAGAGGCAGCTCAGCCCGTTGCCAACCTATTAACCGTCATCATCGCCACATCCCCTACCCCTTCTGCGCCTTCGACCGAGTTGATATCCACAATCTTGGATTCCTTCCAAAAACACTGCCCAATTCTACTGGGTTGTAGCGTCATCGTGATCTTTGATGCTTATGATCAGATGGCACCCCAGGCTCGTTTGAAGAAGGGGCAGGTCACTGCAGAGCTAGCTCGGGACTACCAACTGTATAAGACCAATGTCAAGGAACTAATCCTGCGTCGTTTTCACGACGGCAAGCTGGAATACGTCTTTACTGAAATCAAAGGGGTTGCAGAGTACGGTTCGCCGGCTGTTGCCTCCAACTTTGTCGATTTCACAGCCACGCAAACCGAGGACAAGCGAGTGACTTTCATTGAGCCATCAAGACGCCTCGGATTCGGTCTTGCGGTGCGCTCGGCACTGAGGATGACGGAAACGCCTCATGTCTGGATACAGCAGCACGACTGGGCTCTGGTCGCCGACATCCCAATAGACCCACTATTAGAGATCATGACAGCTTCCGAAGGTGACGAGAACGCACCCGTCAAGTACGTGTGCTTAGCCGCAGTCCGCATGCTATCTTACGCTACATCTGCATACGTTACCAATTTTAAAATGCTGCGGGAGTTGACTTCGTCACTCAAGCGTGATTTTGCGTCGAAATCTCAACCCGGCGTCAAGATACCGCTGACGCCCCTATTCTTTTGGCACGACAAACCCCACATCGTGTCGACTGAGCATTACCTGACTCGAGCCTTTCCAACACGTCTGGCAATGAATCGTGGGGACTTTATCGAAGACAAGGTTGGCCAGCGAGCGAGAACACAAATGAAGGAGGGCTTGTGGTCGAAATGGGCTTGCTGGCTTTACTACCCCGATGATGGTACGCGGTTGTGCTTACGACATCTGCAAGGCCGGACATGGAGAGGGACTGAAGCTCAGTTGAAACAGGCTGCTGCTTATAGGTATCAAAATATGCGTCAAAATGAAGCACTTGTGCAGGATGAAGACCCACGCAGTCTACCCGAAGATTGGCTGGACACCTTAGCAGCGGAATGAACAGGCATCGATCATGCTCTACAGTTTCCATTCTCGATTGGAAACTTCAATCTAGCTCGACTGACCTTGAAGTCTGTCTATCAACACAACTACTCTCTGACGACTGAGCTTATGTCCCATGTCCGAGCCCCGGTCCTAGTTGTGAAAATAGGATGCAGTAGAAGCAAGCAAGCATACTCAGGCATGTAAATACGTGACCTGGACGTTACATCGAGGCCTATGTCATACACCCTCCCCTCCCATCCCCGAGCTTGAAGCGCAGAATTTGCATACGATCGCGGCAAGGGAGATGAAAAGAGGCACTGTGGTTATATTGATAGGTTTAGTGAATGAGTTGTGCACGGTGCTTGTAACCATGGTCGCCATGCCTGTAGGGGCATACCATGAGTGGGCGAGGGCATAAATGGGATACCAAGGGTAGGATAATGTAGGATAGTCTGATATTCCAGTGCAGTAAGTGGGTATAGCCTGATTATCCCAGCTGGGCGTCACATAGATGATGACTTAGACAGGATTCCGCAAGATGACTTCAGATACCAGGAAATTTTCGTCCTTGGAGAAATCTCTGTCGTAGAAGACAAGCAGGAACTCCCTGCCTTCATCCATACCCTGCAAGCTGTGTGAAATTCCCTTGGGGAAGACTCATCAAATCCTAGTGTACGCTTGCGACCTTGACACAATAAACAACAGTAAATAAATGAAGGTTCAGAAGCCTGCTTTCACCCGACTTCACCGGCTGTCACGTCGTCAATGAAGCTGCAACTGTCCACATCCATGGCATCAACTCTGACAGACCCCTTAAGCACCAGAGTGAATTCTCCCTGTTCACCCAAGGTCAACTAACCTATTTTGCGACCGGAATATCGGATATTACACACACTAGTATGAAAATGGAGCTCACGATAAGTGTGCGGCGCAAGGCGCATGTCAAGGCCTGCCATGGCGGTTGCGATTGGGGTCATGTGACCTACCCATACCCTCACTCTCTGTATATTCTGTGATGCAATACTGCTGGGTTCTTTTGAACATAACGACGGAGGAGGCATTATATTAGCGTTTCAACTACTACGGTATCAGGCCAAAGTTTTCACCCCCATGACAAGTACCAGTGGACCACTGTCAAGGTAACGCTATACTGATTCTTGCCTAGCCTACTCATGGTAACGAAAAGGTACTTCCACCTCTGATTCCAACTTGCTGTTAACGCGTCCTAATTATCGCGTATCAGCAACTACAATGGGGACTAAACACCTTACAGAAGCGGATCGCCAACGAATTCGAACCCTATGTTTCGACGGTGGTAAATCGAAAGCCGAAATTCACACTACTACAACGTTTTCTTTTAATCATATTCAGACAGCTATGAAGGTCCCTTCAAGCCAGGTAGCGAAGAGTTGGCACGTGCCTAGGTGGGGCACGGTACAAGCACGCAATAGAAAACTTACCCATGATACCAATAGGATATCCACGGTGGCGTTTCAGGGGTGTTTGGCGGGCGGATTCAGCGGCTGAGCGCCACACTAGGGCGAAACACCGTCCGTGCAGTCAGCAGGTGAGAATATCCCAAATATCACCACATCGGATGGCCGGCCTAACGGCCGGCCGCTCGGCGACGTCCGGATACCAAACTAGCAGGTAGGAGAGATGCTCCGGGGGGTAAAAGATATAATACAAAGCTAGGTAAGGCGTCGATTCCCGTTTCGTACCCGTAATATATACGTATTATTGGTAGGCTAAGGCCGGCCGCTAGGGTAGGTCCTACTATACTAGGCGAGCCTTCCTCCCGGCCCGTAACCGTTTACATAGCTGGTCTATAGAACAGCCTATCTGCTGCTGTTGCAAATTAAGTATCCACATCGCCGACTCCTCGCTACATCGCCTTGCTTGTGCTTGCCTCCTAATCTCAACGATAACCTCGCTCCGTAAAGAGTACCACTGTACCTCGCTCCGGCGGCCAGATCTCCACCGGCTGCCCCAACGCCTGTCTAACTCGGTAACCGACGGCTGGCCATGGATCCCGATCGTCCACTCCCTCCATAGCCCCTCCACTGTACGCGTCGTACGGCACATACTGTGCTTCGGGGGCGCTGGATTTCCTGCCCAGATACACGGCTGCGGACTTAGGGAACTACGCTCAGTAGGTCGCCCGGTAGGTGCTAGGTTCGATCGGTTAGAGGGATTACTACGTAATACTGGTATCTGCCCCTCTGCTATGGCCGGTGCTAATGCTGTTGTCGGTACTGTTGTTACTACTGTTACCTCTGTAGGTAAAGGTACAGGTGTTGTTACTGGAGTAGCCTCAAGGCGAAAGGTAAGGCCGCCGGCCGTGAGTTTCTGGAGCTGCGTAGACTGGGTACGGTCTGAGTGTACGAGCTGATCGAGAGACTGCTGAAGCTTCGCCGTCTGCTGCTGAAGCTCAGCTATCCTTGCCTCGTGGCGTACGTCGATTGACCTCAGGTAGTCAGCTAGCGTCGGCATAGCCTGAGTCAGGAGAGCTAGCTGGCTAGGGCGCTCCTCCTCCTGGGCTGTAGTTCGGACCTGCCGGGCGAATAGCGCGTAAGCCTTATGCTGAAAGACCCGGTGATCCCATATAGGGCTATTAGGGAACTGTTCCTGTAGCAGGGCCGAGTCCTGTAGGATAACCTTCCGGAGGTGGAAGAGTAATTCGACTAGACCCATAGCTGCTAGGTCACTAACTTGGTCCTGGCTAGGGCCGAACCTATCCCTCCAGCTGTCAAGCTCAGGCCAGATCTCCCTAAGCAGGGCCTCCGGGGGCGTGATAGTAGCCCGCCGGACCTCGAAGCATCCCATCTGCGGCGGATGCCCGGCCATTACACGCATAAACTTCCGGGGTAACGAGCTGAGATAACACCCGACCATCTGCTCCTGGTTCCACCGGCCCGCTCGTCGTATCTGTTCCTCGCTTACGCCTTTCAACTCAGCTGTTTTAGCCCCAGCGCTGCGGCCGATATGCGTTTTCTTCTGTGACGTTACCCCGGCGTACTGGAAGGCCTTAGTAACCCAGTCCCGCTGCGCGTTATACGAGAAGGCTGTTGTACGATCCGCCCCGCTCCCCTTGATCAGCCGGATATCGTACCAGGCCGACCGCCGGCTCAGGTCCGGGAAGGGCTCGTCGGTTAGATCCCAGCGGTACAGCAGGTAAAAAGCAAGGCCACCTAGCATACAGATAAGCGGTTTTCTATTGCGGAGTGCCCCTGCGGTCTCAAGTCGTCCATGCTGATTTTGCTTCCCCGCACGGGTAGTTAGGATAACCGGCATACAAGGGGTCGAGCCCTCGCCCTGCAGCTCAAACGTAAACAGGTCCGAGATTTCGGCCGCCCTCCGATCGCCGCCACGAGTAAGCATATAATGGCCGAGAAGGAGGTCAACGAGTGTCCGAAAGTGACATTCGGGCGAGGAGCTGCTATGTGCCCAAAGCTCGTAGCAGATCCGCTCGAACTGCTCCTCGGTATAGCCGTCCAAGATGGTCTCCCGGCCCTTATCCGCGTATAGATCCTTCTCCCGTTGCGCATCCCGCCGCTGGAGAGACCGGACGTACTCACGTACGTGGTCTTCCCGCGGGGAGGGGTGCGTGTTCATCCCTAAAGTCCTCTGGGTCCGATAGAGGTCGGTAATAGCTGTAATATAGCTCCGTACGGAGCGCCATCCGAGCCGCGTCTCCTCCTGCGGGACGCCCTGGTCGGCCTTCCGGCTCCAGGCTCTCAGGGGCCGGTCGGTAACGACCTCAACAAGAAAGAGGAGGAGCTTGTCCTCCGTAACCGTATCGGCATCCTCATACTGCTTCCGCCGGCAGAACTCCTATATATAAAGACGTTAGCTACGTACCGGGCAACCTACGGGGCCGATAGGTAAGCGAACAACATACCTGGAACTCCTTCTGCTTCGGCTTGTACGCTATAACAGTGTTCTTCGGCCTGGACTGGTCGATAAGCGATAGGATCCTCTGTCAGGGTACGGCTAGGCCGAAGGCAATAGTACAGAGTGATGGGGAGTAACGGGCGTCCCTCCTACGTAGCACCGGGTGGTCACTGGCGGTCTCAGGTAGGGGTGCCCACGGTGATGCATTGATCTCTGCCCTCTCTATCTTCCTCCGTCTCGACTCCTTACTTATAGCCAGCCGAGTTTCTCTCTTGGATTCTGGATGTTTGCTTCCGTATGTCTGTGTTCCTCCGACTTCGGCCAATATCTTGGACAGCGGCTCCTTATCTGCAACCAAGCGATTCCCTATCCGCTGCAAACGGCTTCAACGGCTCTCATTTGCCACAAGCGGCTCTCTAGCCGCCACAAACGGCTTCCTACCTGGTGGAAGCCGGCCCGCCTCGGATGACACTTGTGGCTCTGACAACTCCTTCCCTATCCTACTTCGAGATGGTCCTTATATAGATAGCTAGGCCGCCGCTTGGACCCGGCATAACAGCAGGGTCGGCGATGCCAAGGATCTTGACTCTCGTCATCCCAAAGCTTCACATAGATTGTAATCATGATTCGGGAGTCTTTTGTCCGAAACACCCCTCCGGCGGCCCGCCGGTGTCCTGCGTTCAGTGTCCTGACACCCACTGGTGCCTATGGCATTCTGTTCTCTGACATCCTCTGTGTGTTAGCCCGTAACTCAGCTCTATTAACGGCATCGGTTCCGAGACGCGCAACGCGCCCCGTCTCCTTCGTCCTCGCCATATACAGACAGACAGACAGACAGACAGACAAATAAGTAGCGAGGCCGGATAGCCGGTAGGAGAGCGGTGAGGCGCCGGGGGGAGAGGAGGGAAAGGGGAGAGCGCGGGGCAACTTACATCGTACATCGTCTTGTGCCGCCCCTGTATTTGTATTCGGTCAGGTTAGCAGTATTAGGCCTATCGTTCCAGCGGCTCTAAACACTGGACGAAGCGCTGTATCGCAGCCGGCCAGGGGAGAGGGGAGGGGGGAGGGGGAGGGGGGGGGTGGGGTCGGAGGGGTCTTAGGGCGCCAGTCAGCGGCACTTGGCCTTGTAGAGGCCTAGCGGTTCAGGGGGAAGGGGGCCTGTAGCCAATAAGCTAGGCGGTCGCCAGCGGGGCCGTCAGCCGCCATGTATGGTGGAAGGAGATAAACGAATATCCACGTTCCCCTAACTAGGGGGACGACGTGGATATCCCCGTATGTGTGTCGGGGGCCCGGGCGTCAGCCAAAGTCATCCCGAGTCAGCGGGACCGCGAATACCATAGTATACCTTATATCGGAACATATATGTAATGTCGGTGTCGGTCGCTAATCCCTACCTGATTTGCAGTTGAATTTGACTTGAGGCGCGTCGTGATCTGGACACCAGCAAATAGAGACGGCGGTTTGAAAAAAAAATTACGATTCTGGAAGAACTCGGGGATATTTTATTTTAGGGGTTTGTGGGTGGGTTGACTGTATTGGTACTACTTAAGTGCGTTGGGGACCAATTACCCAGAAACATCACGGGGACGCCCTCAAATAGGGGCCACCTGTGCACCTGCCTTGTACCCCTCCAGATCTGAGGCCACACTCGCTTATGATGTTAATGTTCCTCCACTCTATTAGACTGTTATAAAGTTTGTCGGTTTTCGGCTGTTGGCTGGATTCAGGTCTTTCCGGCTTTTCAGGGGAGACGTTCAGTTCCTCTGGTTCGTTTCGCAAAGTGTAGCCACGCTTACAGCCATTTGTCAATATGGGAGACTAATGGTTGACAATGTGCCACCCCTCTATAGCTGGGGACTAGCATCTGAGTTGAAGATTGAAGGATCGACAGTGTGCCCCTAAAACAAACCAACCTAGCTATGTGGAGAATAGAAGGATGAAGCAGAAGAACCGAAAGCCACATTGCTACGGGGGTAATCAAGTCAAATCCCTTCATCCCCTAGAACATTCCTGCTATCTGGAAAATTAGACCCGTCCCTTGGATAAGAGGATCACGAGCAAGTAATGCCTTATGTCTGGAGGGTTACAAGGCAGGCACACAGCTGGCCCTTACCTGAGGGTGTCCTCGAGATATCTTTGGGTAACTGGTACTCAACGCTCCTTCATATAAACAAGACAGTGAGCCCCCAACGATGCTCGCCCGCATAGTAAACAGAATATTGCCGCGTCTCCGGGTCATACCTGCGAGTCCTAGGTCGATGGGACTCATGCTCTACAATTAGACTATCTGGTCGTTGCCTTGAACTTTAGGTGTTAAATATTTTTAGCCAAGGTCATGATATGAACGGCACAGGTACACCAATGGATGAATCAAAGGTTCATTGGTATGGATCGCGAGAGTGATGCAGTCCGAGTGCGGTCATTAATGACGAAAGTATTGCAATCGCCGAAGTTGGCTCAGCATCGAGGCCACCTTTAGAAGTTTCCCTTGGGGTTTTATCTGTCACATCAGTGTTCGCGGCTTACCGAAGGCTGGGGGAATGTCAGCGCCGGGTGCATTGGCACCGGTGGGGAACCCCCAGGGGGGCTGTGGGTCATAGAACATTGTGGGAGGTCTTGGAATATCTCGGAACCCGAGGAATCGGGTATTGTAATTCCGAATAGGGGTTGGCTATCTTTTTAAGGGGGTTATTTTAGAGGAGGAAGAAGGAAAGGTTAGAGATCAATAAACTATTCTAGGCATAAATACCTGCGACCATCCGGTGATAAATAGCGGGAACGCCTGTTTCTCCGCTTCGCTCTTGGCTGTTGCCTCGCGGCCTAGCCATTCCCGACAGGAAAGAAAATCTGGAGTATTGAAACAAGGATTTGATCTCCTCCGCTGGGATTACGTATCCCGACATGAGCTAGGCTCACCGGCGGAAGAACAGGACGCCTTCATAGGCTGAGTGGCGATAGGTGGAGTGATATTAGCTTTGATGAGATTTTACATGACCAAGTTGTCCAGGCGTAACCTATTCCAAAGTGTAGACCGGTGTTATTAAAAGGGTTCGGTGTGAGAGTCCTGACATCCTGATTGGGAGCTTGTGTTGTAGAAGTTTGTCAGACGGTCCTATTACTGTGTAAATGCCGACTGAGACCTAACAGGTATTGGTGAATCTAAACTCCAAGGCTTCGTCCGGAGCACAGAAACCAAAACAATCTTACGTCCATCTCACCATTGAAAAAATTTGGCGGATAGTCACATCCACTTCACCCAATCGCTCCCTCACAAGTATTTAAGGAAGTCTTTCCTCCCTCTGGATTTTCGAGCTCTCCATCACAACCCAACAGGCACTTCCCTTCTTTTGATTGCGGAACGTTTATCATCACATTTTATGCGACACTATATAGCTATTTCTGTTATCCACATCACCATCACCCACCGCCGCCAACTTAAATAAAATATTTTAAAGTGTCAGGATCTTCCTGGACTCGTCAAATTGCTTCGTGGTTTGGCCTGGTTGCTAGATCGGCGGCCATGCTCACTAGCAGCCCTCTTACCTTAGCGATCGTGGAAGCAATGCCTTCAAAACTCGTGCATCCCCAAAGGCTCTTGGAATCTTTTGCAAGGTCCCAGATTCTTTAGCTTTGGTCCATCATCCAGTCAGCCTCAAGCAAGTCCAGCCGCACACCAACCCGGCCCTGGTAAATATGGCCAACATGGCCAACTTCAAGTAGGTTATCGAATGATAAATTCGAGATCAGAATCTTATTGATCTGTCTCTTGAGCGAATGGAAGAAGCAGGTAGACATCGTCCGGGCCCCGAAATGTCTTATGTGTTACGCCACCAATCCCCGATTCTGCGGCAGCTGCGGATCCAGCACTTAGTTCTTTAAGGCCTGCCAACAGTCGAGTGGCCCTTAAATCAGACTCTCTGCCGAGGCTTCAAGCTTTTCCCTGGTATCAAGCCGCGTCCGTCACTCAAGTTCCATAAGTTAGCCATCTTATCACCCAAGCTCGTCTGAATTAACAGGACCCTCGGCGCCTGGGGCAATGAGAAGAGACCCGGCTTCTTGGCCATGTACTGCAAGAAATACACTGAAGTCACGTCGTTGCTGGATGATTCCGAAGATAAGATGACTGAGCGCGCTGTCAGCTTCCGTTGTGATTTATTCTCGTTCACAGCTTGTTGTTCACCCGTCGCGAGGTCTACAAGAGCTAGAATATACATAAGAGCTTCCTTAAGATTACGGATGGAAAGTTTGAAGACTACTGGAAAGGCTCGGTTGTAGTTTCACGTTGAATAGAGGGACAAGAGGGCGAGTAGGATGAGTCGCTGCCGCCGGGAGCGATTACGATTACATGCGCGATGTGGGAGGAGGGCGAGGACATGAAGCTTCCGGATCTGCGTCGCGCGGTGGGTTTCCTCGCTATGTTCCCGTTCATCGCGACTGAAGAGAGTATTAAAATTTGATGGCGTGCCTGGCTAGGAGGGATGGTCACTGGCTTACTAGCGTGATGGTTTATGATTCTCAAAGAGCCCTTCAGATAATACAGTGTTGGAGTATTTACCACCAAACAAACTCCATGCTTGTTGCATTTCTCATCACGTCTAAATCCCATGCCACACATGCCAGCCCAGTTGAGAAGAAGCATATTACGTGTGACGTACCCCACAAGCAAGTTGGCCACTTTGTCTTGTCACCGTACGAATAACTTCAATAACTTGACTGTAACGAAAAAAAATCAATTCAAACTAATTGGAATCCTCTATCTTATGGCTATCGATTTTAGTCTTTCGACAATAGCTTAGCTCTTTGTTAGCCTTCCGAAGTATTGTAACCTTACCTTTAAATAAACCAACCGGTGTATAATAGCCGTCGTACTATGTGAAAACTAGTTGATATCCGTAAGAGTTATTTTTATAGAGCTATTCTAATAATATAAGACTCTAGTTTTAACGTATTTAGACTAGGATTACGCCTTATTTAGGTTATTTAGAGTCGTCATCTCTTAGATACTATACTTCGTAATTATATTTCGTATGAGTATAAATTAAGTGCGACAAAACATAGAAATGGGCGCCACAGCATCCTAGACGGGCGGCTATTCATGCTTCTCTACACCATGTGGGACGCCGTGAGCGTACCTTGGTCTGCTGCAATAATCCCCTCTAAATTCTACTGTGTTGTGGGGCAAGGTCAAAAGGATGTTAGTCGGCTCAATGGACTGAACGATATCCCGGTCCACCACGTTGCGGCGTTTGCTTGCTAGCTAGTGGAGGCTCGGAAGTCAGCATGGGACTAAGAAAGTCGTGTGATGCAGAAGAGACGCCGGAGACAGATGTCGGACGTCTTCCTCAGATATGTGGACGAATTCGTGGCCATCCCGTCTCTTGTGACCTCCAATAAACTTGACAACGTTGCCACTACCAGTCAATACTAGGGAATCGACATGTCTCAAGAGAGAAGACGTTTCTGCTGGACAAAACTATAGCATCGGTGCCACAGGCTGGCTTTACATTCTTCTTCTGATGCGGCCAAAGGTCTCTCCGCAGGACTCGACAGGAAAACTGAACGAGGTCGTGCAGCATGAAGATGGGGAGCATCCAGGAATTTCTGGTAACACACCAGTGTCCCCTGGACTATGATGCTCCCATTACCCTGAGAAACGACCCTTTTTTATTTTATTATTGTGCAGTGATAATTAGCCGCCGTTTGTCTGGCTATTTGACACGTTGAGCATATTTTCAACCATCAACTGCCTCGCACTAAAGTAATTGGTCGGATCCCACAAATTACTTAACTTATCCTCGTCCACCTTGTTGGGGACCCTTTGTGGCTTAGCAGTATATTGAGTAAGGGATTGTGAGTTTCAATGGACTCTTTGCAGCGCCTGTAGATAATGCCGCCCAATGAAGGATGCCATTCTCATCAAAACAGCCTCACCTACAATTAGACATCGCGTAGGGCATAGATTGCGAATAAAGCATCGGTATTGACCATTAGGCTGCCCAGGGCGAAGCTGGCCTGGTACAGGGCGCCAACGGCAAGCACGAAAGCCTCGGGTATGGCCACCCACTCGCGGTGCCACGGCCCCAACGCACGCTCAAAATCGACAACCATGACATCGAGTCCCAGGCTGGCATGGGCACGCAGCAGCTTGGACGGGGTGAGGATGACTTTGCTCGAGATGGGTTTGCGTTTCTGCGGCATGGTGGACGACGCACCGCGCAGGGGCACAGATGGCTCTGAGACCTCGCCCAGCTCGTTGGACGACATGACGATGACGTCGAGGGCGATTTTCCCCAGCGAGCCACCTAAAAGCGCGAGGAAGTTCAGAACATGGGAATCCAACGCACACATACTCACACTGGTATAAACTTGAAGCGCGGATATGGTCCGTAGCTTGTTGTGACAGGCGGCAGAAGACAACAATATCAACAACAGGCCAAGCTGTAACTTGGCTAATCGTAGGCAGACTGCAGTACCGCCCATCTTGTAAGTCGCTGGGCCGGGACTAGCTTCGGGCCCTTTGCATTCCGCCGCATAGCTTGATCCGGCACGAGCCCGCCGTCATTTCGTCACCCGCGTCACCAGAGTACCACCCATCATCCCTAGAGTAGCAGAGGTACTGGACACAGTCATCATTATACGCGTGTTCTCAGAAGCTGGGCAATGGTCCGGAGAAAATATGGAAGTGTAGTAATCTGGGCCCATTAGGCCGTTGTCTCCGGGCACCAGTGAGCCGGGATCCAGTTTGGGACAAGCTTGGTAAGTCCCGAATGTGGGGAAAATTTTGGCTTTGACTGACCCATGCCGACTATACATTTTGAGTTTTCGTCCTTCGATACCAAGCTGTAATGAATGCACACAAGAAATAGGAGAAGTGTGACGGTTTCAAGCCGGCTGTAAGTTGAACTCGGGCTTGCTATTCTCTAACAGGGCCACAGTGCCGGGAGTGCGTAGGTACCGGGGTTTCTGCGTAGTAACGGCAAAGTTGCGGACAGAGACCAAGGTCCGCATATTTTGGGCGCCGACCGAACATGACATCAGACAACTGCAAGCTGAGAATGCCTACCTGAAAAGAGCTTTGTGGGCTGAACGGCAGACCACCGCGAGGCTGCAGCAAGAACACTCCGAATTGCCCATGCGGCTGTCTTATTATTCGTCGAGGTTGAGTGTCTCCCAAGGGCCATCGTCAAAACATTTCAGCGAGCGCTCTGACGATATACTGATGAGTCACATGGTTCGGAACGTCTCGGACGAGATGGGCGTCGAACGTTTCGCCGGCTCTACCACTGGTGTCCTTTCATCCTCTCGGCGCAACAGGCTGCCCAACGGAAAGGTTGCTCGTCGACAAATTTGCCGACATTTGCTAATGCTTACACTTACTCGCACCGAGGCTCTGACGCGTGTGCAACAATTGCCACCAGAGATGCACATAGAAGCCCTGAGAATACGTGATCCACTTCCCACCTGAACATTAATCGGATCAGATCTGACACTTAAGAATACTGTTGGTTCCCACCCGATGAGTGTATACCAAAGTTTCGTCTAGTACGGGAAGAGCTTTGCGTATTCATACACTTATCCCGCCACCCCCGCGGGGTACTAAGGCAAGATAATCTTGTCTACCAACCACCGCGACCCCGGCGTCCTCGCCCGCCGAAGCCACCACCGCCACCTCCACGGCCCATGCCCTGATCATAGTTGTTAAACCCCTGGCCTTGGTTGTTTCCGAAGCCCTGCCCCGGGCCTCCAAAATTTTGGTTCTGTCCGCCTTGACCGCCAGCAGCGTTACCACTCATCATGGCTGCCATGGTCGATGGATCCATCTGGCTAGGGTCCATCCCTGATGCCATCATTTGCTGCATCATTTGCTGCATCTCGGGGGTCATTCCGTCCATACCTGGCATCGATGGCGGCATTCCTCCCATCATCATCATCTGCATATCTTCCATCATTTTCTTATTGTTTTGGGCTATCGCGTCCTGACTGTACTCGCCACGCACAGTGTCCTGTTTGGCGGCATAGAGGGCCCATGTGAACTCGTCGAAGCCATAGTTGAAGTAATCGCTCAGATCAGTACCAGGTTTGCGCCATGGCTTGTTGTTGTCGGGAAGGTCTTGTCCCAAGTTAGCCGACGGCACAAATTCAACATAACTTGAGTTGGGGTTGGTGGCCGACTGACCTTCATCAATATTTACCTGGGTAATAGGCTTGCCTGTGCCTTTGTGAATTGGTATCGCATTCACATCCACCTTGGAGGTGGACACGGCGGGGAGCTCTGCACCCGCGGATGGCTTCGCAGATTCCTCCTTCTTAATGGCTGGCCTGGTGATCGCATCACTTGATGCTGTGCGCTGAGGAATATTCCTGATATCACTATATCTAGCAGTTGTTGGGGGAGGTGCCTTTGTGCCGTCCTTTCGTTCTGTGATGATGTCTACGTCCTGGTGGGCAGGTCAGTGGTGTGATCTACAAAGTGAAGTGATCATGACGCGGGCTGCGAAGATTATGACGGGCGATTGGGCTCGTGGGGGTTCATACTGAATCTTCATCTTCATCCATCTCGGCACCTTCGTCTTCCTCCTCGCCCTCTTCAAGATCCTCGTCATGTTGGGCGGCGGGCGGATTTGTGCTTGCAGGTTCGTGTTGGGCTGGTGATTGGGTGGTCGCTGGTTCATCCGGAGCGTAAAAATCATCGTCATCGTCGATATCCATCGTGGCTGTCAACGTCGAGGCGTGAAGTGGAAACTGACGAAGTATGTAGAAGGCTGTGATGTTCAGCGATGGTGGATCGCAAGGCTGGCTGAAATGGAGGGATGGAGGGTCCTGATATATCGGGTCGAATCAAGATCCCTGTAGCAGTGGCTTGATAGGGGAAAAGCGGAGAGCTCGTGCCACAGACTTGGCTATAATTGGTAAGATCAGCACGGATGGCCCGAGCTTCTGCGTCTCCTCCCGTGCTGTCAACAGCCGCGCCTCGAACGCGGTCATACTTAAAAATTTAACGAAGTGTCATATAGTGAATAGCGACCATACCGAGAGATCATCAGCTATCTTAGACACAACTTTACTTTGACGAGACTCACCATTCCAACGCCACCAATCGCATTTTGATAGGAATCGCCCTGCCCAGCATGGCCCTTGCTCGATCAGCAAGTGGTCCTGGAGGACTAAGTATCAACACCTCGTCCGCCAATACCCTCTTGTGAGTATCTACAGGAATTATCACCCACTTTCAATTTCCATATATTTCAAGTTATTATCCTCAGTATAATTTCCAACAGGCTGGGCTTAGGCGGGAGAAGGACGCTCTGGAAGGAGTTGAAGCCAATGCGAGCCCGGAACCACGACCGAATAGATTGGGGGATTCTTTGCTAACCAGTACGTTTATCAGCGGAACAAGCAGTAGTCAAGCCCCAGCAGCAGGAGGGTTGTTCGGATCAGCCTCGCAAACTCAGACTACACAGCCTGCTGCAGGTACTAGCCTGTTTGGTAATGCCGCATCGACAACACCCAAGACTGGCGGTCTCTTTGGAAATACCGGCACGACAGCGGCGGCACAACCTCAGTCCACAGGTACCAGTGGGATTTTTGGTTCTGCCGGCACCACTGTTGCGGGTGGCGGCGGTGGGCTCTTTGGGTCTGCTGCATCTTCCCAACCCCAGCAGCAGACAAGCGGAGGTCTCTTTGGTTCAGCGAATAACAATGCCGCACAACCCGCGCAACAACAAACGACCAGTGGTATGTTTGGAGGTGCCACTCAGAATCAAAGCCAAACACAGGGTGGCGGATTGTTTGGTGGCAGTCTGCTCAGCAAACCTCAACAAGCGACCAATACTAGTACGCTCTTTGGCCAATCCACACAGCCGAAGGCCGGTGGTCTCTTGTACGTCGAAGATCGACTACATCCAACTCTGGATCAACTTAATACTAACAGAGACAGTGGCCAGAGTCAGATGAACCCCGGACAGTCCGTTCTTGGCCCCGGGCTCACCATGGGTCAATCTACAAACCAACAAACAGTGCCAGGTATTCGGATCGACGTGACAAACCTCCGTGGTACCACTCGTTTCAACGATCTTCAAGAAATGCTACAGAAGGAGATTCTGCAACTGGACACAATAATTCAGGGCTACATGTCGCAGAAGAGCGAGCTGGACGCTTTCATACCCGCTCACGGCGAAATGTTAAGCAACATCCCCAATGACGTCAAGTTCGTCGAACGCAAATACGGCGGTGTCGAAAACGCTCTCCGATCAGATGCCGAGGCCATTGAAGTCGTAAATGGACTCGTTAAACAGGATGCGAACAATGCCCGCCTCTCCTTCCGCGCCATTGACAACCTCCGTCTTCCGCAGCAGTATCACACTACAGGCCTGTGGTCCTCGCGACAAGGAGCATCAAGCACGGCGAACACCGAGACCGATGGCCAGGACCTCGTGTCTTTCTTCTCTAAAACAAGCGACGAGATGGATGAGCAGCTCAAGCGCTACCAGAAGAACCTGTCCGATATTGAATCGCACATGCATGGTGTCCAGGATGGTCTGGTGGGGGAAATGCAGAAGATGATGGCTGCGAAGAACGGCGGAGCATCTGGGACTGACCAGAAGCTGGCAGAACTGGGGGCAGTTCTCAGGGACTTCGAGCGAAGCATCTTGCAGGTAGCGCATGAGGTCGGTGGTGCCAGAGAAGGTATGGCGCGTCTCCAGCTCGGCGAATTCATCAACAATGGCGCCGATCGCAATGGCTTGTTTTGATAGACGAGAAACTGTATGCACAAGGGCCTATGCTCTATCTCCTCGATCTTGGTAATGGCGTTGATACCCGGTAGGAAAAGGTTGGTCATGGTGGATTTGCCCAGGTAGAGTAGATTTACAATTGTGTAATGAACTGGTATTTACGACGGCATTGATATTGCTATCTCGATGGTAGACTCACATGCTTGTCACACTTTGGCTATGCTGAATCCATTTTCCTCCCCGTTGGCATCTGAGTCATCCGTGAGGAGCTCATCATCAGGTTCGATCTGGTTCTTGTAGCTCGGATCTGTAGGTACCCTTCTCATTGCGGATTACTATCAGAGTGTCCTGGATCTGGAACATGTCTAAAGCCTCCTAGCACCGGGATGGCACCCAGTCTTCGATGTGTAGTCTGCAATCGCAAAGGGCCATGATTCAGCTTAGCAGTCTCATTATTATAGACTACCCCACAGAGCTAGCTGTCTATGTGAATACTGTGATAAATTCGAAACAGTGGACCAATACCGGAGGCAGCAATGTTGCATGCTCAAGACAGCTCAGGGGTACTACCGGAGCTCTAGTTATTTAAATAACTCGTGGCTCAAATGACACTTCATTCAACTTCAAATGGACACATTCCTCACTGGAAATACATTAGAAGTAACCAGAAGAAAACTGACTTCCACTACTCCTCAATCCGCACAAAGAAGTTCGTCTCACCATCCTTTGGGATCACTGCCGCCCGGCGCAGCAAGTCGTCCCCCACCGCCAGCCTCAGCTTCTCAGGGGTGGCCGGTGCATTCAGCACTAATGGCTCTGCCACGCAATTCATACCTCTTGCAGCTCTGACGGCTTCTCTCAGTGCAAAGAAGACCGTCGAGCCTAAGAAAAGCGGTGGCTCGCCGATGCCCTTGCTACTTTGGATGGATCGGAGGTTCTTCCAGCTGATCGGTTTGCCCTCCGAGTCATGTTTAAGCATCGAGACATTGAATATTTGTGGGATATCTGAGAAGCCTAGTCACATTTGTTAGCTTTTCCATGCAGATAATGGAAAGAGGTTTGGAAGAGACGGCCCACCTGGTATCTTGTAAGTTCCTGGTCCAAGAGTGAAGAGCTGGCCGGTCCTCGTCCATAATGACTCCTCCATGGTGAAAAGCCCTTGGCCCTGGACAAAAGCTCCTTCGATCTGACCATAGTCAATGGCTGGATTGATCGAGCGACCAACATCCATCACTAGAGCAATAAGAATCAATATATATACCACTTTCAGGAAGCTAAACGACGAGGAGGAGGGTTACGGTATCCAATGATCACTTACTGATATCAGTTCTCAAAACCGTATGATCTCCAGTCAAAAGATCAAGCTCGACCTCAGTGATACCCACCCCCTGAGTCCAGTAATAATACATGGGCAAAGGATCCTTGTAGTTACCCCATTGAAACCCCACCCGCGGCATTTTCCAAAACCCATTAGCTGCAAGGTTAACTCGATCTCTGTACGCAGCATGCGCAATGACGGACAAAGGGGTATCTGCGCCATATTTCTCTCGATATGGTTTTAGGCGCTCGTTGAGCTGGTCGCACGCATTCTTGATAGCCATGCCGTTCAGGTCGCTCCCAGAGGATGCAGCTGTGGGAGAGGGATTGGCCACTTGATCCGTCTGCGATTCCTTGTTGTATATATCATCAACATCGACGCCGAGTTCCTCCGCTGCGACTTGACACATCTTGGTATATAGTCCCTGTCCCATTTCGGTGCCGCCATGGTGAAGAAGTACCGAGCCGTCTTCGTAGATTTTCACATACGCCCCAGCTTGGTTGAGATGCAGAGCAGTGGCGAAGCTCAGCCCGAACTTGCTGGGAACCTTGCAGATTCCCCTTTTTTTGTACTGGCTCTTGGCATTGAATGCGTTGACGGCAGCCTTCCTAAGCTCATATTCTGAGTTGTTAGATAACTGCTCCATCATAGTTTTGATATGGAAGTCGTCGGTGATCTCTTGCAGGAATGGAGTTCTATCTCCGACATTATAAAGGTTTCGAAGACGTAGCTCGTCGATGTCGATGTTGAGATCTTCGGCAATGGTGCTCATGATTGACTCTGTGAAGTACATGCCTTGGGGACCGCCGAATCCACGAAATGCGGTGTTGGTTACTGTGTTAGTCTTACATACCCAACCCCGAATCCATGCATTGGGAATGTTGTAGCAGTTGTCGACGTGAGTACAAGCTCGATCCCTGTTTAATATCAGTACTTATGATGCAACACAAATGAGGGGGATTTTTACATCACTGCACTACTCATGTCTAGTGAGTATCCGCCATTGTTGTACAGATCTGCATCAAGGCACTTCAGCCTTCCTTGGTCGTCAGTACCAACCTTCCACCGACACTGCATCGGATGTCTCTGTCCACTTGTTGCAATATCTTCGTCGCGATTGAGCATAATGCGTATAGGCCTACGCTCCTTCTTTGCAGCGATGGCTACTAAGCACGCGATTGGGGTACTTCGACTCTCCTTCCCACCATACGCACCACCAAGTCGGCGCACTCTCATGTTGACTCGGCTCATGGGAACCCCCAAAACCTGGGCGACGAAAACTTGATTCTCCATCAGGTTCTGCGAAGAGCTGTACACCTCCATAGACCCATCCTCGACGTGTGGTATGGCTAGAGCTGCGTTGGTTTCGAGGTAAAAGTGTTCCTGGCCACCTAATTTGGTCGTTCCCTCAAAAACATGCGCACAATCCGCGAAAACGTCATCCAAGAGCCCATTAACAGCTGCACCCTTTTTTAATTGCCTGCCGTGTTCGAAGAAGCTTTTGGCTTTTATGGCTTCTTCGATAGTCAATATTGCGGGCAAGACTTCATATGATACGTGGACTTTCGCTGCGGCGGCCTGGGCTTGTAGAGCCGTCTCTGCGTAGACCATCCCGATGGTCTGTCCGTGGGAATGTACTTCTTCTCCGGCAAATAGGGGCTCGTCGACCCGAATTGGACCCCAATTATTACTCCCTTCTGGCACACTATTCCTGTCAAGATACCCCACCACCCCCGGCATACCCATGGCTTCCGCCCAGTTGACACGGAGAATCTTAGCATGGGCCATCTTTGAGAGTACCAATGCGCCGAAGAGTTCATTGTGCTGTCGTGGAATATCATCAACATATTCGGCCTCTCCAGTGCAGTGTTTGAGTGCTGAAAGATGGGGTATTTCTTTCCCTACTACTTTCGTCCCAGAGCGCTCGAAGTGGCCACGGCTTCCAGTTGAAATCTCTCTATGTATCTCCCGGATAATTTCGGGATCCACCTTGGCAAGGCCTAGGTCCGTCACTACTTCATGCCAGAACCGGAAGAACATGGATAAAGTCAGAGCTACGGATTTGTTAGCAAAATTTATGGAATAGAGATCAAGATATGTCTGTCCGCCTCACCTTTTCGGTAATGAGCCATTCCTCCAGGTGCTCCGAAAGGGAGGTCAAAGTCCTCCATAAGAGCATCGAGAGCAGACTCGAGTGTCGTTCCATCCACGAACCGCTTTCCAAGGATCACATCTTGTGTCTTGGTTGCCAGCACGGTAGTCGGTGCCATCCCCCCGAATGCAAGGATTACACGCTTGACAAGTCCGTCCTTATCGAGTCGCACTTGGAACCCCGTAGTGACAATAGCGATGTCATCATCTTTCCTCTTGGCCTGCTTGTACGCCTTTGTTATCTCTTGCGAGTCTTCATCTGCAAGCGGAATAATTATCTTGGTTATTGTGCCGTCCTCGGGTAACGTTGTTTTTCTGTATCTGACGAAGAATGAAGAAAGGGGTACGTCCCAAGACCCCTGTTTTTGAGTCATGACAGTGACCCTTGCACCGGAAGCAAGCAACACGGGAGCTGAATCAGAGATTGGGCTCGCGGTTGCTAAGTTGCCGGCCAAACTAGCCACATTTCGTATCTGTCGTCCTGCAAAGTACCGGAGTTGCTTTCGAAGCGCTTCGAGAGCCATAGCTCGTCGGCCTAGTTTCTGGTACAGAGCCATACATAGTTCTTCCACCTTGGTAAGCGACAGGTTACCGGGTATAGTTAGTTCTGTCAAAGCCTTGATCTCTGTGTCTGTTTTTGGCAGTGTATAGGTGCTGAGTTCCTCGATATCTGAAGCGTAAACAGACACTCGGAACTCGAACTTCTTGAATCGTACCTCAATCTGAACGAGTAGTCAGTAAAAGGAGTGGTGATATCGAAAGCAGCTCGGCATACCTGAGTTTCACTTGCACCCCCCACTATCTTGGCTGCGGGCCAAGCACTTTTCAGGGCGACAAGCTGTTGTAGCGTAATAGGTTTGAACCATATTTTCCTTTCATCTCCGTACATGATGGGCTCTTTCCGGAACTTCCATAATGAAGGTGGGAATATGAGCTCTGCTGTCGGATCGTATGGCAGGAAGTCACCTACCCCCTGGGGCTTGTCGAGTGAATTGACCGAGGTTGCTCGGGTTTCTGTGGATCCTTGAGAAGAGGAGTCTTTGTCGCAGCTACTCTTTACCGAAGATGATGCATCGCGACAACAGCCACCAGGACGTCCACATGAACCTTTCTGTATGCCACAACCACTATTCATAGGCACTTCTGTTATATTATCCTGCAAAAGGCTGATACTCTCACCAATCTCACTGCTGGAATCCTCCTCAATTATTCCGCGGAGGTCTTCGATAATGAACGTCTTTGCTGCTTCTAGAATTGGCTTGTATCCAGTCTGACAACATGTGAGCTTCAAATATCCTCTCTTTGACCCAATTGACTTACACATCTACACAAGTTTCCATCAAGATGGCCTTGTAACTCCACATCAGAACTTGTAAGACGGAATTTACCATCCTGATATGAGTTTCTGATGAGAGCATACAGGCTCATCACTATGCCCGGAGTACAAAAGCCACACTGTGAGCCGCTGTAGATAAAACATTTCAGCAATCTGTCACACGGCACTTTGGTTGAAGCTTGAAAACTTACTGAAGTTTGGCTATCCTCTCTTGCAATGGGTGTGGGCGTTCGGTCGTCCCCAACCCTTCAATGGTTATGAGCGCCTTCCCATCAACACCCACGAGCGGGAAAAGACATGCATTGACTGCCATATGTCTCAATCGTCCATGTTCCACCATCTGCAGCACAACTGTGCAGGCACCACATCCTCCTTCGCCACAACCCAGCTTGGTTCCCTTAAGATTGTCTTGAGCGCGAATCCAGTCAAGAAGTACCCAGTCAGGATTTGGATTCGTAACAGAGATTTTCCGTCCATTGACGTAGAAACGGAGTTCCGAAGTCTTATAAGTCGACTGTATCAACGGGGAAAGGGCTTCAGCCACCGTCAGCGGGGCTGCATCACCAAGCCGCGCCGCTGCGACGGGCGGTTTTGGAAGCACGTCAGCTGATGCCATTCCGAAAAGCCCAAGTTTGTCACCTTCTAAGGCTTCGAGGATCGGATTTTCGAAATTGCATGGGATGCTTTTCTGATTAATTCTACCAATTCTTTAGAGTCTCGAAATGAAAGTTGGAAACCTAGATTCGCCCACAAGAGTGTATGTGCGGGATAGAGTTTGGGGTGATGCTGAAATCGTTGGGAACGTCAACAGTCCGCAATTGAAAGGCCTCAGGGAAAGAAGCTGGACTCTGACAGCAAAGCCGCTTCTCATCGCAGTGGGATTTCGGTGAGATACGACGCCAATAATAACCCAACCCTCGACAGAAGCAGATCTCAGGATAGTTTGAGTGGAGACAACGGCAATGGATCCATTCGCCAATCGTGATCCGTTTGTTTTACGCTAGTTGTGGTTCTCTGTTATTTGATAATAGAGTCAATAGATAGCTATGAGATGCTCGCGTTGCTCGCATAAGCCGTCCATGCCTGAAAAACTCCGTGGCAGCTGCATTGGGCTTAGGGATGATTATGGAAGCTGCAGCCCCCACCCCCACTTACACACGCGGCATGAACCCACCCTAGCTGCTGTAGTATCCCACTCCTCCCTAAGTGAATGACCGTCAGCGATTCTGTCACAGGAGGGACCTATCAGGCGTCTCTTTGGTCAATGATGAAAGCCTGTCATTGCATAATTATCGACAAGAATAGACCTCGGCAGCTGCAGGAGGATTGCAGCTTCAGCTGTTCTAGAATGTTCCGTTGTCATCCTGGAATAAAAGGGTTCTGTTGCAGACATGATGAATTTCTTTGCTTAAACCACTCCATGAGATCGTTGACTAAATATTCCAATCCTTTCTAATAACTCTCAACCCTAACGACATAGGAGAGTTCGGACAACAGAATGGGTTCTCAGGCAGAATCTCTTACACCGCTCAAGGGCACGAAGCTCTTCTCGTCGTTCAAGCTGGGAAAGTACGACCTCTGCCATCGTATTGCCCAGGTAAGTCCCCCCCCGCTTGACACTTTAAAAAGGAAGAAAAAGGAACAAACCATATGGAACACGGGCTGATTCTTCTGTTAGGCGCCATGCACACGCATGAGAGGCGTCAAGGAGAGCGACGGCATCTATGTTCCCGGCGACCTGATGGTCAAGTACTACAGTCAGCGCGCATCCAAGGGTGGTTTACAGATCACAGAGGCCACAGACATTAGCCACTACGCATCGGGATATCCTGGCGTGCCTGGAATATTCTCTGCCTCTCAGATAGCCGGGTGGCAGCGTGTTACAGACTCTGTGCACAAGAAGGGAGGCATCATATTCCTTCAGATATGGCATACCGGTCGAGCTTCGCCTTCGTCATGCAGGGATGGAATGGCACCGCCGTCGGCCAGCAACGTGCCAATGGACGGGAAATGGCTGGATGGTACCCAGTGCTCTGAGCACCCACCGGTGCCGATGACTGCAGAGGAGATCCATGCCACAACCAAGGACTTTGTTGAGGCTGCGAAGAGAGCTGTAGAGGCTGGTTTCGATGGTGTTGAGATCCATGGTAAGCATCTATACTCCAGAGTCCTTTGAATCTGTAAGGAAAACATGCTGATTAGATTTAACTAGGGGCAAATGGTTACCTGCTCGAACAATTCCTGCATGATAATATTAATAATCGCACTGATGAGTTCGGCGGCTCCGTCGAGAACCGGTGTAGATTCCTTCTCAATGTGGTTAAGGCCGTCTGCGATGCCATTGGTTCTGACCGGGTTGGCATTCGCCTCAGCCCCTGGAATTACTTTCAAACCACCAAGGATAGCAACAGATTGGGACACTGGTCATACCTCTGTTCAGAGCTCGCTTCTCTACCAACGTCGCAGAAACCGGCTTACGTGCACATGTAAGACCCTTTTCTATCATAACTAAGGGTTGCCACTGATAGAACGAACAGGGTCGAACCCCGTGTCGACGAGGAGCTCGAAGAGGATGTAAAAATCGCCTCTTTGACAGCTGAACAAAATACCATCCCTTCCTTGAAGCCTTTCCGAGAGATTCTGCAACCTGCCGGCATTGCATTCATTAGTGCGGGAGGGTTTGGTCGAGCTGATACCTTACCAAAGGTGGAATCTGGCTTGGCAGACATAATCGGTTTTGGTCGCTGGTTCATTGCCAATCCGGATCTACCGTTCAGGTTAGAGGAGGGCTTGCCGTTGAATGATTATGACAGAACCACATTTTATGGCGCCGTTACCCCTGAGAAGGGTTACGTGGATTACCCCGTAGCGGAGGCGATGAGAGATGCTTGAGCTCGTAGTTGTGATTAGAGGTAGTAGTCACGGAAATAGACCGATAGACTAGAGGAAAGATTCACAAAGTTTCCCTGATGCTGATAATGGCTAAATGTTGGGACATGTGCTATGTAACAGTATATCTTGCGTAGTACCAATGTTATCAAAGCTGCTATTCGCATGTCGAAGTGGGAGAGAGAGATGGCCAAGCCCATTGGAATCTGCAGCTCGAAAACAGTCGATCAATTGCATGATTTACTAGCATCTTTACACATAAGCATCTCACAACATCGTGCTCATTTCTCCACCGCCAGTTGAAGCCTTCGGCCACCTCCTCTCTACATCCTCGTCGGCATCGTACGTTAAGAGCCAGCATCCGACACCATTGTACCTCCACGGCAAGGGATCATCGCCAGATTCAAAGCGCTCTTCTAGCTGAGAGCCCGCCTGTGCGATCCACTGTCGATCTAGCTCTTCAAAGTGCTTGAACTTCTTATCTCTTTCCCTCTGCTCTTCGCCGTCATGGATATGATACAAGTGCTGCTGATAATTCCCGCGCGCGACGACCTTCTCGGTCCGTTCGCGACGGCATTGTTCGTACACGTCTAACGCCAAAAGCTTCTGTTCTCGTGAATTGTGGCTGATCCTCTCTAGACAAAGACCCAATACGGACGCGTCCTCCAGGGCCATTCCGAAACCTGAAGCTAGGTAAGGTAAGGTGGCGTGGACTGCGTCTCCCAGGAGAGTGAATGCTCCAGACGAGTGTGTCCATTGCTCGAGGGTTGGACGAATGCACAGCCTCCATTTCTCTGTCGACTTGCAGAGCTTTAGCAGCTTAGGGATTTGAGGGTCCCAGCCCTCGTACAGGGCCTGCATTTTCTCAACAGAACCCTCCACTTTCATTTCTGTCCCTTGAATATCATCTGGAACCAGTAGGACCATGTTGAAAAGCTTTCCGCCCCTCAAGACATAGTTCACAGCGTGAATATCCGGTCCTAGCCAATAGTTGACTTGAGGGTCTTCAATGAAACCCCGGAGCTCGGGATACGGCAACATGTCCTCGGTATTGATAAGAAGTCGGTAGGCTAGGTCTCCAGTAGGTTTTGGTGGATCTGGTCTGCCGAGAAGTATCTCGCGCAGGCTAGAGGAAATTCCGTCGGCGCCAACAATAAGATTCGCAGCCATGGAAGTGCCATTGCTCAGCGTCACTGTCGATGACAGTCCGTCCTCGGCGCAGTCGACCGCGACAACTCGCGAGTTGACGATGACTTTAGCACCTAGCTCGACGGCACGGTCTAACAGACACTTGTGCAAGTTTGCACGATGAAAATCCCAGAATGGCGTGCCTATGGCTTTCGCATAGGCATGTAAGTCCATCCGACTCAGGTGGTTGCCTTTCCAGCCAATCATGTTGACATATCGTGGTTGTGTGGCATTGTTCTTGAGTTTCTCCTCTATACCCCACGAGATGAGGATTCTTGTCGAGTTGGGTAGTGCCTGGATACCAGCACCTATTTCTCCAATCTCACTGGCGCTTTCAAGCACTGTCACATTGTGCCCGGCCAGGAGAATGGAGATAGCAGCCCCGAGTCCTCCTAAACCAGCTCCGACAACAATGACCTTGATCAAACGTCAGCATATGAGAGGCATGGCTTTTACGGCGAGACTTGCATCGAGCCGGTTGGCGGGATCTCTTTCCGTCTTCTGGCGGACTTCAGGCGGGGCTCGCGGAGACATTCTCGATGACTGTTAAGATATATTTGAATAAGTCTCGGTCGAAGAGAACTTGAGAAAAACGAATATGGATATTACTGCCCATCTGCCAACATGAATTCAACTGGTTCAATTTGGGCCTCTCTACAAATCAGGCATTCCTCATGATTTTTAGACCTCTTCAGGAGGTCGCGCTTTGCCTTATTCACCACCCTAGATGGCGAAGAATGGCAGAGGGTGTCACGGGCGGCTGCCAACCCTGATGGGTGTATCAGGTTGCATCGCAATCGTCAAGCCGCTTGCAAGTACCGTTATCCGACGCTAGTGCAGTGGTGTACATCATGTGTCGTTAGAAGGCAGTTGCAAGTGGTTATCTCAAATCTCGGGAGCAACCCCCATTCTTGCGGCAAGATAAGAGTGGGGCGGCACAACACTAATGTTGCACCACTGCAACTTCCCCAACTCACTAATTTACACAAGCCTAATGGAAAAGCTGGCGGACCGCCCGATGTACGATAAGGTATGCTTGATGATATGGCCCCAAAATCATCGGGCGGCGTTCGGTCTTGCGGCTTTTCGGGGGCTTGATCTGACCAACATGTCTAGCTGCGTTATCTTGCGACAGGCTTCCAGTCTCGAAGTTCGTAGTTGAGAATGGGGTGAAAAGCGTCTCTCCATGTAAGTCGGCAGGACGAGACTCCACATTGACCAAGTTTGCGGGTGGTGAATCTATTACAATATCGTATCCCAATGGATCGACCAAGAAGCAGCTCGCGCGTTGCCCACTCCGCGAAGCGCATGTTCCCATGCACCTTTGATGGCTGTGATCGAAGTTTCACCAGATCAGAGCACCTGCATCGACATTCGTTAAATCACACCGACGGTCAGGCAACCTGCCCACGATGCCGCGCTCACTTCAAGCGCAAGGACCTGCTGGGTGAGTTTCCTGGCTACCATCGCCAAATAGGACGGCATACTAACGCCGCAGACCGACATCTGAACCGGCACCGGCAGAAAGACGACGAGGCTGGGGGCGAGGGACACGGCCAGTTAAACACTCGCAAGCGAATGTGGAAAGACCTCGACGGTCGCATTGTCCAGAAGAGGCCAAAGGAGACGAGCTCTGAACACATCAGCACCTTTGGGACATACGCACAGCAGCCTGAAAACCCAATATCACCGCCAGGTTCATCAGAAAACCCCGACTTAACCAGTGACCATGGGGCGGTACACGAAGCTCTATTTACAGATAATTCCCTTGTACCTGAGTTTCATATACCATCTGGGCCATACAGCAACCATGGTTGTGATGCGTTCTGGATGTCGTCGCAGCAGCCCGGTGCTCCAATTGGCTGTCAGCTTGACATAAATTACGACGATGTCTTCCAGCCAGACACTGCGAGTTCTTTCAACATGCCATACACAACTCAAGTCAACTACGATTGGCTATTCAAATCGAATAGCGGCTATGATGAGCCGGATCCCATTACATGCTCGACCCCCATGTTACAACAGCCCAATATGCAAGACCAAATTTTCAATGTACCAGAACAGCATCCCACTGCGAAGTCCACACAGACGACTGTCACGTCATATCCTCCCTATCGAGATCACAATGTCGTATGTAGGCCAAGCCCTGAGTCTCTTTCTTCGTCGCAGCTGCGATTCACGCGCGAAAACACGGAGCAGATGGGTTCAAATCGTTCGGAAAGCTCTTTACCGGCAACACAGTCGTCTTCAAATGAGAAATTCAGTCCCGATAAAGTACAATTCGAGCGACCATTATCATTTCTCAGAAAGCCAGAAGGTCTGCCCTCTATTGATGAGGATACATACACGCAATTACTCCAGATAATTGAGGCGGCAAGGCCACCAGGACCGGATGGCGATTTTCTAGATGTCAGACAGGCGCTGCTATCCCTTACGTCATTGCAGACGTACAGTGATTTGTTCTTCACCAAGTTCAATACCGTGTACCCTCTCATCCACCAAGCGACATTTGACAAAGGTCAATTCGAACCACTTCTCCTGTTGTCGATCATCCTACTTGGCGCCACCTATTGCAACAAAGACACCCTTAAGTTAGCCGTGTGTATTCATGATGTGATCCGGCCACAGATATTTGCGCACGCGGGGTTTAGTCCCAAGCCAGAGCTCTGGATGCTGCAGACAATTCTGTTGGTTGAGTGTTTTGGCAAGTACTACCTGTCATTGGTGGAAATACCGTATTCTATACTAACACCACTCAGGTAAATCAAGAGCCGGTCAAAAGCAACATGACATGAGCCACTTGTTCCATGGCATGCTCATCAATCTTATCCGCCGATCTGATTGCCAATCTGTGAGGCCATCTAGGTTCAGTGACCCAGACTGGAGACCTAGTAGTCAGGAGACTAGCTGGAGGCAATGGGCTGAAGCCGAAGAGAAGAAGAGGTGAAAGGCCCAGTCTCTATCGTTATTCTGAGCATTGGAAAAATCAAAGCTAACATGTGCGTAACTCAGGTTAGCGCTACTGTGTTTCATGTGGGACACTCAACATGCCGTGCTCTTTTGCCAGAGTCTGTGCATGTCAGCATTCGAACTGCGTGTTGCTCTGCCCTGTGATCAAACCCTGTGGGAGGCATCGTCTGCGGCCGAATGGTCCCATCATACACGTTTATGTCCACCGGAACCTATGTATCTCCTAGCTCTAAAGTCATACCTGACTTCAGATGCGCAGCGGCCTCTGAAGCTGAACGGACTTTCCCGTATCATCCTGTTCCACGGTTTGATGTCCATATTTTGGGACATGAAACGCCGGGATCAGACAAGTCTAGGCGTTATCTCTTCGCAGTCCAGCAGTTGGCAGAGTCGCCTGGAAAAAGCCTATCAAAATTGGAAAGTCGAATTTGACAGCTATTGTAGTGAGCTGTCTGCTGCCACAGAAGTCAAGATCAGGAAAGGTAGTGTCGATGGAATTGCCAAGGTCGAGATTGAAGCGTGGCAAGCCGCTTATGTTACCGTCTACCATGCAGCTCAAGTTTTGCTGCGGTCCGAATTTCTCGACATACAGATATTCGCAGGCGCCAGGCATATCCTAGGAAATCAAGTACAGAGAGTCGACTATAATCGCTCGGAAAGAGTTGTCAGGCGCTGGGGTAGCTCCAGCGAGCGCCAAACAAGGGAGACCGAGGGTTCAGATGCTGCGACAGCTGCTTGGCATGCTGCACATCTCCTGCAGGCCGCTTCCCAGAACTTTATTGATTATGATTCGATGGGCCTGTTCCATGTACCTTGGTGCTTATATCTCGCGACCCTTACAATATGGGCTTTCCATTACGTGGGGTTGCGGGCGTCTGGTTTTGGCCCCGATCATGGCGAGATAGTCTGGGATGCTCAGGCCGAAATGAATACCCTCGTCAAGACAATGACGGATATGACACCTAGACAATTGCTAGCGACGCAGGGATCGAAGCAGACAGGAGGTCTTGTGTGTGTCGTGGCTGGCGCATTGAGCAAGGTAAGATGGGGCATTGTACATGCTGGGGTGGCCGTACTCAAAGGTCTAGTCCCTGGCAGGCTTATTGGAGGATTCTAAGGCCTATATTGAATGCCAAGATCTCTACAAGGCATTTTGTCCACCTTTCAACGCTCCTCCTTGTGGAGATACCCTCGACCGCATTAACATCAACACCAGTGCGAAAGTCTTCTTCGAGATTGCGGTGACCAAATAACTATATGGCACAGAATGATTGCATGCAAGCTTGCGTTATACTTGGGTTTGCATATAAATTTGTAAAATTTGTCCTGATTCGAGTTGTCTTGTTGCATGCCATTTGAAACACGTCAAGGGCTGTCTGGGCGGGATTACCCTGGAGGTACCCCTATCTGGTGCTTTCTGTCACCGGCCTGTCATCGCAATTTCCTGAGACGCTTCGACCCGAGAGAACAAGCCAAGATAACATTTGCTCCGCGTTTATTCGCCGATTATGTCTCTTTATCCAATATCCAAGCCACAGTGTGAAACAAATGTAGACGGCATTGCAGCAAGCTGTAGCAATCAAACAGGGTGCACTAATCGGTGCGTTCTTCGTCCTGGATGTAGATTTCAACAGAATACCTCCCAGATCAACCAATACCACGAGCAGCTCCGTGGTAGCGGCCCTCGAGTTCTCATTCAGGCTATTGCTCTTATGTCACGATCGCACCAAATAACCCGGAATGTAAGCTACTTCCGCAACGAGAAAACACGCAAGTATTCAGCGCCCCTGGGGGGAACCGCATCAATGGTGGCGAGAACAAACAACCCTATAACACCCAACCCCGGCGAAAGCACAATTTGCCACGTGCGATCCGTCAGCAGGTCACTCGAATAGGTCACCGGCCAAAACACCAGTATTTCCGCGGGGTTGGTTCGCACTATCAGCAGGTTGGCGACGCTGGTCGAGTACTCCAGGTCCTGTAGCACTATATGCAGGAGATTGGCACACATCGCAAAAGCAACTGAGTGCGTGAAAGAGATGACGCAAAATGGGGAAAACCTCCAGGATCTCCAGGTTGGGAAGCACTCCTGCAGCAAGAGGGCGACGTCAATTTGCCCGGAGTTATTGCGCAGGGCGCGGTGGCGGGGAGCCAGAAGAAGCCTATGCAGGCGATAAGTACGATCAAGGCACCTTCGATCAGGAAGACGAATTGTCAGCCGCTGATTAACTCGGGTGGATTTGTAAAATATTTATAAAACATTGGAGGAGCTGAGGCCGCTGAAGGCGCTGGCCAGGAGGGCAGAGCCGAAGTAGAGCGCACGCAATACGGAAGCCAAGCTCGTCACTTTTGTGTCTGCCAATCAGAGATTTTGGTTAACAATTACGGTTTCTATAAGCTGATTTTGCCGTTGATAAAAGTGTAACTCAGAGAGCAAGGTCCAGCAAAAGACGGTGCCGGCAGAGAAGCAGACTTCGAAAGCACTCCTTGCGTCGATCAGCGGGTTATTCTTCAGTTGGAATATTGAGACCAACACCAGAAACAGTCACAGAACCAATAAGCCAATCATATTGTGGGCGAAATTCTGCAAAAGTGCCATTGTGCCCCGCGGAGCATCAGTCCAGGCAGTGTGCCCAGTACTAGACGTAACATGAAACTGTGTAAAATAAAGTTTTCGAACCATTTCACGCATATCTCATCTCACGGACGAAAGCTGAAGAGTCAATGGGACATCTGCCCATGCAGCACTTGAGTCTCATATAGGACATCCAGCAAGTTAGTCGTTAGAAAATATTCATAAAAAGATATATAGACAGAGAGTCGGGTTCATGAGATGATATATATATATATATAAAAGTGTCCTATTAGTGCTCGTCACACGAGACAATCTTTAAGTCCACGCCTCCGATTCGATTCCTGTTTCAAGTGGTGTGGTGTTAAGACCATTGCGACTTTCTCATGTATAACTTCAATCCTACTGTTTAAGTTTTAACATAAACATATAAGAGAAGCTTGCCGTGCGGATTTATACACACACGAGGGGGAACAGGGTTAAGTTACGTCTCCGGGAAGGACATGAGTGAAGAGTTGGGTCAGACCACTTGAGCAAGTAAGTTACCGATTTACGAGGCGTATATGCTACATCATCTTATATACCATTCGGCACTTGCAGGAAGCCTTCGTAATAAACATTAAGCCATTTCGCAGCATCATCGCCAGCCCCTTCATCGAGCGAGTTAAATCTTCCAATGGAGCCCACGTACCCATCAGGTCGAACGTTCACTATTGCTACCTCGCCTGGCGTTAGTCCACCAACCCATTTCGAAGTGCATGTCATTTTACGTGTGTCCAAGTGCGGAACGTCGTCAAGATAGAATGTCCAAGCGCTCTGAGCAAGCAGTTGAGGTAGATCCTTTATCTCGACTCTGGACTTTTCCATCGTCGCTGGGATGACTGTCAGTATCTTTACTCTGAGAGTGATGTGTTTCCCGAGTACTTACTGACAAGTGAGAACGTCATCAGCTCGCTCACAGACGTATACCGATGAGTCTGCAAATAGATATCGTCGGGGGCTGAACGACGCGGGGATCTCTTGTAGCTTGCAGCCGCTGCCACACTAAGACGGCTGATAAAAGAATGTTCCTTCGAAATTGTCGCGCAACACGACTCCAGGAAACTTTTGCTCTCAATTACATCTGACACGAACAGATAAATCCTGAACTGGCCTAGCATCGGAATAGCAAGTTGTATGTCAACGGGATTCGCGTCGATGTAGCGAGTGACTTTGGCCGGAGGGACCAAACATCCTTCCATCAGTGTACCTCTCCTTGCTATCACAGGGTGGTTAAGCACGTTCTGGTCATATTCAACTCCAACCCCGGAAATAAATCGCACATTTGTGCGGAAGTTCTCAGCTAGAGCTTTCGCATCACCTCCGGCAATCTGATTCGCATGTTCGTAGTCGAAGTTGATGAGATCGTGGGCAATCTTACGGCGTTCGAGCTCGTATGATTCCAGGAGAATAGGCTTAGCTAAGCCCCTAAGAGCGAAGTTCAACTTCCACGCCAAATTCCAGCTATCGTGCATACTTGTGTTCATACCCTGGGCTGCCTTAGGAGAATGTGTGTGACTCGCGTCTCCTGCGATGAACGCTCTTTGGAGGGGATCGCAGAATCGAGCAGCTACTCGTTGGCCGACTTGGTAGTTACCGAACCACTCGACAGTGCGCCATTCGACGGAATACGGGGCAAGAATATGCTTGGCTCGTTGCATCACAAACTCTTGCCCTAGTTCACGAAGCTCTCCTGTCTCATTCCCGACTTTGATCTCGATATAAAATCGTGTCATGTTCCGCTCTCGCGGAATAATGAGGATCGAACCATGCTCCTCACTGTAGACAACGGACTTGCACCATATATCTGGAAAGTCCGTCACGAGCTCGCCGTCCAGAACGCCCCAGACCGACTCATGGGACTTCCCTACCGAGTGAGTGTCTGGAATGCAGCCTCGCACTTTTGAACGCGCGCCATCGCCTGTAGCAGTCAGCAGCGTACCTGGATAGCGCCAAAACTTTCGGCTTACATCCAACGACATATCGGGTCAATCTCGACCCCTTTTCTCCATCATTACCAACTGAGTAGTGAACTACCATGGGGTCATCCGTGTTCTTCATGTTGAACGACTCGAAATGGTGCCTTCTTTTGACATTTATACCACGTTTCCACAAGTCGTCGAGGAACACGTCCTCAACCATGCCCTGATGTACCAGGAGTATGAAGTCATCCTGGAGATCTACCACGTCGGCAGAATAATGAACCTCGCGACCTATGCGCTTCAAAGAGTCAACCTTGGTTGATTTCCAGAAGCAGATACCGTGTATGCGAACCCCTTTTTGCAATAGGGGGTCGGCTAGTTGCAACATCCGTAGGGTTTCGATGGACTTTGGTTGCAGACCATCAGCACGACCTGCTGAAGTCTGACTGGGGCGCTCGTCCAAAACATCTATGTTGATACCATATCGACTCAACAGGACTCTATTTCATCAATATGTGTCAGCTGCATTCAAAATACTAATCATACGAGGATCGGGGGAACGCACGCGAGCATCAGGCCAGCTGGGCCGGCACCAACGATGCAAACATCGATGACGTCCTCGTGACCGTTGGTACTGCCATCGACTCCCACTGTATCGTCTGCTGCTGCGCTGGAAGCCATTAAATAACTGGGTGTAACTGGTCTAATTGAGGGAAAATGTCCCAAATAGGCAAGCACTGGACATGATGCGGAAAGGCAGCTCTTTTAACCACGCTGTTATGAAGTCCAACTATCTCAATAATTGTTTGATGGGGAAAGTGCAATGAATCGATGAGTGTGCAGGGTATTCTTGGTAAGCTACCATAGACCATGAGGGAGTCGAAGCTTGCAACAGCTTGAGACGATCGTATGTTGCCAGTGGCTCTAACTCACCACTCATAAGGAAATTGACGCAGCTGTTGAGCACCCCGGTCGCGCATCAATTATGCAGTCGTGCAGTATTATTCAGACGCAAGTCATACAATCTGCCTTTTATGAAAAGTCCGACAATTCTCCGATGGGAAGCTGCAACCTAGAAGTTGGCGATGGCCGCACCCCGCCCCCATTCTTGAACCTCGTCAACCCCCATTTCCGACTTTCTTCCCCACCTCTACAAGTGCACCTCTAACAAACCCTAGGTTAACAGATTATGCATGCAATAGGCAGTATCACGACCCGCTGTACGGGAATCCTGGGTCTGATATCTGATACGTTGTCGCACGTCCGTCTATCGCGCTATCTCTCAGCGGTTCCGATGCGGTTCCGATGCAGTTCCGCCGTTGGATCTTGCTCCGGAGCATCACGGAATGCCTCGGGGCTTGAGTGTGAACTATCGCGCTGAAACTGGAACAGATCAGAATTCGTTGTTCCACGCCATAATCAAAACAATATTTCATCGTTATTGAGCTGGCTAGAGACCCAGAGATCATTATGAGTGCTGTGGAAGAACCGAAGACATGGCAGGATAAGGTGCTCGTGAAACGACAAAGGCGGGAGAAGGCTTTGACGGTCTTCGAGAATGACGATGTATGTTCCTCATCCGGAGAAAAATCTATGGGCGGTATCAGCAACAAACTGAATAGTAGTTGTGCTAGATTCCTGTCGATGCTTTAACAATGACAGAAAATGGCGACATTGCGGCACTTGCCCAGCGGATTGCGTCAGGGGAGTTGAATTCTGAGGTTGTGACGAGGGCGTATATCCACAAGTAAACATTGTCCAAGTTGGTCAGAAAATATGAATCATCAAATGTTGACTCTATCTTAGTGCAATTGCAGCGCAGCGTCTTGTATAGTACCCCTGAACGAGTCCCCATACACAATGTAAAATCTTGATAGACTCACCACTCATCTTTCTAGACAAACTGGTAGGTCCCCTGAAAATCCTGTTTGTTCAAAGCTTAACAAAATATTAGCCTCACCGAAGTCTTGTTTGAAGATGCTCTGAAACAGGCACGCGAGCTGGATGCTTACCAAGTCCAGCATGGCCGGGTGATGGGTCCGTTACATGGTGTGCCCATGACTTTCAAGGATCAGTTCAATATCAAAGGCTACGATACGACCATGGGCTACGTTGGCCGCACTTTTCAACCCGCAGCTGAGGATGCCGCGTTGGTGGACATGCTAAAACGCCTGGGTGCGGTGGTGCTGGCGAAGACAAATCTTCCGCAGAGTATCATGGTCAGCGGTCCTGAAAATTTCGCGTACTACAACAAACTAAAATAAAATTAGTGGTGCGAAACTGAAAACCCGCTTTGGGGCTTGACGACCAACCCGACGAGTCAGGATTATACCCCTGGAGGCAGCACCGGAGGTGAATCGGCACTGTTGAGCTTACGCGGGAGCATTATCGGCTGGGGAACAGATATAGGAGGCAGTATCAGGATCCCCACACATATGATGGGCTTGTACGGCCTCAAACCAAGTGTGAGTTGCCTTTCGTGCACTGGAGCTGCCCCCTAGCTAAGCACAAGACGGTGTAGAGTGCCCGCCTCCCGTATTGGGGGGTACCGGTTTCAACAGAGGGCCAGGAACATGTCCCATCGTCTGTCGGTCCACTGGCCCGCAATCTCTCATCCATACGTCTGGTAATGAAAGAACTGATACTCTCAAGACCGTGGGAATTTGACGCGCGGTGCGCCCCTATACCTTGGCGAGAAGACGTCTACCAGGAGTTCCGAGCCAAGCACTTGACTGTCGGTCTACTGGTTGATGACGGTGTTGTTCGACCGCATCCACCAATTACCCGAGTGCTCATGGCTGTGGTAGAGAAACTGAAGCAAGCTGGTCATGACATTGTGGAATGGAATGCGGATCTTCATCCCGAATGCATTCAAGTTCTGGTAAGCAACATCTTTGAGGATCGAACTGCAAAGATACAGCAGGTTGACATATTTATAGGACGACTTCTACACTGCCGACGGCGGAGAAGATATCCGAATAGACGTTACAGCGGGAGGCGAGCCCTTCATCCCTCACGTGGAGGCGCTGGTCAATAAAGGCAAAGCCATCTCTGTCTACCAGTATTGGCAGATAAACAAGCGAAAATTCGCCCTGCAACAAGCCTACCTCAATAAGTGGAAATCGATCAAGTCCCCCACTACAGGAAGGCCGGTTGATGTCATACTTATGCCCGCCATGCCTCATCCAGCCGTCCCTCACAGGTCTTGTCGCTGGGTTGGGTACACCAAGGTTTGGAATGTGCTGGATTACTCGGCATTAGTCCTCCCTGCTGGAAAGGTGATGTCTGAGGATACAGAAGCGCAGTGGAATTTTGATTCGAGGAACGAGCTTGATGATTGGAACGCGGCGGTTTGGAAGAACGATGGGGCTCAAATGGCGGAGCTGGCTCTGCCGGTGGGTATCCAGCTTATTGGGAGAAAACTTGAGGAAGAAAAGGTGTTAGCTATCGGAGCTGTGGTTGATGGTATATTGAGGTGATATTTGTATTATACCGACTAAGCGTCTGGATATGAGATTGATAGAGGGGTTCGAATAGGGGTTGAATTGTCATGTGCTCCATACTTCTCATATATTTCGACATGGCTCGTCACTCAGAGACATCGAATTTATCAAAGAATCGATTGGAGCGTAAGGATTCGCATGCTTCATCTCACAGACAATGTCGAACACATTTCATTATTTGTTCTTAGGGGAATTCTTATTTGATAGGTCTGAAATGACGTCTTCATTTGTGTTGAGTAAGTCTCCCGCGTAGGGATCAAGTCAAATATAGTGCAGCTTCATTTGTTGTCCTCTTTGGTGTAATTAATTACACTGTGCTCTTCTTCAAGATCTCACCAGGGGGTGCAGGCATCATCGCACCCTCGGGGGGTTATTCTTGCTCTTGAAGTAATCACACATCTAACAGACGTTAGCCAAACGACCCAGACCTTCCTATGAAATGCTTACCTCTGCCATTGTAACCCACTCAACACCTTCATGCTTGTTGATATGCTCAATGATTCTACATCCATGTCAGTTACATGTGACAGGGCCGCATCACACTGCTTACCTCTCATGCATCAGCAGAACGTGAGGTCTCCCAGACACGTCAGGGTGAATTGTCATTGGGAAGATGAACTCATCATATTCACGGTAGAAGTAGTCGAAATGATCTCGCCAGATATCCTCCACATCCCTGAAAACTGGGTCAGCCTCCGCATGTGGCCTCAAGTCTCCACAGATCACAAACCTTGGGTTGACCCAGCCATGGGAATTGGCCGAGTTCTTTATGAACATCATGGGTGGGAGATCATCAATGTACCACGATCCGGGAATCTCAACCATTCCCGTTGGCGTACCCTTGACAAGGGGCTTCATCCACTCCTCAGCTTTCTTGGTGTAGTCGATCTTGGTCCAGGAGTCGCCGGTTCGAAGCCAGTACATCTGGCAATCCTCGTGAGACATCGAATGGTCGTACTCGATGCCATAGCTCAGCATGAGTTCCGTTCCCTCCCTGCTAACTTCCCACCAAGGAGCGACGCTTCCACGTGGCGGCTTGCCACAGAAGTCGGTCAGCATGCGGAATGTCTTGTCGAGGACATCGCGTTGCTGTTCAAAAGACATGTCAACGGGGTTTTCGTGGCTGTATCCTACAAGCACAGTCAGGCCTCCGGGCCATGTGACAATGTAGGTATCTCTTACCATGCAGTCCAATCTCGTGACCCGCATCTCTAACCATAGCGCACTCTTCTGGAAAGGTTTCAAGGGAATGTCCCGGGATGAACCATGATGCCTTGATGTTGTATTTCTCGAAGAGTTTCAGTAGACGTCTGGTACCCACGGTACCTGCCCAGAGACCTGACGAGGAGTAGAATATCAGTTGTCAATGCCTGAGCTTAGGAAGTGCTGGATCAAACCTCGACTGATATCGCTGGTGCTATCCTCCCCGCCATAAGATCCAAGCCAGCCAGCGACGGCATCAATGTCGACGCCATAGCTACAGTAAAATAAGCCTCTAAAGTCATACTTGGACATCGAATAGCCCTGGAGTACTCACCAGACTAGAACTTTCTTTTTGGCCATCGTGCGTGGTGTCATGAGTGGTGTCGTGGGATGTAGTAATCGCAGTGCACGGGGAGATTATAGATCCTCTCTTCTATATTGAAGAGTGCGTAAATAGACACGAGAAAGGGTTCGAATTCCGGGAAATCACCAGATAGCTTCACGATGTCTTCCTGGTTGCTACCAAACTTGCTTACTAAAGACAACTTCCTCACCAACTAAGGTAGAGGAAACAGCTTTCCAAGCTCGGTGACACACCTTGGTCTAGATTGGTCTTTCAGGAAGCTCCAGCATCCGCTGAACACATTGAGGGGCTTGTGAATCACAGCTCAAGAGTATGATAAGCACGGCCAATCCCAGAGTTCTTCGGATAAGGGGTCTGCCCCCCATTCTTGGATCGGGAACGTGCATCGTGGTGGGGAACACCGAAGCTGCAGTCTAAGGTGATGAATGCCTGCCCCCGCATTCTATCAGGTTTCGCTGAACAGCCACCCCCGATATTGTCACTTAGGCGGCAGTATTTGCATCTAAATAGATTATGAGTTTACAGAAACTCACGAAGCCGACCGACGGTCTAATGTTGGGGTATCTTTGAAGCGAAACATCTGACAGTATTACTTCATAGAAGCATGTACTACTTGCTCCAACCACCATAGATGTATCCGAATATCCTCTGTCAGTTCTGGGTGGAAGCTGGTCCCAAAGACATTGCCTTGTCGCAAAGCAACAATGTCGCCATCGCCTTTGGTAGAGACTGACCTAGCCGTCTCAGCAGCTGCTGCTGCCTTATTCGAAGCGTGACGCCCCAGCAGAATTCCCAAGACCTCGATCTTTGACCCTTGAGCCAGTGTTTGGTTATTTGTCGCGGGAGATGGCAGACTCTGGAAATCGGCACCGTTTTCAGGAGACGTTTCCTCAACGTTGTCCGCTAACAGCTTGTCCACCACCGGAGCTCGAATGAACACACACGGAAAAGGAGGTGCCCTCATCGCGTCAGTCAAAGACTCTGCCAGGAACGCCAAATTTAAATCAGTCACGAAGCTCTCTTTTTGCCTCCCAAAATGGTTGCGATGAACTCTCACATCGAGCCCGCCAATGAGCTCTTGGCCACCTCTCTTGGCGGAGCTCGCTTCTTCCGACAGCATGATGAGCCCGGCACAGGTGCCCCAGGTAGGTTTCCTCTTTACTCTGAAGGAGTTGGTCAGTCAACGGCAGTTAAAAGTCGACCGGCCACGGTCTCACATACTTGACAAAGTCTCGCAGCGGCCCCAGCAGCCCCGACTGCGTTGCGAGAAGTGAAAGTGTTGTGCTCTCTCCACCCGGAATGACCAAGGCATGACAGGTTGCGAGCTGCTCTGGGGTTCGGACTTCCACCATGTTGAATTTAACCTCGAGATGAGCTGCTGCTTTTCTGAGGCAGCTGAGATGTTCTGCAAAGCCTCCCTGGAGCGCGAGGACGCCAACGGTCAGAGCCATCGTCATTCCGGAAAAGAAACGTGGTGTTGAAAATATTCACGACGGTCATCAATGAGCACAGGGATTACTCTCTTCATCGGCCACCTCTGAGTCGAAAGAGGTGACCTACCCGAAGAAATTAATCCGTTCTATGGCGTTCTGCGGTGTGACAGCGATCAGTTGCGGTCGATTAAAGCCTAAGAACCGACACCGTCGGTTTCCCGACATCGGCTGCCAATTCATGCGTCATGACTTGAAGGTAGCGAGCGAGTACATGCCTATTGCGGCAACTTTGAGAAACTAACTTTGCATGAATTTACGCCCTACGGGCGATTGGTCGCGGGTACTCCTGTTAGACGGAATTGACTCACGACTTCAGTTCTACTGAAATTGGACAGAAAGCATATTTTCTGCAGGGACTTCCACTCGCAGTAAAAACTCTTGAATGTTGCGGGATTTCTACCAACGAGAAACGGCTGCAGGTTTGATAGAGACCTTCCCAACACTCAGTACTGCACTGTCTCCTCTCTTCTCCGCATCAACCTGCTTAACTTCCCAGACTTTTCCACAACCCTGCACCCCGGAAAACCCAAAGCAACCATGACCCATAACGAAAGTCAGGCCAGCCTCGCTGCTCCCGCCACGAGTAATGGGACAGGCTCAAAGGCCTCGTTTACCGTGAAAGCTGGTCTGGCACAGATGCTCAAGGGTGGCGTCATTATGGACGTCACGGATGCTTCACAAGCCCGTATTGCTGAGGAAGCCGGAGCCTGTGCCGTCATGGCTCTAGAACGTGTGCCGGCTGACATCCGCGCCGAGGGTGGAGTGGCGCGCATGTCGGACCCCGGCATGATCAAGGGAATCCAGGAGGCCGTCACCATCCCCGTCATGGCTAAGGCTCGTATTGGTCATTTTGTCGAGTGCCAGATCCTGGAGGCGTTGGGTGTTGACTACATTGACGAGAGCGAAGTCCTCACGCCTGCTGACGACGCTTACCATGTCGAGAAGTCCAACTTCGAGGTACCGTTTGTCTGTGGGTGCCGCAACTTGCCTGAGGCGCTTCGACGCATTGCAGAGGGTGCTGCCATGATTCGAACCAAGGGCGAGGCAGGTACTGGCGATGTGGTGGAGGCTGTGAAACACATGCGACAGGTCAACCACGACATCGCACGAGCCAAGGTGGCGCTGCAGGAGGGTGGTGACTTGGCCATCAGGGCTTTGGCCAGAGAGTTTGAGTGCGACGCTGCGCTTCTGAAGCAGACTGCCGAGATGGGTCGTCTACCTGTGGTCAACTTCGCTGCAGGTGGAGTGGCTACCCCTGCCGACGCTGCGTTGATGATGCAACTTGGTTGCGATGGTGTATTTGTGGGAAGCGGCATCTTCAAGTCCGGTGATGCGGCCAAGCGGGCGAAAGCTATTGTCAGGGCCACTACTCATTTCCGAGACGCCAATGTGCTTGCCGAGTGTAGCGAGGGGTTGGGCGAGGCCATGGTGGGCATTTCGGTGAATAGCATGCGGCCCGAGCAAAAGATGTCGGGCAGAGGATGGTGATGACGAATTTAACGGATCTGCGTGGTTGGTTGAAAGTGCGTGAGGTGTCCTCGACACACAGTAGTCATTAGCTAATTGAGCTTGAGTTTATGGTGCTTATTCAACCCACCGGCGAACTATTTTCGATGCGGTCCAAGGTCCAACAGCGGTGAGAGAGATCATGCCTACCGAGCCACTACTGGTAGCCCATACCATTCGATCGCAGTATTAGAGCATATTAAGCAAAGAGCCTCGGCCTGTTGATGTGGATGAATGTAGTCGGGTAATATCCACGACATCATGACTCTTCGGCTTCGCAGCCGGTCGTTCCTCACGAGCCCCGCCTGGTTTATAACCTCAAAGAATTCACGTTCACCCGACGGGGCTCCTGGAATGGTTGCATTGAGAAGGCTCGAGTCCGTAGGCCGGCAGGGTTTGTTTTTTCTTACCATATCAGCAGCCGCGAAAGCTTGAATCTTGCCACATCTTCCTGTCCCCACGTCGTCTAACCCGTATATTATGTGTGCGCCATCTGGTGTGCTAGCTGTATTGCCCCGTACTTGAAGTCCCTAGGAGCGCCTAGCTTTGGTGGTATCCATATGCCGCTTGACCATGCTGGTAGTCAGACCCTGGTTAGTATAGCATTGCGGCGGCGCAGAGTAAGTGTTAGCGATTTTATTTTTCTTCTTATTCCATCGACACATCATGATAATGACCACGAGTGCGCAACCTCAGCAGTTACAACTACTACTCCGATTCCAGCTTGCGCGCCAGTCGTTAAGCCGCCAGTTGTCGCTGCAGTTAAGGTCGCCGATGGTGATCTGCCCGCGCTGCCTGGCACGAAGTCAGAAAATGGGTTGTTCGCTCCAAAACCAGTGGTAATGTTCCATCTTAGGTTAAACCAGCAGGGCGAGTTGGGTTCTTTCTAGTCAGTTTCACCAAGGCGGGTCGTGCAGAGAATGAGAATCAACTCTCTTCGATACCTCAATTCGTCACTGTGAGATCAAACCTTACAGTAATTAATGTAAGTATACTATCTTAATAACTCCATTCCTAGTTGTACTACACGTACCTCGTTATTAATAAAGACGCCGATAGAAGGACTTTATTTCCCTAGACTAGTAAAGGTTCCGTTACAGTAATGCTATTATACTTTAAGTAGTGAAACGGGGTCAGGCGGTCAGTAGGATATACCTATCACCCAACACACTGAACAGACGGCTCCAGTACCAACAGGTCCCATCTTTTGGTCTGATCAGACGAAGATCATGGTACTGGTTGTAAGAGCGAAGCTCTTACATGTCTGGTGCGCGAGTTGGTCGGATGTGCCTCTGAGACTCTCGTCGGAATGATTCTCAGAACAAGACGTCTGGCTCTGGAAGTCGAATTGAAGCTCTCACTAGCACTAGATTGCTCTGATCAGAGCAAGATATAATCCTCTGTCATTGTCAAGGCTAGGATGAGGGCAGAATAATAGGATTTCGAAAGTAGTGTCTAAGTGCACGTAGGAATGAACCGCATGATTGAAGGGCTAGCTAACTAGAATAGAAAACAAAAGTCAAGTTGATTGAATTAGATGATGAAAAGAGATGACGAGTTGTTGAAAGTCGTCTGTCATCTCCGTGTCCCTTAAGAAGTGTGGAAGACAGGGGAGTCCTCCCTGGCCCCCGTCACCCACTTCCCTGACGTCCGGCCTGTGAAGGTCAACCCTCGCAGACTCACTACAGCCAGGTGACGTACAGCTGGAACACCTGCCATGGCAGTGCCAGGTGGGAAGCCAATCATAACCCCTGCAGGAGCCCCGCCAAGCGTGGACGACTTAGTCGCGCTCCCTCAAACCTAAGTTGTCATCTTCTTTCCTTCGCTCCTTAGAGTAGAATCTTCGTCGATAGCACCTAATCGAGGTCTCTACCAATGCGATGCAACCTAGGTCGTGACAGTGTCAGTTTCATCGAACCCTACACAATGCGGGGTGCATACAAAAAGGTAATTAATGTGATTAGTGTGGGAAGCTGTGGCCTCAGGTATGGAGGGGTATGAGGCAGGTAGGCACGCGTTGTAGTATTTAGGGACTCCTCGGGGCTAACTTGGGATTGGTCCTCATGCGGCTTCACAGTACCAAGACAGCCCCTACTACTTGGATTCCGGCGTTCAGATGGAAAACAACCTCTGTTGATGGAAATATCTTCGGTCTATGAGCTGGTGGTACTAAACTGCGCCATTTAAAACACTTGACAATCTTTAAAGAGCCCAACATGAACATCCCCTATAAACTCCCGACACACGCCAGCGAAAAATATCACCTATATATACGCCCCTTGCGGTTTTCCATTGCATGCTGACAGTAAATAAGACGAGAACTGGTCCTAATACAGAGGTTCAATCGAAAGTTTATCCGCGCTTGCTCCTTGCTCGCTTTCGATCGAACATAAAATAAGTCTCGGCGAATTCGAACCACTCTCATTCCCACTTTCGACATCCGCCTTCTTTGCCTCCTCGAGGCTTTGGTGCCACTTTATTTTCTCCGATATTGTGATGCCGTATAGCTGCTTTGTAGAATAAAGCTGTGCAAAACACCAAATGGAGAACACAATAGGGGTCACATAGTGCCACGCTGACTCCCAGCGGTCCCACGAGTCGTAAAGGAGGTAGATGGTGAAGGCGATCTCAGTCATCGTGCAAGATATGCACCAACCGACGCAGAAGAAGAGAAGGTAATATAGCATGCGGTGGCTGTCAGATTTCACTCGGTGCAGAATCATGGCCACGTGAACCGGCAACTCGGAGACCAGGTCGAAGGCACCCCAAACCAGGCACATATAGAACTCGAGCAGGGTGTCCTGATGCGCCTCGGGGTTTGCACACCGAGCCGCCGCGATTTGGCCTATTACGATGAGACCAAAGTGGTGCAACATGTTGCTGGGGCTGGCCTGGCTGGAACGGTAGCTAAGCTCCCACGCGTAATATCCGCAGTACATATGCACACTGGTTAGCTTAGGATTAATCCAGCGTCCGGTTTAAGCATACCTGCATGGCAACGACCAAGAAGTCACCGTGGGTAGCTACACTCCCACTGACGATGGAAGTGGTAAAGTCATGTGGTCCGATGAGCACCATTAAAACACTGTAGCAGACGCTGCATATGAGGACGACTTTGACAGTACAAGCGAGATGATGGTAGGTGAAGCTCTTGCGTTTCCGGTCGGTTCCCGTGGTTTTGGCGAAGCTGCTAACGTGGTCGTATACTATGGGATAGAGAAGTCGTAAAAGCCATTTTTCCCAGTTGTAGACGATGACGTTGTAGATGATCATGAAGAGACAAATTAGTGGCGAGGACCAGGCCAAAATTTGCGATAGGTACGTATTTTCCAAGTCGGATATCTTCGAGCGCTGGAAAAGATTGTGAAGCAGCGCGCCGCCGTTCGACAGACCGCCGTGTGTGGTCGCAGTCATGTTGGAATCCATAGAGGAAATCTCTTTACCGTGCAAATTGCGTTCTCATTTAATTGGGCGAGAGAACTAATAAGTACTCACTGGACGGAACAGTCTGATGGTGATCAGTAAGACGTTCTAGGCAAATTCGCGGACACCTAGAATTCGTCCAATGTCCGGATGTGAATCATCTACACGGCGCATTGTAGGTTTAAAGGGACCCTGTTGTCTGATATTATCTTTGCCGTAGCTGATAATTGCGACGAAGGGTGTAACCTTATATTCAACACGAGTTCGGCGCTTTGGGAGTACTGTGATAAATTTCAACACGGTGTTGTTGAGTGAAGCCGAACGAAGGCGAGGTATTCGTCTTGTGCTGGGTACTTGCAGGACCTTACTCCGGTGTGTAAAAATCATTCTTTGGAGATCTATCAGTGCTTAAATTATGATATGCCACGGTCTTAAGGACGTGTCGGCTTTGGCATGCAAAAGTCAAATATATTTATTGGATTTGCATGATGTTGTGACCAGCTCTGCGGCGATCGTATCCCATATTTAAAATAAGTTACAGAACAGATGCCAATTTTCTCCCTGGGCAACGCTCTCAGGTCAGTATCATGATCTCTTTGGTGGTTACTGAATTACTTCCATTGATGTTTTGGCAAATCCATGATATCTTCCTGTCTGTACGTGGTTTACCTTACTGCACTTTGGTTGGTACAGTACCCACGTGCTAACCAAATCTCATCGTTTCTGTCGAAGCATGGTAGCTCACTGGTCTCCTCGTATCCATTAAGAGAAGAAACTCAAACGCTACAGCGCGAATTCTCAAGACAGAATGAACAGAGACTGTAGTTGTGGCTGTGGCTGAATATGCCCGTGCCTACAACTGTAGTGTTTGGGGGAAAAAATCCACCTCATGAATTCTATGGATATATTAGGCCGTATTCCGAGGTCTTGGAGCCCTGCAACAGTTATGGGGCCTCAGCACTTCAATCCAAATAGCAGTTTCCCACGTGGCAAAAGTCTATTTTACGATGCCAAGCACGTCTAAAAATTATTTGAGAATCAGGATATAGGAACTGAGCATGCACTGAATCTGAAGATCGAGACTCCACTAATTTTGCTGTTGGACTTTCAGGGGTGACGGAAGCGCTAGTATATGAGCAGCTTCATCGGCCCCAGAACAGAGAATCATAAATAGTTTCAGCTCAAAGGATATAGTGATTCCAGCTATGAGGGCAAGTTAGCGTGGAGGTCTTCCAGATTGAGCTGGAAAAGGCATGCTGAAATACACAGTTGAGCCGCGAATCGGCCAGTACAAAAAGAAGAAGTACGAGAAAGTGTTTCGGATGATACACACGTCGGCTACCCTGGTTGCACTATGATTTGAAGCTGTCTGATTCATTTATATAAGTTTCCAAATCAAAGCCCTTGGAGACTTGCATCATGAGGACCTGCTCTCAACCCATACTGAGCTCAAATATACCAATGATCAACACAATTTAGCAGACTTACAGCTAGTGGAAACAAAGTCAAAACATATTATTATTAGCTCTAGCTTCACAAGGACACAATGTAAGCTTCATTGCCCGCTCTTAAATTGTTTCTCCTGCATCCGCCTATTTCTAATACACCCTGTTACTTACCATGAAAATATCGTTATATAGGAACCCAAGTCCTTGCCCACTTGAAACGCTCCGATTATAGCTCGCTGATCCCTAGGATAGCGACAAACCTAACCACCTTAACTTATGTAACTAATTAAAAATAATATAAATAATATTAAATACGCCGTAGGTGTTAACCCTCGGTACCTCTACAAGTACTCCCTTAAGGGGCTATAGATGATATACGTAACTAATTAAGAACCCTTCTATAGTCGATTTTCTCCTTAAGTCAAACCCTAATAGCTTAAAATTGTCTCTACAGTACTATTAGGCTTACGGTGAGTATTAAATCTTGACCGTAACCGATCGGTTTCGCCTCAAGCCTTGATAAAACACCCCGCTCCCCCTATCCCTCAATATCTTCGTTAATTTGCTTCGCATACTTATTAATGCTCCTATTAAGTTTCTGTGTATCGCTGTCTTAGCTTACTAGATATATTTAAATACTCTTTCCACGGCCTTTGTACTCTAATATACTTCCTATTACAGATTATGAACATCTTTCCGCGATTATAGATATCTGCTATAGCCCGTATAGCAGGTAGTCTCGTATAGTATTTCGGCCCAACTCTACGAATTTTAGCTTGAACCACATGCTTAAATAGAAATTTATCCGAGCCGATAGATCTCAAGCTGTAACATCTATGCTCGAAAATCCGAAGCGGTATCTAAAGACATTACAAATCCAGCCGTAAATGAGCGTACTCGATAATTTATAAGATAGCCATTGAGTTTTCAACCTTGCCAGCCCGTACTGACTGAAGCTCGGCATGCAGTTGCCCTCCGAAGCGATCCACAGGATATTTGGGTTTGATATGCCAGAGCTAGAGTCACTTGGCACAATAGATACACTGAAAAAGTCGTGCGAGGGAAAAATGTCCAATATTCTTGGGTAATGAGTGTATTCCAATGCAGGAGTCTGAAGGAATGTCACTAGAATACAGTGGTATCAAGTTCATCGAACTCACAGAATCTATAAATGACCTTCGATACAAGCAATATTAGACGAAGTACCGGTGCTCCAAGTCTATTTGCAAAATTTGCCAGGTGATTCTCGTTGCTGTACCCCCTACCTAGCTTCAACTAGAACGCGTCACTTCCGTTTGTCACGTTGAAGTGGCCCAAGTCAACAAACGCCTGCGCTCGCTTCCCACTTGCAAGGAACATCATTGAGCTGTTGAGAACGCATCGTGCATCAGCCGAAGAACAGTCATCTCAAGCAATATAAATCTATTGATTAAACTGGAGAATTGAGGTACGTTTCTCATTTTGATTGTTCTTGTCCCTGGCACGAATCTTGCACCCGCTTTCCTAAACCTGCGTCAACCCTCTTCCTGACACGCTTCATCTGGCGACCTTTGACCTGAAAGTCCATCTTTAAATTTGGCAGACCATACGATTGAATATTTGTTTCTTAATTTGGTCGCCAATTACGCATCGAAATTTCCGGGAATTCCATCAAATGATCGTGTCGCTCGCCCCGCTCATTCGCTAATTCCAACCACCACGATAGGCAAGATGAAGTCGTTCAAGGTAATCGCCGTTGCGGCCACCGGCATCATGGCATTCAGCCCGGTAATTTGCAGCGCTGTTCTTGCCGATGTGAGCGCGACCAACATCCAGCTCCCCACCTCCTCAACGATGAGCATCCCCGTCCTGGCCATCCCAGACGCCACCACGCCCCCCCACCAGATCGAGCTTCTCAAGCGTGGCAAGCCGACTGGAGAGCTCAGCAAGGTAGCTATCAGCACCTCGATTGTCAGCATCAGTACTCAATCCGGCACTGATGCTTCTGGTCTAGCCTACACGACTGGTCCGTATCAATACACTACAACCTCAATCACTACGTCTGCCACCCATAGGGGCCCTGCTGAGCGCACCATTCATCCTTACGGCTATGGAAACCACAGTGCTCACGCTTACTCCACTGTCATCTCGAGAACAGGCGCTTCCAGTGCTCCAGACAGCTTTACTGTTGCTCCCTACGGCAGCAGCATTGCGCAGAGTGATGGGTACCCCAAGCCCACGGGAACCGGTGAAGCCAGTGCTCAAGGCGGACAATCAACGGTGCCCTACGTAAACTCCACTACCCAGCACCACCCTCACCCTTATGGTACTGGCAGCCTCCAGTCCTACCCTACCAAGTCCTACCCCTGGTGGCACCCCGGCCCGCAATCCAAGTCCACGTCCACGTCCATGTCGACTGCAGCCATCAGTCATGACAAGCGCGACGGCCAAGTGATCCAGGTAACGCTAACAACCAAGTACACCACCTTCGGCACCGTGACCGTGACTAAAACTTTCGAGTCAAATGGTCTGACCACGCAAACGTACACGGGCTCCATCGAGGTCAACTCCTGGACCACAGTCGAAGACACCACAACGATGACGCGGGGAGCCGCCACCGTAACCGCTACTGACGTCGCCGATGAGACACCTCCGACTACCGCGCCTGGACCTGTCTCGACATCTGACGCAGCGACTCTGATGACTTCTATGTACGGGCCTGGACCTGTTCGCACGTCTGAGACGACGATGGTTCTCACGGCTACTCCGTATGGTCAGCCCCCGTCGTTGACGGCTGCGTCTGAATCGAGTCAGACCTCCCAGCCCACCGGCTCTGAAACCCTACCTACGACCACAACCGTGCCCACGACACCCTCCAACACCGAGTCTGCGCCCGCATCTACGAGCTCCGGCACCGAGGGAGCCGGCTCCCAAGGCACAGACCAGAGTACCCTGGCTCTTTTGATGGCCGTGGCTGCAGCTATGGCTATGGTGTTTTAAACACGTCATTGATCCATCCGTCTGCAAGTCTGCTGTTGATTTAGATTACCAAGCAGCAAGCACCATACTTCGGTTCATGCTGATAATTCAGGGAAAAGTAGAATCGGAAAACTGGAGATGTTCTTTTGACATTGCCTGCGCCTTGGTTGTGTGGTCATATACCTAAGTTACATAATCCCGCATGATCTCCGTTGACGGGACTCGAGATGAGGATACGAATTGAGTTCATGCACAAAATCAACTAAGCGACTTTCCAGCTTTCGAGTGAGACCACGCGGATGCAACGTACTAAATATGCCTAATATCATTATTGCAAGTGACTGTAATCCTACACAATGGCGCGCTTGCTCTTAGTGCTCTGTACATACAAACGATTATGTTCTATCAACCCCCCGCACCGTCTGCTTGTTCCACGGTACACACAGACAGCATACTCTACAGCATCAACAAATCACCATTACTCCCACCGCCCTGAGCAGGCCGGAAAACTTGTTGCGGCGCATATTGGTTAACCACATAGCCCGCCTCAGAGCCGCCGCCACCACCTCCGAACTGATCGCCGCCATCGTTAATGTCCATAGCCGCCATCTGCTGGCTCCCTATACCGGCAAAATATGCGTCTGCGTCGTTCATGGCTTGCGTCATCTGCCCATGTCCGTCCTCGTTTTCATTGTCGACGCCTGCGAGTCCACCATTTTGATTGCGCCGGACAACGGCAGGCTGGCCCCCCATCCCGAGCATGGAGAGGTTCTTCTGGTTATCGAAGGTAGGCAGATTCTGAGAAGTGGGTAGTGTGTGTTTCTGCAAGGCAGGCGAATCTTGTAGCTTCCGGGGTCGCGCTGATCGGAAGACTGTCTGGACCGGTTTGAGGTAGATGGTAGCTAATGTGCCCACGTTCAGACACATTTCCTCCAGAGTCTGGGGGTCGAGCTTCTCCGACTCGGCGGTGATGGGCGGTTTCTCGCCCATGACGATCTGCTTTGCAAGATTCATATCGGTCGATAGCAAACGCCAGTACATGTACGCCCGATCGCGGAGATCGGGGTTATCTGTTTCCTCGGTGGCCCACTTGAGGACCTTGGGCACGAGGTCTTGGCCTTTGGTTGGGCGCTGGATGAAGAGTTTAACAGTTGCTGTGAGCAGAGCGAGCTGCACCTCGACTGGTTCCTCGGCAAACGAGTACAAGAAGTCCTCGAGTAGGGCATCTGAGTTCTCGATGCGAGCAGCATACTGCCCGATGACCCAAACCATGGCCGCTTTGGCCTCGGGCTCGTCAAGCGAGTCCAGATGCTCGCAGAGCGTGCCAATGATGGATTCATATTGATTGGGATATTTGCGGAAGATATTGCGAATGACAACAGTGGCCTCTTGGACGATGTATGGGACTTTCGTCGCGACGAGCTCAAGAAGCAGGTTGATACATCGTCGAGCCGCTGACTCAATCTTGATCGCCAACTTGCCGATGGCACGGACTGCCTTGCGGACGAAATGGACGTCTACTTCGGTGGCGTATTCACGAAGCTCAGTCAAGACCTCGTCGATGTTCTTCTCATTTGCAAGCATGAAGATGAGTTCCAGCTTCGTGACCTTGACGTAGATCGGGTCATTGTATTTGCAGAAGAAGACACGGATATCATTTCGCAGGACATCAGGCCTTCTCTGGAGGATTAGCAACGCATTCCTCAGCGCTAGGTATTGCACCTCGGGCCCCTTTGCTAGCAGCGTCACTAGAGGTGGTGACAGCTTCCGGCACAGAGCAGAAATTTGCTTCTCCTCGGCGATGTAGTTCATGAGATACAAGATGACACGTACACACGTTAAAACGACTGCCGAGTTTGAATGTGATAACCGCGGTGCTATCCTTTCGGCAAGCAAGGTGGCTTCTCCTGATTCTTGTGGCACATACGACATGAGCGCCTCGAGTATGTACGTCTGACCCCACCTTGAAATTTGTCAGTATCGGGTCCCAACAAGGGGCAGGGCAAAGACCGACTCAGAGCAGTCTGGCAGGATAGCCACCATCTTTGAAGCGTTACTATAATCAATTGTAAGCTTGATGGCATCGCTCCTCTCCCAGATGTCCATCAGCCCAGCCAGCGCACTGGCAACTACCGTCGGGTTGTCGTCTCTCAGTAACGAGTTCAGCCGTTCTATCAAATCTGAGTTCTCCACCATGTGCCTGTCATGGTCGTAAAGTTTGGCGACACAAAACGCGGCTGTTTTGCGCACGTAGGGGTCAGCGTCTCGGAGCAGGTGTTTGACGAGCGGTACCGTCGCTTCAACAAATTCTTTGACGTGGACATAGGACATTGTTCGGAGAGCGAGCGCTCTGACTAACGGGTTCGGATCTTCCATGTCCTGCCTAGAGGTCAGCATTCCCAATGTTGCCTTAAGCATTATCAATATCTTCGCATCGCTTACATGTTGTAGAACCGGAATTGCCTTGATCGCGGTCTCGGGCCGCATCCTCGAGTAATTGACGAGAAACAGGAAGCTCCTGGATTTATTCTATCAGCCCGTCCGTTCTCGTACTCAACAACACTGGACAAGACCGTCCTTCGCCTAGCGCAAACGTACATCTTCTTGACCTCTAGACTCTGTATCTGCATGCATTGTATGATATCGGGGAACAGGGCGACCATTTCGTTATTGCTCATGGTCATGTTGGCGACGATCTTCTTGAGGGCGATCTTCTTCTGTACGAAGTTCTTGTCTTTCTTACCGCCCGCGTTCAACTCAAGCCGTAGCTCGGCGACTTTGCCCTGTATAGTCAAGGGTCGTGAGTAATAGTGCGGCGGAGGAAGATATGCAAGGAACATAGCCATGGCGCGCAAGGGGCACAGGAATCGGTCATAGTGTGATTTCTCCTGATGCAGCTGGAACAGGGCTAGACAGGGCGATTGCGCTTCGTTGAAGCAGTTGCCACAATAGAGGGATTTGGGGTGTCTCGTGTCGGTGGAGGGCCAGGTATGAAGTTGGTGGTTGGGATTAAATATTAAGGCATGGGAAGTGAATGTTGACAGTAAGGAATCTGTGGCATAGTCGAAGGAAAAGGGCAAATATGTCGTGAAGTTATTAAAGACGCCTCGTATGTCTCGGGATATGGAAATGAAATGGCAATGTGCTTACTCGAGCGAATAGCTTGGAGTCCCCTCCACCCTGGGAGCTCGACATGGTGTCTGTATGCAGTTGTCCTCACTGTAATTGTGCGATAGCTAGATGTCTCGGCTGGGCTTGGTTGGCTGGCTGGACGAGCGTGATGGTTCAATGGGCCCCTCACTCAAGATGGCACCAAACGCAACCGAACCGGCCTGCAAGAGCACGACAAAGGTAGTGTGAGATAGCCGGGGAACTTTGGTGTTGGCTATCAAGGCGTATGCCAGACCCCTCACGCCGAGGTGATAAGCCCAAGGTTGCTTGCGTTGCGATGTGTGCGACGGTCCAATGGCAATAAATCTAGATCATAGCGGGATGCGACAGGCGATGCGGTGGAGGCGAGCTGTTGGGGGATTCGAGCTGGAGGAGCCAGCTAATAGTGTCTCTTGCGCACTGCCGTTCGTCCCAATTCGGTGGGCGTTCGAATCGCTAATGATGATCGTTGTCGGGCCGGAATAGTAATCGTCTAAACGGGCAGGTCGAAGTAGCCTTGGGAAATGTTGAACACTAAACTCTCAGGAGTCGTCGTCGTCAGAATTCGGTCGGTCTTCGGGTTCTCCACGCCCGTCAAGTTCCCGAGAAATTGGGGCCACCACCCCTGCAACTAACGCTAAATCTTGGTGTTTCCTGAGCTTGATAGCGCACGGCTCACATATTTGCCCCAACGCAAAACAGCATTCGCGGCGGCCATCTCCATGATGCAGCCTCGCATTGTCATCGAATCAACTACCACCTACTTCATCAATACCCTTGCGATAGACACCCTAAATCAGCAAGCAACATGTCGAAGTCAAACGTACCAAAATGGGTGGCTGATTTGGAGTCACCACCACCAGCGAAGGCCAAGAATGCCAGTATCCCAGATCCACCGGGGTACACGGGAGGATCGCAACTGACAGGCAGCTCCAAGGTCCGTCCATCCAGCGCATCTACTGTGCTCTGAACCTCTCTTTGACATTTCCGCAGAAACAAACATCCAAAGAATCGAAAGCCCTCCAACAACGGAAACAGCCGACCACCGAGGAGATGGACACGCTGAAGCTCAAGAAGGCGTGGGAGGTGGCCCTGGCACCCGTCAAGAACCTGCCCATGACGGCCATCATGATGTATATGTCGGGCAACTCGCTGCAGATCTTCAGCATCATGATGGTGTTTATGGCCTTCAAGAACCCCATCATGGGCATCGTAGGCACCAACGTCGCCTTTGAGAAGTTTGAGAGCGACAGCAACAAGGGCAAGATGCTCCAGGTCAAGTTGGCATACGTGGCTATGCAAGTGGTGGCGTTGGCGCTGGGCATTTGGAAGATCAATGCGATGGGGCTGTTGCCGTGCGTATTAATATCTGGATGTGACGTGAGGAGGAAATGGCTAACAGCATTTGCAGGACAACGAGATCAGATTGGCTGGCTTGGGAAGAGCAACGAGAGTTTTCAGAACATGCCGTATCAGCTCTATAGATCTACCAGAAATGACTGAAGTTGGGCTTTTATCATTCCGTTTGCCTCGCCTTCGAACCATTTCCGAGTACGCAACGACAATCTCCGCTCTCCAAGCTCGCGCCCCCCTGCCCCCCTTTATGTCCTGGGGCTCGATCCAGCCGTAGCCCCGGTGTCGCTATTCTGAAGGTGAGTTTCTCCTTGTCCGCCTATGCAAGTTTTTGGCGGTTGAGTATCTTTGGAGTCATTACGGACAAATTCTACGTCGTGGTAGTGGTCATCTCGCCGCGGTTGGTTAACATATCTCTGAAGTGGGTCGCGAGGGTCGCGAGGACAAGTGTCTACCGCCTGCCCGTAAGGGTTTCTAGGCCAGGGACGATTGTGTTGGACCCAGCGGTCGTCAGCAACTGTTTTGCTAGAAGCCACTTGCGCCTCGGCAGGAGCAAGACTACCCGAGCCTTGCGTCACCGAGGGTGCGACTGTGGGTGCTGGAGGAGCTTTTGGGTGATCAGGACTGGACGTGGATTCCTGGGCCGCACGCGAGGGCTCTTTTGAGATGCATGTAGCTCAGGATCGCAGGGCAACTTGGATGATGCATTAGTGTTTCGTCCGCTGTCTTGTATCATGGGCAGCACACACGTCTTGGCCATCCATGTCGTGTTGCAGACACGTAATTTAGTGTGGCCGTGTTCTTGGATATATTGATTTGCGGATCTGGTGTCTGATCTGTTCCTCGCAAAAGACATCAAGGTATGATTGTGATATTACTTCCTTTTTCCTATTACTTGCTATAAGGTGCTGGTAAGGTATTTATAGACTTCAGCGGTCTGTATACAGAAGCAACGAGGAAGACCGGGAACGTTGGACTCATATGTACATCCCGAAGCTAGTATACAGCCAGTTCAAACCGTCAAATCATTTTTGTCCGAAGTGCCGATGAACGCGACATTACCAGTTGCACATTTCAACTATGTGTGTCATATCTTCCAGAACCCGATGGTATTATGCAAGAGTGGTGTACGATACGCCACAGCGTTGGATAATTTGGCCTGGGGTATTGTGTGATAAGGATATATTACCAGTTGGCAGCCAATGCGATGAACCTCCCTGTGATGCCGAGGGGGAACTATATTTGCGGTCAAGAACCGAGGCATCGAACAGAGGAGATTTAGGCAGAAAGATAATGTTGTACAGTAATGCACCATTGTGTGGAGTCTTGTTTTGGTCGATCATGAATTTCCGTTAGAGTGCTCAATTCTCGTGAACTTTGAATGTGGCAAAATTTGGGGGTTTTAATATATCTTCAGAAGTGAGGCTATCAGGCCGCGAAGCCAGTTATTAAGCCGGTGGAAGGGACCCCTTGCGACTGCCATCTGGTGAAGATATGCAAGACCCAATTGCTGAGGTTAATCCACATCTGACTACCATTGAGTTCGCCCCGAACTTGAGGTCACCGTAATGTTGATCATCCAGTTGCCCATGACTTATTGAAAGGTCTCTGGCTTCTTTGCCGGACGCTTCGAACTGGTATGGCCGGCTGTGGCATGCCTTCTTGACGGGGTGTGACTAACGTATCTGGTCTGTCATGCAATGGCGAGATTTCTCCGGATTGGAAATTGAGGACTTGATTGCCGTGATCAGTCAAGTGTGGCAATACACGGTACGAAATTTCCGTAAAGAGTCAAGCATCATAGGTTGGACGCACCAGGGTTTGATGCCGTTGTATGTGGTCCCAAATAGTAATCGCCACGTCCTATGCATTCGTGAAGCTTCCACGTATTTCTATCAGGGATTGGCCGCTGAAGCCTCCGGTATATTCAGTGAAGATGCCGGCGCTGCAATACCACCTACACGAGGGTTATACATCATCAGAAAGACTTCTAGGTTTCTTGATGATGCCCTAGAGTTATAGATGCACCATAGGGTGACGTTGTTCTGTCGATGAAGATCTCAAGCATGCGCTGCCCGGATGAAAATTGACCGGGACAGTTGAGACTCGGAATCGCGAGACCACGTATCTGACCAACCACAAGTGCCTTTTGCCACCAAATAAACGTAGACATGACGAGGTGGGAGTCGAAAATAAGCCAAGCTAACATATGAGCTGCAAATCTGTTTGAACAGACATGTAAGCTGTGTGGAAGCTCCTCACACCCTCGGTTGACAATGAGAATAAACCCAAATACGAACACGTCACTGGCACCCATCCCTCACACCCAGCTCGATTCTGACCATATAGCGCCGCGTATTTGCAAACGCATTTATTCTTCGGCCAACTGATGACGGGTTGCCGTGGCAGCAGGATTTGGGCAGGTGTCTGAAGCTGGAACCGGGGAATCAGCCGGCAGCATGCCAATGCATAACTTCGTCATCGTCCATCCCGAGTACCTGGGCCGATAAGAACGCCGGTGTGCGTCTAATATCATTCTTGAAGATTATATCGCAGTCGTTCAGGGTGTCGTTGGGGGCAGTGGTTTCAAGTATTTCGAACAGGTGCATACAGATTTCCTTGCAAGCACTTGCGTTGTACACCATTCTGGACATTGACATACGTGTGAATCGATGGCGACTTTGCCAATTCGTGTTAGAACCTCATCGACCCCATGGCGGCAGTAAATGTAAGGATGCTATCCGGTCTGGTCTGAGGATAGATATTTGCTGCAGTGTCCTGTTTTGACCCAGCGGCAGCGTAAATAAGGTGCTTCATGGATGTCCACAGGCGAGTTGAGACTGGAGCATATGCACCTGGGGCCCAAATCAGACAAGGCTGGCAAGCAAGTAAGCAACTCTTGACTCTTGCCAGGCGCACTGGTCATGCGACGACACAGAGCTCACATATATTTGGCGGCAATGAAGGCGGCCGCAGAAATGCATTCTCCGTCTGATTGCCCTTCTGGATTCATCGCACCGTAGCGAGATACGGCGATTGGATGGGTTCCCGACAGATAAGTGAACCTCTGGGAGGGGGTTCGCTTGCTTATTCTGCGCCTGCTCGCGATGACCTCTCGGGTGGCTTGAAGGTTGTTGGAGCCATAGTCCAAACAGAAAACTTACTCTAGGAATGTGGAAATTGATTGGATTGGGGATGCGTCAGACAGATGGAACGTAAACTGAACCACCATTTGGCACTATATGAAAATGGGCGTTCTAAACCGGGTTCCCCACAACATTGATTCCAGTGGAAGTTGAATATAATATGCAACTATCCGATTATGACCTCATTTGCGTTACAAGGAATCTCGCGACGACTGCTGCATTTAGCACCCACCGTAAGAGAAGTTAGCTATGCTTCTCTTTCTTGCCAACGGGCTACGCTTAGAATGTCCTGCGGGCGTTCTGCAGAGTAACCGAACCCTGTGCTCCCGAACTGTCGTGGCCATAGAGACATCCGAAGACACGAGCTAGCGTCATTCAACCCGACATGGCCGACGCGATCGAGGCGAACGGCTCCAAGGCCAACAGCATTAGGAATGGCACACAGCAAGCAATGTCGACCCCCCGAAACGGTGGTAGTGATGGATCAAGAGGAGACACCCCCGTCGAAGGGCCACAGCTGCCGGCATTCCCTCTGCTGCAGAACAACGCCAGTAGCGAGACTCTGATGCAGAATGTCCAGGCACAGAAGGGCAACAAGGGTAGCGTCGAGGAGGATACCGACGATGAACCTATTGCCCAGCCCTTCGTACGCACCCGCAGCCCCGACTCAACCTCCAAAGAGGACAACCAGGCTGAAGACGAACGAGCGCCCGCTCGCCTCTTCTACAAAATGCATAAATTCACCCTCTACGAGACAGCGAGCTGGTACTACATCGTCGGCGGAGATGTCACCGAGAAGCGCTACCGCATACTGAAGATCGACCGGAACACCCACGACTCGGATCTCAGTATCACAGATGACAAGATCATATACAACCAGAAAGAGATGAACTCGCTACTCGACACTATCGACGATGGGAACAAGAGGACTGGAGGCATCAAGCAACGCTGTACCACCTGGGGACTTCTAGGTTTCATCAAGTTTACCGGGCCCTACTACATGCTGCTCATTACCAAAAAGAGCACCGTTGCTATGGTGGGAGGCCATTACATCTACCAGGTTGATGGCACCGAGCTCATACCTCTGACACCAGCAAAGTACAAGCCAGACGTCCGAAATACCGAGGAATCCCGTTTTCTCGGCATTCTGAACAATCTTGATCTCACAAGGTCCTTCTACTACAGCTATTCATACGACATAACTCGGACGCTCCAGCACAATCTTACCAGGGAACGCATTGCCTTGTCGGAAGGGCTGCCAGGGAAGACTTACGAGGAATACAATTCCATGTTCGTGTGGAACAGTCATCTACTCCAGCCAGCAAACGAGGCTCTTCACGAGCCCTTTGACTGGTGCCGTCCCATCATACATGGATATATCGACCAAGCTGCTGTATCCATATACGGGCGGACCGCACATATTACTATTATTGCTCGACGGTCTCGCTACTTCGCTGGCGCCCGTTTTCTGAAGAGAGGCGCCAACGACTTAGGCTACGTCGCGAACGATGTCGAGACAGAACAGATTGTGTCCGAGTCTCTGACCACCTCATTTCATTCTCCCGGACCAAAGCTGTTTGCAAGTCCTCAGTACACTTCGTACGTCCAGCACAGAGGAAGCATACCGCTGTACTGGTCACAAGACAACATCGGCGTGACGCCGAAACCACCCATCGAGTTGAATCTGGTTGACCCCTTTTACACCGCCGCAGCTCTGCATTTCGACAACCTCTTTGAGAGGTACGGATCGCCCATCTACGCCCTCAACCTTGTCAAAGCGAGGGAGCGAACCCCGCGCGAGTCCAAGCTGCTCGACGAGTACACGAAAGCTGTCACATATCTCAACCAGTTCCTGCCAGAAGGACACAAAATCATCCACAAGGCCTGGGATATGAGTCGGGCAGCCAAAAGTCGCGATCAAGACGTCATTGGGACGCTGGAAAGCATCGCCGAATCCGTTGTTACTACGACCGGCTTCTTTCAGAATGGCGACGGGGAGATTTCTCCGACTCGAGTTCAAAACGGAGTGGCAAGAACGAACTGTATCGACTGCCTGGATCGTACCAACGCCGCGCAGTTTGTCATCGGCAAGCGCGCTCTAGGCCACCAGCTCTATGCGCTGGGCATTCTCGAGAACACCCTTATTGAATATGATACTGATGCGGTGAACCTCTTTACCCACATGTACCACGACCATGGTGACACTATCGCCGTGCAGTACGGTGGTTCGCAGCTTGTGAACACCATGGAGACATACCGCAAGATTAATCAATGGACCAGCCACTCGCGTGACATGATTGAAAGCTTCAAGCGGTATTATAATAACTCATTTATGGACAGCCAGCGACAGGAAGCTTACAACTTGTTCCTCGGCAACTACATCTTCTCGCAGGGCCAGCCGATGCTGTGGGACTTGTCAACGGACTACTACCTGCATCATGCAGATCCGCGGACATGGTTGCAGACGGTGAAACATGATTATATCCACTGGTTCAACCCGCAACATCTCGAGAAACGCTTTCTGCCTCCCTATGTGCAGCCCAAGGGCGATGCAGGCCACAAGCCAGTAGGCTTCTTTGACGATTACTGGCTCGAGTACTACAGGCCGTCCACCCTCTCTTCTTTCCTGAAGATGTTTCCTTACAAGATGAACTCCACCATTAAGTACATCCCGTTCAAGTCCACGCAAGAAGGTCGATATGACCTAAGTCCATTCCGCGTGCGTAACGAGGGAGATCAAGAGACGCACGAGCATAAGAAGAAGACGGCAGCAGCCGCCGCCGCTGCTACAGCAGCCAAGAAGGGCGTGACCATCGTAGACCCACACGATTCTGCCAAAAGCCTCGACGATGACGCTGACTCCATCCTGACGGAGAAGACGGGGGCAACCCGCGGCATCTCCATCCAACGCTGGCTGCAACCTATGCAGCCGGAAAAGGTCCCAACGATCCCCCACGGCATTATGAAGGAAACGGTCGACCGACCCCCCGACGCGCCTCGTAAGCAGACGCCGCAGGAGAAGTCTAAAGCCGCGCAGTGGACCTTCACCAAGGTAGTGCACGAGTCGCTGAACCCCTCGGTTAGCGCGCAGGAGACGGAGGACTACACGCGATACATTAGCCACCCACAGAGCCTGCCGCTTGTCGTCTCCAATGAGGCGCCGATCGATGTCGACGCGTCCGAGTACCAGGACTATTTGAATGGCAACTGGCAGATGGACGGCCTCGCTCCTAACGTGGCCGAGGGGGATATCTCGGCATACTGGGATTTGTTACGCGTGGGCGAGAATCCTCTGACGGTTACGGATGAAGATTTGCCAAAAAAGAGGTACAAGGCGTATCGCAAGTGGCTCAGGGGTAAGTCGCTTTTCAAGCAGCAGCCGGTCGATTAGGATTCGGCTATGCAGACGCTGGAGAGTGACATTTTTGAGGAGGGGGCTGCCCACCGTCTTAATTCTGTTTAGGCTTTTCTGTGAATAGCTGGGCTAATGAGGGCTCCTTCTCAATGAGCGGTATTACTCGTTTGGAGAGGTCGATGCCTTCGGCTTTGATAACGGCCGAGAGCATATCCGCTGTTCTCATCAATTCCGACTTGAGTTTTTCTTTACCTGCAGCTCCCTCGGGGAAGGCGTCTTCGTCTTCGATGTTGAGCGCGCATACCGTCAAAACTTTTACGACTTCATCACAGTAGCCTGGCATCCGCGGCCAGCAGCACCGCATGATGACTTGTAAGAGCCGAGCGCCAGCGTGTAGTACTGGCGGGTATTTGGTGCCGAATGGGTCGATCATGACTTGAGATACCATGGGAATGAAATCCTGCATCGCCGAAGTTAGCATTATGTATATGGCGTTTGGGTGTATCAGCATGGTATGGTGTTACGAAAGGGGAACATAATAAGGAGTGGGTAATTAAGGGGACCGGACGGACTTTCAAGTGTTTCACAGCCAGAATACCCATTCCGTTGACAATGTATCGCGCTTTCAGAAGAAATAACTCGGTAAGCCTGACATACTCGCTCGCGTGATTATGTCCGACCAGGATGCCCTCTCGAATGATCTTATCCAGCAACTGCTTTTCTGCTTTTGAGAACTCCGGGTAAGTGCACGGCTCGTCGATCTTCTCCGGATACGGCAGGCCGGCCAGCTGGAACAGCGCAGGGTATGCCGTGTTGAGGATCCTGACCGACTCATCTTCGGGCGTGAGACTCGGAAGGTACAAGACTGCGGGAAAGATAGCCTGTTCGAAGACCTCGGCTAGTCCGACCTTTCTCATCAGGCCTGCCGGGCAACGTGCCCAGAAGTCGGTGAAGATCGTAATAGCGCGGATCTTGATCTCTGTCTCAGACTCGTCGAGTAAAGTCAGCAGGACCGGGGTGAACATGTGCCAGTGCTTTCTCAGTAGCTCTTCCTATTGAATCATTAATCAAAATTGTTTCGCCCAAGTAAGTGCCCTGCTGTAATGAGGAGGAGGAGGAAGGCTCAAATGTAAAGTACGCACATCAGCCTGTACCACGGCCCACTCAAACACCGTGATGGCGTATCGCTGACTATGCTTCCATTGTTTAAACGCCTCGGACTGCGCATCTAGACCTGCATAACGTGACGCCTCGACGAACTCGGCCTTACGGCCAGATGCTGTTACCGTGGCGGGGCGCGATTTGGAGAATAGAGGGCGGAGGAATCCGTTGAGGACCGTTTCGACGATGAATTTCTGTTGTGCTTTTCCCACCTGCAGGTGCGCCTTGAGAATTCCGTGTGCTAGAGAAGAGGATGTCTCGGTTGTCCATGAGTCCTTCACACTGGTGAAAGCTGTGATGGACACGAAAACTGGGTCATCCAGCTCGATGGCTTTGCTGTGGTCGATTGAGTGAAGGACGTCCAGTCCTACTTCGGCCTTGAGCGCGTGGTTCTTCCATATCTTGAATCCTGTAGCTATATAAGAGAGGTCCATCTCTACTAAGGGGCTCGGCAACTGACCATCGCTAAGTGATGCATCTGACACTGGCAAGATGCTGCGAGCAACGTACTTCGCGACCTTCTGCAGAGCATCTGGGTCCTCGCCGTCACTTGAAGTAAGCTTCTCGCTTCCTAGACATGCTTGAATAGCCCTCAACGAGCTAATGTCGCCCTAGCCTCGGTGTGAGCGACTGTCACCGACTCTTACTGGACTAGTGCAGATGCGATCCGAGGTGTGGTAACAAGCCCGCAAACTACATTTCAAAACGGGCTTACAGATAATTTTGAGCCTATAAGCATATTGCTAACATCTTCTAATGTGAAACTAGACGGCAACACTGTATCGTTTGTTAGCGTTGCGTTAGGTAGGTAAAATAGACAGACTCACGGCTTGTGATTTCTCGAGGTATATCCGACGGCGAGCTGTCTTGCCCGATATGACGGGAAATCTTGAGCAGCTCATCGAACATCACGAATTAGCGGCTATATTTTCCCTCTACTCAGTCGACTCAACACTTTCACGAGTCTGTTTTGAGGAAGGTGCTTTTGAGATATGAAGGTCGTCGTTGATGAATGATGCTGGGTGACTGGAAACTGAGATCGAATTTCGGTGGGGCAGTTTTCCAACTAGAACCAACGGGCGGAGCGACCCGAGATCGCCACCTGGGCTTCAATGAAGTACAATGCGTTTCGGCTTTAAATTGATACTTAATTACACCATCAATTAACGACGCTCCGCATGTCACCTCAAGAGCTCAATCCGGTAAGACTCATAGGTTCCGGGATAATAGTAGAGAGATTGTGTGGAAGAATGGTGGAAGTCGTTGGGTACACTTGGGACTGATCTAACCTAGGTCGTGTTGACCGTTGCTTTGGCAGTTTCTCTGTTGAGCGATATGCACCTTCTACGGGGAACAATCCGATGTTTCCTCCATCAGAGGATCCAATTTGGCGAAGAATTATTCAGGAACTTGAAGACTACACATTATGACCAGGCTTCGTCAACGATTCCAAACCCACGATGAGGATATAGCTGCGTCATTTCCAGGACGAAAACTAATGCACCCAAACACCTGCCTCCCCAGCCAGCTTTCCCGATGTTCACCCTTCAAGTATAAACGGATTCGGTAAACTGATTAACCTGCAAACCCTTCTCTGCCATTGGCGCATCCTTCAAGAAATCCAGCGGCATCCACACTAGATGACCCTTGATCTGGTCAAGTTTTTTGCGGATGTCTTCAGGCGGCAAGAATCTGTCGAAGATGTGGCCTGCTTTGATGCCCTTTGGTGGGAGATAAGCATTGTAGTCGTCAAAATTTTTTACTACATCGTGTTAGTCGATTACAATCTGACATGCTGACAAGGAGCTAACCGTGGTCATCGGGATCCGCATGAAACAAATGTCTGAAAATCTCCGTATTCTTTGAAGCATTTTTCTTCCACATATTCCATAAATCCTCGTTCATGGGATCCTCGACGAACTTGTAAGTCTCGTCTCTACCCCAAGGATCGTTCGGGGAGTCATCTCCTGGCGGTTGCGCGTTGGGGTCGTTTTTCGCGTCCATTGGCTGCGACGGCAGTAGGCCAAGATGTTCGCGCCATAGATATCGCCTGAGTGTTGCTGCATGTCTTCCTGCCTCAAATGACTGCCCATCCATAATGCTTGGGATCTTGTCTGTGTCCTCCATGACAATCGAGAGCTCGCTATCGTGGGTGCCCATTTGGCTACGGTCGTTCAGGTTGCTGGAGCCGCAAATGACAATGCGGTCATCGACAATTAAAAGCTTCGCGTGGATGTACAATTCCTCTTGAATCCAATTTTCAACCTCATCTACCGGATCACCTTCCCAGGTTTCATCCGACAGCTTGCCAGGTTCAGCCATGGCGTGATGGGCAACGCTGGAAGACGTGTTATTACTGCCCGTGTGATCACCTTTGGCCGCCTCGAATTGCCGTTTTGCATCAATCATCTTTTCGGGATCCTCATTACCAAAATCCATGTGCTTGTCGCGATTTCCTTCAACGTCCTTGGAGCCGTGAATGCCACTTCTCATAGTCTCCTCGGCTTCGGCACGCTGAACGTCCTGGTATTTGATTCCCGTCTGCTCTTCTTGTTTCTTGATCGCCGGGGTTTTGTTCAACCGATCATATGTGCGCAGGTTGAAGATGAATATGTGCTGAGTCGGATCCACGCCCTGGGCGCGAATCTGCTCAAAAATGGAGTGCTCGCCTCGGCAGATGGATTTAAACTGGTAATCCATGATGGCGCGTGTTCCTAGAGCGGCATCGTCACGCAGATCTCCTGCAAATCCAGGAATGGCCGGGATGACAATAATGACACGGAACTTCCGACCCTCTTTGCCAGCTCTCACGCAAGCTTCCACGATCGATCTACCAATGGTGTTGTGAATGGGTGCTTGCTGATCTCCGGTCGCCGTGATGAAAAATTGGTTCTCGATGTAAACGAAATGCTCGGCCTTGGAAATGACCTCAGAGTACGCGTTTTGAATTGAATGGTCTGTAAGAATCCCACTCGACCAATCTGCACTCGACCGAATGATCTGTGCATGCACGGTTCCGCGATTATCCAAGTTCTTGCCATCCAAGGGTGTCAATGGATGAAGAATATAGTCTCCAACGGGGTGTTTTGGCCTCTGGACTCCAACCAGGTCCTCATCTTCTCCCTCTCGCCCGCGGAGCATGAGCCAGTCGAATCTATCGTCGCGTTTATACTTATCTCGCTTGACAAAGTTCCAGCGTAGAACAAAGTGCTCCGCAATGTCGTACACACAAGGTCCGATTAGACCCATGGCAACATCATGCCAGGGCATCCGGCCATACTCGGCCTTGCTCAACTCATTCTGTTTCCAGTCCTGTACTTTCTGGAAATCCATGACGCGGTTATTATTGAAGTCCTGTCCCGGCCAGATTTCATTAGCAACTCCTTCAGGGTGGACGTCGGCAAGAATATGTTGATGGTTGTCCCAGCGGCCAAAGCAGAGATCGAGGCCTCCGATGAATGCCATAGCATAGTCAATGACGATGAACTTTTCGTGATGAGCCCAGTAGAACGTCATATCGGCGGCATTTTCAAGGACGTTGTGGTCGGGGTGGCGCATGATCTTGATGTTTCCATAACCAGGAGTGCCTTCAGGACATAGTGACTGTAAGGCATGCTTCGTGTGTGCCGAATTGCAAGTTATAGCTGCTTCGACTTCACGGTAGACGGAAACAAAGATCTTGACTCCGGCCTCAGCACGGCGCTTTAATATCTGGTCCAGTCGCCATTCCTGGTTGTAGTAAGGTGGACGACGCAAGAACAGCTCGGGCGAAAGCCACCAGTCAGCGATGTAGATGGTCTCTTTAGCCTGCTCCAGGGCGACTGATACCGCCCAGAAGTAGTCACCTGGAATTGCGCGTCAGCTATGACAATTTTGACTACTGAGAGAGTGTAGTAATGGCCTAGAAGTCAAGCTCGCAGCCAAGCTTCGATGGAAGGGTTTATGTCGCAAAGCCGCATTGCATAAAATTGGAATACTCAATATATTTACTTACGTCCATCGACATCTAAGTGAAAGAAATAGTCAGCATACTGCAGCAAAGGCGAAATTAAGGCTGGACAGGTATTCCATACACCACTTGATCATATTCCCGTCGCGCTCCGGGAAGTATGACTGAAATCGGTGTTGTTTGCCAATTTTGGCGCGCTTCTCGTCGGTAAGCTTCTCATGCTCTTCATCATGGCGATGTTGAGGGTTGATCTGAGTGGGGTTAGCACAAATTGGTGGGTTCTTGGCATTAATAGAGACTTGCGAGGTTGCCGAATTTGCCAATTTGGTGCCTAATGAATGCTGAGATTAGGTGTCTGGTCACTACGAACCACGCTGGCGGACGCACTTCTTGTGAATGAGGCTGACTTTGGCATCGTGTAGATGAGTGCCCTTCAACTTTTCCTTCAGCTCATGGAAGGGATGCCTAAGCTTGTCGGAGAAGCTCTGCTCGCCATTCTGCTCTTTGTAGGAGCCAGACATGTTGAGACGTACGTGGCTGATGGTTGGCTCAGTAGTCAGATACCAGGCTGAGAATGCAGAGGCGAACGTCGGCGGACGAGGTCGGTCAGCCTCGAGCGCAATATAAGATGGGTTAGTAGCAAGAGAGAAAAGCTAAATAACATAGAGATTTCGATGTTGCTGTACGAAAACAGCGGGGGTAATAAACAAAGCTCCAGCACGCGTAGTTGTAAAGTTAGGTTGCGGGACGTTGGTCAACCAACGTCGTCATAGGTCACCGGGAGCAATGAAAGCAGGTTCTAGGCTGGCCCGGGGTCGGGAAGTGAACTTTGAAGTCAAGCAGGCCTCGGTGAGTACTTGGGTAAGATACTTGCAAAGTTCCAAGGCGTGAAGGCAACGAGAACACAGGGCCATGTGCCGTATCCCGAACTGGGGCTGACTCCAGGTGTCTGAAACGACGAGAAATAACGTCGACCTCCCAGCCCATTGGTTCCTACGCTTGCCGGGTATTGGTCTACGTCTCACCAGCTGCGATGAATGATTTACTCAGTGTATGCACATGCAACATGCCCTTGAACGAGGGTGGAATCGACCATGGCTTATTTTAATTAAGTAGTTCAGCCGAGGCGAGAAGCTTGTGGTTTATCACATTGAGAGCTTGGACTCGAGCTCAGTTTTTACCCCTCCATTTGCTCCAAATGTGACTGTGGGGCCCCCCTGCTATCCCAGATTGGTGGACAACTTCTCGTGCCTGAATATCACTCGCTGTTATCTCTATGTCGAGCCGTTGGCCGTGACCTAAGATGAATTGACAGGGGAGAAATCCCAGCCTTATGAAGAACATTCGTGTCGTGCCATTGCTGGTGATGTTGCTGAACTGGGTGCTGCGACTGCAGCTTGGGCCCTCGTTCGTTGGTCCAGCTCCAGCTCGGCGCGGGGTGATTCGGTGACATCACAGAGCTTTAGCGCCGAATTTAACTCGATGGTGATCGAGGACGGCCCAGAATCGATTAAGCTTAGGAAAACCTGATTGACACCAGGAATGATAGATTGATGGCGCGATATTCTATGAATAGGCGACCTTGCCGAGATCCGTTCCTGGTAATTGACCTCGTGCTTTCTTATCAGTAGGGATCAGAATCACAAAATGGACTCTCAGTCCTGCATTTCTTCCGAAAATGCCGTATCCCCGGGCCGCTTTGGGCTTCGAAGTGCTTTCTGGGCTAGATGGACGTTACAACAGCAGCCTTAGCACACACATTGTTCACTAGTGTACGAGTGCCCATCTGCTGGACATCCAGTCTCCGCTCTCCAAATTGAAGCTAGGGTGCTGCATCCATCAGCGTGGCTTACCTGGGCCTAGGGTGTTCACCTTTGCGGTATGTAGCATCTTGTGATATGAACAAGACGGGAAACTGAATGGAAACCATGAAGAGAGACAATCGATGACTAACGGAGAATACTGTTTCGCGTTCTAAGGGTGAGAGATCGAAATACTGTGTCTGACGTCTGTTGCGTTTGATGATTGAACTCCAGAACCCAAAGGATATCCATAGTGAGTGACATGATGATCCGCAACGTGTTAAACTAGAGGTCTCCCCACTACACGACGAGCACGCCACAGTGGCTGACCAGATTCAACTCTTCCAGGATTTGTGGCAAACTTCCGAATTGTATTTGTCAATTGGACAAACATATTTCGCGAGGTAATGCTTTGAATAAAAGAGTTTCGGGTATGTAATTAATTTATACGTGTTTTAATATCCTTCACCAGGTGAAAAATATTGTGTTATTCCAGTGAATGATCCCACCACGTCTTATTCTCAACTGGCTGGAACACAGTGAAACAACCATGTGGCTAGCGGACTATCCTTACTCCACCGACTTTGACCCCTCGATTCGCGCGGGACACGCACTCGGAAGGCATGATGCCCCTCAAGGGAGCTAGACCACGTAGACCCCTATTGACCGCCATCTCCAAGCTCAAGCTATTTCCTTTCCTTTTGCTCAATAACTAGGTTTCCTTGATCGGATCTTCTTAGACTCTCTCCCATACTTCTTGGCTATCTCCCATTTCCACCTCAATCCATCCAAAACCTCAACACATCACCACCGCCATGTCTGCCCCATCATTCCCCCCGGGAGGTACTCTTCTCGACACCTTCAAGAAGTCCTTCATCGACGTGCCCGTGGACGCCAACAAGGACAATGCCATCTCGACCACCGAATTCCTTGAGGCCGCCGAGTCCCTGACTACCATCTTCGACGCCCTGGGCTCGACTGCCTTCTCCCCCGTCAAGTCGGACATGCTCGGCAACGTCAAGAAAATCCGTGACCGTCTATTGGAGGCCCCCGCCGACTCGGCGACACTCCAAGATCTCGTCAAGAACGACTCCAAGGGCAACGCCGTCGAAGCGCTTGCGTGGTTGAACCGGTAAGACGTCTGCTTTTTGGTCAATGTTCCTCATCCGATCTCTGAGCCCGATCTAATTCATATCTGTATTCAGTGGCCTTGACTTCACATGCAAGGCATTGAGCAAGAACGTCGCCAACGCCAACGAGGAGCTGTCCGATTCCTTCCGCGAGGCCTACGGGCAAACCCTCAAGCCCTACCACGGCATGCTCGTCAAGCCAGTCTTTTCTTTAGCCATGAGCGCCTGCCCATACCGGAAGGTGTTCTACGAGAAGCTGGGAGATGACACGGACAAGGTGCAAAACGAGCTCCGACCGTACCTGGCGTCGTTGGAGAAGATAGTCTCCCTCGTCAAGGGATTCCTACCCACCAAGTACACCAAGTAGGTGTTAAAATTGTGTAAGAAGAAAATGATGTGACCCACTGCATTGGAGGTACACATGAGGAATCTGTAGGAACGCTCGAGTAACCTCGAGTGGTTATTACAGGTTTATTCCACAATGGTACACTGCCAAGGTCTGATGAGAAATACACAAGGGCATACAACGGTATACGTTGTACCATTGGGATGTTCATCTCGTAACAGATCAAATGCTGAAGATTTTGAGATACAAGTTACGCATATCGCCCACCCCAAGTTGCCAACATAGTAGGTAGTGAGGCACAAAATCAATAAAAAAGAACTCAAATCTAACATTGCTCTATTATACCATGTTTCCTCGACCCCTTCACCATGAATTACATATGGTACGCAAACATTAGCACAATCTAGGCAAGAAATCTACCTTCTAATCTTCTTAAAATTACATATTCCTCCATCTCAGGTTGCTTGTAGTTCTGCTGCCCTCGCCCTCGTCGTACCCTCTACCGATATCGTAAAGCTTATGATTCATCTCGTTGACTCGTCGATGTTGCTGTATGGTTTCAAAGAAGCCATGAACTGAACCTTGGCCTCAACAGCGTCTGGCGTATAGTCCTCGGCTCTCACCGTCTTCGCTCTCCACCTAGGCTCCATGGGATCTTCGAAACTTGTCTCATTATACCCCAGATCGGCCAGCACCGTCACATTGAACACCGCCATCATCTCGTGATCCTCGTGTACCAAGTTATGACAGTGGAACATGTACAAGCCATCCCTGTCATTTTGTCAGCAACTGCTCTGATGATTGAATCGCGTCTCACAAGTGAGACGAGTCAAGATATCTCAGTATCTATCCCTAAAGCATGTCGACCAAATGGGGAAAGGACTACTAGGGTTACTCACCAGGGTCCATACTGCGCCTCGACCGTCACAACCTCACCCCTATCGAGCCAAACCGTGTCCTTCAGCCCAAGCGCTTCGTAATTCTGCACCCCTCGTCTCCCACCCTGTCGACTCAAAATCTTAAAGTCAACCAAGTGGACATGAACAGGATGAGTAGCATCAATGCCATGATTCGCCAACTCCCAGACCTCGATCGTGCCCCGGGGAGGCCTAGCCAGCACCCGATGAGCCACATCGCTGAACACGACTCCATTGATGACCCACTCGTTCTGTCTGAAAAACGCAAACTGCTGATCGATCTGGCTATGGTCAGGAAGCGCAGGAATATCGCGCAGCTGCTCTGGCACCGTCGTATTATCCGCGACGGACTGTTCAGATACCACGAACCGCATCACCTGGTCCGTGTATTTGTAGGCCTCACCATCACCCATTAACTCGTCATTGCGAAGTGTAATATTGTGACCCTTGAAGATGCTGAAGTCGATGACGACGTCCCAGCGCTCGGCCATGGAGAGGGCTACTTGGTCTGATGTTGCTGGGGAAGACAGCAGGCCGGAATCGGAGGCAATGACCTGAAAGGGAATTTTGTTGCTGGAAGATTGATCATCGGAGAAATAGAGCGCGAAAGTGCGCGAGACGGCTGCGTTGAGGAGGCGAAGACGGTATTTGCGTGGTTCGACGTTGAAAAAGGGCCATGGTTGGCCATTGACTTGGATTATGTCGCCCCAAAGGCTTTCCCTCTCATCTGCGGGTGAATCCAGAGAGGCGTCTTGATTGTACTGCTTTGAGGTAATGATAATGGGTATGTCGTTACTGCCGTAAATATCGGGTAGGCCCAGGGCATCTTCATCGGGGTCGTGGATGATGTACATTCCCGCTTGACCGAAGTAGACGTTCACTGCAGTTTGTCCTTCGGCATGGTCATGATACCAAAATGTGCGGGCGCTTTGATGATTGCCGTAATAGTAATCCTGGTATACGTCAGCATGATGCAGGTCAGGGACTGTGGAGGTCGATGAACATGAACCTTGTACTGGCCGGTTTCAATAATATCCTTAGCCCAGCCGTCCCATGGCGCTCTCTAATTATGTAAATTAGATTAATACTGAAATGCTTTTTTTCTAAATGGGATATGACTTACGGTAGGGCTCCCATGAAGATGCGTGGCGGCAACATTGGGGCTATTATTGGTGATGCGCACTACCGTCTCTCTGTCCCTTTCAATAATGAATGTTTCCCCGACCGCTAAACCGTCATATCCAATCAAGTGTGTAGGCTGATTGTTTGGATATATTTGCTGCTGGAGACTCTGAATGCTGACCTCGTAGTAGTCGATCAGTTCTCCGGTGACGTTGCTGTTGATCCACCTGTTCGTAGGTCAGTTTTGATTTCATCTCTTATTCGTAAGGCACCTTTTCAAAGACAAAACTTACATCTTGGGCTCCTTCACTGATGGTATCGGCAGTGGATACTGATACAGCCATGTGTACGGAAGTCCCGCCCACTCTCTATTGTCTCTGTGGGCTAGCGACCCTGCTTGCATGAGTGACAGGAGCGCGGCCAGATGGCCGACTTTTGCTGTTGCCATTGTCGGTATGAGGAGAGAAAACAGGAGCCAACCCAGAGTCTCGAGTGTCGGTTGATTTCTCCCTGTTGACGATGTTCGACTTCAGGTATCACGATACCCCGCGGACCTAACTTTCTGATTCAATGAGAAAGCTCCTTAGCCGCTTCCCAGAATAAACTTGACCACCGATCGAACGCCAACAATGGTTGACGCGTTTGTGAATGTGGACGTAGACGACGTCCCAACCGAAGCCACAGCACACACTAGATCAGCGACTCTACACTTCTCCTACTCTGCTCCCTTTATGTTGCCGGCATAGTTGCGGCGATGATGTTATAGCAAACCATTGTCCAATATTTGAATGAAGTAGTGACGGTGTTCCGAGTGGCGTTCGACTGCCGACGTTCGCATCCCCATAATTCAAAGTCGCGCAGGATCTAGTGCCGGCACAACTCGCCTTCTGTCAGCAACATGGAAGCCGTCGGATTCAACGTACCCTGCAGCGGTTCGCAGCAAAATGAGAGTATTCTTGAGTAGTGCCTCTCGACTAGATACCAAGGCGTCGCATTAGCTGTCCATTCCGGAAGCGACACTCAAATCGGTAGCAACAAAAGAAAACGGATTCTCAAGGGCGAAACCTAGGGTCGAAGCCGAAGACTACGTATGTATTCCGTGATTTTATTGAAAATAAGTGTACTCAAGCATTCTGCGCTGACAGCTGACGACGCTCCAACTCAATGACAGGGTAAGGGGGTTGCTTGGCGCTACACCACATGTGTGAGGAGTGACTGCGGCCAAGATGAATAATGTGGACCCATCCGATATCTTGGGTCAGTATTAGTAAACAACCCCAAGTCTTATTCTGTAAGCACATCAATATAGCTTGTACTAAGGCGACAGCAACATACTTTCTTTCTGACGCCATGGAGCTGCAATCCTTCCGCCAAAGTTCGGTCTTCGGCATTCGGCACTGACAAATACTAAAAACAGAATGATGTGTGCGTAAGATATGCATTTGGTGAGATATGAACTATACTACTTCTCATTCCGGATAGGAAGCGTGACCGTGTAGGAAGCTCCAGTATTCGATTTCGGCTCATTTTTCTCGCCAAATTCTTCCGGATCATCAATATTCTTCCTCGCAGGCGCCTCCAAGCCTTTATCCACGGTTTTGATAAGAACTCTGCGCTCTCCTCTTTCCTGAGTTTCAACTTCTTGACTCTCCCATGGGAGTGTGTGGTGGATGTGTAGGTGCTGGGAGTCATGCATGAATTCGAGGTAATCTTTGTCTTATACATGGCAGTCTGTCTAAGCATGGCGGGCAACTAAGAATGTGGACGAGATGCTAGTAGGTATGTAGATGAAAGCCGCTACAGGTAGATTGAGAACCAAATCGTCGTTGGGTGCGGTGTGGAAGATAGTGGATCAGCTGAAAATACGGGTATTGTTGCACAGATGAAAATCATGAGAAATCGATGTTGGATGTAGGAGATGGAGGGACGCGGAACGGACTTGCTGGAAGTCGCGCGTGAAAATGGAGAGAGTCCAAAAAAGGTGGTTCAGCTATCGGTTCCAAGTAACCAATGTAGGAGCAGCCGAAGGATGCAATTTGTTTAGCGAACTTGAGGCAATATTCCACAAGGTCATCGATCTCTCTGCTTGCCCTGGCCGGTCTGCTAAGTACTCGTAAACCTGAGGGCATTTCCAGCCAAGAGTAAGTGGCCAATCATGCCCAAGGCTGTGAAACAAGTATAGGTTTATGGAACGGAGTATTGTGTTCATCGGCCTCAACGAAACCATTGGTTATAGCCCACCGAGACACGTCAATTCGGTGAGCCACACCCTATGGCATGAGAAAATTTGGTTCATTTAGGATTTATTAATCCTTGTTTGGATCTGACCAATTGGCATGGTCGTTTCGCAAACGGCAGTGAGGGAATAAGAATCATTCCACCTCTTCCGCCCACTGCGGCCGAGAACATATTCCAATTATCACTACCATTGTGAAAAAGCATTGTATCCAACTTATTTCATCTTGAGATCAAATTCTGGCAACCGGCTTCCGCACATCGCAATCATCGTGAGATAGTACCCTATCATTGTCTCCCAAAAGCCTTCCAACAATCCATAAGAACCCAGCTCATATTGCTTTCCTATAGAATCAAGTATTGGACTATTAGCAGCAGCACATATCGCGAATGTAAGGTCAGGACAACGTGTTTCAACACATAGACGAGAACAAGGCTAATAACCAAGCTATTTGTATGCACGAACCAATTCAAGGAAATTTCAGTAAGCATATCAACACAGACAGGAAAGCAACCAAGTATATATTGTGTATTATCAACCCACAAGATGGCTGTAATATGTTTAGATAAATTGAACCGATCCTTACATATCAAACCTGAAGCTCCCAACCCTCGCCCGGAAGAGCGTCACGCAGTCTTGCACGGTGTATTGTAGTTATTTAGCTGGCTTGGGGTGAACAGATCGTATAGCAGATCGAATGGCAGCTGAGAACTGGTCCACTAAAAGTCGGGCCGAGGTGAGTTGAAAAGAATATAAATGATCAAATTGAGTTGTGGTGGACATGGTTGTATTTCTATCGCATACAAGCTGTTAATATTGGTGAAGTTATTTGTTGCGCTGCGTTCACCGCCCACCATCGTTGATGGAAAAAGCCAACATTGCCTGTCTTCCCCAGACAGTCAGGGGCTGACCGTCGACTAATACAAACAGGGATCAACGAACGACTACACTGCTGAGGTAAGCATTAAGTCCACCACCCATCTGTGGCCACCCATTTAACGGCCCACTCCACGAGACGACGCCACCCTACACTCTCCTACTACTACAGGTATCACGGCATATTTTTATTGGCGTACTTAATAGAAGGGTATAGCGCTAGTTATCTAGAATTCACTATATGCCGCGTAGTACCTACACTACTACCTCGCTAGCGATCATACTAGAGAGGAGATGAATAAGCGGTGCTAATGGTGTCCCCATACCTCATTCAATCCCTACATGCCATCCAACTTCTGAGGTCGGCATTGTCAAACCAATCTGCCTCGGTATGACGAGCATGGCGGCCATGAATGTTAAGCTCGCTGCAGGTCAACATTCCAAATATTCTCCAACCAGATCACGACGCAAAGACATAACCGAGTGGGTGGTGGACTAGAAGGCCGATGCAAGCTACCCACAAGTGAGATACTAGAGCGGAACCTTTCGCACATTCGTCGTGTGCCTCCACTGCTTCTTCCAAGTCTACCACTTCCCTGCGGGCCAGATAATTCTGCCCGGCAGCAGAGACAACAACACCCTGTGGCAAGCGTTATCCCGCACGCTGCCATCCTACCCACCTCTGGAAGATGTACCAGGCTAGAACTCGTCAAATTGGAAACCATTGTTACCGATCGGGAAGAAATTCTGTTTGAGTGTGCCTCTGGGAACCCAGATCATCGTTGACGCCTGGACATATTGGTAACTTGTTACAATACACGTGAAGAAATATTTTGAGACTTGGTCAAGTTTCACGGCGTAAGTACAGCAGTCGGCGTCACAGATGAATTTAGTGAGCTTCCTCATCACATCTGAAAATTTCTTTTCTATGGTAAGCGCAACCGGGTGCATGTTCGCTGTGTATATAGCAACCGCCATCATTTTGATGATTCTCGACTAGTTTCTTCGCACCGTCGCATTATTTATTCGTCATACTCTTCACCTTCATTCGCCGAATGAATAAGGCTAGGAGGATGAATGCAAGACCCGACTTGTTGAATACCAACTTTAAATCACCCAAAACAAAAGTTGGAGTATAGGTGGGATTCGGGAAGATACGAGACTTAATATTACAGCATCACACTCAACGAGTAATCTTCCCTGATCCTGATTAAGGTATTCATGCGATGATGAAGCTATACAGAAAAGATGCAGCTTCCATCACCCAGCATCGACTTCCGAACGTGCGGTCCTCCTTCCTGTCCACCAAGAACTAGTCTATGCACATAAGGCCAACCAAGGAGGCACGTCTTCGCAGCAACCGCAAGCGCCTTAGCAGGATTGACGACTCACTGAACCCCAGAATCGAAAGAATATGTCCCGCATGTCGTCAACCGCATCGACAATACGAGACGTAGACCCCAGCATGCTGACATCTCCTTCTACCTGCTACCCCAATGGGCTTATTTGCATCTGCCACACTCTGGATGCTGTTGAAGACAATCGGGCCTTTCCAGTGCTCCTGAGGAATTTGATGCATTCCCAGTCGTGGTTCTGCCCTGAGAAGACAGTACCAGGATATTTAGCAGTGGCCACTCCCGCGTTTGCTTCGAATTTCCAACCATAGTTGTTAGTCAGCGCGAAAGACAGGGTCGGTTAGACTTCTTCGACGCCCACTTTGTCTGATCCAAGGAAGAGGTTGTACCTATGCAGCATCAGCAAGAAGCCACCCAAACCATCTTCTGGTAGTCTCCATCCCAGAATATACACATCGGGCGTAACAGACAAGGCAGAAAATCCCGCTTTTCTCCGCTCTATTGGGAATCGAAACCCATCTCACCTTCGGGATCGAATATCTTCTAAGAAGTCGTTGCGGCAGGATGAACCATTTTTTTTGAAGGCTTCCCGGATTTTGCGGTTGGCGAGGTGTTTCCAGTTGGCCGTTTTGAAGGTGAACGGGGGACGCTGATATTGTACACCCTGTTGGTAGATTTCAACTTCGTAGTCTGAGGTTTGGATCACGGGTTTGCTCCATATTTGGTCGTTTGCCGGGATGTTGGATGATATTCAGGCGTTGGTGGACAACGCCACCTTGGTTTGCTGTGACCTTGAAGTTTCAGTCAGTCCAAGTCAGTCTCAGTCAGTCTCGTAGGTATCTAAAGTCATTTCAGCGTGATGTAAAAGTGGAAGGCTTTTTGCAGAGCATAGTTGAAGAAATTTTAGAGTTAACTTATTCAACGCTCGCACATCACGGCGGTGTATGCGGCCTTGTATATCATGTTTTGTACTTGATCAACTTCGCTGCACGGGCTAACGTCATGGAATTCAATTGTCCCGCCGAATAAACCATGTTTTCACTTCTCATATTTTGACAGCAACATGTTGACATTTGCTTCGAGGAAACACAGTTTTGAAAGACGAACAACTTGCTTTTCAATTTTGAGCTGCAGAGCGGATAACCTAGTGACAGGAATCGGACGGACGGCGAACGTTGGACCAATTATACGTCACCGTGCTCTCTCCGATCATGTATTTCTAAGCGCCAATGTTCACTTATGGAATACAATAGTACGTAAGTGAACAGCTGTTGTCCAGACAAGCTTTTGTGTGCGGGTCTGTTGCGCTTATTTCTTGCATTTCATATCCCGAAAACCCAACACATCGATGGTACTCCTTCACGCCCCACTCTTGCTAGTTCTCCAATTCCCATGCCCGGTGCGTACCTCATATGTAAAATACAAACACTAATAATCCCTTTCAAATTTCCAATTAGTCGCTGAGACCTCCTCCTTGGTACTTAAGTAAACAGACTTGCTTCAAGCTAGAAACTTCGGGAGCGATATAGACCATGAACGACGCCAGATCTCAACAGCACGCAAAAACCAGGTCCAGACAAGATATTCATCCGGTAGTTTTCGGGTCTTACCTCGATACCAGTATACACCGGGCCGAGGTTGACTGGTCCGATCGCCGAGGTAGGGGTATACCGCCAGGTCCGATATTTTCGTCCCAAAATGCATGTCAGCAGGGGTCCGATGATGGACGCACACTTGAGCAAACGAACTTTGATCCGGTTCTGGTATTTCGGGCCCGACTGAATGGGATTTCGCAATGTAACCTTACAAAAGTCGGCTATTCATAAACTGTAAAGTTGTCGAATTTGGTGAGGATTAGTGCGTGCAGGAGTGCGTTCAGTCTCTCGGTGATGACATTAAGTGTGTGTGAGATACATAGAGTCTGCTCATTTTCTTCTGAAGGCAAGTTATCGGTGACGTAACCAAGTGTATATAGGAATGCGTTATGTTAAACTTATAGAACTCGATCATCTATAACGAGTAGTCGCTTAAAGGATGTTGAGGGTTTCTGTAAATTTGAAATTCATGTGAAATACAGAGAATGGTTGTTGTTCCCCGTGATGTCCGGAGCAGGCGAATCATCCTCATTCCAATGCCTTCGTTTCAGTTGAGTGTGCTTTAGATGCTGGGCCGCTCACGATCTGGACCACTCGAGTTCACGTGTGTGCAACTTCTATATCCCACGAAACATCTATGTCACGTGCCTCAGATTTTCACGTTCTATTATATGGATCGGATTCAATAAGTTGTCCGTTCCGATATGTTTGTGCTTTGCTTCAGCTTGAACATACCAACAAGCTCATGCTGTCAAATACAATTCAGATTCAGTTTTTATTTCTACCCTTGCATGAATTCATGCCAGATCCAATCACAGCATCTCCTCGATGGCTGGCGCGGTTATCAAGGTCGACCTCATCAATATTATCACTGGTACTAGAAGGCCAATTTGGAACCGGCTTTCTGGAAACAACATTTGGATTTCCCGGGCTGTAAACAAGCATTTAACTAACGCTCATCGGTTAGTCGGCCACGGACTTCGTGAACCAGCGCTTGCCAAATAAGCGCCAACGTGACATCCACAAACGGAAAGTGGCGCCCGGACATCGCTCTAGAGTGCAGATAGCAACTGCCCTGTTTGGTGAAGCGCCAATATCGAAACCTCGCTGTCCATCCCGAGGAGGTGGTATCTATACGATAAGGTGTAAACTGGATGACTGGAAGCCTAGATCTGGTGGACACGGTAATGGAACTCAAAACTAGCTTCGCCCGCACCGGCCAGGCCCATGAGAATCATGAGAAGGATATGATAGACTCTCTTCAAAGAGAAACAAGCACGTGCAAACTATTGAAAATGTTGAGTTTCCTTGTTAGACTTTGGAACGAACAGTGACCTTCCCGGGAGGTCTGATGCAAGGTTATATTCATGGTATAATTTGGCACGACTTCCCTCGCACGGCCCGTAGTCTTGGCTGAGAAGGACTCTGATTCCACGAATCTAATACCATTCGTTTTAAATTGGCCTGGCCTGAGACAGTTCAAGGATCAGTTGAGATGACTTCAACTTCAGAAACGTGCACAACCAACTCACTATCTGAGGACAACCTCTTGACTGACGCCTCAAGTATCAGTACGGGCAACGCTGCCGAGGTGACGCTGAAGAATGAAGAGAAAAATGCTGGCGCAGCCCCGCATTTCATGACAGCACCGGATTTTGAGACAGATCTCAGAACCCCGAAAGCTGCAATGGAGGATGCAAGTGGCTTGGCTACGAATAAAGGAATCCAAGCGATCGAAACGGAGACTCAGACCCCGACCCAGGACAGTGCAAAATCGGATATTAGGGTCGAGACAGAACGAGACGCGCCAGTTAATTCGGAAATAGACTTAGTAGCATCCTCAGATGTCGAAGCAGTCTTAGCCTACAACAATGAGACCTTCGCCGACGATACCTCTTCAATTCGCAGCAAGGACACCGCAGTGTACGTGGGTGATCACATCGTCGAGATGCGTCGTTCCCACTCCGCCAACGGTCTCTCGAGAGCTCAGCGTCTGGAGACAGCACCCGCTGCTGGCAAAGCCGACGTTGAAGCAGGCGCATCATCAACGCCGGGCAACCTCAGCGGCAGTACCTTCACGGTTGGGAGCACGCCGGAGCCTGAGAAGAGTGACATGGAAGCGGGCGCATCTACCCAGATGACAGACTGGAGTCCCACAAACCACCAATTACTGATCATGATCACGCTATCGATCATTTCGCTGATGGTTGCTCTCGATGCCTGTATCATCGTGACTTCTTTGAGTGTAAGCCAGACCTCTCGCACTCGGACTTTTCCCGCACCCTGACTTTCAAATATAGGCCATCGTGATCGATATGAACGGAAACACAACGCAAGGGTTCTGGGTGGGGACTTCCTACCTCCTTGCGAACGCCGTTATGATGCCCTTCATTGCAGCCATCAGCGATATTTTTGGCCGTCCCATCTGCCTCATCGCATCTTTGATCTGCTTTACGATTGGCACATTGCTGTGCTGTCTTGCGCATAGCATCGGAATTCTCTTGGCTGGAAGATCTCTCCAGGGTGTAGGAGGTGGTGGCATCATTGTCCTGAGTCTGGTCATTTTCACGGATATCGTTCCGTTGAGAGTCCGACCAAAATGGTATGGAACAGTGTAAGTCTTGAGCAGTTCAAATTCCAGTGCGCAACATCAGATATCGACGCTGACACACCTCGTTTGCTCAGTCTCGGAGCGTGGGCCTTGGGAAACTGTCTCGGACCCATTCTGGGCGGAGTGATTGTCGAGCATACCACGTGGAGATGGATCTTTTATATTATGTTCCCGTTTTGTGCATTCGGGCTTATCAGCATCCCATGCCTCTTGACACTTCAACCTCGCACTGCGACCCTGGGTGAGAAGTTAGCTCGGGTTGATTGGCTCGGTGGTCTCCTCTTTATCTCATCAGCAACCTCCTTTCTCATCGCCATCTCATGGGGCGGAAGTCAATTCGATTGGAACAGCGCCGCAACTCTAGTGCCCCTGTGTCTTGGTGTGGCCGGCTTGGCAGCAGCGTTTGTGTACGAGGCTTGTGTCGCAAAGCAGCCGTTCCTTCGCCGTAGTCTCTTCTGGAGACTCAGCTCAACCGCCACGTACTTCTGCGGTTCCATGCAGGGCCTAGTTGTGGGAGAACTCCACTTAATGCATAACGTTCATACGCTGACAATTTTCAGATTTATGGCCAGCTCTACTATGGGCCTTTCTATTTCCTCTCGGTCAAAGGATTCAGGCCAGTTCACACTGGAATTGCCCTTTTCCCGGTGATGTTCACCTTGGTACCTGGGTCTATCGTGACTGGCGCCATTGTGACGAGGTGCAACAACTACCGTTGGGCAATCTGGATCGGCTGGACTTTGACGGCAATCGCCTCTGGTTTGATGATTCTCTGGGACGTGGATACGCCCACCGCCCAATGGGCCATCACCATGATCATTCTTGGTTTCGGCCACGGCGCAATTTTGAATGCTCAAAACTTCGCCGCGCAGGCTATGTGTCGGCCGGGGGAGGAGGGATCGGCGGCAGCGATGTACGGCTTCGTACGACAGTTCGGCACGGCCCTTGGTGTTGGCATCGGTGGATCTACTTTCCAGAACGTCATGGCAACGAAACTCAGCTCGGAAGGTCTGCCAAAAAGCATTGCACACAACTCGGAGGCTTTTGTTCCGATCTTAGTGACCTTGTCAGATGATAGTACTGAGAAGAAGGCCATCCTCGATGCCTACGTCAGTGGTTTCCGAGGCGTATATGGCGTCTACGTAGCTATTGCAGGCATTGCGTTCTTCATCAGTTTATTCATTAAGCATCACGACATGAACAAGGTCATTGATACGGAGCATAAGTTGCAAGAGACCCGGGTGTCGCGGCTGTTCGACGGCAGATCGTCCGGAACGCCGCCGAGCCCGGAGCGCCTCAGCGATTCGAACATGGCGGAGAGACGAAGCTGTGGTCCGTGAAACGAAGCGTTCGACGCGAATTGAGATGTAAGCGTGGATAGAAACTATTCTGAGAAAAGAGCATCAGAATGAAATGCGTTTCTCCAGGCCGATCAGAACTATTAGGACGCAGATAATTTCTTGTGTAGGATACCATCATAGACATAGAAGCCAGATCCCTTAACTTAGCTTCCGGAGTAACCATGCGCATATAATAGCTTCTCCCATGTTGGGACAGTCATTATAACCTTTACAAACAGATCCGGCTGGGTTTGCCCTCAAATGTGTCCTAACCCACGCTGCCTTCAGTCTTCGATGGCACGTACCTCGATGCGGATTCACGTCTCAGAACGATCAAGTGACAAGTGCAACAGGACAGAGAACTGATGTAAATGAATTTGGGAATGTGCAACATGTTTTGCTTATATCCAGGTGATGTAAAATTTCGAAGCTGTCCGGTCCAATGGGGAAAGCACGAGCCGCATACGTCATTGCATCGTGAATGGCCGGGGTGAGCTTTCCAAGGCTAAGGTAACCGCCGCACCTGCATTGGAGTGTCCGGTTTTTCCCTCTTGACCCGTCTGATGTCTTGTGTCCCCCATTCATTTGACGATCAACTACAAACATCGTTGTTGCTCTGCCATTGCTGTTATCATTCTCGCCAATCTTGATACAGCTCTAAACAGCTGATACTCTCTAATCAGCATATACATCTCCTCTCGACAGTGAGTTGTGTCGCATCTTCCAGCACCATCTTTATCACCATGTCCGATAGAGAAGCTAAATGTCCAAATAGTGTCTTCATATGCTCAAGTCGCCGCGTCGGGACCCTCGCAGACTCCTGCGGAGGTATGTAATTATCCTGATCAGCAGCTGCCTTTACCCCCCGCCTCTAACTCTAGCTGCAGGCCGCTGCACCCCAACCCCCGAGATCGAGTCCACCGAGTCCGCCAGCACCTCATCCCTCGTTGATGTCGACACAACCTCTGTGCGCACCGTCCCATCCGACTTCATGGAGCAAGACGTCCAGACCGACACACAACAGGCCCGCAAGGACCGTGAAGAAGAAGCTGAGGAGATGGCACGCGCCGAGGCCGATCTGGCCAAGAAAAAGGCCGCTGGCAAGGTGCGCAAGGCAGACAACTTCCTGACCAAATTCTTTGGAAACTTGAGCAACGATGCGAGCACCGCACTGGTGGTTAGCAACTTCGCCGCCCTGGTCGGTCTTAGTGGTTTCTTGAGCTACAAGGCTTATGGTCTGTACGAGCGAGGAAGATTGGGCTGGAAGCACGCTGGTATCGGATTGGGTGTACTAGGTGTTGTTGGAGTGTTTGAGGGAACTCTTGCACAGTAAGCAGGGCCTGTTATCTAGAGCCTCGACTGCTTTGAACGGAAATTGGATGCTGACTATTCTATCTACAGATACCTCCAAAAGGGCAAGAAGAAGCAGTCGTAGGTAGCTGCCTTAGTTGTGCCCAGGGATGCCAAGGCTGCACCCAACTGGATTGAGGCCCAGAAAGTTGAGAGCGACCCTGGGCTATTTCACTGGTGCGGGGAGATGAGGGTGTAATGTTTTTTCCCTATGCGTTCATCACTTAGAGTGCGTGATCTTTGGATTGCGAGCCCTGTAAGGAGTCTCTACTCTTTTATCAGCTGCACTGTCAAGTGTCATAGTTTCGTTTCGGCATGAACATACATTTCGCCATTGAAAGCTATCTACTTCGACGACCATTTCGCTGGCCTGCTCTGCTCCAATTTTATAACGTGCATGGGGCATCCGATTCGCGAATCTATATATCTGAGTGGGATCTTTGACTGACCCACTACGTCCAGACGTTCTAAAATAGTCCGAAGCGGGTCAAGATGAACGGATGTGTTGGCGATCCACTGTGCTATGGATTGGGCCCCGCTGAAGAACATGCGTGGCGGTGAGTTACTGGCACACGTAAGTTGAGTACAACGTCCGCACCCACCGTTACCCTCAAGCCGACTCAATGACTCAATCCTTATGTGGGACTAGCCGGAATTACGAGCCTGCGGTTTGGCGCTGGGTTGCGAAGTTCCATAGCAAAATCCGCTGAAGGTGTACTGAGTGCTAAGCTCTTGTCTAGCTAAGCTGTTGTCGTATTTCTCGCCAACTGTCTTGTGGCTGGTTTCACTTACTGGGTTGGCCCAGGGTGGTGATAGGGACAGTACGCCATGAGGACGGACTGGAGCTCTGACAGGTATTGAAATAGAAAGCGACGTGATGATGGTATTTGTTAACGGCTGCTATTGTATGCACTAGATTTACTGCGATATCTTCAATAGGTAAAGGGGGGCTCCGACTCTGAGAACATCCACAAACTCGTTGGCGGCCATATAAGATGAGGAGACATGCGGGACCAACTTGTGGGAAGATCGTTCATCTTTGCAGTAGTTTTCAAATAGGGGTTATGGCTATGATGTTACCTTCGAGACCATTTCGGTTACTTGTGTTACCCACGAAACAGAGAAGCCAAAATACAAATTGCTATCACAGAACTTTGAGTGGTGATACACCTTGAAGGGGTAAACAAGTCGCACATGCCTGGGATAAGGCTCCCAGGCGACTTCCTGTTGGTCTTGGGACTCGTAGCCAGGTACGTGATCAGACAGAGATAGGCCGATTGAAAGTGCACTCATCAAATCATGCATCATCATATAACAGTCTGGCTGAACGGAGCTAGTATTTCCAACAAAAGTAACTGATGTTGTCGTGTGATCAATTCTACCCCTCAGGTTCGATTCGATAGTGTTTGCTAGATCATGGGAACCATATGGATATCTAATAGGTTCGGTTTTCTTCCTCTTCCACTTCCCTGCCTCATTAGATCGTTTTCACTGTATAATACCCATCTGCTATGTCCAAGCAACTCGACTGTGCTGTTGTGTCCTAGGTATTTTGACTCAAACGAAAGTGTTAAGAAAGTCGGGCACAGGGCTAGCAAACACTAGGCAAGAACTGCCAAAACAAGACTAGACAAGCAGCTCGGGGACCATAGCACCTGATTCATAACAGCCTTTCAGGCTAATTATCGTCGCAGTGATCCAGAAAAACCCGATAACACCTAACCCTTCCAAGCGATCCAGATTATCTCCTCCGGCCCTTAGTCTTAAACATGCAGAACTAAAAGTACTGAGCCCCTGGGGACTACAGATCACGATCATTGTATACCCTCTGGAACTGTTCACTATCTTCATTGCCACGGGCTCGAGCACGGGTATAAACAATAGCAAACCACAATATAGGGAGAGACTCTCCGGCGGCTAGCGACAGAACAGTGTTTATTCACAGCCAAGGCAGGATATACTAACAAACTAGCCTTTTAAACAAGGAACTGAACTATGATACAGCTACGGTCCTATAGGGGTGATAGTCCCTCCCTTCCCCCGTCCCTCCGTCCCCTCGGGTCTGGGCAACCCGCCATGTTAATCCCGTCGATATCCTCCGCTACTACTGTAATGAGTCGTCTACGTTCGCTCCTGGCCCGGCAGGCCGCGGCATTGTCGAGGAATGCGGTACTTACTTCTCAGACGGCGTCGAGACAGAGCCCCAATATTATTATATTGCCACCGAAATGGCCCACCCATTATCGCTCATCAGTCGCTAGATGGGCTTCGATGTTGTGTTGGGCCTAAGACCGCGCTGCGACACGCCGTTTATACTGCCATCGCCGTGGTCCGTCATGGCCGACCAAGGCGTCCTCGATGCGAATGTCTTCGCCATTGATGAGCCCTGTCTGCCGAATACTCTATATTATGACCCGTTCTAGGCTTTGACCTGGACTAGACACCTTTCAGCGTGACTTTAGAGTCTAGATAGTTAATGCTTAGTCGCTGATGTGGGACAACCGGAAGGAGCCTATCTAGCACCTCTTCAGCTCACCCATCATCGCCGTGTTCACGGAAAACTGGTATATGGCTCTGCCAGGGTCGCTGGCGGCTCAGATCCGTAAGTCTCTACCTAAGTGGGCCGACCTCAAGTGCTATGTAGACTGGTATGTTTCACTACCTGCCGAGCTTTTTGTTCGATCTTGCAGGGAGGAACTTCACGATAATTACGTTCAAATGCGCGCTTATGAGGGTTACCGAGTATTTGTGCTCGTTTGGTATTTTCTCGAGTGTGTACGTCTATGAGGATGACAGCCACCTGGGACTAGCAAATTGCTTGTTGATGATTCCACATATCGAGCCCCGTCATAGGGGCCATAGTTTCAAATGCCGGACAGCCCGGCTTGGCTCTACAAGCAGAGGTTACGTGTACTATAATCTGATTGTTAATGTAGTTAGTGTTGCGGAAGAGCAAGATGCTTATACATTATGTTTCTTTTTATCTAGGCCTGTAATCGCTACATTGCAGGAAAGTCTTATGTATTACGTTCTCTTTCCAAACAAAAAGAAAATAAGTACTGATACGAAAGTTATAGAACCTCTACATCTTCCTTTGTGCGAGGGCAGTCGTATTAGCAACCGATATGAGCCTGAACCTTTTGCATAACATAAGCCACGCCTGTATCTTCTTTCTTCAGCTGAATCCCGGGAAGTCGCCACGATTTTCTGTCTTGCATAAATGCTGACACCAACTGCATTTGGCCCATCCTTTGCGAAGCACCCCGAATAACTCATTTCCCAGCCCTGCTCAGGGATTAAATGTCTGTAGGTCCCATTCGTACACGATCTCATATGATAAGGCATCCGTGAATACGGAAACTATTCCAATGAACAGCATATACAATAATACGGTGTTCACATTATATGCAGCGTATGAAGAACCTGCACGAAGGGTTTTCTTTTTCTGAGGGAGTCTCCGTTTACGTAGGCATCTGAAGCAGCCAGTAAAATAGAACATAGGGGGGAAGGGGGTTGGCCGAATTCTGCTCCATAAAAACGGGTTAGCTTTATGGGACCGACAGGAGGATAGAAATAAAACAACCACTTAACTAAAAGTGATTTTTAAGCGTGCGTGTCCTTGTGTGGGTCTAGCAGGGCTGGCAACGTCCAGCTGGTAGGTACCAAATACTAATAGCGTAGGGCCCCCGCCAAATCAACCCACCACAACCCACCAGGTCCGGGTTGATGTTGTCTCCATAGCAAAATACGGGGATTTGGTGGGTGGTGGAAGTGGTTGGTGCGCACTAGGTGGACACGAATTGGGTTAAGCCGACCTTGCCTAGCTGAGGCATATGAGAACAAGATATACCTACTTCCTCCGGCCAAGCAGATGATGGTATATGTCCTGCATGGTACCTCTTGAAAATATAACGAATCTATCATTCGTTGAGGAAGCATTAGAAAAGCTCTTGAACCCTTCATTGTACGGTGAATTCCAGATAGAAACATTTAAATCCCGTTAAGAAGCGATTACCCATATCTAGTCGAGCAAGCTACTGCTTAGTTCCTTCACATCACGCTGACCTGGGATAGGTTGTTGGAACAGGATAGTTTTCCGCAGTATCCCTGCTGCAGGCTTGCAACCCGAACGTGGAGGTTAGCGGCAGAAGCCTCAATGTTTACTTTGGCACTGATGGCTACTGTGTGAAGATTGAGGGCATCGATTAAGTCACCCAACGTTTCTCGGAGGTGATTATGCCGATGGTGTTTCTCACGCGCAGGAACGCAGACCTCCGTTGCCCGTACGCACCAGGTTATAATGTCACCTTTCTGACGTAGGAAAATGGAACCCATTCCAAAGGCTTCGCGATCAACCCCACGATAGAATTTGGTTCAATGCCTAGTACCAGCTTCTTTGGTTGATTCATGTTATCACATCCTGCTATTGTATTAAACTGTCTGGTTACCTTAATTTTCTTGGCTAGAGGATGGCTGGCATCTGCTTCCTTTCTTGACATGTGGTCTTGGTTGACTAATTGCCTAGGTCTCACTACTGACAAGTCGTTCTGCCGCTTAGTCAAGGATATATACCTCCTCCGGAATTATCTTGATTGGTATGAAACGCCTGGCGATGTAAGATACGACGCGATCGCGATCGCGATCATCTTCATGTTCATACTTCAGCTAATCTACATCGGGATGACTCTCTTCATCTGCTGCGTGCGGAGAAAAGAAGCCGAGGCGGACCGACAGAGAAAACAGAGCAAAACACGGCGATGATAAGAAACCCGTATACGGGCAACCGCGATTTTGAAACCGGGGTCAAGCTAGAGCGGCAGGAAAGACAGGACATTCAGGACTAAAAGAAGTGCCCTAAAATCCAGGAGCGAAAACAGGAGAGCTTCCATAATTGACAGAGTGTACGCCGACAACAATAAGTTTCATCCTGATGTGATGCTTCTCAAAACTGTGGTGAATTAGTTGAGTCACGAGAGTTTGTAG